GAGCTCGGAGTTGAGGAACACGTCCTGTTCGGGACACGTCAACAGCGACCGGTCCTTCACGATTCGCCAGATGTCCGCGGCGTCACGAAGTCTTTCAGGTGTTGCAAACCTGTCGACCGGATCTTCTCTCCGCTGTGCTCCTTCGCGATTGCTGACGCCTCCTCGATCACAAGACGCCCCATGTTCATGTAGTCGGTCGCCGCCGTCCACACCTCACTGGTCGCCTCCACCGAGCATGTCGACGCGAGGAAGTTCAGTTGCTTTGCGCCCGCTAGAAGGAGCTCAATGGCCAACTGGATCGCCGCAACGGTCAGCCCATTCGCGCTCGATAGCAGCAACACCGACTCACGTGTCCGTTCTGTTGGAGCCCCGTAGTCGACGTAGGCTTCGTGATCAACCCTCGCAAGATCGCCGGGTCGAGAACGTCTTCGGTGTGCCAGTACGTCCACCCCGCGAGTTCGAGGAGGAGCGACATGACCAGTGGATCGTTCATCACTGGCGTGATGTGGTTGTTTTTGGTAAACGTCCGCGGCATGAAGCTGTCGTTGCTGAGCACCTGGCCCCACTTGAACGACCCGATTGTAATGCCTTCCAAGTTGACGTCGCGTTCGAAGAGCTTCTCGCGCAGGTGGCGGGCGCACACCCACACCCGTTCCCATGGCCCCTCTCCGAACGTCGCCTCCTGCTTTTTCGTCGACAGCAACGTAATTGCGTCTGGCGTGAGCTTGTCTAACGCCCGAGTCAGCGTTCGTTTTCAGACCACCACAAATCATAACACACGCACCTATGTCGTACACCTTCGCCGTCCAAAAGTCCGTCGCCACCACCCGCTCCGTCAAATCCTGCAACTGCGCCTGGAGAGCGCGTTCGGTCTCTTCGAGATCGATCTTGCTCGGCAGCAACGTTTGCGTCAGCGTCGGCCCCGAAGTCGAGTCCCGACCCTCTCCTTTGAACTCCTTCAGTGCCTCTTCTTCCGCCTTCTCGCGTGCCGCTCTCGCCTGCGCCTTCACCAACGTCAGCTTCGTCATCTCCGCGATGTCCAGCTTCTGTCGGATATGTAGCGCTCTGGCACGATGGCGACCTCCGAGCAGCTCGATTTCCGGTTTGCTTTCCAGGTCGATTTGAAGCACTGGAACGATCTCGTCCGAGTTGATCTTCTTCTTCAGCGTCTTCTCGTTCAAGATGTCTTGTCGCTTCATCGCCAACACGATCATGTTCTCGTCCTTGTCGTCCAGGATCCCCCGCGAGGCGATGCTGTCCGCGATTTCTTGAGCGTGCTCCTCACGCATTCGTCGGTTGATGGCTTTCCCCGTCCTATATTCGATGGCCCCTTTGCCTTGAAGCTGTACGCGGGCGTATCCGATGAACGACGCCGTCGACATCTTCAACGCTTCCGCGTCCCGGGCCCCCATTTTGTGCATCGACTTCTTTGCCGTATCCACCCGCTTCGATAGATTCGCAACTGATTCGACACTTCCACCCGCCCGATTCTGCGACAATTGCTCTTCCACAAGCTCTCGAGCCTTGTCTTGCGTCATCGCCGTATCCTGCCCTCCCTTTGACGTCTCCCCGGCTGTTGCGGCCGAACCCTGCGCACGAGTGTGAATGAAATGTGCTTACTACCTCCCGTCGTAACCGTCTGCCCACTCACCTCCCCCTTCTTTGTAGCCTTCTGATGATGTAGATCAGTCTCGATCTCGCCCATTCTCTCAGTCTCAATGTGATGGCTAACCTTGCGTGGGGGCATGGTTTCGTGCGTTGATGCTGTGGTTTTCGATTGAATAGATTTGGATATGGCAGCGACGGAAGGACAGGAGACAGAGTCCGAGCACTTCATGCGCCGCGCAACGTTTTCTCCCTGCTGTCAACGAGGCAGAGCATCACGTGGAGAAGTGTCCTTCTGCCACCACGTGCATCGCTTCTTGGCACGTGAGTCTCTGATCATGCGAAACCTGCGCATCTCCGCAGGTTTTACCGCCTGTCGAGGTGCTTCTCTTCCTTTGTAATTATATCCTCTCGTTTCTCCGGATTTGTGCATGCACTGAAACCTGCGGCATACCTCTTGTTTCGTATCACTATGGCAGTCTATATTCCGTTCAAAGTATATCTGATTGACATCCGTTCGACACCGTTCGTACCGCACCGGCTGATCTCGACACTGTCGTCTCTTTCGAATGCACATCCTCACACCACCACATGGTTGTACATTCCGTACACCCTTGAATCACCACCCAACATGCATTACCGTTTTCATACAACTGCCGCTTTGCTCTCAAATATCAACCCAGTTTGCAATCATAATATCCGTGCGGACACTCGCGCTCATTTTAACCAGACGCTCACATCGTGGACCCACATCTCACGCCCCTCTCCATGTGGCGATCTCCCTTTGCCGGTGGCAGTGTTACGTCCTCTTACTTCCCACAATCGGCTCCGCCTATCTCCCCTACCCGGTCCGTACATCCCGCATGCCCTTCGCCCCCACCGGCCCATTTCCCGAATCCACAAATGCTTCTTCGCTTCTCACATTCATTCCGTTCAATATATCTTCCTTCCCCTCGCGCCCCTCCCCCCCTGCTCATCCCTCCCTACACTCACTCAGACATGCTCCCTCCTCTTCTCATTGCCCGTATCATCTTCCACGATTCTGTGCGAACCCTTCTCTTTCTCTCAATCCGCTCACTCATTCAGCCCCCCTTCTCAAAGTGCGACCAATGCGAAGCTGCCGAAGTACTCTGCACCTGGTCCACTTCAACCCCGCACCTCGTCCCAGTCGCCTGTGATCCCTGTCTAGCCAAGCTTGTTCGCAACGGCTGTACCTACCACTTTCTCTCCACCACAGGCGCTCTTCTTTGTACGTCTCTCCTTACTCCATTCCATTCCAAACCCGTCAATCAACCTCTTCACAGTCGGTACCTCCGACCCCATGTATGCCTCCGCCTTCCTTGGCTATAACGGCTTTCACATCAGAACCGCTCTATCCACTCTCGACCACCGCTGCACTGAAGCCATGATCAATTGGTTCGCATCTCACGCCGATCCTACTCGTTTTGAAATCCTCGCATCCGCCTCCCAAGATTACGCCGTCGCCTTCCCTGGCGGTCTTCGTCCCTTTTTCAATTACTCCCATCCACTCATGCCATCACGTCTTCTGCTCTCCGAACGAGTCATGCAATGGATCAAGTCCTCCGGCCTCAACCCTCCCGTAGAACCTTGTCTCATCGTCCATGAGCCTCTTATATTCCCTCTCCTTCCACGTCAACACCAACCACCTGCCTGGCGACCGAATCCCCATTCCTGGCGACACACCTCCACATCCAACATCCCACTCTCATTCCCGGCTTTCGATGAATCCCAGATTTGTTGGGATATCAGCGCTACGGAGAACGTGCAGTTTCATCACATGGAATCAAATGTCCAACAGATTCCTAAGGATGCCTACGCCGACCAAGCGCAGCTTCTCGCCTTGAACCTTCTCCGCCTTGAGTTCCTTGTACTCCACGGCTCCTACAGCATAGATCGTCCCATCGCCTGGGTTTACCGTCGCATGCTCACCGTCATCGACAATGAGGAACGCATCACCGGACAACCCTTTCTAGCATATGTCCACGATCTCGATCCCACAGCTCTTCGTACCTTGCATCCCGTTCAGCATGCTGATGTATACGAAAACACCAGCAAAGGTATCGGAGAGCTTTCTCATGAGATCCTCCACCACGCCTTCCGAGCCGTCACAGGGCGCTATGTGCGTCCTTTGTTTTCGTCTGCATCCAACTTTCGCTCACCATGTCCCTCACAGAACGTCAAAGTCTGTTCCCTGTTCCTCTGCCGTTTCTCTATCTTACATGTTTCACAGGGCCCTATCTCCCAGCAACGAAGTCTGGCTGTATACTCCACCCGCTTTGCAGACATTTTGAACCGGGAATCTGCCGCCCCTTGTGTCGCCTATGTTTATCATGCAACGCGGCTCGACTTCGCCTGTAATCGGGGGAATGCCAATATCGAACCCCACGCCATGTGATACGTACTCTACACTGTCTGTGGAAACCTGCGGTAAACCGCATGTTTCAGGTACAATACTCTCTTAGAGACGTCACAGGAATCGGTGTCTATATGTCTGCTAAATTCATCAATGTGCCTTCGAACGTATAACCTGCAGCTTTCCGCGTGTTTCACGCTTAGGACTCAAACACCTCGCGATATTGTACCGCTACATGCATTACTGTTTCCTTCATATCACGCGGCCACAAATGTATTCGTGTTATAAGCCTTGCCATATACTCATTGATGATATCCTCAATGCAAAACATCAGACGTGATGAGCAGTGAAACCGGTAGCATGGGCGATGTGGGAAGTGTGGGTGATATGGATGAGGGGGGTGCAATATGTGGGCAACATGGGTCGAACACAGGGCAAGACGCAAGCAAGGGGACCAGCAGACGGTACAGACTACTCACGGATATCGCTGATACGGGTAGGATGACACGGCTGGTGTCGACGAGATGAACAAGTGCAACACGAGGTCAGCTAACGCGAAGGTGTGGAGCCACATGGAGGATGACGTGCAGCGCAGACGGTACAGGGTTGTACAACGGCAGGAGGGCAGATGAGGGTGTGGTTGGCGAGGTGAGGGAAATGTGACAACGCATATAGGAATCCAGAAAATGTAAACACGACACGACCGATGCAGGGGAAACGGGACTGCCACAGAGTTGTTCGATATGTGCGTAAACCTGCGGTTGACCGCTGGTTTCATGTCACGACGCAAATCAGTGCTTTATTCCCATCAGCAAACACCGCACCGACACCGATCTAGGTGCACCATTGAGTGGCGTCTAACCTCGCACACTACTCACATCTTGCATATCCTAGGGGCAACTCGAACTTGCTGAGTCATTGAAAGAGGCGCCTTCCACGTGCTTAATGGACCACGCCTCGAACACGCCCATCTGTCGCTCTGTACTGGCATCCACAATCGCGCTCCTTTCACTGCTGCCGTCCACTCCCACCTACTCTCCTGATCGCTTCTCCGTATCAGTATGCCCTTCGACACCAATCACTACGCCCACCCCATCCTCGTCAATCCCGTTGCTCCCCACGGACGAATCCTGTTCTCCCGTGCAGTGCGTACTATCAAACCTTTATCAGCGACAAACGTGATGTCGAGCCATACCACCCCTCCACAGTGCGATGGCTGTTTCTGGCGCACACTCGATTGCACCTACGACAGATATCCGAAAGAAGATGGGAGGCTGCCTCTGAAGTGCGACAACTGCATGGACAGCAATTATCCGTTGTGCACGCTCGGGTTGTTGAGCACTATGGGAACCTTAGGTCGTGAGTAGATTCTTCAACTTCGAGACGAGGTGGAATTCTGATGTCTTTGGCAGCCATGCACGAAGCAGACCCAAACAAGGCGTGGGGATTCCTTGGGAGCGAGTGCGTTGAGCTCAGCCCGACTTTGAGTCAGCACGAGCGCAAGGTCGTAGAAGCGATCGTCGACCTTTGGGCAATGGCACCGGACACATCTTGCTATCATATCACGTCTTGGGCCGCGCAAGATTATGCAGAGGCTTTCAACAAGCCACTCGTGCGGTTCGAAAGTTTCAACTGGAGACTTGAAGAGACTCGCGAGCTGTTGCAAGAGCACTTACGCGACTTTGTCCGTCTGGTGAACCATCGTCCCCCTTTTCGGGCAACATATATGCCACGCGATCGACACTACTGCCTACTCCCAGGGTTAAATCGCCCGCGAACCCGGCACAGTCGGGACAAGATCAGCTGGCCACGTGCATTTTATAGATCCCTTCCTCCCCGTGTCTTCCTTCCAGACACTGAAGACTACCCCAGCCCAAGCCTCATCCTAAAGCCGTTTGTTGATCGAGAAGTAGCCATGACTTTCGATCCTTTGGACAACTGCCTTGGCGACCCTCACAACTACTACTACGACGATGACGACATACCAGACGACGATCTTCCACCTGGACGCGAGTTTTGTCACGGGCGCCGACTCCAACGACTAGAGCGAGTGGAGAACACCGCCTGGGAGGAAGAGGAGGAGGAGCTCGAGCGCATGGCTACATTGCGGCCGTGGTACGTTCCACAGCGTGAACATGCTTCCTTACGTGTGGAAAGGGCAGAATTGAGTGCTGATCAGCGACGCGATATTGAACGGATTCGGACGGAATTCGGGGAGTGCCACACGCGCACTCTCGATGCCACTCCGAGCCGTGCCGCAGACTGGTTGCGTATGGCGGAACTGGTGCAGAGCGAGTGGGATGTTACCCAGATGGCGTTTCTCATATACGATTCACTGGAGTGTCCTGCAAACGGACGGCTCGCGGAACTTAGGACTGAATTGTACGGTCTTGAGCCTCCTTACACATCGTCAGACCTTATTTGGTACTATCATCGGCAGGTAGACACCCAGACCACACCAGTTTCTCAGCCTCTGGCTCTTTTAGAATAGCCATATAGCACGTTCCTGTTCTTGACAACACCCTGTCTTGTCCAGAATTACTATATGTCGTCCTCATAGCTGTATATTCTGCTCCATGCCGCAGGTTTCATGGGTTCGTACCTATTGTTTTGTATTTTCTACTCACGGGATACTACACTATCAAAACCTGCGGTACGCCGTAGGTTTCGTGTCTCACACAATTGCTCTAAACATCAATGAAGTAATCCAGGGAAGATTTTGCCAAAATCGACCTTGTTCTGAACTGCAAAGGTCGTCCTCGAAACTACATAGATGTGATGCAATATCTTGTTGGTGCCAATGCTGACATCATTTTCAACAGCATCTCATAGGCAACAATGGCAACATAATGCAAGGCTGTCCAGACATTCTTGTATTACACCTCAGATAAACAGATGAGCGGGTGTGTCGTAAATCATGTGATGATCGCTGGCTTCAACTGGTTTGTGATAGGTTAGAAATGCACGGTGTGGTCATCCCTCGAATGACTGTAACAGGCGAGAACCTTATATTCATTTGCTGGCTTTCTCGCTGACAATATTACCCCATAGATAATTGCGTAGTTCCCACCGAACACGTAAGAGTCATAACTCAATCACATTGACTCAATGGTGTTGAAGTGGTCCCTGTTGCTGTTAAATTGCGACAAATTGTTCTAGATTAGACAGAGGCATGTGAGAGCGGCTGTGTACTGAATCCGAGAGGTGGTTGGTGAAAAACTAAGCGGACAGTACTGTGCGACGTTTTAGGGTGACGTACCACATACTGCAGTGAAATCCGAGTTTCAGGTATACTGGAGACCCAGAGGTACTCGCAGAAAGTCTTTTGATTGCAGCGCACAAAAGACCAGGAAGAAATACGTATTTTTGGGAATGATAGACTGTATCTTTGGAAAGTGGAAATTCTGAGAAGACATGGGGTACATATCTTCTCATGCAGATATGATATTGACAGAATGTTTGCTGTATAATGCAGCTCTGCTCTGATATCACACATATCTGAAATTTCAAGTGTGCTGGTGATGAGATGCGTAGAGGGTGCGGTATGTCATTATTTTGTGACATACGATATACTGATATGGGATTGGATTGGAGTGACGTCAAACAGCCCAGAATGGAATCAGGTGAGCGGCAGCTCAACAATGCAGAAGAGATCTTGAAAAACGGGCAAGAACTCAGGGAGGTATGCACTTAGACCCAGAAGTGTGCTTTCAGTAGAAAGCGAGTGCAGAGCATTTAATATAGTGCACATCTCAGGGTCCCAGTGCATACCTCCCTGAGTTCTTGCCCGTTTTTCAAGATCTCTTCTGCATTGTTGAGCTGCCGCTCACCTGATTCCATTCTGGGCTGTTTGACGTCACTCCAATCCAATCCCATATCAGTATATCGTATGTCACAAAATAATGACATACCGCACCCTCTACGCATCTCATCACCAGCACACTTGAAATTTCAGATATGTGTGATATCAGAGCAGAGCTGCATTATACAGCAAACATTCTGTCAATATCATATCTGCATGAGAAGATATGTACCCCATGTCTTCTCAGAATTTCCACTTTCCAAAGATACAGTCTATCATTCCCAAAAATACGTATTTCTTCCTGGTCTTTTGTGCGCTGCAATCAAAAGACTTTCTGCGAGTACCTCTGGGTCTCCAGTATACCTGAAACTCGGATTTCACTGCAGTATGTGGTACGTCACCCTAAAACGTCGCACAGTACTGTCCGCTTAGTTTTTCACCAACCACCTCTCGGATTCAGTACACAGCATATCATTGTGTCCACTAACACCAGGCGAATAGACAGCCATTCCTTGCTTCCACCTTGGGGTGAGTCCTCTGCTATTGTATCTACAGTAAACAGTTAAAACATGAAAGTGGTTATGTCGCAGATGATATAGAGTGTACGCTGGATGTAGTCTTCACCAAGTTTATGGATCAATATTACAGTGATAGATTGTTTCACAGATGGTGTGTGACAAGTGGGAGCTATGATTGTGTGCCTTGACAATGTTGCTATGTGTTCGCTCATACTCGGTCCATATGCTAGACGGGATCCATCCACATCCGCTGGGATATTCACTTTCCATCAACTCTGTTGTTATTTGTTTAAACCCCTGTGTTGTTCCACTGACTTCAAAATGACGGGGATGGGATATGAATCTCAGAAACCTTGAGCAAGGGTGTATTTAAAGCAGCAAAACCTGCGGCTTGCCTCTGGATTCAAGAACGATAGCTGCGACATGGACAACCCCAACCATCGTCACTATACCACAACATGATCTGTGGGTAATGTGCTTGCGTTGCTGGCAGAGGTGTTCATTGCCAATGGAAGTAGTAAAATATTCTGTGAATGTGGTTTGAGCACAATATGTAATGTTGCTGGGTGGCAAAACTTCTCTGCATTCACTGTACTTTACACAAAGAGCAGGTGAAACCAGTGAATGCACAGAGATTTGACAATAAACTGTGGGGACATTGGCTGACACGTAAAGCAGACTACAGGTTTCATTGAGCATAAGTTCGCTTCTACAGCCAGTGATATGCGATGTAAAGAATCACGTAGTATTCTGAAATACTAGTGTGAGTGCAAAGCACTCACTTCTGTATATATAGAACAACCATGAGCATGGATGTATTTATGTAGTAATATTCTTCTATATTGAAGATGATTGTGAACATTGAGAGGGCACAAATCCTGCGGGAAACCGCAGGTTTTGTCTGTGACTATCCTGCAGCTCATCTATTGTGAAAATGTGCGGTTGACCGCAGGTTGTGAGTGCACCATGATATCTTATCAGCTTTGTACGGCACAAAGCCACCATGTCTGGCCCCCCTTAGGTCAAGGAAAAACCTGCCATAACCCCCATTAGGGCAAGGAAAAAGCCTGCCCTTACCCCCTTAGGGCAAGACGTATGGCGTCTAAGCTTGCCCTAAGGTATTTGGCGTGGGGCCCTAACGCAAATGGGTTCTTGAAAAACCCCCTTCTATAACCAATTGGCAATCTACCTATTGGAAATAGCTGAGTCAATCCCCGATCGGACATACATATCCCGGTCGGACATGCTGACTGCGACGTACGAGAATAGCGAGCGAATGAGATCGTTGCGATTACGGTAAGTAAGACCGTGACCTGATCCATTTGCAAGTATTAGTACACCAACTGACATACTCGAATATAGGCCTGATGAGACTGCATAAAGTCGAAAGGTCTCTGGAGGGGAAACCCCCAGATCTTGCCACTTTTCGAGTGCACTCTCTTCATCCGTAGCCGCAACGCTCCTCCGCTCGCTCCGCTCGCTACGTCGCTCGCGTCTACTCCCCCCCAGCCACTGCATGCATGCGTGATAGCAAGTGATCTGAGGACGACGAAAATTCAACTCGGCAAGTGCTTTTCCCGACGTGCACCACCACCCACCAAACTGTCCAGGATCCTCTCGACATCGTCCTCCAACCATGGCTACGACCACAGTCCCTCATCCTTTGCTTGAGATGTCTACTCTCATCAATTCCATCGCAACTGTCACCAAAGCTTTGCCCTCGAGTGTACCGATCGGCAACGAAAACGACAAGATCTACATGGTGATGACCAAAACCCATGGCGAGACCGCTTGGGAGACCTTCAATCGCCGGTTCGACATACTCTTCGCAGAGGATTGCCGTGACCCAGCGACTGGGCGTCTTCATCACCTCCGTCGTGGGGCGTGCGGGCTCGACATCGTCATCAAGGACATACGTGTGCTCCTTGCTCAGCACCAAGATGAGCTTCAGTACGACGCGATGCGCATCAAGCTACAGAGATTACTCACCGAGGTTTCCCACCTGAGGTACGTCATCTTTTCTGCACACCTGGATATGTTGCTGGCGTCTGATCGAAACTCTCAGTGGAGTTTCGGTCGAGTCACAGGCCCCGGGCAAGATGAATTCAGAGTCGAACCCGCCGGGTGACAGGACATTGGGCTGTGAGGTTGGTGAGGGCAGCTCCACTGCTTCAACTGGTTTCCCGAAGGGTGTCGGGACGGATGCGCTCGCCGCGCTGGCAGAAAAGATCCTGGCGCCGAAGGTTAAGAAGTCTGGTACCAAAAAGAAGCGCACACGCACCGGTGCCACTGGCTCCTCAAGCACTGGACCTGGTCGAAAGGGAGCACAGAATATAAAGTGTGAGTCGTAATATTTTCTAGCGGGTAGTATCCCCCGGGTCGTTCAGGACCCACCTGGTATACCCTCACCCGGGATACCGTTACCCATGTAGCACGGGTGAGGGCACAGGTTGGGTCGTGCAAAAGTTGCAAAGTTGGGGATGTGTTGAGCGCATTGACTTGCTGCGATGTGTCGCGCGCGTGGGCCTGATGAGCTGCTGAAGTTGTGCGCATTGAGTGCGGTGAGTTGCGCAGTCGTATGCATTGAGCAGGGTGATTCGCGCGCATTGAGCATGGCGATTTGCGCGCGCATTGAGAGGGGCGGTTCGCGCGTGCATTGAGACTCGAGAGGGGCGATTCGCGCGCGTTGAGCGTGGCGAGTCGCGTGCATTGAGCGTGACGAGTCGCGCGCATTGAGCGTGGCGATTCGCGCGCGCATTGAGAGGGGCAGTTCGCGCGCGCATTGAGAGGGGCGGTTCGCGCGCGTTGAGTGTGGCGAGTCGCGCGCATTGAGCGTGGCGAGTTGGGCGCATTGAGCGTGCAGCAACGGTGCCAAGCCGCACGCGTCACCTGTAGGCTGTGTGACTCCTCAGAGCTGCTCTTGGTCCCAAGACTGCTCAGAACATCTGCTTACAAGTAATACCACATTCTAGCAACGACGGCTAGTCTACTCACAGACATGAGTGAGGTGAACGACAACAATCCAACGGACAAGACATACCAGCTTCCAGCAAAGACTCGGTCAAAGCACACCTCCAGAAAGCATAAAGTCCACAACATTGACGGCGAGACCACTGATGACTGTGATTCGAGTCGGGACGAAAGCCAGTCAGATACTTCAAGTGACTCCATTGAAGAGGTTGTGAGCGGCCCGAAAGGGAAGCAGCCTGCCACCACTTCACATAGCAAGAGGCGGCGGCGATCTTCTTCTGGCAGATACAAACGACCAAAAGTGAGTAAACCATTCTGATAGGTGGTGTAATATACGACTTACGTTGATGGTATAGCGATCACGGCGTGGCAACAACTCTAGTGAGGTGGTCGAGATCTCCGATGGTGAGGGTGCATTGCACGCGGTCGAGATCGAAGAAGCAGAGAAGGCCGAGACACGCGGCCAGCAGCGGGGTCCGAAGAACCGTTCAATCGTGCATTGGAGTGTGGCGAGACCGACGAACGACCCCCACAAGGGTCTCAGATGGACGTTTACATGTCGCCATTGCAATGCGTGAGTGGCATACCGTTGCCGGTTTAAACGCATGTCACCAAACCACGGCTGACACGTAAAATTATGATCAGTGTTCGCTCTTTCACTCGGACTATCAAGGGAGACGACGCACTCTGGGAAGATGAGCCTCGCAAGCCATCGCTGGCGAATCTGGCTTCACATCTGAAGCAGGATCATCCAGCAGTGCTTCAGGGTGATGCGGAGACCAACTCATACCTGGCTGGGAACGGCACAAAGACCAACTTGACTGCTGGAGGCTCGAAGGATGGCTCCTTCTACAACCGGGAGGACGTGAAGGCCTTCGAGGGGTACATGCACGGTGGTCCATTTGACCCGAACGGCTCGGCTACGCAGCAGGGATTCACAACCGTGATCGCAGGATGGTTGCTGTACGAAGACTTACCTTTCACCACTGCCGAAGCAACCTCCTTCAAGAGCTTGATGCATTACTGCCGGATCCGATTCTTGCTTCCCTCCGACAAGACCGTCCGCACCGAGGTGAAGCGTATCTTCAAGTACTTGCACACCGTCGTTGTTCGAGAGCTTTCGGTGAGTGAACCAGGTCTTTGAGAGCGCATTTCCGACGCTGAGCAGCTCTGCTTAGCGTGTCAAATCTCGTATTTCATTCTCGACAGACACATGGACAAACAAGCAGATGATACATACCTTTGGTGCCGCCCTTGCTCACTTCATTGACGATGACTGGAACCTGATAGAACGAGTCGTCAACTTCTACAATGTGGGAGAGGATGAACACGAGGGAAAGGCGAGTGCGCGGGCGTTCGTTAGAGCCGTGGCGGCACGAGGCGGGCTGAGAAAGATAAGTTTTGGAGCAAGTCTTCACGAATCGTCAGTGGCTGACGATACAACCGGGTGCATTCACCTCATAGCACTAACCGGAGACAACGTCGCAGCAAATGACGTTCTCGCTAGAGAGCTGATGCGACTGCTCCTTGAACGCTATGATGGAGCAGTCCACTTCCATCCCGACAATGGCCGAATCCACTGCTTTGCACATGTGGTCAACCTCGTCGTCCAGAAGGTGATACACGACCTTCTGAATGCATGTACCCCACCAGCCGAGGGTGGAGAGCCCCAATTCGCGGACCCCGACAAGAAAGACTACTACAAGGAGCTGCACAAGCACTTGCCTTTCCATTACGACCCTCCCGATGACGAGTTTGCAGATGACCGGGATTTGGAGGACGAGATAGACACTGAGATGCCGGAGTTTTCAGATGCCGAGATGAGGGTGTTGGAAGCTGAAGAGGCTGAGCTCGATAAGAAGGTTGAGTCGAAGGAGGTGAGCGAGATGTATAGGAAGGTGTCCAATTTCAGTGCAAAGAATGCGCTGGAGAAGGTGAGTGCGCGTCCGATCACCTCTGCGCTTTGCCGTTTGGCCTGGGAATGCTGACTAGCACCTCGCCTACAGCTCCGATTCATCTGCACGAAGATCACTTCCTCCCCTCAACGCCGTGCTCTCTTTCGGCGCATCACCTGTACCCTCTATCCTGACAATACACCTGCACATGTCCGACTCCGCCGCCTTATGGTTATCCGTGATGTCAACACTCGTTGGAACTCGATGCGTGAGATGACTCATTGTGCTAGGGAGCTTCGAGAGGTGCGACTTGTGCTGACTCGCTGCCTCCATGCATACTACACACACTGACTGTGAATTGAGTCAGGCTATCGACAATTGGGTGGAGAAGGAGAAGGCCTTTAGAGTGCTGACCCTTCTGCCTGAGGAATGGGATCTTATCAAGGAGTTAGACGAGCTGCTTTCGGTAAGTTACTCCTCTCGAAAGACAATTTTCGGCCGTGAGCATGCCATGTTTGACATGTTGGCACTGTGGCAGATCTTCACCACCGTCACCAAGGAGGTCTCATACAAGAATCGACCTACACTCCCTCTCGTCATCCCGCTCTATCGCCAGATGAAAAAGGAGCTCACGGACTACATGAACAACCCCAACGTCTCGCCTGCATTGCGCGCTGGTGCCCGAGGAGGACTCGAGAAGCTGAACAAGTACTTCAGGCTCGCTCTAGAGTCCCACTACACGGTTCTTGCATGCGGTGAGCACTCCATCTCCTAAATCCTGTGAAAACACGGTATTGTCTGGCCCGCACTGCGTGTGGCTCGTTGCCGCGCCCGCACGCGACGTGTACAGCTCGTTGCGCATGATGTGTCCGACACTGGCTCGTTGCGCGCGATGCGTCCGGCTCATTGCGCGCGATGCGTCCAGCTCGTTGCGCGCGATGCGTCCGGCTCATTGCGCGCGATGCGTCCAGCTCGTTGCGCGCGATGCGTCCGGCTCGTTTCGCGCGATGCGTGCGATGAGTCCGGCTCGTTTCGTGTGATACGTCCAGCGAGTCGTTTCGCGCAATGCGTCCGGCTCGTTTCACGCGATGCGTCCGGCTCGTTTCGCGCGATCCGTGCAGCTTATCGCGCGCGACGTGGGGTGCGGCTCACGACACACCCGGCACCGTGCATGCAGCGGCGTGGCACCACGCGCCATGGCCCGCGACGCGCGTGGCTCACCCCAGGCGTGATCCAGCTGCTGCCCACGTCGCGCGATGCGTGCAGCGCGCAACATGGGCAGCAGCTGGATCATCCAATTCACAACCCGTGCAGCTTATCGTGCGCCGTTTAGATGTGTGCAGCTCGTCGCAGTGCCAACTCAGCACGACCAGGCTCGGAGCGAATTGAACCAGGGCTGATGCGATGCTTCTGTTTAGTTCTCCATCCTTCCCTCCGTCTCAGGTACCTAGAATCAGCATTCAAAGGAGAAGATGTTGCGGAGAAAGCTCGCACCATGCTCGAGCATGTCTTCAAGGAGTATGCCAAGACCTACGAGCCACCTGTCGCCTCGTCTGCCCCTCCGAAGTCTCGCTCTGAGCAGCCCTCGAGCTTCCTGCACAAAGCACTGGCATTTGAAGAGCCCGATGACGAGAACGAGAACCTGGATACTGACAAACCTCCCCCGGAGGACAACGTTCTCTCGGAGCTCACTCGCTATCTCAAGAACGAGGGTGGCAAGGCTGATGACGATGACGGAGTGTTGAGATGGTGGAAGGTGAGCCAGCGAGGCCTCTTTTAATTGGGGTCATCCGTCTGAGGTTTGATTTGTGTCTTAGGCCCATGAGGGATCTTTCCCAATTCTTTCACGCATTGCTCGGGATGTGCTCGCCATTCCCGCCACGAGTGTGGCTGCCGAGAGGTTGTTCTCATCGTCTCGTCACCTCTGTACAGACCACCGAGCTTCACTGTCACCAGAGACCATCACTGAGTCCATGTGCGCTAAACACTGGATTCGCGATGGTCTGTTTGACTTCCGCAATCCGCCGAAGTTCTGGTGAACCGTGGCATCGTCGTACGAACGCAGTATGCTGCGCGCTTGGGATTCCACTCTGTCTCCTACTAGCCGCACAGCTATATGGCTGTGGTGTATGTAATATGATATGTTCATTCTGTATTCTGTAGTGCATGTGTATCCTTCGCAAGGTTGAGTATCCAGCGGCGAGCCCAGATGTTTTCGGAGGACAGAGCCTCGCACCAGCCTGACGCGCGCTAACACCGGTGGGCACACGTGCCTATGAATTGGCTATACAATGTTTATAAACCGTGTATAGTCCGTACACTGTTTACTCATTATATAAACCTTGACCTGTAAAGGTAATCTAAATAGTTCGAGCCTTAGCGGTCCAGGACCGCGCTCTCCGCGCGAGGCCCACTGGTCACGTGTCCAGTTGCCTGCTGCTGCACGGCTGCGGTCCAGGACCGCACTCGGGCTCCGTGCGAGGTCAACTGATCACATGATCAATGGTCCTCGCGCGCAGAGCGAGGTCCAGGACCGCGGCCGTGCAGCAGCGGGCAACAGGACACGTGACATGTGAGCCCTGCGCGGAGTCCGACCGCGGTCCTGGACCGCGCTCTCCGCGCGAGAGCCGCTGATCACGTGTTCTGTTGTTCCCTGCAGCGCAGCCGCGGTCCTGGACCGTGCTTCGACTCCATGCAAGGCCCACACATCATGTGTCCTGTTGTGTCTTTCTGGCTGTCCTCTTTTGGCAATCACCACTCTCCCCCTTGCATCTTGCAGGTGCTCCTTCTCTTTCCTCTTTTAGTAATATGTGCAATATCCTCTCCCTGTGCTTTCCTATTATAGTAATGTGTGCATTCACTGTCCTCCACTGTGTGCCCTGTCCTTCACCTGTTTTCCTTTTATAGTAATTACTCTGTGTACTCATTCCAGGGCGCGTCACTGGGCGCTTATTTGGCGAACCACTGACCCTGGAGCTCTTCTATATAACCTAAGCGTCCAGCCGCGTGAATTCGTCGCGCTGGGCACGATAGAACGGGGAAAACGACGACTTTCGAGCGCAACAAGAACGAAGAGCGTACCATGAAAAGTGGCGGAGATACGTCAAGGTCTTCCATCCCCTAGCCTCCCTGGGCGACTCTTCGGGGTCCGGACAGCTGTGTGGCGAGTTCGGGGCGTATCGACGTGTTGGAGGTATCAATAGAAAGGGGAAGACAAGACGGGTCGAAAGAGACCAAGATCGCGGCGAACGGATGGTGAGAAGGGGATGGATTACATGAGGAGTGGGTGGGCATACCTGACTGCCCAGCTGGATTGTGCGCGGGCATCCACACGCATTCCCACGTCATCTTGGCGAGTGCGCGAACCATCGTGCACATGGAACGTGGGTGTTTGCACAGTATAGTTGTCATCTGCGCGATGCTTCGCGCACATGCGAACCATCGCACACACTACACCCTACACTCCACCATGTGCGCGAACCATCGCGCACATGGCAACTATGCTGTTCAAAGTACCACGGTCCATGTGCGCGATGGTTCGCGCACATGTCAGCGGATGCAACATCGAATGTGTGCGATGGATCACAGACATTACAACTACGCTTCATCATGTGCGCGAACCATCGCGCACATGACAACTATGCTGTTCAAAGCACCATGGTCCATGTGCGCGATGGTTCGCGCACTGTGCAGATGGGCGCTAGTTCTATCCCTCCTCTTGTTCTTACCCTGCTCCCCTTAGAAAAACCCCTCCTCTATGTGCGCGAACCATCGCGCAGATGACAACTATGCTGTGCAAACACCCATGTTACATGTGTGCGATGGTTCGCGCACATTACACCCTACATTCCACCATGTGCGCGATGGTTTGCGCACATTACAACTATGCTCCATGTGCGCGATGGATCGCAGACACTGTCTACGGATGTGCGCGCACCATCGCGCACATGGCAACTATGCTGTGTGAGGCACCCACAGTCCATGTGCGCGCCCTTTTGGGTGGGCGCTAGTTCTACCCCTCATGAAGTTGTTACCCTCCGGACCTTAAAAAAAGGCCTCTCTTATGTAGTGTTAGTGTTCGTAGGGCCGATTCGGGGGACCTTTGCAAGCAGAGCGCAGTTGTTAAACCCCCTCCCAGTGACCCGTGGTGAGGTATGTGGAGGCAGATGTTAAGACAGCCCGTTCGGCACCCCCCCAACAGTTCACTCTGCAAGCAACGGCCGTCTGTCTACGCGTCACTCAGACACTTATTTACTGCCCTAGAGTACCGTGCAGCTGTGAATCCGCTTAGCCCTGCGGTCCGGGCGGTCGTAAGCTTCAAGTTATGATACGGCTTCACCTGTAGCGGGCGCTGACATCTGTACTTTGGTCTTACTTTTAAAACCTCTAAAAGCCCTATCGGTAGACGTTTTAGAGGTTTTAGTGAAGTTAGATGTTTAGTGGAGATAGAACAGATTTTGTAGAGAGGTTAGAGGTCTTAAATGAGTTAGAGGTACTTAGAACTTGTTTGGTTATGTTCAGAGCTGCTAATGAGCGCACACTCCGGCTCAATTGTGGGTCAACCCACAGATCCACACACAAGATGTAGCTTTAGAGAAAATATATTGATTGTATTTCATTAACAAGAGTACTACAGGGACATGAACGAGCATGGGTGGGCGAAACCGTGGTTGGTGACGTGGGCGGGTGTGCACTAATGCGAGGCGCGCGGGCGAGGGCCCTGACGTGGGTGCAGGGGGGTGACAGGGCACAAGCCGAAGGGCACAGAGGAGGGAGAGAGGTTGGACGACGTGGACGAGATTGGCGAGACGCAGGTGAGATGCGGGCGAAGTGAGTGAGGCGGGAGGTGGTGGGCAAGGGCGAGGTGGGTGAAGACGAGGTAGCAACGCGGCGTGGCGGCGAGGTGGGCGTGGGGGCAGCACAGGCGGAGTGGGTGACGTGGGGGAGGTGGGCGAGGGTGAGACGTGGTGGAGGATGAGGGCGACACGGGGGAGGGTGATGCAGGTGGCGAGACGACGGCGGTGCAGGCTGGCCGCGGGACACGGGAAACCCAGGGGAGGCAGAGGATGTGGGTGCCGGGCGATACAGGCGAGTGCAAGACGGCGGCGGCGGCGGGGCGCGTCGACGCAGCGGCGAGACGGGGACGACGCGAGGCGGAGCTGAGGGACCTGGATGCAGGAGGGAGGGCCGGGATGAGGCGGATGAGGCAGAGGACGAGGGTTAGGTGGGCGAGGACGCAGGGAGCAGAGGGGACAACTCACCGAAGGAGATCAGGGTTGCGGGAGCTCACCGCAACCCCAGCAATCATGTCTCCATACAGACGTCGGGGTGGAAGTCCCGAATCCTCCGCGTGTTGTGAGCATCGAGGGGGACAGCCGGTCGGGTGCGCGACCGACTAGGGGGGCAAGGCGGAGGATTGTGGGGGCACTGGATGAATGCGCACCCCGCGCGTTTGATAGGACGAGGAGCGGGGGGTGGAGGGCGCGAGGGCGACGCGTGGAGGGCTCGAAAAGGGTCAGCAGGGGACCAACTTCGCCGCCAGAACCTGGGAGGGAGAGGTGACACGGGGAGCAGGGGGGCGGGAGGAACTCACCAGAGGAAATCGGGACCGTGGGGGCTCACCGCTACCCCACAGGACGTCTGCGCGCGGAAGCGCGATGACCCCGCGTGCATGAAGGGCGGGCGACGCGAGGCAGGCAAGGGACATGGGCGATGCGAAAGGCGAAGTGGGCGACGCGGGTGGGCGAGGGCGTGGTGGGCGACGCGGGTGAGGGCGGTGGGCGAGGGCGCCGCAGGTGACGCGGGAACAACTCGGGCGAGGTGGGAGGCGGGAGGTGGGCGATGTGCAACACGGCAGCAATGGCGGCACAACACGACTGTGCCGGTGGAGTACCACCACCCGCACGCCCGTTGGGACGTGCTCGTCATAGGGACGGGGTCAGCGGCGCAGCCGGAGCCTGGGGAGGTGGTGGGCGAACAGGGAAGTGCAAGAGGGCAGAACAGGAGACTCACCAAGATCAAAGCAGCCGCAACAACTCGTCGAGGAAGCGATGGGCGATGGGCGCGTTCGGGTGCTCCTTGAAGACGTTGCGCCGGAAGGAAAAGACGAGGAGGACGGGGAGGACAGGGAGGACGGGGAGGGGGAGGACAGGCAGCGCGGTCAGAGCGACGTGCTGGCAACGCCGGACGCGTGGGAATCGACGCACGTTGCGTGGACCTCTAGTGCTTGGCACTGCCAGCAGCGTGCTCCTCGAGCCTCGTCGTCACCCCAATCCCCTCCGCCCGTCTCCCGTCCTCGTCGCCCCGACGCTAATCCTCGCCCCGTATTTTCTCTTTGCCCCACGTCGTCTGATCCTCCGTCTACCCAGCGCCATCGCGCTCGCGCTCGCGGCCTCCTCTGGTGAGTACTCATGTATGTAAGTTCTCCTCCTCCTCCTCCTCCTCCTCCTCTGCTCCCGCGTCCCCTTCCCCTCCCAGGTTCCGGTCGCGCCCACAACGCCCTTGCCCGTCTCGCGCTCGTCCACGTCGGGCTCGTCTGCGTTGTCCGCGTTGCCGCCCTCTCCGCCTCGCCCTCGCCCATCTTGCCCCCACATCGCCCGCATCGCTCACACGCCGTCCCTTGCACTCGCAGCCCCACGCATCGCCTACCGTCCCCCGCCTGCCCCGCGTCGCCGGATCCTCCATTCACGCGGCATCATCGCACTCATGCGCGCGGCCGTTCTGTGGGATTGCAGTGACCCCAGTTGAGTACTCCCCTGCCCCCTCTGCTCCCCGCATCCCCCAACCTCTGCTGACCCGCTCTCTCATCCCCACCCTCGCCCATGTTGCTCGCCACCTCGCCCCGTCGCCCACTGCGCTCTCTTGCCCCCATATCTCCTGCGTTGCCCAACCACGGCGTCCGCGTTGTCCACGCCTCCGCCCTCCCGTGCCCTCCCGCCTTCACGCCCTCGCCCGCGTCGCCCGTCTCGCCCTCGCCCACCTCACCTGCGTCGCCCCCGTCGCCATTACTGCCCCCATGTCTTCTGGGTCGCCCTCCGCGCCCTCGTCCGCGTCGTCCTCCCCCACCTTGCCACCCTCACACCATCCACCCCTGCACCCTCCACGTCCTCCACCCCGGCGTCGTTTACCCCCGCGTTCTCCGCCCTCCACATTCCGTGTTTCCCCGCCCTCGTCTTCGCCCACCGCACCCTCGCCCACCGTGTCCTTCCGCCGTCCGTCCTCCGCGTCCTCGTCCTTCCACCCGCGCCCTCACGCCCTCACCCTGTGGCCACCGCGTCGCCCTTGCCCACATCGCCCATGTCGCCCACGTCGTCTCACGCGCCCACCACGTTCTCACCCGCGTGTCGCGCCGCGCCGACCGCGTCGCGCCCACGTCGACCGACTGCCTTACCTCCATCCATCTCCCTTGTCATCCTCATCCGCATCGTGTACCTCGCCCGCATCGTCCGCGACGCCCGCGTCTTACCCTCGTTGGCGGTCTTGGCCTGCGTCTCGCACCTCGACCCTGCGTCACCCACCTTGCGCCCGCGTAGCCCTCATCTGGTGCGCCCGCGCCCACACGCTTCACACCTGCGTCAACCACCTTGCCCACTACGCCCACGTCTCCCGCATCACGCCCACATCCCCGCCTCGTCCGCCTCTTGCCCCGTCCGTCTTAACTCTCGCCCCGCTCTCCCGTCTCGCCTCCTCGTCTCACCCCCGCGTCGCCCACACCCGCCTCACCCTCTCCGCCTCGCCGTGTCGTCGTCGTCCATGCCCGCATCACACCCGCATCATCTACTGTACCCCTTCGTCGCCCTCGCCGTGTCGCCGACCTCGCATTCTTCGTGTCATCCTCAGCTCCCTGTGCGTTGTCCACGCCCTGCACGCTCTGCATCACCTGCCCTCTGCGTTGCCTGCGCTCTCCACATCACCCGCCCTCCGCATCGCCCTGGGCCCTCCGCGTCATCCGCCCTCCATGCGCCTCGTATTTCGGAGTCATAACATCGCGCCTGAGTGCTCTGTCTCACGGCGCCCTCACACCTCACACACCTTGCACATCGTGGGCGTGCCCCTTGTGCCGTTGTGCCTGTGGCACAGTGTCCCTGTGTACTTATTTTGTGTAATATATCGCCTTGACACCAATATATTTCGTCCTTACCACATGAGAATCACCACTTCTCTAAGTCGTCTTAAGACCTCTATAACCTTCAATAGTTCTAACAAGTTCTAAGGATCTCTAACAATCTCTAAAAAAAACTTAGAGGTTTTAGAGGTTTTAGAAGTAGGACCAAAGTACAGATGGAGCGCGGGAATCTTCCGGGCGAAGCGCACGAAAGGTGGTGGTAAACGTACCAACTTGAAGCTGGGGTGCGTCCCCAGCTCCTGTGGCGTATATATAGGTAGATCAACTACTGTACAGTACCACGAGGAGAATACAAAGGCCGCGATGATGCACGCGCGAGTGGCTGCTCGCGCGTGCTGCCCTTGGCTTGGGCGTGATAATCTACGCGAGACGGTCCGTGAGCGCTCCGAGCGCGCGATGGTCTAGGCGCGCAAAGTGACCGTAACACTCCCGCTATCCTGAAGAGTGTTTGTCGCAATTGTGGTCTCCCCATCTCCTTGGAATACCCTCAGAGGGGTCGCTTGGTGTCGTCTGCGTGCCATGATGCGTCTCTACTGTGGCTGCTGCACGAATCTCGCTGTCTACGTCCGATGATGAGGATTCCGACAGCGATTTGACTAAGGATGGGGACTGGTAGGGCTATTCTCCGCAGCACTAGACCTTCATTACATTTCGAATTAGTTACATGTTACTTACACGTGTTACAAATGGCGTCTGAGGGTCGGTTTGTTAGTAACATATGTTACAGACGGCCTGGAATATGTAGTCGAACCCTAGTCTTGGCGGCGGTAAGGACGCATTCAATGCAAGATGACGAGTGAAGACGTAGTAGCAAATCGCGTGCGGAACGGATGGGAGACGCCGCCGTGGTGATCAAAATCATCGCCAGAGTCGAGGAGGGTGCAGATGGTGTGGACGGCGATGATGTCGCGACTGTCGCGAGCGAGGGACTGGGCGTACCTGCACGCGCGAAGGTGCGTCTGAAAGGCCTTGACTATGGTAAGAGAACGAACCCGGCCGCGTCGCAAACGGGCTCGGAACCGTCGGGGGACGAGGGCATCAAGTTGGCGGTGGGATGGGTGCTCTTCTGTCGCAGAAGACGACGTGCAGCGGGACGATGGCGGGGCGGATCTCTTTCACAAACCACCAACCCTGGAGCTCTTCTATATAACCTAAGTACTACAGCGGATGATCCATCATCGGAGCAGGCATTCGGGGGGATCCGCCACACAGTTGTGTCTATGATCGTGAAGGTTTGTGCGTGCATATATTACTTGTGATGTCCAAAGACAAGATGAGTGTGCATTGGACGGGACGTGTGCGGAGTATGTAATGCTACGAAAACAAGTGATGTGCTGGCGGCTACAGGGTGGTCTAAGATCATACACGGGAGCGGCGCTCTCTCGTACTGCACTGGGAAGGGCAGACGACGCCGCGCGCGCGCACCAGGCGCGAGGCGAGGGCGAACACAGGGTCAGGCGGGACGGCGAGGGGTCGTCTACGTCTTCGTTTTGCCCGTCGACTTGCTGAACAGTTTCGCCTTCTCGAGCGCCGCCATACCTGCGGAAGTGTGAACATCGACAGACGAAGACAAGGGGAAGGCAGACACGCACTGTTCTTGACGAGGAGCTTCTTGTAGTCTACGATCGTGATGTCCTCCTTCGTCAGGTTCTTGATCTTCCGATTCTTAACTTCCCACAGTTCCTCGGCCACTTGCGAGATCAGCCCTGAGAGGTGTCGTCAGCGTGGGGGCCAGAGGAAGAGAAGAGCGAACTCACGGAAGTCGTGCGAGACGATGACGACGCCACCCTCGTACTCCTTGATCGCGCGCGCGAGCGCATCGATAGACGCCATGTCCAAATGGTTCGTCGGCTCGTCGAGCAGGAGGATGTGCGGGTGCTCCATCGCCAGCTGCGCGAACACGACACTGGGGTTCCTTGTCAACCTCCTTCCGGTTCCGCAACCGCGCACGATAGACTCACCGATTCCGGAGACCGTCTGAGAGCTGCTTGATGGGCGACGTCTGGTGCGCGCCCGAGAGACCGAACCGGCCGAGCTGCGCGCGCCACGCCTGCAAGTCCTTCTCCGGGAACTTCTCGTGGTAGAGGGACTGGAGGTTCTCGATCGGGCTCTTCTCGTAAGGGAGCTGGTCCGCCGAGTGCTGCGAGTACTTGGCGAGCTTGAGCCCGACGTGGCGCGAGATCGTGCCCGCTGACGGCTGCAGCTGGCCGGTGATCATGTTGAGCAGCGTCGACTTGCCCGTCCCGTTCTGCCCGACGATGGCGATGCGCGAGTCCATGCTGATGACCGCGCGGATAAGAACGCATAAAGCGGGGAGAGGGGAGACGACTCACTCGATACCGAAGGAGAGGTCCTTGTAGAGATAGTCCTCTGGCTTGCCCGAGTACGAGAACGCGACCTCGTTGAACGCGAGGATCGGCGGGGGGAGCTTCGAAACGTCCTCGAAGTTGAATCGGAGGGGCTTCACCAGTTCGATCTTCTCGATCAGCCCGGCGGCCTCCATCTTGTCGATGATCTTCTGCTTCGACTTGGCCTGCTTCACGAGGTTCGCGTACGTACCGGCCGAGGCGATGAACCTAATGCGCAGGCGGGGTCAGCAAACCGAGGTCAAGGAGGCAAGAGGGACGCACTTCTTGATGTGCGCGATTTCCTCCTGCTGCTTCGCGTACGCCTTCATCTGGTTCACCTCGTTCTCGGTCTTGGTGCGGACGTAGGTCGAGTAGTTGCCGCCGTAGTAGACGAGCTTCTTCTTGGGCGTGAGGTCCATGATGTTCGTGCAGACGGTGTCCATGAAGTCCTGTGAGTGCGAGGTGATGACGAGGATGTGGTTGTACATGGACAGATACGCCTCGAGCCAGACCACGGCCTCGAGGTCCAGGTGGTTCGTCGGCTCGTCGAGGAGGAGGAGGTGGGGCTTGACGAAGAGCGCGCGGGCGAGGGCGACGCGCATCCGCCATCCACCGGACATGTCCTTGGTCGGCTTGGCCATCATCTGCTGGGAGAAGCCGAGACCGTGGAGAATGGAGCCAGCCTTGGCCTCGAAGGTGGAGGGGTCCATCTCCTCGAGCTCCTCGTAAAGTTGGTCGAGCTGGAGCTCGTCGACGTCGTCGGCGACGGAGAGGTCCTCGATGCGCTGTTCGAGCTTGGCGACCTTTTCCTTTGCTGAGGCGACGATGTAGTCGATCGCATTGACGTCTGAGGGCTCGGCCTCGCCGCGGACGAGGTGGATGTCGATATGTTCCGGGATGTCGATGTCGCGGTCGGCGATGGATTGGAGGAATGTCGACTGGCGACGGGGACGAGCGGTGATTTGGACGCTTGAGCAAATGGATGAGGGGGCTGGGGAGAGAGACTCACCTTTCCGGACCCGTTCTCGCCGAGGAGACCATACCGCTGGCCGTAGTTGAGGGAGACCTCGGCGCCCTCGATGAGGAGGCGGCCGTGGAAGGAGAGCGTGTACGAATCCATCTTGATGTCCCTGCCCTTGATGTCCGAGACGAGGACGCCGGCCGCACTCCTGCATTGAGCGCAAGGTGAGTGTGCAGCCGGTTGAGAGAGGAGAGGAAAGAGGGACGGACCGGTCGGTGGCGATCTGGAGCTTGGCCATCACGCTGAGGTCCTCCTGGCTCGTCGCAGCAGACATGCTCGTGATAGGGGTGTTGACGGAGCTGCCGTAGGCGGAGCCAGTCGGGGTCGAGGTCGAGGTCGACGCATCGGTGTCCTTGCTGCCCTTAACCTTTGCAGACTGCTTCGCAGCCTTCTCCGCGAGACGCTTTTGTTTTGAGGCGGACGGGGCCATCGTCGGTCGTGTAGCAGGTGGAAAGCGTGTTGGCGAGGACGGGGAGGATGGTGAACGAGGAGGAGGGATGAGGAGGAGGAGGAAGGGGTCGAGAGCGGGCGCCAGCGCGGAGATCGATGCATGTGCGCGATAAATTTCCGCTTAGATGAGCGATCGCCCACATCCGGCCTCTCGGCGCTTCCTCCGCGTATCTCCACCCGATCTCGCGTGGTTAACCCCGCGGTCCGCGTTCCCGCCTGGCAATGGCATTGCGTGAGGGCGGGCACGGTGCGCACACACTGCAGATCCCCGGGTTCTGCGCCGTTGGAAACAGGCAGCACCGAGCGGCGACCTGCGCGCTGCGCCGCGCGGCGCCAGGTTCTGATCTCATCTAATTAGCAAGCTCTCCCACACCGCCGCACACGGCGACAGCGAGGCCTTCATCCGCTTCTCCTCTTCTGCCTCTGCGTCCGCACCCACGCTGCCATCATGCCGTTGTCGCAAACTTTGCCCTATCGTGGTAGAGGCCCCCTCGGAGGCTTCTCTAGCAAAACGCGCGACGCGCACCCTAGCAGTGCCGTTCATCCAGGGCGGCGGCGAGCCTATCGCAACTTTATCGAACTCCCACAGGAACCCTCGCCTCGCTCTCCCTGCCTACCGTGGCCACCGTCACCGCCAAGCTCCGAGCGGAGGAGCCCTATTTCAAACCCCGCGGCCCTCGAGACTCGAGAGTCAACGATCACCGGATCCTCCGTAGCCGCAAGTGACGGTCTAGCAGGCAAATCCTCACCCGGCGCCAGGCCCACGTTCAGGGCCCCTGGTGAACTACCGGTCCGCGCACACCACAACAGAGCACGAAGCAGCAACTAGCCACACCACGAACCTGGCCTGAAACTTCACTCTCCCTCTCTCCACCTCAATCGCCGTATGCTACGAAGTCCACAAGTGCGCACCGCGCGGCGCGTGCGCAAACGCGTCTATTAGTTTTCGGGGCTCTACGGTCACGACAGATCGTACGTACGCATATGGGGAGGCTGGGCTGGAGCTAGGCAGGGATACACGACGGGGGGTCCGGCAGGGATATATACAGCCGCACGGCGGCGCGGACCCGGATCCACCCTCCCTACGTCAAATGCAAGGGGGAGGCCGCACACGGCCGCCGGAGGACCCGACGGGGCGGGGGCGGCGAAGGGGGCGATTAGCGAATGGTTGGGGGGAGGTAGTACGGTAAGTAGTAAGGCTAAGTACAGCGACGCGACAGGACGCGAGGGCGCGCGCAGCGGCGGGTTACTATACGACACGCGCCCGCGAGGGGCGCATTCCAACACATATACGTAGCAAGGGCCGATATCGAACAGAGGGCAGAGACGGAGAGCAGCGCATGGAGACTGTACAGTGTGGGCGCGGAACGCCATAAATATCCACGGGCCACACAGTGGGGGACGCGGCGCAGTGCGACGGAGGGAGCATTCGGTGGTACTAGACTAGGTGGACAGCGAGGAGTGAGCGCGTGCTTTTGTAACATATGTGACGTCGACAATATACTAAGAGAGCATACTATAAGTGATGTAGTACGATGAGGCAGGACAGCGACGACGAGGCTAACAGACAGGAGAGGGGAGAGAGCGTAACAAAGTCCCAACCGAGCGAGACGACGAGACGAAACGAGACAAGAGATCCGCGCCGCCCACGCGGCACATGACGAGCGCAGCCCGCTCGCGTCATCAGCAATCAGCCAAAATCACGCAGCGCAGTCTGCACTGACGAAGCATCAAATCCTCGCGGGTCCCGCCGACGTCGACTCGGCGATCACTGGACGAGCGGGTTCCGGAACTGCTGCGTCTCCGCCCGCCAGACCCCGCGCGCGACGTGCGCTGACGCGTGCCCATGCGGCGCGAGCACCTCTGACGGCTGCATGTACTGGTGCGTCGTCCCCGGCGGCGGCAGCGTCACCCGCGTTGGCTGGGGCTGGTGCAGCTCCAGGTACTGCTCCGCCTCAGGCGACGGCTCCCGTCCGTGCTGGCCGTGAGCGTGGGTTTGGTGGTGCGAGGGCGTGTAGTAACCCGTAGACGGGGCCGGTGGGGCTGCGAACGACCCTGACTGATGGGCGCTTGTCGACGCATGTGCGTTCCCGTACCCATACGATGCCGCCGGTTCCACAGGCGTAGGCAGCGAGTGCACGTGGCCGTGCGCGTGAGCTGAGGACGGCGGCGAGTGCGAGTGGCCCTGTGGAGGATACGAAAACGTGTGATGTTGCTCCGGGCGGCTCATCGGGGGCTGCATCGCCGCAGGTGCCTGCTGGTGGTGGTGATGGTGGTGCTGAGTTGGTTGAGGCGACGACTGGTAGCGCATAGGCGCGGGACCCGGAACTTGATCGCCACGCATAACACGCATGTCCTGGATCGGCGCGAGCACAGGCAGGGGCGAGTTGTACCGTTCCATGGCGCCGGCCCCGGGACCAGTTGTACTGACGCTCGACGGTGCAGAATGGTAGGACGAGTGTGCGGTGTTGTAGTTGAAGTGCGTCACAGGCAGTACCTGCGAGGGGGTTTCAGCACCGTGCGGATGCGTCGTGGTGAGCGCAGGAAGCGTCCGGTCGTAGGCGTGAGAGTGAGACTGCTCCTGGGAGTGTGACTGGGAGTGTGCTGGCGCCGACTGCGAGGAAGCTGGGTGCGCGTACCCTGCAGAAGCGAGCGAGTTGGACTCATACGAGTTGTAGACAATCGCCGGGGAGTGCTGAGCAGGAGTGACTGGGCTCAAGGACTCGGGGGGTGAGTCTGCGTAATTGCCCATCGACTGAGGCACATATCCGTAAGCCGGCGTTTGAGGATCGCTCGCAGCGGGCGAGGCCGGGTTGGTAGACGTGGGCGAGTGATGCTGAGGATTGGAAATATGCGCAATTGAGTGTCGATACGAGCTCTGGAGCTGCTGGGAGGGTGGCATGGGGACCGGAGAAGCAGAGGACGGCACGGCGGTAACGCTCTGACCCTGCCGGGGAGCAGGGGGATAAGCGTTGTAGTAGGACTGGCTGGGGTGGGCCGAGACCTGGACATGACCGTGGTGGTGGTAGCTCTCTGCCGGAGAAGGAGGCTCGGTGTAATGACCGGTGGTCGTCGCTGGTGAGACGGGAGAGTAGCGGTCGGATTCCGAGGGCGGGTAGGACTGCTCGCCCTGGGATTGATACGCTCCCCAGCGAGAGTCAGGCGGGCGTCCGAAAGTGGAAGGCGCGCGGCTGGCGTGCGAGGATGATGGGTAAGTGGAGTCCTCGGAGTGATAAGGGCCATAGGTGGGTTGGGGGGGCTCGAGGGAGGAGTGAGGGTAGGAGACCGGGGAGCGGTAGGTACCGTCTGGGGAGGAGCGGGAGGAGGTGGTAGGACCACGGTCGGTAGGGTAGGCGGACTGCTGGGGGTAGGCGGGCGCGGAATGCGGTGGTAGGGTGGGGTAGGCCTGGGTGAGAGGAGGGGGCGTGTCGGGGGGCTCTGGGATGCCCTGGAGCATGGGCGGCTGGCCGTACGCGGGGGTGAGCGGCGGAGGCTCAAGCGGGGGCTCGGGGATGGGCGGAGGGGGCGAAGGGTCGTCGGAGGGGATCCTGGAACGCCTTCGGGAGGAACGAGAGCGGTCGACGTTGCCAGCGCGGGTCATGGCGGCGCGGGTAGCGGAGCCGGAGTTCCTGCGGGAGCCGGGGGAGAGATGGATACGGTAACTGGGGAAAGGGGCGGATGAGTGATCGAACATAAGGGCCGGGCCGATCGCGACAAAAGGCAGGAGGGGTTCGTGTATGCGCGTAAAAGGGTCGCGTAGGATGGAGAGCGATCGGGAAACGGGTCGGGGCGACTGGCGGCTGGGGGAGGAGGATGGGGCGGAGTGTGGTTGGAAAACGAGAACTCACTGCTGCTGGAGGTTGTCCTGGCGAGAGCAGCGAGTCTCACAGCCGGGGAAAGGACACTTGTGGTTGCGTTCACCGGTGTGGATGCGGGTGTGGCGGGCGAGGTGCCCCGAGGTGGTGAAGGCGCGACTGCATATCTGACAGATGTGCTTCTTCTTCGGCTGGGACGGGCTGGAGGACGACTGGGCGGAGGGATTGGATGGGGAGTCGGCGTCGAAGGAAGATTGGGGAGAGAGGGTCGGGAGGGAGGGCTGGTCAGGGTCGTCAGAGGGATGAGGCATGGCGGGGTCGGCTAGGAGGAGCGCGGGGACGGGCGACGAAGCGGGGTGCTGGGACGAAAGGAGGGGTTTAGAAGAGGGAGGAGAGCATAGTCTGGGAAGAGCAAAGCGAGGGCGGACGAAGAGGAAGAGGAAGGGTGGCCGACGACTGGAGCAGGCGGCCAAGAGCCCGCGTCCTCGTCCCCAGGCGCCGGCAGGTTCAGGCGGAGTTTCGTTCCGCTCTGCTGGCCGGCATCTGCCTCTTTCGCTCGGAAGCAGATCCTCCAGAAGCCACACTCAATCTAGACGCCCGCCTCGCGCCAGGCGCCGTCCGCGAGAGACGGGCTCGCCCACGGACGGTCGTCGGGCTCGCCCAGGCGGCCGTCGAGCCCGCCTTCGTTCCCAGCGGGCTTACTGCGGGCCGCAGGCGAGCAGACGACGCGTCGCGCGTCGCGAGTCGCGGTTCGAAAAAGCTTCCGCGCGCACTACGCTTACGCCACGTGTGTGCTATCGCCACCGTCACCGCCCCCGCGCTCGCTCGGGCGTGACCGTCTAACCGGATGGGTGCCTTCTACGGCCGACATGCCCTCGCATCCTCCCAGGCCCTCAATTTTCCATCCAGACGGCAGGCTCTTGCGCCCGGGCTTCGCAGCCTCTCCGCGAGGCCTTATCTTCCGGTCAGCTGCTCCCCACGCCCCCGCCGTCTGCACTTCGCAGTATCGCTGCGGGCCCGGGGCGCCTGCCAGTGTCCTCGGGAAGATTGTCGATTTTGTGTCCCGACCCTGCACTCGACCCCGTCCTTCGTCAACAGTCAAATTCGCTCCCCTCGTCGCCCGTATGACCCACAGCTCGCCCTCCGCCCGCTCACATCTCTATCCAGATAGACCCACGGAAAGGCGCGTTGACCCGGGCTCCTCTTCCGTCATCCGCCGCCGGCTTCTGCTCATCTGCCGCTCGATCGATGCAACTTTATCGCCGGCCTTCTGTCTTTCGCGTACTCTGAATAGCCCCCGTGCGCGCTGCAGATCCCCCCTCTGCGCCCCAGCCACACAACGTCCCGCTTCAGCCTTGCGCCCCGCCAGCCGCGCCCGCGCCCGCGCCCTCGCCACCGCGCCAACGCACACAAGCACCCAAACTCTCCTCGCGGCCCTCTCGTCCGCCGTGGTCCGCGCACCCCGCGGCGCACGCTCTTCCCATCATGTGGCCCGTCCTGTCCCAGCCCGACCGCCTTCTTCTTCCGTGCCTCATCTCCATCCAGCTCTCCTCTCCTCCCACGTGTCGCGCCCGCAATTCTATACATGTCCCTATCCGCCGCCCGCCGCACCGCGCCCTTGCTGACCCGCTCAGCAGACTCCGCGCGACGCCCGTCGCCGCGTTCGGCGCGCCCGGTGGGGGCGCCCAATCCCTCGAACCGTCCAACATCTCAACAGAAGCTCCGGGGCCGGAATGTCGCACGGTGCTCGTTCCTCCCATCCATACTGACCCTCAAGGAGTACAGCCCGCTGGCCAGGACCCGCTCGACTACTGGACGACGGCACAAGAACCGGCCTGACTGAGGCACCATGCACGCCCGTCCGTCAGTACCCACACACAATTCTCCACAGGTTCCGTCGGGGCCAGGGTGGCGATAGAGTCGTACACGGCGCGCCTGACTGTTTCCATGCAGAATCTCATACATACTTGTCTCCTGCCCAGTCCTCCCACGGAGGTCAGCCTGACACGCGACGCCAGCCTTCCCAGCAGCCTCGCCCGATGCTGCTCATCCGAGCTCCGAGCAGTCTCTGTGCGTCTCCCATCCTCCTCGCTTTTCATCTCCCCCCCTCCGCAGATCTACCGAGCGCCGAAACACGCACGGAGCCGCTCCCGCTCGCACGTCAAGCGCGCGTGCGTCACAACGGCAGGAGGAGGCGTGCACCCAACCCCACCCCACCCAGCAGGCGACAATGCAGCAGGCCCGCCGCGTGCCCCGCCGCATGCCCCGCCGCGTGCGCAGGCACGCGTGCTTCGCGTCTTCCTTCCCCCTTTCAACTTTCCACGCCCGCCTCTCCTCAGCGCCCAGCCTGCTTCCTGGCGTCGTATGTGCATACGTGCCGCTTCGCCTTCCCGGCCGCGTGGCCAGACTAACCTTCTTTGCCTCAGGGCAAGCGTCCGCGCGCAGGTGCAAACCCACTTCACGCTCACCCTCGCGCGCGCGCCCTTGGTCGGCGGAGAACCCGAGCTTTGCGGTGGCGTGACGGGGAAGGCACCAACTTTACAATTAATGTAGAGTAGGAGACAGTACGGGCGAACGCAAGCACGGCGCGCAGACGTTGCGAATCTTTCGTGGCGCGCGCGTTTGGGTGCAGGTTCGAATCAATACTGCAAGCCCCCCGCAGCTTGGCAGCGCAGGTACCTCCGTCAGCATCGCTCAGCGTCCCGCGCCCGTGACCGGTTGACCGCGGACCTACGCCGCCCCGCCCTGGTTGGAACTTGGCCTCGCAGTCTGCCGGACCCCAGACCGGGGAGGGGGACGACGATGGGGAGAGAGGCGACGAGACCTGCGCACGCGCCCGTGCGAATCCGTTCCCGTCGGAGGCGCGCCGCGCGGCGCAAGTACTTACACCTGAACGTGAACCTGGAGCGCCTCCCCGCCCGCGGATGCCGACGACGATTAACACCGAAGCTGCGAACCGGACGCGGTCGTGCAGGGCCGAATGTCGAACTTTGTGCGGCCCTGACATGGACGTCACGTCGACCGGCCGCCGCCGCCGCCACGCACGGCGGCACGCCGGGTGCCTTCCAGTCGTTGACCGTCAGCGACCGCAGCCGAGAGGCGCAGGACTCCAGCTGCAGAGAGTCCGCGCCCCGGAGCCCGAAGCTCGACATTGATGTCGCCCCGACGCTGGATCTGTCCCGCGGACTTCCCGGCCTGGAGCTGGCGATCGCAGAGAAGTCCAGCCACCCCACTAGTGCCCGCAGCACGCGCGCGACCCATGTCCCCGTTCCGGCGGCGTCGACGACTTGGGCTCAAAGGCAAGGGACGAGCTCGATGGCGTGAGATAGGTCGCCAGCGCCCGCGGCCCGCGACGCTGCTCCTTCTTGATCCCGATAGAGTGAGATGGCATGGTCCTGGCAGGACTGCAGTGTATACGTACCGCACGCGCCGAGGGGAAAATGCTGGGACCACCGCGTCGACCCCCATCCTGTCACGATGAACTCTATATAGTACCCGCAAGGCTCGAACGCGGGCAGGGCTCGAGCCGCACTCAGCTCTGAGAGGGCGGGGGCGGGATGGTATCCGCGCCGCGTGCGAGACGGAACCTAGAGTCGCGTCCCCGCACTGGCGTGATGGACGCGGGAAGCGGAGGAAGAAGGGATGGGGTGGCCGTGGGCTCCCCGGCGCGATTACGCGTGCGCGAAGCCGGACAAGGGCGAGGGACATCGCCGTGGAGTGCGGAGAGGGGTAGGACGCACGGTCAGAGGGGGAGAGGAGGGTGATACGGTTTCGAGCCCGATCCCGGGGCCGAGGCTATCGGCAGTCGGGGGCAGCATGACGGGCGCGCGCAGCGCAGGGGTGGGTGGAGGGAAGCTCCCAAATGGTGTGGCATCGGGCCTGAAAACGTCCTACGGCCGACGACGCCCACTCCGCCCGCGGCCAGCGTGTAACGGGAGGGCGCCACGACCTTGACGGGCACACGTACTGTGCGTCTTCTGCGGACGAAGAGGAAAAAGTGGTCGGTCAACGAGCGCTACATAGTAAAAGGCGACAGCGAGGGGGTCCCGTAGAAGTTTGATAGGGACGTACCTCTGATGAGCAGCTCCACGCCACGGCTGCTGTTGCGAGAGTGGTACAACGCGGTGAGAGCGACGAACGACGAGTCCGCCGACGGCGCCGCCCGCGATGGCGGGGACGCGTGAGGCGGAAACTGCAGTGGACGGTGCGCTGGTCGGTAGAAGAGGGCAAGGAGAGCCGTAAGCGGTGCTGATTGGTTTTGATTGGTGTTGATGACGGTGTGCAGGAAGTGGCGGGTATGGTGAAGGCTGTCGTGGCTGTCGTTGAATCGAGCGGAGTGTACTGGCCAGAGGAAATAGAGCCAGAAGATGTTCGGCCTCGTCTCGCTCATGTTCGTGGTCGTGAGCTCGTGGTTGTCCTGGTAGAGCCGCCCGAGAAAAAATAAGGTCACGTTGGACTCGAAAGTCTCGGGTTGCATGAGCGGAGCGGTGAACCGGCGCCACGAGTTGCCGTCGATCGCATACTTTGTCGTGGGGACACCCATAACGTCCCAGGAGCCGACAGGGCCGACCACGCGCGTGCAAGATGCCAGGTAAGAGAAGACGCAAGCACCGTAGGCATAGTGAACAGCGGGACGCGCACCATTGATCAAACTTGAAAGTCGCCGTGAGTCCCTCGACTTTGGTACCGTGCTTCGTGATGGCGACCGCCCCGTGCGCCTCAGCCTCCCAGCCCTCTGAGCGGACAATGCTCGGGTCGGTGTCATTAAGAAGCACATGAGATAGCGACATTCGCCGTTGAGTGAGCAGGAGGCGGCGACAGCCGTATCTTACTGGGCAAACGCAGATCCGGTCCCTCGTGGAGACGATCCTCCACGGTGAGCGTGCTCGTACTCCATCAGCACCGGTGCATACATAGGACCTTTGCGCGAGCACTTGAGAGGCATATGGGAGGGGCGAGCGTACACGTGGAGGCCGGGCGTAAACCTGATGACGGGTGCGCGATGGGAATCAGTGCATGAGTTTGATACGGACCTGGGACGTTACCTCGAGGCCAGCTTGGCAGAATCGATGAAGAGGGTGATGCGAGACAGATCGTGGTACATAACAAAGACGCGAGAAAGCGGAAGGACGACATCGCTGATTGCGGTCGTGTTGGCGGTACCGGAGAAAGGCTTGCTGTGGGCGCTTATTCTCCGGGCCTTCCAGGTTCCAACGCTGGGTACCTGATAATGTTTTACTCGTCCGGTCCGGTGCCGTGTCTGAAGGAGTGTTCAGGAATGATCAGTGCCGTGTAAGGCTTTCACAAGTTGACAGGAAGCCTCCTGATTGGGAAATGTAGGTAGGTACGGAGTCGGAGAAGTAAGTAAGTATATACAGCAAGAATACGCCACGAATACAGAAGCCGTCCGATCATGGTGTTAATGCTGGGTGTAAGGAGGCGGGAGAATGACCGTACCCTCTCCCACGTGAGCCAATCTCACCCCCGAGTCGACTTCAGCGCGAGACATCAACGGCCCATCAGAGTACGCATCATCCGCATCAGACTGAGACCCATACACGGACGAAGACAGCGCTGCCCCTCCTGAACGCACCATCCGCTCTGAGGGGAAACCAACTGATGGCGTCTGATCTCGGAAAGGCGCGTGCGAGCCCGCGGTACTGGAGGACGCAGGAGTTGCTTCAGACGGACGAGAGACGGGGAGAGGGGAGGTAGCCGACTTCGACGGCCTGGTTGGCGCGGACGCGAACGCGCCGAACGGCCGCGGCTGCGACATGTCCTCGACTGCATCGCTGTGGTCAGCACTATCGTCGCGACGTCACACACAAACGAGAGCGACGTACCTAGGACCTCCCGACGATCCGGACGCGGAGTCCGACGTCTCCGGAGGAAGACGATGAGCACGACCATGATGGCGATGATGGCGATGCCGGCGACGACCCCTCCGGCGATAGCGCCCGTGTTCGTCGAGTGTGTGCTCGCTCCGACGGTTGCAGAATCGGCCCCCCTGGTAGTTTGAGAGGTTGGGCTATCACCTGTCGAGTTCATGGTCGAGGCTGGGACCTGGATGGACGTGCTCGTAAGGAATCCATCACTCCCGGTAGTGGTAATTCTTGTGGTGCTTGACGAAGTTGTCGAGGTTGACGTCGGTTGGGTTGTTGTTGCAGCTTCAGAATGCGAAGAAGGGGTGGAGGCCGGTGAGCTTGCGCTGGATGGCGGCGGTAAAGATGTCGGAGGGGGCTGGGACGTCTGCACTTGCGCTGGTATAAAGGTAATGAAGTCGAGCCAGTACACGTTTGGCGCCGTGCCATTGGTGTTCGTGATTTTGAGCGTGTGTTGCCCAGGATCGAGCGTCGTAGATGAAAAGTACGATACATTGAGGAGGAAGTGGGGCGGATCGACTCGGGGAGCATTGTACGTCCCAAGGAGGTTCCCATCGATGGTGTATGTCGTGCTCGGCCAACCTTGTACATCGTTGGAGCCCACGAGACCCCAGACAGCGACATGTGTTCCTGAAAGAGAAAAAATGAGCTCAAGGGTCCGCGGAGGCGGGCATGTACGAACCGGTGAAGGTAAACGAAGCAGTGAGTCCAGCAGTCGTGGCGCCATGCTTTCCGCCTCCGACCACACCTCCGGTAGTCGTCACACTCCAGCCTGCAGAATAGACGATCCGCGGGTCCGTGTCATCTACGACGACACTCATGGCGCGTTAGGACGGAGAGGCAAAGGGGCGGGAAGGTGTGTCGAGGACTCTGAGGCGAGAAGCGGGACACTGGACGGTGCGGCGGGGGGATATAAGGGCATGCATGCAAGAGTAAAGATCAAATCACCAAGGTTCGCGTGCCTGGACATCGTGACGGCAGTCGGGCATCGCTAGCTCCGCCACCGGGGAGAGTAATAATGTTGACAGCTAAGGCGGGACAGATGGATGTCGTCCTCTTCCCGTGCGCGCACAGATGTAAGGACGGACAGATGGCTCACTGGGCGTCGTCCAACTCGCCTGGCGAGGGCCTCGATTCAGCTTGTGGTATCCGAAAAAGGGAGTGCGCGAAAAGACCCCGAGCGCAAATGCAAATCTCTGCATCCACATCTCGCTACCGCTTGACAGATGGCGATGGAAGCGGTGATTTGAGCGGCGGTGGGAGAGTCATAAAGATCTTGAGAGCCGGGGCACCTGGCTTGGGTTTCGTTGGGAAGAGAACATGTCTGCTGCTGATGATCAGCGAGGGCGATGAGCTGGTCGAGGTCGAAGTCAGAGTCAATGTCATTTGCCCGCCAAGTACGTCCCACTGACGCCCGCGATAACAGTCGGAACGGGCGCTCCGCTATCCGTTGTTCTCGGGAAAGTCATCTTCAATACCTAGGTACAAAAGACACCGTAAGCACTTGTTATGTAAACTCCCAAGTGCAAGAATACATAAGGCTAGCTCTTCCTGGAGATACTCTGGTGGTTCTTGAGTCAATGACCGCATCAATGACGAAATGACGAAGTAGTAGCGGATCCGACAGAGAAGACGATCCGAGTGAAATCGAGAAGTGGGGCGCGACATCAAGCGCATCATGAGCAGCATCTAGAGGTTTTTTTAAACGTGTTCACGCATGCTGGACATGGTGAGCGGGCAAAGGGGAGGCTTTCAATTGAGGTCGATGAAGACCGCGCGAGGAGAGCACAGCGCACGTGCACGAAGCGCCCGGTATCTCCAACTCTCGCCTTCGACGTCGAACGCGATCGCTCCGACCTTCCGAGGACTTGCTGCACGTTCAAACCGCCGTGGCAGGCAGTCAACTGCTCGACTCACTCCGGCATGTGCTCCTCCGCCCTCCGCTTGTCCTCTCTCACGTCGCGTCTCCATATCATGAGCGAGCCGCTGCGCAAGCTTTTCTCCACTCTTCCACCATGACCTCCAGCCCGTCCGCCATCACCCTCTCTGTCCGTCCAACGATCCACCTCTCGGGCTCCTTCCTTGAAGGCGAGGTGCTTCTTGACTACCGCAAACTGCAGGAAGAAGACATCCAAGAGGTTCACCTTAAACTCCGTGGGGCTCTGGCTGTGTATGTCTGTCCTCTACTCACATTCCCGAAGCTCATTCTCACATTTCGCAGCCATATCCAGCGTGGCAAGCGTCGCTGGTGCAGCATCCAGTCTCTCATCCAGGCCAACGTTTCCCTCTGGACGCATGGCTCGGCCTATCCTCCCCCTGACACTCACGTCCTCCCTCTTCCCTTCCGCCTTCTGCTCCCTCAGAATCTCCCGCCCTCCTTCATCTTCGAGCCCGGAGGCTCCTCGGCGCACATTGAGTATGCCATCGTCGTCGTCCGCGTCCGCCCAGGCACGTTCAAGTCCAACCGCCGGATCAACGCCCCGCTCGTCGTCCTCCCGCCCGACCCAGTCGGGGCGCGAATCCGGATGGGCGCAGACATGGGCTGGAAGCGGACGGCGGTGGAGGAGAGGATCAGACGCAGGCTCTGGGGCGAGCGTTCGCGCGTGCAAGTCGAGGTGCGTGTTTTCACACCTGTCCAAGAGTCTTTCTCATGCGCGCACGCATCCCCCCTCTGCGCAGCTCGCGCTGCCGGAAATCCCCGTCTTCCCCGTCTTCGCCGACCTTCCGTTTGTGATATCTGTCACCACCACCACCGCGCCCTCGCGCGATCTAAGGCGGATGCGCATCCGGACGGCAAGCCTATCTTCCCTGCGCCGCCCGCGATGCACAGCGAGCTATCGCTCACACTCCGACGGCTCACCCGTGTACACGCCCGGGACGAGCTCTCGGTCTTTCGTGACGAGGAAACCACGACACACGAGGACACGGTGATGGTGGTCCTAGGGCGGCCGCGGACGGACGTCGAGACGGAGCTGCCGGAGAAGGAGTGGGTGGCGCAACCGCCCGCTGAGGGAGAGGGAGAGGGCGGGGAGGAGCACGGCGTGTGGGTGCAGCGGGCGCGGTTCCAGGCGACGATGCGGCTCGACGTCACGCCGACGTTTGCGAACGAGTTCGTGCAGTGCGAGGTGCGTTTCTCCTTCTACGTGTCGCTGCGTACGCTCAGTCCGCGGTCGATCCAGTACCTGCTGCACCTCCGCGTTCCATTCGACGGCATGAGCAACGACGTAAAGCTAGACGTCCCGATTATCATCAGCTCCGGGATCGACTTTCCGGTGTTGCGCGTGCCGCCCACGTCGTCGAGCCCCTTGTCATCGTCGGCGCCTGCTCCGGCGATGGCACAGCCTATGCTGGGGTTACCCTCGTGAGTGTCGTCTGTGAAATGCACTGTTCGCCGCTGATGTTTGGTGTAGGTCTTACTGGGACCCGAGCGACCGGAGGTGGCATGATGAAAAGTAGTGCACGAGTGCTGTGTATCTACTTCTCCTAGCCTAATGTACGTACTTGACAATTGTTGCGATCTGCACGGGATTGGCCTCGAAGCGGAAATGGTTTACGAAATGGACGAAAGGCAGATAGTAGAACGCGCTGCTCGAAGACAGGATCAACAACTTGCGGCCCTCGACCATGCCCGTTGTTCATGGGGCTGACCTCGTCGTCCCGAGACTCGCGGCCGGCCCTCCAGATGCTCGCTGGATATCATGGTAAGTACCTTGTTCACGTCTCCGTTTGCCTTCCATCGTTGAGAGCTTGTCAGATCTCAGTCGAAGACTGACCGGATCATGCACGGCCTACCCCGCGAGTAGCACTGTCGCCAGTGAGGTCGCGGACTGCTTCACGAAGAGCACATAGAAGAGGTCGAAGTTTGCCTCCACGGCGTTTCACAGACGTGAGCAAGGTCCCGCGTCGCCGCTGTCGCTCATAATGACCCAACGCATCGCGACAAGCGCGGTGTGTACGAGACCATCCGCCCCGCCAACGGAAGCACCATCGCGTGGACCCACAGCTCCGCCTACCCACAGACAGACTCACGCCCTCTCTGCCGGTACTCTCTCGCCGCCACCAGCGCACGCCAGGGCCTGCTCAACATCCTCCGGGACGAGCTCGAGGCGAAGGGCCTCGCGACTATGCTTGCGGGAGTTGGACCTAACAATGGGAGCGGCAACGAGGGCCTGGGCGACGGGCACGTGAAGGGGGATGAGCACGGTCAGGTGTACGGGGTGGGGGACGTCGGCTCGCGCCGCTCCGTAGCTGAACGTCTGACATGTCTCGAGTCTACTAGGAGGAACGATACGCGAACAAGACAGGATGTATCATTCGCGGGTATATGGAGGTGGTAGAATGACAGTCCCGTCGCCCACGTTCGCCAATCGCAGCCCAGAGTCGACCTCTTCAAGAGTACGGCCCATCGAAGCACCCGACTGGGAGCCCCCCACAGGGGGCACTGCGGGCAGCGCGGTTTTGGAGGACAGGCTCGTGCTCCCGCTAGCCTGTTGCGCGGTGAACGGCAGCGCCTGGGTCATGATGCCCCCGTCCTCATCGCCCTCTGGTTCCGGAGGCGAAATCGGCGCCACGATCAGCGCCATCTACACGGGCGCGGGAAATGATCGGCGCACCTAGCATGAGCCGGCTCTCTCGTCGTGGACCTCGACGCCTTCGGAGACCAATGATGAGCGCGGCCGCGATCGCGACGATCGCGAGACCACCGACGACGCCGCCCGCGATAGCCGCTGTGTGGGAGCTGGAGGACGAGCGCGACGGTGCTGTCTCGTTTCCTCCTGTTGGCTGAGAGGCGGGGCTGCTGCTGCTTGAGCCTGAGCCTGTTCCGGTGGTGAGAAGGACGCCCGAGCTCGACGGGGAAGGTGCAGCAGCACTGGTTGCGCCAGTGGTCGCGGGGGTGGTGGTCGAGTTGCTCACCGCAGGCGCGAAGAGGAGGAAGTCGAGCCAGTACACGTTCGGCGCCGTTCCGTTCACGTTCGTGATTGTGAGCTCGTGCTGGCCAGCGGCGAGGGTGTCGGAGGAGAAGAATGTGACGTTGACGCGAAAGCTGGGCGGATCGACTTGGGGCGCGGTGAACGTCCCGAGGACGTTTCCATCGATTGCGTATGTCGTGGTCGGCCAGCCGTGTACGTCGTTAGAACCCACGAGCCCCCAGACAGACACTTGTGTCCCTGAATGAAGATACCTCTCGTCTCCATAGTTGGATACGAGATGAAATGGAAGTACGCACCTGTGAAACTGAAGGTGGCTGTGAGGTCTGCAGACGCTGCGCCATGTTTTGTTCTGAGGACGCTACCGCCGTCGTTGGCGAACACTTTCCAGCCAGGAGTGTAGGTGATCTGGGTATCCGCGTCGTCCACGAAGGTGGTCATAGAGCAAACAGCAAGGGAAACGGGAGGGCGGTGGAGAGACGCAGAGGCGCTGTCAGAGACGAGGACATGTTATACATATGGGCGTTAGCGCGACAGAGAAAATCAAATACGCACCTCGAGGCTCAGGCTGATTGGCTTCAACTTTGAGGTATTGGCATACGGAGCCACCGCTAAGCACTCATGCAAGCTGCACAGCCTGACAGGAGCAGGCGATCTCGTGTCATACGAGTTTGGAAGGCACATGAGCCAACAGGAAGACATATCAAGCTAGATTCTGCAAAACATAGGGCAAACGCCGTCTGGTGGGCGCCACGTGGTCCCGGCGACATGATAATTGCGGAGGTCCCGAAGAGAGATCGCACGCTGATCTGACGCGTTTGTTGATCAATGTAACCAAGAAAAGGTCGATGCATGTTGACCTTTTCAAGAGCGCGGCTTTGAACTCGGTCACGGTGTCACTGGCCATTTGCAGCCCGGGTTTCTTCTTACAGTAGGGTGCGCCATCGCCTACGCTGCAGTGTTCGATCGCCCTGGGCCTGCGTTTGACGTACGGTATCACCTGTTATGGCCTGCTCCGCCTGTCTGGTTACGAGCTTCAGCGCGCACCCGCTACGGACGCCCAGCATACGATCGTCCGCCACTGGTTACCTTGCATCACTTATATTCTCGCGCCCGCTTCACTGTATCGCTACGCGATTGCCTCCTGGCTCCTCCCCGTCGCCTCTCCTTCCCGTCTCCCCGCTACCGCGAGCCTCTCCGAGGTCAAGCGCGTCCTCTAATCCGATCCCGCCTTTCCGCTCGACTCCGACTCGCCCGACCTCCGCGCTCCCGCGCTCCGCGACCGTAACATCACCAGCGCTCCGTGCCATTTTGTGGGTGACAGAGTCGATGAACGTTTGAACAGGGCGCACCGGAGCCACCCCCGAACCGCGCGACAGGCGCGGCGCCGGGCGTCTGGAGGCTGAGCGCCGTGAGGCGGGAGAGAGCGGTGAGTGTCAGGGCGAGGACAGGAACGCCCTCAACGACGCTGTCGAGGGATGTGTCGAAACCGATTGAGATGGAGGAGGGGTGGGGGGAGATGGATCAGCGTGGAGACTGAATACTGAGTACTGAAGCTTGAACCCCGATCTCGCCGATTCAGGAAGTGAGCTGTTCTATTGAGCGCAGCGTGCCGGAGAGTTGTGGGCAGCGCTGCGCGTACTGGGCAACGTCGGATATGGTGGGAGAGTTGAGTTGGGAGGCATGCGAGGGCAGCCTGATGAGTTTCGCGAGTCACCTGCGGTGCATGAGGTCCATGCATTTTCCTTGAGAGCGTCGGAGATGGAGAGGTTGACCGATTTGGAGGTATCACGGATGAAGCACAGAGCCTCGCCGCAAGAATCGACGTCGAGCCGTTTGCATCTTGTGCTTCTTCCACCATCTCCCCAGAATAGTCGCAACAGTTGGATCTGGCGTCCAGCCTACGATCCAGCCAGCGTAGCCCGTCAGCGCACAGGCGCCATCGTGGGTCCTCGAGCCCCGGCCGTGAAGTGAGCTGCGATTTGCTTGCGGAGCTTCCATCACTCGACCTTCAGCGCTTCAGCGGTCGCCCACCTGGTTGAACGTTCATTGCGAGGCCGGTAAAAAAATATGGGTCAAATCTAGGTGGTAGTACAACAAGCAGTCCTTACAAGAATATAGTATAGGCAACGATAAACATAGCGCACCTCACACTTTGTACCCTTCGATCGGCGGCTGCACCCGTCGCCGCGCACCCTCGGCCGGCGCTGTCCCTTCGCCACCACCTCGGCCGACCATATGCTCAACCATCGCCTGTTAGGTGGTCGATGTCAGCCCCCGAGGTCGCGGTCAGCCACCCGCGTCCGGACGCGCCGGTCCTGGGTCTGGTCAGCGTACCTGCACCTGGTCCCAGTCCATCGGCCCGTCGTCGTCTTCTTCATCCGTGTGCGAGTCGTCTTCGCGACCTGCGCCGAGGCCCCAGCCGCCCATGCTCATCCGCTGGGTGTCTTCCGGATCTGGACTCCTGTAAGAAGAGGTCAGCGACGCTTCCCGCAATGCAGTCCGATCGACGAGCAGAGCTGTACGAATCGTAGTATAACCATATCGACCCCAGTGATGAGGTAAAAAGGCCATCCTCGGCGAACTGAAAGTCCAACGTGAGGCCATACCAAGCTCGCAAGGGGCCGCGCCCCCTTGCCACTGCCGTGGACGGTGTTCCCGGCATGACCGGTGCACGAACGCCTGGCGACCATGCAGATGCAGCCAAAGCCTAAGACCAGCAAGCACGTACCTGAGGCTCTCCAGCAGCTCCTTGTCCCGCTCCCGCCCCGGGTCCGCAAACGCGACCGTCCCGCGCGGCGTGTCCGTCTCGCCGTCGTCCCAGTCCGCGCTCTCCCGCCCGCCGGCGCGCCTGACCGCGCGTGTGCCCATCCCGAGCCCGCCGCCCATCCGCCACTGCGAGCGCGGGCGCGCGCCCATCGCCGCGTCCGTCTTCTGCGCGATGCGGCCGCGGCGGTCGCGCGGCGCGCCGGCGGAGAGGAAGGACGGTGCGCCGGCGGCGGTCGCGCGCGCGGTGCGCGGTGCGAACGAGGCGATGGGCGCGTGCATCGCGCGCAGCAGGCGCGCGACTGCGGCTTCGCCCTGGCTGATCTGGGGCGGTGTCGCGGTGAGAGAGAGGAAAGCGTAGCGTTGGGAGCGTTGGGAGACCAGGACGAGGAGCCTGCGGGGGCGGCAAGGGAGGTGAGTATGCGGACACACGACGACTCGGAACGCACGCGAGACGCACATCTGGCGGAGCCGTCCTGTCTGGGCCTCGTGCTCGTTTGTGGGCTCGTCCTTGAACATCGTCAGTCGTGCGTACAAGCGGGGGAAGAGGGGCAGAATGATGCGGTCGCGGAAGGAGACGAGCGCGAGTGCGCGGACGTCGATCTGGGGCCCGGTGGCCTGCAGAAGCGTCTTAGGGCCTTTCCCGTTCTGAGTAGTGGTCGGGGAAGACGGGCGGTGCGATTTGGGCCCTCGGTAGAGCGAGGAGAGGATGGGGTCGGTTTGTAGTGGGAGAAGGGCCTAGGACGGGTGAACGGTGAACGACAGCCGAAGGATACTAGGAGGAAAACTGACCCCTTCGAGATATGGCAGCACCTGGGTCCAAAAGAAGGTCCAGAGATCTCCGATTCTGATCACAAGCTTCTCCTCATCCACTCCGGAGAGCTTCGAGTTGAGTGTGACCATGCCATTGGCAATGAGCTCGAACGTGTCGTTCTCGAGAGCACCGAAGGCTTTGCTCGGAGCTGCGGAGACCACTGTCGATATATGCCGCCTTACGAGTTGGTTCAGGTCCTCGCTGTGTGCCCTTGGGTAAGTACAACGCACATGCGGACGTAAGAGTACGCACATCGGAACGCGGAGGGGTTCGCCGTTGAAGAGCGGGAGGACGAGCACGTGGAGGGAGGTCCATGGTTTCTCGTTGGAGAGTGTCTGAGCAAGACTCGGTGCAGTCGAGGCGGGCATGGCGAGGGTAAGAGAGGAGCCGGAGGCGACGGAGAGGGAGGGGGTGATCGAGGGCAGGTGGGTGAGAGTGCCCAGGCGGTGCATCTCACGCGAAACGAGTTTCGAATCATAAGTGCGCGTAGAGGACGGCTGGAACCGAGACTAGTCAGCAGAGGGAGACTTGCAGCTGGGAACAGAAGTTCGGTGGGAGATGCGTCGTTCCGGCACTGGGCAGGCCTCGACGGTCAAAGTGTATGATCGCCCTATCGCGGCTGGGGACGTCCCCGTGCCCGCTCTGCCTCGCCATCGGCCCCCTTCCCTTCACTCCCACCTCCAACGCACTCCTCCCGCCCAGGGCATACACCCACCCACCACGTACAATTGCGCATGGCGGGTGGCACGACCAAGTCCACAGAAGCCGTATGCCATTACGTCCAAAGTCACGAAGCAACCATCCACCCAATGAACACGCACCTTTGACGGAGATGGATTGGGCTTGGACATATGCGGGCTCGAGGACGCCATCGAGCCGGGGATGGGGGAGTGGGCTCCGTCGCGAGAGAGCGGCAGACCGGAATCTCCGCGTGAGTGTGTCCGGGTGGGAAGCAGGGCCTGTGGGGTCGGTTGCGTAGCAGAGCGCTGCACAACGGACGGGGTCGCGGCGGAGGACGACGAGGGCGAGGGCGAGTGGTGGATGTGGCCGGGGTGGAGGCCTTGGGGGATCATGTCGCCGAGAAATGCGAGGCGGCCGGCGGTATGCGCGCTCGACGAGTCCGTATGCGGTTTGGCGTCGTTTGGGGCCGTGCGCTGGGGGAGGAGTGATGGGTACGGCGCGGGGGAGGGGCTCGTCGCCGGTTGTGGTCGGCGGCGAGGAGGGCGGCGTCGGCGGCGACCCGCCCGTCGTCTGGCTCCTGAGAGCGGGAGCGCGGGGCCCGATCGCGGATCTCAACCGACTTTCTGCGGACGTGCGCGGACCGGCCCGCCATCGCTTGTCGTCGTCTGCTGCAGTGACGAAGGTGTCACCGTCGGCTTTGGTGTCGGTCAACGCGGGGTGAGGGCGGTTGGAGGGGGCAACGGCCCGCCGACGTCGGCTGCGACTCTTATCTACGCATTCGCCTCTGCCCACCTTAGGCTTTAGATCTTCAGACGTCGAAGCCGCAGCCGCGTGACGAGACCGGCCACTTTCTTGCCTCCTGCGCTCATGCACCATGCTCGCTGTCATCCTTTTCGCGCCTGTCTCATACCCACCATCGCCCCCCGCCCGCCGATACCTGCGCGCGCATTCACTGTGCTCGCGCTCGAGTCCTCGGCAGACGATACCTGTGCGGCCGTCGTGACATCGGAGCGGAGAATCCTGTCCAATGTTGTGCGGAACCAGGCCTCATTGTACGTCCACTGCTCTCATTAATCTCCTCGCGTTATCACAGCCTCCACCAGATTGGAGACCCATGGCGGTATCCATCCCCTTTACGCCATCCACGCCCACCAACATCAAATGGCACGTCGCATGCTTATCTTGTTGCCCGGCCGTTCCTCACGCCGGTCGTTCAGCCAGGGGTCATCCAGCAAGCTCTGAGCGAGGCTAGACTCACAATCCACGATGTCGACGGGATCGCCTTCACTCGCGGGCCGGGTACGTCGTCATTTTCTCCGTGCAGGCTCGCCGCTGAGCGCCGCGCAGGCATGGTAGGCTGTTTGAGTGTATGCGCGACTTCCGCTCGTGCTCTCGCTGCAGTGATGAACAAGCCTCTGGTCGGGGTCCATCACATGGTGCGTCCGTTCGATTTTCGCCCTTCCCGCCATCTCACGCATGGCCACAAAGCAAGCCCACGCCCTCACGCCTTTCCTCACCGCCCCTGACGGCGAAGCACCCGAATTCCCGTTCCTTACGCTGCTCGTCTCCGGTGGGCACACGATGCTACTGCTCGCAACATCTCCCACGCAGTTCCGCATTCTCGTCAACACCACAGACATCGCCATAGGCAACGCCTTTGACAAGGCCGCCAGGGCCCTCCAGATCCCCCTCGACGGCGCAGCTCCCGGTGCCGCTCTCGAACGCTTCTGCGCGCAACCAGATACCCCGGGTGAAGTGCTCCCCAAAGTAGAGATGCCGCGCCCGACGTGGGGCTTGATGAGGTTCTCCTACGCAGGCTTCGCGTCAGCCATCGCCAGGGTCTTGGAGGAGTACGGCGGAATTGATGGGATGAGCCATACGGTGCGCCGAGCGGTCGCGCGGAGCTTCCAGCGTGCGACGGTTGCGCACCTCGAGGAGAAGATCTCCCGTGCATTAGCGCTGTGCTCCGAGATTGGCGTGACACCACGGTGTATGGTCGTCAGCGGGGGAGTTGCGAGCAATTCGTTTCTCAGAGCTAGGTCTGCTCTTCGTCATCGAGGAAGGCGCGCCCGCTAATGCATCGCGTTCACAGGATGCGCGTGTGTCTAGACGCGGCGAGTCCCGGGGAGGCCCTTCCGATGTATTTCCCACCCCCATCGTTGTGTACTGGTGAGCTCGGTTCGGATTGCTGTCCAGCCACAACGCTGACGAGCATGACAGACAACGCGGCCATGATTGGGTGGGCGTCGATGAGCAGGTTTTTGGCCGGTGACACGGACCCTTACTCGATAGGGCACAAGAAGGACTGGAGTCTGGAGGATCTTGGGCGGGAAACTGGGGGCTCGGGGCTCGAGCTCAGCAGCGACTCGGCGACCTCGCCAGCTCAATAACCAAAAGTATTCTCTCTATAAGTCGTCGTATGCATGCCTACGCTCGCTTTGTTAGACTATTAATCACGGATCCACTGTTCACTCGAGCGACGACTGCGAGGGTGTAGGCTCCCCCCGGCTCCGCCTTGCTTTCTGAGTGGCGGGTATTATGGATCGACTGCGGAGTAGTGTCAGCAAGAAGGGTGCGTATATCGTCGGAGGACAGCGGCCCCGGGGCTCTCCGGTCTCTTGTTTAGGCGCCCATCATTCCAGATTGAGTCGGAAACCCCATCGGCCGGGCCCATGAACGGCGGGCATCCTATGCCGTCGAGTGCGCTAGATCTGTAAGATCGGTCTGGAACCAAACAGCACTAGTGCGTGGGGGCAGCTGCAGGATGTCGTTATAATACATAATACACTAATTATACAGAAAGCTGGGTGTAGAGCGATAGCTTCGCCAGGGGACCATGGTATCCTACGCACCGCGCACCGCTCGGAGCAAAGTCCACCGCCCATGCCTCCATGCGCGCATCTAGAACACCATTAGCCGCGGTCACCGTCGTGCATGCCCCGCGCGAGAGCCGCCATTATACTGCCCCTCCGGATCCTCGTCCTTACCGCTCACCGTCACGCTCCTCCTAAACATCTCTCTCCGCGTCGCGCGCTCCTGCATGAGCCCCCAGTTGACCCACCAATTGTCCGCCTCGTCCTCAGCATCGTACCCAAACAGCTGCTCGACGACCTCGATCATCTCCGGGCTTGACTCCGGCGTCAAGCTGTCGATGCCGCCGCCAAGGCTCGCGAGCCCGTGCTCCGCCCGCGCGCGCTTGTCCTCGTCGTCCCGCTCGACGATCCCGGGCGGGAGCGAGGTCGCGAAGATGTTGCCCGACGCGGCCTTGAAGACGGACGCGACGGGCCCCTCGCGGATCTCCTGCAGCGCGTACAGCAGCGTGTCGATCTGGTCGTGCCGGGTGAGGTGCGAGAACAGCCGGCCGAGGCACGCCGCGTCGCACGTGCACATCGCGACCGAGAACAGCGAGCCGACCTGCAAGATCGCGGGGCGTGCGTCGCCGGCGGGTGCGAGCGATCCAGGAGCGGCGATACCGGGCGCAACGTCAGTCGGCGATCGCGGGAGAGAGCGACGGGGACGACGGACAGGAGTTGGGTGGGCGCCCTCGCCGATGCACAGGAGACGGCCGTCGGGGTGCACCCACTCTTCCAGCTTGGGGTGGTCGGCCATGGGCACGCAGGTGATGCGCGATGCATGCTTCGCAATCTGTCGGAGCCGTGGGTCCGAGTCCTTCAACGCGGCGAGGCACTCCTCGATCTCGCAGCGGTACGGCCGCTCAAGCATCTCCGCGCGCGGTGTGAAAATATACAGGGTGAACGCGTCCTCCCCAGTGATAGATTTCTGCGCACCGCGGCCAAGTAAGCTCGCCGGGGTAGCGGAAAAGAACAGAATATGCGCACCACGGGAAAGCCCAGCGCTCCATACCCACGCCCATACCACGTGAAGACTTTGCCCTGTTTCGGAGGCCTTCTTAGTGTCAGATGCCCCCTAAACAACATTCCACCGCTAGACGCACCCCTCTTCGCAGCTGCACGAGCATCTCCTTGTCCTCCAGCCGGTCCAGATTCGCTTCGGGTATATTGGCGCTGCGCACGCGTTTCAGGCGAGGCGTTCCGCTGGTGCCAGTCGACGACACAAAATAATGACGGGACGTACTTGAACAGCTGCATGCCCATCCAAGCGCTCTTGGGTCCTGTCCGAGTGCTTCCAATACGGCCGTGCGGCAGAGGTTTCCTTCGAGGATGTACCCGTCGGCACCCAGCACGACGTCACCAATGAGGACTTCGTCGGACTCGAGTTTCAGCGACGGCTTCAGGGGTCAGGGTGCACGGACACGACGTTTTCAATTATAATCTTCACACCTATCTCCGTGGCATGCTCCGCGAGCAGCTTCCGGAGCTGCGTGTACTGCGCCGGGGAAGGCGGTGGGGTTTCAGGGAGGCACAGTGAAGAAATGCAGTCGGTGACGACGTACGTGCATGAATAGCGTGTCGCCCCCAAGCTCCTCCAGGATGCTGCTTTCCCACGAGTGCTCCCCGACAATCGAGCCTGAGTGGACTGGGAGTGCGTCAGAGGGTGTCGCTCGTCATTCCAGGCCAAACGGAAAGCCTCACAAGAAGCGAACAAAGTGCCTTGACTCTTGACAGACACGGCGTGACTCTGGAGGCGGTCCTTCAGCCCCCATCGGTAGTAGTGCTTCGTCGAGTTGGGCGGTAAGCGAATACCCGAGTCGAATTTGGTCTGTGGCGAACGCGGACGTTCCGTGAGGGCCAGCACCGAAATAAGCCTTGTGCACACACACATACCGGCTCGTAGGGAGATGTGCGGTCGACGACGACGACATTATGGCCGACGCGCCTGAGGGCTATCGCTGCGGACAGCCCACATAACGAGCCTCCAGCGATCACAAAGTCAATGGAGAGGAGGTCAATCTCGTCGCCCTGTCCACAACTCTCAGTGACGCACAGCAATAGTGTTTGATCACGCACCATGAAGCTGGTTGGGCATGCAAGGAGGGCGGGGTGTCATCGCTGCTGTCGTCGACAGAAGCGGGCTCGACCTCGGGGCACCCGTCGGGGGCACCGAGGGCAAGGTCGTAGAACATAGCACCGTCGTTGTGAGGGCGAGGAGGGTGACGGAGGCACGCAGGGCGGGAAAGGCCGGGTAAAGTTGTCGTGGGAGCTATATAGGGGATGGATCCGTCATTCAGCCTGGGCCCGTCGCGGTGAGGCAGCCGAACAGGGGCCCGTCTAGCGTCCCGTATCCGTGGAGGCGGACCACGGCAGAGATCTGAGAGGCGGAGTGCCCTCCGCTTCCGGTTGAGACGAGTGTCTGCCTTGAAATGAGAGGTGGCCAGAGAGACAGCAGGACTGGGGCGTGATTTATGGATGGCGCGCAGCAGCACAAGGGGTTGTTAGGAGCTGGTGTTGAAACAAATATTTTGCAATCGTACCAGGGAGGAAAGCACAGCGAGTTCGCGTTTGTCATGTACTAGGTCAGAGGCAAACTCGTAAGCTACGAACTTCAGAACTGGCCGCGGCGATAAGCGCTTATGCGCACCATTTGGGCTCGCTCGCCTGGTTGTAGACCGCAGCACGAAAGGGCTGGCTTAGCACGGAACCGCCCTCCCAAGCGGAAGGTTCGTTGCTCCGCAGCTAAGCTTCCTTCGTGGTGCACCGTTTGAATGTTTCATCGGAGCCGAAGAGCAGGCGGCTCGTTCCAACGCATACGTACGAAAGGTCGCGCGCAAGTCGCGCTGGCCGTAGCCGTTAACTAGGGGTGCGCCGTTCGCGTCGGAACTCGCGCCTCGGGGCGCACCAGAGCGACCCACTCACCTGGAGCACTGGCCGTCGTCACGACACACGCGGCCTGTGGAACTTTGTGCTATTCGGAGGGTGGTGGTCCTTGGATGTTCGGGCTCAGGTGACTGCTTGCTCGGAATTTGAGACAAGTTACACGAGTTGAGTCGCCGGCGCAGCCGCGCGTCGTCCTCGCTCCATATTTGGCAGTCGCGCACACCACGAAAGCCGACTGTCAAACGTTCATTGCCAGGCATATACAATCTGGGTGGTGGGGATACAACGGGCAGCCCGAAGACGCACAGCCGAGACACAGGTAAACATAGCGCACCTCCTCTCTCCAGCGTAGAATCGTCAGGGCCCAAATCAGCGACTGCGCGCGGGACCTTCGCCAACACCGAGGTCGACCATATTCTTGACCTGCGCCTGCTCAGCGCTCAGCAGTGTTCGTCGCCGGCCACGTCGACGCGGACAGCCTTACGCCACTGCGCCTGTGCCAAATTCATCGGCCCGTCATACCCAATGGCGACTTCTTCCGTGGCGTCGGCCGGAATACAAAACTCGCCTGCTGTGTGGCGGATCTGCGGTCCAGACTTCATAGTGCTCTTCGTCCACCGTGCTCGTCTGGGCTCGTCTCTGCGAGCCCGACATGATGGGCGTGACAGTGAGCTGAGTCGAGCTTCAGAGCCCAATCAGAGTAATGGCTTCGTCGCGCGTGATGGTGCTGATGAGGACGTTGCACGTGGAGGACATCGCGTCGCGCTGGGGAAAGGGCAGAGTGGCGGGAAGACGAGCGAGAGAGCGGAGCATAGTCTGGCGATATTTAGTACCCGATTGATGCGGCGACTGCAGGGTCGGCCGGTATATAGCGTCGGACTCCGGCTGAGTTTAAAATAGAGAAGTGCTCGAAGCGCATGCCACGCTCCCTTCTACCTGCGCGCGCACCACCATCGATCGTCGCCCTGAATCCACATGTCCATCTTCGCACCCACCCGCACCTCTTGCGGCACTCGATGTTATGGAGACCGGTGTGCGGGTTTGAGGTCCGGGACGGAACGCCGCGCAGGCGACACACATGTTGACATGTGACTACCAGATACTCGTCCGACCTGAACACCTCAGGCAATGGCTCTGACCTGAGCGGGCAGGCTGAACACTCAATGAACGCTCGAGCTTCATCGAGTCAGAGAGCCGATGCTCCAAACGCACCCCTGATTCCACGTTCACAATCTCCAGACGCACATGTGACACAATTCATTCCCTGGTCACCTCCACCGATGTTGGATCTGATGCAGGTGACGAGGCGTGAGGGCGCTCCGTAGCAAGGACAGAGTCGGTGACGTCCGGCCGGGTGAGGACGTCCACCAGCGAGCGAAGATGGTCCTGATGGAGCAGGTCGCCGGCACCGCGCCGCGTCCGGGGGTCGTGCGCGCAATGGCGCTGCTGCACGCGGGCGGGATGGTACATGGCGATACGCGTGCGTGCCGCGTCCTCCTCGTGTACGACTGCAAAGCAGGAGCGGACGTGCGGGAATGGGCAAGGATCGTCAGTTTAGCCGGGACGGGGGAGGCTGCCGAGGGGGGATACCCGATGTGGCTCGCGGGGTGGACAGTAAGATGGTGGATATCTGGAAGGACGGTGTGAGCGATGAGGCCGTGCATGTACGCGCAAAACCGCATGGTGCCCGTCTGCGCTTGTACGGCTGTCGCAGCCGCTCGTTACAGTCAAGGGAAGAGCGGAAACTGTGCGCAAGCGGTCAGATGACCGCAACGACTGAGGGTGGAGAAATAACGTACGGCAGAACTAGATCCAACCTCGGAGCGTGTATATAGATGCCGTGAGGGGTCTCGGTCCGAGACGTGGACGTAAGGCGCGTGCAGGCTGTTTACGATCCGGCGGAGAAAGGGCAAAGAGGGACCGCAAGCGGGCGCGGGGTGGTGAGCTGCACTGGGCACATGACCCGCTTTGCCTGTTTACCGCCGCCGCCGCGGGCAATGGTCTGCTTGTCTCGGACAGGGTCCGGTCTTGCGCACCGAGCGGGGAAGAAACTCTGGGTGGCAGCGTGAGTCGTCCCGTCCGCTTGGGCGCGTTTGCCCCTGTTTGCCCCGGCCGGCGTCTGCCGGGATCGATTACCTGCATTGGGCGGCGGAGTGTGAAGTTTTGCGAGGGGATATAAGGTGGAGCAGCCCCCAACCGCCTCCTGCTCCCCACCCCCACCTGTCTCTGCTCGCTCTGCCCGGTGTCTGATTCGTCCGATCAGGAGCACACCTGTATCTACCACTTCCAATCCATTCTTCATCATGTCCACAAAACTATACGTCGGGTCAGTTTCGTCGATCGATTCCCCAGAGTCCCGCATGCACAGAGCATGCCCTCTCGCGCTCACGACTGATGCCCGTTTTCCGTCCCCGCGGTCGATAGTAACCTGAGTTGGAACACCACCGACGACACTCTCCGTCAAGTCAGTCAGATCTTGCCTCGCGATGCGTTCTCTGTCGCCCCTGCCCGTGCCTATCTAATCATGTCCTCGTCGCCGTTTGCAGGCCTTCGGAGACTTCGGTCATGTTGTCGATGTATGCTCCACCATGCCTATCCTTCCGTCGTATCCCCTGATCCCTTCCCATGTGCTCTGTAGTCCATCGTGATGCGCGACCGTGAGACGGGCCGCTCGCGCGGCTTCGGCTTCGTCACCTTCGGTTCCGAGGCTGAGGCGCAGACCGCCATCGCCTCCCTCCATGAGCAGGACCTCGACGGCCGGCGCATCAAGGTCAACATTGCCAACGCCCGCGGCAGCGGTGGCGGCGGTTAGTGCTCGTCGTCCCCATCGCCGATCATCTCCGTTCTTATTAGTTGTCTCTCTCTCCCAGGCGGCGGCGGTGGAGGTGGCGGCTACGGCGGTGGAGGCTACAGTGGAGGCGGTGGATACGGCGGCCAGGGTGAGCGACTATTTGATAACGATGGTACGCGACTCTTGTCTAATCCGACTTCATCAGGTGGTGGTAGTGGCTACGGCCAGCAGGGCTACCAGGCTAGCGGCTACGGCGGTGGCGGATACGGTGGCCAGCAGGGTGGCTACGGCGGTGGTCAGTACTGAGCGCAGAGCCGTCGAACGTCTGAACGGTCCAAGGGGCCCACATCCATGCTTTCCGACTTCGCGCCCCTAACTTATCGCATTTTGTGTACACTCCGCATGTCGCTTTGCTGTCCTCGGTGTCTTTACATGCACAATGATGTACAATGATCATGATCGCAGAGAATCGTTCGTCTTCCGTGTCTATCTGCGTTTGCGTTTGTGTGTTGCGTCAACGGCCGCTCCGAGCTCGCCTCAAGAAGGGTTGGAGAACGGTCCGTGTGGGTCGCACTTGACACACATCCATCGTCATCGGACGGTCATCGCGACTATCCTTGTACGTGATCTACACATCTACTCCTCGTCCTCCTTCCGGCCCCGCGCGCACTCGACGTTGGGCAGCGCAAACGACGGCAGACGCAGACTTGGTCAACGCCGCCCGCCGCACACACGTTCCCGTCCCGTGCTCGGCGCGCCAGGTCTTCCGGCCCGCTCTTCTTCTCGTTGCCCCCCGCGCCGTGGTCGTCGGGCCCGTCGGCCACCCACCACCCCTCGTCGACGTCATCGGGAGGACGCGGATGTAAGCTGCTAAATCTAGGTCGGCCGAGGGCACGGGCGAGCGCGCGAGCACTGGGAACGGGACCGGGCCTAGACGGGACCTTGACGCGCGCGTCATCGGTTCATCCTTGAACCCATCTTCCGGCAGTTTTAGCTATTCGAGTTTGGGGAAAACGCAAATAAGTTTCCAGAGATGAAGGAGACGACGCGCGCGCAACGCGAGCGATGGCGTCGAGATGAGCGCCATGGTAGATTGAGCTGGCAGATGCTCGCAAGAAGGAGCAACAGGAATATGTCCTTTTTCAGTGGCAGAAGCGGGAGACGATGTGAGGGTCAAACATGGATCGCCCTGCACACTAGCGTAATAAATATACGGCAGCTTCGTCCGAGTGGAGAGGCGATCGATAAGACAACGAGCGGCGATCTCCCTACACCTTCTCGTCGTCCCTCCATCCGGCATCTTCAGGATCCCAGTACGCTCTGAGAGACTCGTCAGTGCCTCGTAATGACCGAGGTTGCGTGGCGACGTACGGGGGAAGGTCCAACGTCGGAGCGTCATGCGCCGCGCCGGACACGGTCGCCCCGGATCGCGGCAACGGCGCGTCGATGCCCGAAGTCACCACCACCGGCACCTCGAGCTTGAGATCATTGCCGACACCCGGGAACGGCACCCGCACCACCAGCTCGTACTGCAAGAACGCGCCCATCAGCTACCCACGCGCGATACAGGAAAAGGGAAAAGAAACCCACCGAACAGACGATGAAGTTGTCTATCTCGAATGATGGTGCGACGTCGAGCGAGAACGTGGACTCGAACACGGCGCGCTGGACCCACGTCCCCTTCCCTTCCTCCGCGCGCCCCTTCTTCTCGCGCGCATCCGCGGCCGCGGGCAGCCACTGGCCGCCGTCGACGTTGGTCGACACCGGCGGGCGCGCCCGTCCGCCCCGGCTCGCGGCCCGTTGCGCGCCCGCGCCGAGAAAGTGCGCGGCGTCCGTGGTCGGTCGTGCCGTGTCGACACCGGCGCGAACGAACATGCGCCTGCGCAGCACGAACTCCAGCGCGTCCGGAGCATCGGGGATGGGCGGGAAGAGCGGGCGGGCGGCGGCCTGTGCGCGAGTCAACGGCGGGCTCTTCGTCGTGACGGTGATGGTATAAGGTATCGTGGAAGAGAGGGGGAGCATGAGAATGTCTGGAAGGCTGAGCTGAGATGCGAGTCAGCGTGCGCGCGGGTGCATTAGGGGGGAAACAACGACGTACCTGCACGGACACCGTAGAGTAAGCGCCCCAAAGGCCGCGTCTGATGCGCTCGTCCTTGGAGTACGTTCTCCAGCTGTGGGTCGCGTTCTTGCGCTTGATGGAGGCACCAACGGTGTCGGTGGGAATGACAGTGAGTGGAACGCACTGCCGCTTGTTTACATGCAAGATCCCCCTTCGGACGCCGACCGCGGTGACGGAATACCTGACCGCGGCCTGGCAACTGACGGTCCTGTGCAGGAAGGATGGCGGTAGCTGTGCGGGAAGTTTGAACGAGAACGGGACGGGAAGGACGTCGGAGCCGGGCTCAGGGTACGCGGACCCGCGGGTCCAAAGGATGAGGTTGTCGCGGACGAGTTGCCTTTTGCCGTAGCTGGAGCTATCTCCCTCATCTACGCGTCTTATAATACGACAGAATATCAGTGAGAGCCGTGGAAAGCGAAGAAGCCGTGACGCACGTTTGCCCGACTCCACGCAGTCGAACTTGAACCTCGTCAATGTCCTCCTCGTGGACGAGACGAAGGTTGATTGCGACGTGCCCTTCGACCATGCTCCCCGATGGGTGGATCACAGGCGGGACGTGGAGCGGAATCGCGCTCGACGTGGAAGATAGTCTTGAGAGCATGTTCCCCTATTCGATATGCGTACAGAAGCCTTGATGGCGGGAGACTGGATACGTGTCGTCAGCGCAGATCGAGGGAGGAGGTGAAAGCGCACCAATTGCAAGCGGTGAAGGAGGCTCTTTTGGATACTGCATGACCCAAGTCCCGCAGTCAATTCGCGATCGATCCGTGACGGGGCAGTGTGGAAACGAACTGCCACCCGTATCTGGAACGGAGACGTGAGTACTGACCATACTTGGACTACATAGCTGGCCCCCGAGGTCGCGGCGAGGCGATACAGAGGCGATGCAATACATAAAGGTACTCACTTGGAATACATAGCCATCCTGACGCGCCTGTCTGAAGTCGTGCAGCAACGCTGGCGAGACGATGCGCGTAGTTGGAGAGAAAGGCACTTACACTGTATGTATGTCAATCGTGCTCATTGGTGCTCATGTGTCGTGGATGCCAGATGGAGGGAGTGTGAGGCGCCCGCCGCGCGACTGTCGCGACAGCGGTTCGCACTTTGTTTTCCCTCCACCATCTCCCAGGAATGGCTTCTTATCCTTCTCCTCCGGCATGCCTCGCTCATCCCCACGCATCCCATTCCCTTTTTCCCCCGGCAACAGCATGTCCTTACGCTTCAGCGCCGCGGGGCGGCACGCAGCCTGCGGCAGCGTCTCAGCTTCGGTGATTAAGGACTCATCATCGACGCCCACCCCCTTTGATAGAAGGGCTGCCTAGGGGAGACTAGCCCACCCCACCTCTCATGAAAGCAGAGATGAGCCGGGGGTGAGCGCTTGAGCGATGAAAACTAGCATTCTATGGGATACGTGGAGCAAGTTCTCTCCCGCAGAGGTCGAGGTATGTTCTTGCCTTGAGCCACCTTCCATGCACAAGTATCCTAAGTCACACCCAGGCTGGGTATCCCGAAGCTATCGCCTCACCGATCACCCCTGCACTGTCCATGCTGCTGTTGCCGCCGCGCATCCACGCGCCGCAACGCGGACGCACATCTTGTTGGAAACCCGCTCGAGGTGGAGTGTCTGCAAATGAAGGCAGCAGGCCCGGCCACGGTACGTCCCCTCTGCCGTTCTCATCTGCACGTGTCTCCAACATCCCTGCGGTTTTGTTCAGGTGCCCTCGCACGCCATCGTTCTCCCCCGAAGTCAATCCCGCTCCCGAAGCTTTGGTTTAGAGGCACTCGCGCTCTTGTATCGGGCCCTCGTGTTTGTACGAGGAGTTCTCGCACGCCGTGCAATCGGGCCTCTTTTAAGGTGTGTTAACAGTGTCGTGTAGTCTCGCGTATACCGATATTTTCTGCTGGACGTGGAACAACGCTGGACGATGACGGTGTTCAATTTAGCCGTGCCGGACGCCCTGGAGTCGGATATTTGTCGAACTTCCCCTGCACAGAAGGGCCAAGGTCGTCTTTGTTGGCATCAATGGATGCAGAGGACGACAGATCGACCAGACACACAAACAAGCGAGCGAGCGCAGCCCCTGGGCGACCCGTACTCGACGCCCGGCTAGCCAGATCGTCATCCGTGGTCCTACGACATATATCGTAAAGTTCGCTCGATGAGGTCAAGATACTCGCAGCTCATGACCGGCGCTAAGAAGTCCCCACCCCGCACTCTCCCCAAACCCTATCGCTCTCCGCGTCTCGGTGATGGCGCACTTCAAAGCTTCGCGGCGGACGGGCGGAGCCGTCTGTGTGGACGTGTTGGCACACTTGTTCGCGGGTTTGAAAGTCGAGAATCTCTGCAGCACGATTCATAACGATCGGCGATCTGGAACAGGTCTTCCCTCCCCGCTATGTCTTCTCGTCGTCCATCCATCTTTTGTCGTCAAGGTTCCAGTACGCTCTGCGCGCGACAAGTTAGCCGGAAGCAATGTCTCAAGATTTAGGAGTAACCTACGGAGGAAGGTCCAACGTCGGAGCCCCATGCGCTGCGCCTGCCTGCGGCAACGTCGCGTCGATGCCCGAAGTCACCACTATCGGCACCTCGAGCCTGAGATCATTTCCGATGCCAGGGAACGGCACCCGCACCACCAGCTCGTACTGCAAGAACGCGTCCATCAGCCACCCATGGGCGGCGCAGGAAAAGGGAAAGAAACCCACCGAACAGACGATGAAGTTGTCTATCGCGAACGATGGCGCGACGTCGATCGAGAACGTGGACTCGAACACGGCGCGCTGGACCCACATCCCCTTCTCGTCCTCAGCGCGCCCTTTCTTCTCGCTCCCATCCGCGGCCGCGGGCAGCCACTGCCCACCGTCGACGTTCCTCGACACTGGCGGGCGCGTTGGTTCACCCCGGCTCGCGGCCCGTTGCGCGGCCGCGCCGAGAAAGTGCGCGGCGTCCGCGGTCGGTCGAGTCTTGTGGGTGCCCGCACGCACAAACATGTGCCGGCGGAGCTTGAACTCGAGCGCGTCTGGGTCGTGGGGGATGGGCGGGAAGAGCGGGCGGGCGGCGGCTTGCGCGCGCGTCAACGGCGGGGTGGTTGTCGTGACGGTGATGGTGTAGGGAATGGTCGAAGCGATGGGGAGCACGGGGATGTGTGGGATGCTGAGCTGAGGCCCCGGGCGGCGCGGCGCGTACAGGTGAGTTGGGAGCGGGAGGTGGGAAAAGAAGACGACGTACTCGGACGGACACATTGGAGTATGCGCCCCAGAGGCCGCGCCGGATGCGCTCATCCTTGGAGTACGATGTCCATCCGTGGGTAGCGTTATCGCGCTTGATGGACGCGCCAACGGCATCGGTGGGGACGACAGTTAGTGGGACGCACTGCCGCTTGTTCACATGCAGGATCCCCCTTCGGACGCCGACCGCAGTGACGGAGTATCGGACTGTTGCGTCGCATCCGACGCTCCTATGGTGAAAGGAAGGCGGCAGCTGTGCGGGAAGTTTGAACGAGAACGGGACGGGAAGGACGTCGGAGCCAGGCTCAGGGTACGCGGACCCACGGGTCCAAAGGGTGACGTTGTCGCGGACAAGATGCGTTTTGCCAGAGCCGGTGTCTTCCCCTTGTTTCACGCTTCTGAAAACGGGACAGAATATCAGTGAGAGCCGTGGAAGAGCGCAGAAGCCATGGCGCACGTCAGCCCGACTCCCCGCAAACGGACTTGAACCTCGCTAATGTCCTCCTCGTGGACAAGACGAAGGTTGATGGCGACGTGCCCTTCCACGCTACTCCCCGATGGGTGGATCGCAGGCGGAATGTGAGGCACAATCGCGTTCGAGGTGGAAGAGAGCCTAGAGAACATGATTGTGTATTGAAACTGCGACCTGTCCGTGTACGCACGCCTTGTTCGAGGAAGACTGAAAGCCAACGGTCAGTGCTTCGGCGCGTATCGAGGCGAGCGGAGGCGAAGAAGGCGACAGAGCACCAGGCAGCTTCTCTTATAGCCCAGTCCTGCACGGGGCCGGCCGCGTCAAATCCGCGACTGGTCGACGGCGGGGCAGTGCATGGGACATTGGACGAAGATGGACCACCAGACGGTCAGACTCGCCCAAATATGGCATTTGCAGCTGTAAATGCCGTAATACGGCAGCGATACCAAGCTGCACAACAGAGTATGCGTCATGGTCGTTGAGCTTGAGCTTGAATGACAGGATGACACCGTGGCCGAGATACTCAAGCACAAGTTGGAGTCGCGCGCGGCGCGGCATTGAAGCGCCAGACACTTCGCGGAGGTTTAACGTTTAGGAGGAGAACGTGTGGAGTCAGGACCTACCTGACGTGAGCGCGCGGCAGTGTCTCGTGAGCCAGGCGGACTCGCGCTAGTAAGGTACCCCCAGCACAGACTCGACGACGTGTGATTCCTGTGACTTATCACGTGCTCGTTACGGATAAGTCTGCTTATCGGCGCATGCTTGGCGCTTCTAGGAGATGGAGAGGCGCCGAATCGTGCCGGACCAAGTGGGTTGACCATCAGCAAAATCTCATCGGTCGTGCGTGCGCGCGCGTGCGCACGTAAGTGTGCTCAATCCGGCCAATCCGTCCATTCTGTGGCGCAGGATCCCTGCGCAACTCACGGATTACAATCCACCCCAATTCTGCGCAAGCGATGCCAATCCCACGCAATGCTACGCCGTGCGCACGCAATTTCAGCAAGGGATTGGTTTGATGGTGGGCACTTGGCCCGCCTGCGTGCCCTCGTACGCCGCCCAAGTGATTCCAGACGCACGATGTCCTTGGCAAGGTTCCGTGCACTTGGGCGGAGTGCATGCCCGTGCAAGGATGTCAATCGCTGGCCAGGCTGCTGAGGGATTGACCGGATGGTGAGCAAATGGGACTGATTATTGCGGAAGGGGCGAGATCAGGTGGACTGCTCAGCGGATTGTGGTCGCAATCAGAGTGAAGTAGAAGCTAGATTGAATACTGGCTTAAATAAATTCGCTATACAACTACGGCTACTACGACGTTGCACGAGCACACTGAGTCAGTGCCGGGCCTGTCCAGATCGAAAGACAGCGGCTCCAGGAATCATAGGAGTGCTGAAAGAAGACAAATCAGTAAAGCGATACGGATAACAAAACGAAAATCATACCTGGGTGGTTGCAGGCTCCGCGCAGGTAGGGGTTGCAGGTAACCTGCGCGGGTTGGCGGGTATGGGCACATCGGGTACAGTTGGAACGAGAAAATACCGGCGCACCCAGAACGACGTTACCGTCACGAAGCTGTCGTCCATGAGCACGCTCACGGGTCCCGTGAGCAGCCTGCACTCGCTTGTGCACTCGGCCCTCCACCCGCACCGCCGTGGTCCTGTGCGGCACGCACCCGTTCCGGCGGGAGCATCGCTGTGCCCTCGGTGCGGTCCGCAGTTGCAAGCGCACGCGTCTCGAGGTGCTCATGCTCCCACGTGCGGACGTGCGGACGGTACAACGGCGGTGGACGCGCGCGCTGGAGGTGCGGGCCCAGGCAGAGAGCGCGGCCAGGATGCGCTGGCGAAGGCGGAGAGTGCGGCACGGCAAGGCGGCCAGAACACGTTGGTGCTTATTCCGGCGTAAGGAGTGGGATGTGGCGGTAGCGGAAGCCGTACATGGTGTACCGCCGGACGTGCTTCGCAAGACGAGCGCGGGAGGCAGGTGTGTGTGCAGCGAGGTTTCTGCGCGAGGGATGAAGATTGCGGGGGAGAGTGTGAAGGGGAGGGGGACGTACCGAGAACCAGTAGAGCCAGAAGGCGAACATGTCCTCGCAGCCCTCGATAGGCCAGCCAGAGGTGGACTGGCGGTGGGCCCAGAGGCGGCGGTCAAGGACGTCCACCGCATGTTGTTTTGAGCAGTCACGCAATGAAAGACCTAATGATGAAAGCGCACCTGTTTATCGCACTCCCATTGAGCCGATTGCACCTCCACTACATCTTCTCAAATTCGCCAAGATCGTTTGCGTGAGGCAGGGTGACAGGAGCAACTTAGGAATGGAGGGAGAAGTAAACCTGAGTCCCGACTGGCAAGCTGTGAGCGCGAGCACCGACTCCGGCTGTCACACGTGACTGACCCGGGCAGCAGCGCGGTGACGGCGTTTCCCGAAGGTCAGAATGCATGAGAGGGGCAGTGTGGCTCAAGGGAAGAGGTGAGGGAAGGAGGGAGGGAAAGACCATCTTGTGGGCGGGCTTATGCTTGGGTCAAGAGCGGGTCTAAGTACCACAGATGACGCCAGTCGCGGGCCCATCTGTCACGCTGACAACACGAGACCGTTGACAACAGGTCACACAACGATGACAGGTCACAACGGCGACAACGACTACGTGGCAGGCTGATATGGGGCCCGAGGACGGCGAGGACAATGTGATTCCACTGTACTATATTCACGCGGCCGCAGTTCTATCATACAGATGAGGAGGCCGAAGCGGTTGACATAGTGAGACGAGGGGAGAACATGCGCTAGCTACCCTGCGAGGATCCGGATGGCCACACTGACAGCCGCCAGTAGAGGGGCCCGACGCGTTACAGATTGTGCCAGGGAACAGGATCTTCGATGGCAGACCACACCCTACCAATTCCCACCTTTGCATTGAATTGTGCATGCCGTAGCTCACGGACGAAGAGGTTGAACGTTGAAGACCGTGGTGGAGAAGACAAGCATTTACTATGAGACTGGGTCGCGCTTCACACGTACAATAGACGCCTATTCTCTTGGAGACCCCAAAATACCACCAATCCACTGTCTACACTTGAGAATCACCCAATTGCCCGCAAGGGAGCCCAAGCCGTCACACGATGCCACTCCGATTGCGCGCACTTGGCTGGATTGCGTGCGCGTGAGGTTCGGCCGAAGCGCGCCCCTGCCGGCCCGGGCTTCCAAGTCCACCAAGCAAGCGCAAGCAAACTGGACTTTTGCTGATGACAGGTTTCCGTGAATGTTTGGTCGCATCTTGACCTGATCTTTGCACAAGTGTAACCGGGAGTCCCCCATCTCCAATGTCGACGCTGGGCTCACCATGCGCGGTTGTGGCGGGGGCGAGACCGGCGAGTTGTGGCTGCCCAAGCTTTCAATGCTTGCCGGATCCGACGAATGGTTTTCTGAGTCAGGGTCATTCCGCGCTTTCTTGGAGGCGCGAGCATTCACGGCGTTAACTTCTAAGCGCGTGAAATTGCCCCCGTTTTGCGCTTCATTTTCCCTACTGCGCGCGGCTTCACCGTGCTGCTGGCCGGGACCACGTCGAGATGCGCAGGCAGGGCAACTAGCGCGCGCTCACATTTTGGGCCTGAGATAGCGCTTAGACGACCAAAAACGCGCGCAGAGCACACATCTGGGCTTATAACTCCACTGCTATGGACATTTCGCGAAATATGCTCTATACATATTCTAAGGTACTCTTCTTGGCATACAATGTATAAAGCACTTTGGCCGTACGAGGAATCCCCAAGTTGTTATTCGATTTCAAGCGACTTTCCCCCGCCAAACTGGCCTAAGCGTGACATGGGGAGGTCATGTGACGTCGTCGAGTCTGTGCTGGGGGTACCTTACCTCGACGAGAACATCCTTCGGACTGTTCTGTTTCCGCCCGGGATCCGGGCACAGAGAGACGCCGAGGGGGGGCCCAGCTGGCTCAATGGCAAGAGTCACAGACGACGGCCTGAGGTTCTCTCAGGCTGCGGGTTCAAATCCCGCACTGGGCACCCACTTTAACCCCTTTGCTGCCACCCTTTAACTTATCCTCTACAATATTGGGCCTGTCCCCGGGTGAGATTCCTGAGGGGGCCGTCAACCCGCAGCCAGTGTATGACAACAAGCCGAGATTCGGACCAATCTGAGCTGGTTGCAATGGGTTCTTCAAAAAAAAAAAAAAAAAAAGAGAGACGCCGGGGTATGTAGACGAGACTGAGCTTCGAGAGCGTCTCCACCAGCAACCTCTGTAAAAGCGGGTAAACGACAAACCGACGCTCATTGGGCCCGGGGACGATGCGCACCAGTAGTTTCTCGTACGGCACACAGTGCTTCATCCCGCGCTGGACAACAAGTTCCATCGCGCGAAGGTTCTTGCAACCTTCGAGAAACGTCCACAGGTGCGGGCTCTCTCCGTACCGCTGGGCGTGCCAACCTGAGACGACGTCCCACTCGAGGCTGCGCATCCCGTCGACGGTCTCCAGCTGCGTCAGAACGTCGTCCGTGGGACCAAAGATCTCCAAGTCGCGCGACGTGACCTCCGCCACCTATCGTCGCGGTTATAAGTGAGCCTTTCGAGCGGGGAGCCACTTGTACATAGCGAGCGGCAATGTGTTCGAGGGGGCATCTATCGGGGAGGAGCAAAGTTTGACGTTCGGGCAGTAGGGCACCGGTTCGGGCTCGCACATCACCAGCTTGAGGTTCCGCACGTTTAGCACAATTGGGTGGCAGAGTGGGAAGCGGGAAAGAGTCGGAGGAGTCGAATGCAAGTGCACGTGGTTGCTTGGTGGAGGTAGCAACATTGCCCGTGTCACGCTGGGAGAGATGACTCAGGATCTCGTGCAGAACATCGTCGTTGAGGGAGAGGAAGGCGTGCATTGCGGAGAGCGGGAGTCGTGGAAGATTGGTGGAATGAGCCAAGAATGAGCACGTCGCGGCTCACGCGTACGCGGTGACGCCGTCTTCAGCTTCAGCTTCCAGCCACCATCAGCAACCCCTCCCCCCGTCTGCTTGCCACTGTACTATGCTACTCCTGATGCACAGGACGCCTCTTGACACCACCTCTCTCCGCTTCGACTTGCAAGACGTGACCTCGCTCCGTATCGATACCCCCACAACCTGGACGACATAAGGGCACGGGTATAAAGGGGTTTGGTTGAGAGGCGGATGAATCGCTGGTGGAGGTGCGTTGTGTCCCCTTTCCGTGCTTTCTCTCTCCAACCATCCCCTTCGTTGCCAGTCCCCTTTGCATATCGCGTCCTTCGCAAACCACTGCGCTGCCTCGTTGCCATTGTGTGCTCGGACTGGATTGTCGTCAATAAGGCATCGGCGACAGCACACGCAGGCCGGAGGACCCATGATGCATGCCGGCGCATGGACGACCCCGCGACGTCGCGATGCCCTATGGCACCGAGAGGACTGCGGCCTAGAGTCTCTAAAGGTGCGGCTAACCCAGTTCGCTGTTTCGTGTCCATTTGCTTCACGGATCGACACCACGGCTGTCTCTGCTTCCAATGCCAATATGCGGCACAACCCCCCATCTCTCACAATGACGAGATCCGCGCATATATGGAGCACCGCTCTCGCATATTGGCGTGGTGGAAGCTGGCGAGGTTATGCAGCGTCGCCGTAGGTGCCCCATGTGACCATCCCGCATAGGGTGCCTAGTCACGCTGGCATGAGAATACTGGGCTGCTTTAAGAGCACTGGCTGTGCATAACGATGAGGTTCCTGACCCTCTCGCCTACAGCCATACCCTCAACAGACTGGATACCTCGACTTTTACAAATTGCGAAGGCGATGTTTTCCCGATGGTCCTCTACATCTAAAGCCGTTCAACTTCAAGTTCTGCCGGCAATATACCCATCAGGCGCTAACATCGAGGGAGAGGTAGCTATCAATCTTCGTCATGCACATGAAGAGGAAATAGACAAGGTCGAGATCCGCTTCTGTGGCTATGCAAACACGTACGTCCACCCGTTAGGACTCTTGTCTAGAACAGCTCCATCCAACCACGACTACAGATGGATCAAGCTCGGTAATAACAGCACCCACGATTACAAGGAACTCGTGCGCGAAACCACCACACTGTGGACACGTGGATCCGGAGTCTACTCCCAACCAGGCTCCGATATTCTCTCCGTGCCCTTCTCATTCACGCTTCCCGACAAGCTCCCGCCCTCCTTTCATGCCGAGGCCATGGGATACAGCGTCTCGGTCCGCTACTCTATCACTGCGGTCGGGGTACGCAAGGGACGAATGAATGTCAACAAACAGCATTGCGTCCCGTTGACAGTCGTCCCAAAGGATGACATCGGGGTCTCGTTAAAGCGGGAGAGCGCAACACACGGGTGGAAGACCTTCTCCAATGAGCAGCGCATCCGTAAAGGTTTCTGGGGCGACTACTCCAAGGTTCTCGTCGAGGTACGCCCGTCCTTCAATCGTGCATGCTCGTTGTTGACGCCCGATCCGCAGCTCAAAATACCGAGCATCCCTGTCTTTCCTCTCTCCTCCACGATCCCGTACACCATTATCGTCACAACGACCTCCCCGCCGCTCTCCCCCGCCCAGGCTGCAGCACTCCCTCCTGGAAAACTCGTTTTCCCACCCATCCCCACCTCCCCCGACGCGCTGGACTTCACGCTAGGTCGCCGTCTGTATGCGCGCGCGACGGGCACAACAACTCAGTCGTACACCGACATCGCCGCCTTCCTGGGGCCAAGAGCGAAGGCGGCGGCGGCGGCCACTGGCAAGCCGCGGCCCCCAGTCGACAGCGCCATCGACGACGGCAAGTGGGTCGCCACCGACACGCCCGACGCGGAAAAGGGCACGAGGAAGGACGAGGATCGTGCCGATCGGCAGATGGGGACGTGGGTGCAGCGCGCGGTGTTCGAGTCGACTTTCACGCTCGACTGTCCACCGTCGTTCGTGCTGTCGGACTTCATCAAGTGCGCGGTACGTGCCGCGGTCCCCGTGTAGCTCATCGGACTCACTCCGGCGACATCGGAACAGTACGACCTCGTGGTGAACGTGCCATTCCCTGGGGTAGGTAACACACTCAGGTTGGAGGCGTCAGTGGTGGTCACCTCAGGAGTTGAGACGACGGTGCCGCACGACGTATCTGCCCCCGGCTACGTTGTTGCGGAAGCTTTGACGCTGGATCTTCCGCCGTGAGTCGCGGGGTTTTGTGCTTAGACTTTGTGCTGATCACTTCCGTCGCGATAGGGCCTACTGGGACACGAGCAGCAGCGGATGGGACACGAGCAAAAAGGTCTCCGAGTGATCTCTCGAGTCGCCATGGGCACAACGGAGCCTCTCAAGATGATGGTGGGGTTCGTTGAGGGTGGTGTCGACAACTCGGTTGTGGTCAATACGTTATGGACGCTAGTTTATGTCCCCGGACGGAGAGGTCGTGTGCGGGCTACCGTTGCCCGAGTTTCATTACTACCAGCTTGCGGCGTGTACGGCGTAGCTGCAAGTCACACGTCAAAAACATCGCACCTATTGGCATTCATTGTGTACACGACGCTCCGCGCAAAGGGCTCTGTCTCTGCACTCTCCCTCGACGACGCTTGAACCAAGCCTGGCTTACCATCAAACTACGCTCGCCAGGGTCGCCGCAGTGCCGTGAGCATGGTCAGGCCTTCAGGGGTAGGGGTGTGGGCTCGCGCCGCGGCTTCGCAACCGAACGTCTGGCACTACTAGGAGAAACGATACACAAACAAGACAGGTGTGTATCATTCGCGGGTATACGGAGGTGGTAGAATGACAGTCCCGTCGCCCACGTTCGCCCATCGCAGCCCGGAGTCGACCTCTGCAAAAGTACGGCCCATCGAGGCGTCCGACCGGGAGCCGCCCACGGGGTGAACTGCCGCCAGCGCGAGTTTGGAGGACAGGCCCGTGCTCCCGCTAGCCTGTTGCGCGACGAACGGCAGCGCCTGGGTCATCATGTCCCCGCTCCCATCGCTCTCTGCATGCAAACACGATCGTTCCGGAGGCAAATCCGCGCCACGGTCAGCGCCATCCACACGCACCGCGCGGAAACGGTCGGCGCACCTAGCGTGAGGCGGCTAGCTCGTCGCGGCCCCCGACGCCTTCGGAGAAAAATGACGAGCGCGGCCGCGATCGCGACGATCGCGAGCCCACCGACGACGCCGCCCGCGATCGCCGCCGTGTGGGAGCGCGAGGAAGAGCCTGAGGGCGCTGCGTCGTTTCCCCCAGTCGGTTTAGAGGCGGCGCTGCTGGTACTGGGGCTTGAGTCTGTTCCGGTGGTGAGAAGGATGCCCGAGCTTGACGGGGAAGGAGCAGCAGCGGTGGTCGCGCCAGTGGTCGCGGGGGTGGTTGTCAAGTTGATCACCGCGGGCGCGAAGAGGAGGAAGTCGAGCCAGTACGTGTTCGGCGCCGTGCCGTTCACGTTCGTGATTGTGAGCTCGTGCTGGCCAGCGGCGAGCGTGTTGGAGGAGAAGAATGTGACGTTGATGAGGAAGTGGGGCGGATCGACTTGGGGCGCGGTGAACGTCCCGAGGACGTTTCTATCGATCGCGTACTCTGTGATCGGCCAGCCGTGGACGTCGTTGGAACCCACGAGCCCCCAGACAGAGACGTGTGTCCCTATATGGAGATACATCTCGTCTCCACAGTCGAATACGAGATGAAATGGAAGTACGCACCTGTGAAACTGAAGGTGGCTGTGAGGTCCGCAGACGCTGCGCCATGTTTTGTTCCGAGGACGCTGGCGCCGTCGTTGGCGAACACTTTCCAGCCAGGAGTGTAGGTGATCTGGGTATCCGCGTCGTCCACGAAGGTGGCCATAGAGTAGACCAGCAAGATAAACAGAGGGCGGAGTCGATGGGGGAGAGACTCAGAGACGCTGTCAGAGACGAAGATATGTTATGTATACAACAGGCGTTAGCGCGACGGACGATTTCAAACGAGACCTCCTAATATATATGTACTTACCCCATGTACAGCAGAGAAGCCGGGCGTCTGGGTGCTCTTCTCACAATTTAGGTTGAGCGCTGTGAGGCGGTGGACGGTGGCATACGTCAGGGCGAGAACAGAAAAACCCTCTAGATATGATACTGTCGAGGGAGAAGGTGGGAGATATGGACCGGCGTGGCGAGCAAGGACCGAAGACCGATCGCGGCAGGTGAGCGGTTTCGAATTCATCGAGAGCACAGCGTCGAAGGATTGTGGACGGCGCCGCGCGTACCGTGCAACGTCGGGTATGGTGGGTGTTGAGTTGGGAAGACAGCCTGATGAGTTTCACAACGTCGCCTTCGGTGCATGAAATCCATGTGTCTTCCTTGACAGCGGGTATAGATAGCCCGATGCGCAAACCTTCGTGTGCGGGCGTTGGAGGTACGGGTTCTCGGCGAGGACGAATTTGATGCTTGCAAACGACTGGCGCCAGTCAGAGTCTCCGTATCTGCAGAGGGTCGAGTGGCTGAGCACGTAGGATATGGCCTCGATGTGGACCGGTTTGGTGGTGAGGGCGGAGAAGAGCGCATCGTTGGTGTCCGGGAAGCGTACGACTTCACCGGGGACATCGTCCTTCAACTGCCACTTGTCCAGAGCGACAGCCAAGGCTTCATCGTCCGCCGACGTATCTGTCGCCCCCATCTCGATCGGGTCGGCCAGCGCACGAGGGATCACTTCATGCGCTACACGGGTGCGGTCCCGCTCGTCCAGCGGGACTGATCCATAAGCGTGACTGAGCCTGATTGTGAAGCGTAACGCAGAGGTAGACGAGTCGGATCGTTGCGGCGAGCTTCGCATCCACTGGAAGTGTGCGATATCGATTCAGTCCATGTTGCGGATAAAGGATGAGTTGACGGGGCGCCCGTGGCGCGACTGCTATGTCGAACGGCCCAGGGCCACTCGCATCTTGTGCTTCTTCCACCATCTCCCCCAGAATAGTCGCAACAGTTGGATACGGTGTTCGGCGGATTTGGAGGGAAAAAGCGCAGCTCGTCAGCGACCAGGCATGCCATCCCAGCGCGTGAGCTGCGGTGTCCCCACGGAACTTTCATCGCTCGACCTTCGGCGGTCGCCCACCTGGTTGAACGTTCATGAGTTACATCTGGGTAGTAGTACGATACAACAAGCGTTGCTTACGAGACTATAGCATAGACAACGATAAACACAGCGCACCTCCCCCCTCCGCGGCGTCGGATCGCACAGGCCCAACCTCAAGGCCTCACTTTGTACTCTTCGATCGGCGGATGTGTTCGTCGGCGCTGTCTCGTCGCGCCCACCGAGCCTGATCATATACTCGAACATTGCCTGTTCGGTAGTCGATGTCGGCCCAGACGTCGCGGTCAGCCCCGCGCGCCCGGAAGGCGTCCGGTCAGCGTACCTGCACCCGGTCCCAGTCCATCGGCCCGTCGTCCTCTTCGCCATACGCGCGCGAGTCGTCTTCGCGGCCTTCACTGAGGCCCCAGCCGCCTATGCTCATCCACCGGGTGCCGCTCGGATCTGGGCCCCTGTAAGCAAACCGGGTCAGCGACGCTTCCCGCAAGGCAGTCCGATCGACGAGCAAAGGTGTCTGAGTCTAAGTATGAAGATATCGACCCCATGGGCGATGTTGAGAGGCAACCCCCTGCGAAATTGAAGTCCGACGTACAGCCGTACCAAGCTCGCCAAGGGTCGAGCTCGACCAGGCCCCATGCAGTTGGCGCTGCCAGCGACGTTAGCCTTCCCAGGCGCACTCCTCCTCCTTGGTCTGCCAGTGCACGAACACCCGGCGACCACGCAGATGCAGCCAAAGCCCAAGGCCAGTAAGGACGTACCTGATGCTCTCCAGCAGCTCCTTGTCCCGCTTCCGCCCTGGGTCCGCGAACACGACCGTCCCGCGCGGCGTGTTCGTCTCGCCGTCATCCCAGTCCGCTTTTCCCCGCCCGTCCGCCCGCCTGACCGCGCGCGTTCCCATCCCGAGCCCGCCGCTACGAGCGCGGGCGTGCGCCCATCGCCCCGTCCGTCTTCTGCGCGATGAGGCCTGGCGGTCGGGCGGTATGTTGGGCCGATCACGCTGATGACGAACTGCCATACCGGTGTTGATATGGGCCCAGGAAAGTGTGCGCAACCTGAACGCCAGGGGGAGGTTGGACAACTTTGATCGAGTCTGACCTCATGTCAGGGATTGCGTTGACGCTAAGGTAGAGGAGAGGGAGCCCCATGGAGAGGGGTGTCGGCCCTCGGGCCCAGTACCAGGAACCCGGGCCGCGAGTGGGCGCCAGTCCGGCGACCGCGCGCGCTAGTGAAGCTTCACCGCAAACCTCCATCATCTTCCTTGCTCAGCGTAACAAAATGTCCTCTCTCAGTCTTCTATCTCTCGACGACGACGCCCTCGTGTGCATCTTTGCTTTTTTGGACACAGAAGACGCTTTTCGGATGGCGTTCACTGCCAAACGCCCATACATCCTCGCCCTCCCTTGTGCCCTCGCCGACGTCAACCTCATCCACACCCTCGCAGGACCACCCGATGGGTCCCTTATTCCTCTCCCTGCGGATTCTGTGCTCCGAAGATTGATATATACCGAATGCATTGATCCTGTTCTTATCCGATCACGGTCATCCTATATCCGCCACTTCTCCGCTCCAGTCTTGTCATCGTATCTCCTGAGACGTAAGGCGGCAAGGATAGAGATGATTGAGCGCGTTACAACGACATTGTCCAGGTCGGCTTGCCTGCGCTCACTCGCGATACCGCACTTCCACCATTACTGGACGCATAGCCCCGACCTCTTGGCCGACTTCACACAACTCCGCACACTCGTCCTCAGCAGCATCCGTACCATGCCCACAGACAAGACACCGCTCCCCGACATTCCTCCTCTCGCTCTCGCCCATACCCTCCACTCCCTCGACCTCACCTTCCCGTCAGGATGGCTCATCGAACATCGGGAACACGTGGCCCGCATCGTGACCCGTCTGCAGGCATTCCCCGCCCTGCGCACCCTGTGCCTTCGCATCGATGCCACCATCGCTTTTCAAGAAAAAAGCGCACTACATCTGCCGCCATCTTATCCGCGCGCGACGCTGCCGAACATCCGTAACCTTACAATCCTCAGTTGGAGCCCACAGCCCGTTCCGGAATGCCCCCACGTCGAGGAATTGACACTCGGTCGAAGTGAGCTGTACTGGCAGAGCGCAGCGGGTCTTCGGTGGTCTCCACTACACGCCCTGACCATCTTGTACGACGATGACTACGACTGGCCGACTCGGCGCGGGGCTTCCTGTATCAAGCGTGCAAGTCGTTTATGGTTCAACTCCAGTCGTCCCAACGAATGCGGCATCGAGCAATACGAACACGACACCGGCAAACTGTATTGGGAAGAACTCCCGGGTCTGTCGACGTTCCTGTTCTCCTGTACGCTCCTCTGGTTCCTCGACCTGTCGGGCGTACAAACGGGCCGCAACCCGGAGGGTTTCACCGACAACGAAACCGCTCTCGCCCGCGTCGCCGCACGCCTGCGCTCCCTCCACATCGACGTCCACCCCTCCGCCCTCCTGAAGGACGCCTCGTGGGACACGTTCGCGGTGAGCACTTTGCGCACGCGATCGATCTGGCCGCGACCCTGACTTCAGACTGCCCCGATGACTGTCCAGGGTGCGTTCCCACAGGTGCTCGCCGCCGCGCCGCTCGTGCACCTCACCCTCGTCCTCGCCCCGCGCGACCACAAATCCGACGCGGAGGTTCCGAGCAGCTGGGCCGCCGAAGAGCTTGCACGCGTGCGAGTCGCGCGGGAGATCCCGCGGCGCCTCGCGGAATCGATCGCGACGCTGCGCGTGCTACAGGTCGGAGACGCGATGCCGCACGCGGCCTGGCTGCCCCCGCAGAAAGTCCAGCGCGCAGATGACGAGGATGACGGGAGCGACGAGAGCTGGCGGAGCTGTCTCAGAGAGATGGCCGAGATGGAAGTGGTGCGGCGACGGCGATGGTGGTGGATCGAGAGGAAGGATGGCAGCGCGGCGATGACGGAGATGTGGCGGGAAGACGGGGAGAGGGCGCGTGACTTGGTAGAAGAGGATGGATTTGACCGCGCGACGGGGCTTGACGGTACGTTCTGGTCTCCCGAGCCTTCCTTGTGGGTGCGCTAACCAGGTTGTCTCAGGTTTCTTCACACCGAAGTGTGTTTATGAGCCTTGATCGCAGATGGGAAAACATGCATCGTACTTCAGTGCCATCTGTCTCTTCATATGGCACCATTTCTGTCCAGGCAAGATTGTGTAGTGCGAAAGCACTTCATGCCCCGCCAGGCCGCAAGATCCCTAACATCGAGCACGTCCATGATCAACAGACGCCTCGCGCACGGCCACCGCGCACGAACGCGAGGCGCGGAACCACGTCGATGCCACACGCCAGAGTGAGGGGTAGGCGTCGAATTACCGCGCGCGCGGGGCATCTCCGCCCACGAACTAGTACGTACGTAGCGTGCTTGTAAATTGATGGTATGGAATCCTCATTCTCTCATCGAGGCCACCTCGTGCCTCCCACCATCACATCCAAGCGCGACACCTGTAGCCTTACGATCCATCCATTCCTCCGCATGCCCGAACGACTCCGCGTTGACGGTTAGGGCCCTTCTGCGCCGTCGCCCGATGGAGCCACGGTCCTGACGAACACCTTTCGCCCGACAGAACGCCCCTCCGACCGTGCTCGTACGGTCGCGGCCGCCCCGCTCGTGCACCTTGGTCCCGTTCTCGTCCCCCGCGACCCCGCGAGTGACGGAGGCGTGCCGCTCAGTCGGGGCGCACGCGCGGGAGCCCTCGCAGACGTAATCGCGATCACGACGCTCCGCGTGCGGCAGATCGGGGACGCTGAACCTGAGAGAGAGGCGGAACGCTTGGTCGCTGGAGTCAAGCCCGGGCGGCGCCGGAGGTGGTGGTGGATCCAGCGGAAGAATGCAGTGTGGGAAGACCGCGATGGCGGAGGTCGGGCAGGAAGACGGGGAGACAGTGCGAGTTTGGTAGGAGGTGACAGGGGTGACCGTTAGGCGGGGCGGGATGGTGCATTCGAGATCCGTCTACCATGTACGGTCTGTTCACTGATGCGCTGACGAGGTTGTGCCAGGCTTCCTCGTGCCGAGATGTGTCTATGGTCCTTGATCATGGGAGTGAAAGTGGGCGGCGCGCCTTCGGACGCGCGGGAGGCAGAGCGCAGCGACGCTACTGTTCGTACACACGTTTCCGCGAGAAGAAACCTGGGAAGACGACCGGTCAGTCTGAGTCCGTCGCGTTTAGAAGAGCGCTCCAGCGCACCATCGAGGCCCGTCTCGCGATTGAAGTCCCGGTCTTCGATGATGTCCCGAGCCTCCTCGCCGTCCTCGCGCCAGATTTCGATCATCTCGGCGCTCCCGCCTCTGCGCTCGATCCACCACCACCGCTCCGGTCGCGCCAGTTCCCTAGCAATCTGCCGAAGTATGGGCTCTGTTCTGTTGGCCCTTCGTCGGGGGTGCCCGAGCTCGTCTTCGTCTTCGTCTTCGTGATCAGTTCCGTATTCGTCTTTGTCAACTCCTTCGAGTGCCCGCAGATGATGATCCGTATCCCGGATCATGAAGACGCGCAGGGTGGGGACCGACGCGACTAAACCACGAGGAAGGACGTCTCGGACTTTTCTGAAGCCTGGCAGTTCTTTCGCGCTCAAGATGCCAAAGGAGTTGCCCAGATCAGGAGGTGTGGAAATGCTAAGAGAGATGCTGAGGTGGACGAGAGTGGTCTCGGCGAGTACGGTGGGAAGAGAGCTCTGAATGCGCAGAGTCAGCGAGGTGGGAACGCATCATGGAGAGGCTACTCACCGCCAGCCGTTCGTACTTTTCCCCGAGCTTGTCGCGGACCTGGAAAGAGAGGTAGAGAGAACGGAGGCCGGCGAGGCGCGGCCATATCGATCGATCGCGCCGGAAGTATCCGTGGCGAAGCTCTATGAACTGCCCTCTCTCTCTCTCTCTCTATGGGGGGAAGCGACAGAGCAGATAATCCCGAAAGCCTGTCGAGGACATTGGGAGTGTCTGGTTCGTTATCGTTCATGTCTTCCTCTGTGATCCACTCGGTAGCAATGTCCAGATCGAGCCGGTCCACGTGGGTTATCGACACGACATCTAGAATATATGGGGGAGGGAGAGCGCCCCTTATCAAATACCATTTTAATAAAAAGGTGTGAAGATGAGGCCACGGTTGTGTGCTTTCTGAAGCTGTGATCTCGATGCTTTCAACTACGAGATGCTTGACGTTGGGGCAGACAGGAGCCCAAGATTGTGGCCAATTGATAAGCGTGAGGCATCGTATGCTGGGTACGGCTTTCAGGGGGCCTGGACTTTTCTGCCTTGAGATCGGGTCAATGCTGAAGAGGGAGCGCATATGGGGCCAGAATTCGAGGGAAAGGTCAGCGAGACAGTGACAGCTTGGTAACGTCTCCAAAAAGGCTCGAAGGAACCTATCGCAGTTTGGATTGTACGGAATGTTGGGCAGATCACGAACTACCACCCCGGCATTAATGCCCAAGGCCAGTGTGCGCAGTGTGGACGCGAGGGGGAGGAGAGCTGATGGGAGTTGCGCCAGGGCGTATGACCCGACCTCGGACAAACGAAGGGTGGTAAGCTGACCCCGGGGGGAAGACACCGGAGTCTGAAGCAATCGCGGGTCCATTTCGAAAAGAGCTTCCGTTTCGCTGATGGTGAGTGATCGAAGGCGGGGGGTGCATGAGAGAAGTTGGACAAGATTCGCAACGCAGGACGAAACCTTCCTGTACTTCATCCTTTTATTCGTGGAGCCGTGTGGAAGGACGAGCTGGGACAGATAGGTGTGGCGCGGGCGAAGAAGGAAAGGGTCGGGCCTCATCAAAACCGGCGCTGCGCTGTGTAGGCAGTCTTGGTTGAAGTAGTCTGTGCCTACGATTGGCTGCAGGCTGACTGCGGCTCGGAAGTAGGGGACGGCAAGTACATAGGCCCGTTTGCTGGTGCGCGCCATTCTGAATGCGTCCGGGGCCTGGAGATGGGAAAGGGTATGAAGCAGAACATCGTCGTTGAGAGAAAGCAAAGAGAGCATTTTCTGTGGTAACGGCAAACGGCACACAGGTGGGACAGGGGGTCGCGCGCCGATGAGAGTCGAAGACGAGGAGTCGAGGCGCTTGACGCCATCGCTCACGCGTCGGCCTGGATCACATGATCCACATCGAGAGATGAAAGCACGTACGCGCCTCCTGTGATGGCCACCCGTAGAGCATCTTCAGCACCGAGAATATCGAAATCGAATCTGAGGGCGACGATGTTGAGCATCTTGGAAGTTGGCGTTGTTAGTGCGAACGCGTGCCATGGCCGTTAGACGCGCGTCCATAGCGACCTCGCTCGCGGCGGCGTGGGCAAAAGCTCCTCTTCCAACGCATCTTCGCGATGGCTCGACCCAGCAGCGACGCGCCTTTCCGCACCTTCACCGGCACCTCCGACCATGTCCTCAAAGGCACGCCGGTCGCGATTGGCCGAGCGCACGCGTCCCTCCTCCTCATATACACCGTCCCCAAAGGGATCATCCTCGCCCGCGAGACTCCCCTCAGTCTCAACTTCATCGACCCCGCCGACCCGTCCACCGTCCCGGGCGAAGGCGTGCCCATCTCCACCGACGGCGCCGCGCACCCACCACTCCGCTTCGTCATCCGCAGCACGACTCTCGATTCCCTCCTGGCCCTCCGCGACAACGAGGGGCGCGCGCCCGCGCACGTCGTCAAGCGGTTCCCGCCGCGCAGCCGCCGCGGGCCGCTCGTCGAGGTCGAGCTGGACGTCGCGGAGAACGAGCTCGCGCACGCGTGCGCGCGGTGCGGCCGGTGGGAGGCGCTCTACGGGCCGCGGTTCATGCGCTGCGGTGGGTGTCGGAGCAGGCGGTACTGCTCGAAAGAGGTGCGTGCTCCACCCATGTCCTTTACAGCGGAGAGTGACGGACACGGGGGCGGGGGAACAGTGTCAAAAGGCGGACTGGAAGAAGGCGTACCACAAGAGCGAATGCGCACTGCTGAAGGAGGGGAAGGCGGCCGAGGTCGAGGGCCGGCGGAGGCTGCACGACAACGGGCGCGGGTCTCCGTTCAGTGAGCCCGGCATCCCTATCATCGCGCGCTGTAGGCACCAACCTGCATGACAGACAGGTCGCCTCACGACGGCGGAGAGGCGTACGAGCGCGCGATGGACGACTGCGACTACCTCTTCCTCGCGCACGGAATGCCGTCTCCCCCGCGTGACGCGCCCCCCGGCACCGTCCCCCCTCGCCCTTCGCCCGACACCCCAGTCGGCCCGAACGGACTTCCGGTCGACTTATTCTCCACCGGCTCGGCCTCGACGGATATTTACCTCAGAGACATGTTCCAGGCCAAGCGCAAGTACGGGGACAGCTACGGCGCGCACATCCGTGTGCTCGAGAACGACTTCGCGGACATGCGCATGGGGCCCCCGCCCGCTCGCGCCGCGGGAGACCAAAGCTCCCTTCCGCCGCTGCCCTCCATCTCCGGCTTCACGCCGACGGGCGACGAGAGCGAAGACGAGATCGCCTTGTTCGACTACGTGGGCGAGCACGGGACGGAGGCGCAGCAGGAGGAGGTCATGCGTGCCATCGACGCGCGCATGAGCCACAGAGAGCACGCCATGCACGGGACCGTCGACCGCTTTCGCGAGGCCCAGAACCAGGCGGAGTACTGGAGTGGAATGGAGAAGATGCTGAGGCCACCGGGGATGGATGATCCCTCAACCGAGCACGGCATGCTTAATGGCCTCGACTGAGAGGGAGATGCCGGATGTAATGTACGGTCAATCACGAAATGAACACGGGTACGTTGCTCGTGCGCGCGAGGACGGCTGAGCCCGCGACGCGTGGAAGATAGTGTATACAGTGGACTCGCACTCACCGGGGGCCGCGTAGGCTTTTGTCGTGTCTCGGTCTGCGCAGCCTCGTGGTCGAGCAGGGTGCCCGACGGCAGCTTTTTCGGTGAACAGTTGTCATGAGAGCGGGGCGTCGAAGTTGTGGTTGCGCGTGGATGAGCCGTTAACTGGTAAGCCGCAGGATCCGTGTTCCATGTGCGTAGGAAGCCGAGATCCGAGAGGCGAGCGAGCACGGACAATTACGCAACTACACAGAAGTTAACCACGAGCGACTTCAACGCCCTACATCCCGAAAAACCTGCGGGGTCTAACTACCAGCGAGACATATCCCGAGATGTTCTGGTACTGGCTGCCTGCCAATTTGGGGTACGGAATGGCAAAGCTCGTGCGTCTGGCAGCAAATAGCCGCGCGTGCCCCTTGCCTTCCACCGCCTTCCACCTCTTCCTCGCTGCTGCCCACTTGCTCCCGACGCAGTGCTGGACGCCTTTCCAGGACGTCCTCTGCAGTCTTCTGTGGACCGTTTACCAATGCCCCCCGCTCCCAACTCTTCCTGTCTTGGCTCTCCTGCGACCGACGACACTATCATCTCAACACCGCCCTGCACGACGCAAGTTCGAAGACATGGTCATGTGTTATGCACGAGCAGAGATTGGGGAAATGAGGAGGCAGGAGTAGGTATATCGACGAGGTTCGTCAATCGTCATCTGTGATATCCGGATCCCAGTCCAATCGACCCCCTGTAGGCCATGTCATCACACCTGAACTGAGAATACGCGGTTGGCCACGGCGTACGCCCACATCCATGCGACCGCGCGACACCGTCAAGCTGTGTTGCACGGGAAGGATGCCTTCCTGCCAAGCCCGTATTCCACGGTGAGTCCGCCCGCTTTCCCCTCCTCGTATCCGTTCGCACTCCGCCTCCGCCCACCCTTCTACATCGCTGAGGCGTGTCACTCCCTCAAGTGTGGGCCAGACTAGAGCATACATGCCCTTCTCTGGTCTGCTACTTCGTGGATGGATGCGGGAGACTGAGAGGAAGGCGGACACGTTGGTCTTATCTCCGCATTCAGCCCACTGCCCCGCCGCTCGTCTCTCTCACAACGCTGCCCGCACAGCTCGTGCATGCGGGAATGAGGATTATCGCCGCTTGACAGGGACATGGACGCGGACGTTAAAAAGCCTCGGTCGCGGGTCGTGTTTTCTGACCCTTTCACACCCAGCATTCCTCCACGTCAAGACGCGATGACCACCCGCGCGATGTTTTCCAAGCGTAGCCACTCGTCCAAGGCCATCGAGCTTCAGGTTCCGCCGGGAATATACCTGTCTGGAACCACCATCACTGGGCAGGTCAACATCAACCTCCGTCTTGTCCATGAAGAGGACATAGATGCGGCCGAGGTCCGCTTATATGGCTACGCAAACACGTACGTCAGATAGGCTCAGTTCAATTGACGCTGCTGACATGCTTGAGGGCACACCAGCTGTTACGACAGCAGGGTGCTCGTGCGCGAAACCACCACACTGTGGACGCGTGGATCAAGCATATACCCTCTCCCAGGCTCTGATATTCTGTCCATGCCCTTTTCGTTCACTCTTCCCGACAAGCTTCCACCCTCATTTCAAGTTCAAGGGCTGGAGTACAGTGCCACTGTCCGATACTCGCTCACTGCGGTCGGCTTGTCGCGCCAGGGCCTTCTCAACGTCAACAAGCAGCACTGCGTCCCGCTGACTGTCGTCCCGAAAGACGACTTCGGGACCTCTCTCATTCAAGGTTGGGTCGCACAAGGATGGCAGACCTTCTCCAAAGAGGAGCGCATTCGCAAAGGCCTCTGGGGCGAATATTCTACCGTCTTTGTCCAGGTACGCCCATCCGACGTGCAATCCTAATCCTTGGCTCTTTTTTGACTTCCGCTTCCACGTTTCCAGCTCGACCTCCCGAACCGCATATTGCCGCTCTCGTCAACGCTTCCATACGTCATCACTATCACGACCACCTCTTCGCCGCTCACGCGCACCCAAGCTGCCACGCACCCGCCCGCGTTCCCGCTGATGCCCACATCTGCAGACGCGCTCCATTTCACGCTCGGACGCCGTCTGGTCATATGCGCGCCGCACAACTCGACACGTTCGTACAAGGAAATCGAGGCATTCCTGGGACCGAAAGCAACCACAGCCGTCACTGGCAAGGCACGACCGCTTGTCAGGGGCAGCATCGACAACGGCAAGTGGGTGCCCCACGACGGGCACAGCGTGAGCACAGATGAGTCGGACCGGCGGATGGGCGCGTGGGTGCAGCGCGTGGTGTTCGAGTCGACGTTCACCCTCGACTGCTCGCCGTCGTTCGCGCTGCCGGGTCTGATCGAGTGCGCGGTACGTATATTTTGCCTCTTTCAGTCCACACCTCCGATGTTTACGCCGTTCGGACAGTATGAGTTCGTGGTTACTGTACCGTTCCCTGGGCTGAGGAACGATGTCCGACTGGCGGTGCCAGTGACAGTTACTTCCGGCATCTGGACGACGGGGTCGCAAGACGTGCCACCTCCTGGTGTTGCTACGTCGGAAGTTCTACCACTCGACATCCCACCGTGAGTCGGTTCTTGATCGTCGGTGATGCCCTGACGCTGACCGTTGACACCTCGATAGTGCGTACTGGGATATGAATTACCCTGGAAGATTGAACGATGACGAGAAGTCTGGCAACTAAGCTCCCCGCTCAAGAAAGTAGAACGGGAGATCTTAAGAACCGAGTGTAACATCGCGGCCACAATGTTTAGGACCAACGTTTATGACAGCACGTTTCGGATTTCAGTTTGTGTGCGAGTTATCCCTGGTCCCTACAACGGTTTGGAGTCAACACACCTCACGTGGACATGGTTGCAAGTCACGCGCAATGTCCACCGGCGCGTATCGACATCGATGGACACTCGGAGCTGCGCACACGCAAAGGCTTACCGCAACCCTTCATCATCTCCTGCGCTGTATGTCGTCTCTGACCCTCCTTTGTCTTGACGACGACGTCCTCCTGTGCGCTTTCGCATTCCTCTGCGCGGAAGACGCAACGCGGATGGCGTTGACCGCTAAACGACCCTACGTCCTCGCCCTTCCGTTCGCCCTGGCTGACATCCACCTAACTTCGGTCCCGGTTCGAACATCCTCCTCAAAACACTCTCGGAACCTCGGAGTTTACACTGCAAGTTTGCTCCTCCGACGATTGGAGTACCTCCGAAGCTTTGATCCTATTCTTTGTCGGCCACGTGCATCCTACATTCGCCACCTTTCTACTCCCCAGATGTCCATACATCTCAGGAAAGGAGGACCAGTGGTCGCCATTATCGAAAGCGTCACCGCCGTCCTATTACAAACGTCATCCCTACGCTCACTCGAGGTCCCGTACTTCTCCGCTTACTCGAACCAGGTCCTGGACTTCGTCGAGCGGTTGGCCGAATTGAAACACATCCACACTCTGGCTCTGAGTAGTGTTTGTACCTCTGTAAGACAGGATATGAGCCCGCTACCAGAGCTCCTCCCCTCCTCCTTCGCCTGCACCCTCTGCTCTCTCACCCTCAGCTTTGCGCCGGCAAGGGATATCGCTGCACAGGAACACATGACGCGTATGGTGGCGCGTCTACGAAACTTCCCCGCCTTGCGCACCCTGCACATCAGCATTGCGGGAAACATGTATGGATACCTCCTATGTCACCCACCGAGTTCGTATTCACGCGCGATCCTGGAGAACATCCGCGACCTTACCATCCACGGCCCATGGATCCCATCACTCGTTCCAGACTGCCCAAACATCACGGACCTAACGCTCGGACTTCATGAGCTGCGTTCGCAAAGCGCAGCTGGCCTCCAATGGCCGGCACTGCGCACACTCGCCCTCGTTTATGCACCCTACTCCAATTTCCCGACTCGAGTCCAGTCATCTTGCATCACGCGTGCAAGTCGTCTCTGGCTCAAGCCCAGTCCCGCTCCCGCAGACCACTACCCGGACTCCGACTGGGACAGCGACTCTCCCACAGAGCACTGCAACCCGCCGGACTCCCAGCGCGAGACCGGCGAATCCTTCGCCAACACACTTCCGGGTCTGTCGACCCTCTCGTTCTCCTGCACGCTGTATTGGTTCTGCGAAAAGGCAGACCTCAGTGACGACGACGATGGCGTTGACGGCTTTGACGACGACGGCGCTTATGTTAGGTCTAGTGAGGAGGCCGGAACCGACGTCTGGGATCCTCCCCGTCTCACCCCCAACGAAGCCGCCCTCGTCCGGGTCGCCGCCCGTCTGCGCTCTCTCCACCTCGACGTCCACCCATCTGTGTACCGGGGCTACGTCTTTTGGTGGGAAACACTTACGGTGAGGACCGTCCTCTGCCCGAGACGGACCCTCCGCAATCGATACTGAAGGAAGTTCCCTTTCGCGCACCCAGAACGCCCTCCCGAACGTGCTTGCCGCCGCGCCGCTCGTGCACCTCACCCTCGTCCTCGTCCCATACGACCACACAGCCGAGGAAGTGTCGAGCAGCTGGGCCGCGGACGAGCTCGCGCGCGTGCGGGCCGCGCGGGAGATCCCGCGGCGCCTCGCGGAGGCGATCGCGACGCTGCGCGTGCTGCAGGTCGGGGACGCGATGCCCCATGTGGCCTGGCTTCCGCCGCTGCAAGTCCGGCGTTACTACGGCGACAAATACGACGACAAATACGACGACAAGAGCGAGGAGGAAGAATGGGAGCGTTGCGTTCAGGAGATGGCCGCGATGGAAGCGGTGCGGCAACGGCGATGGTGGTGGATCGAGAGGAGGGACAGCAGCGCGGTGATGACGGAAATTTGGAGGGATGACGGGGAGAGGGCGCGGGAGTTGGTCGAGGAGGACGGATTCGACCGCGACACGGGGCTTGATGGTGCGTTCTCTTCTCCGCGGTCTCGTTTTGATGCGCTGACCATGCCGTGCCAGGTTTCTTCACGTCGAAATGCATTTACGAACCTTGATCGCGGATGCTACGAACAGTGCCTCTGCGCTCGCTGTATTATTTTATCTCTCGGCTCCTTATTCTGATGCCGCACACCGCTTTGTATCGACGTGCTTCAGTGTCCCGGCCGAACGTGCGTTCGACAACGCCGAAAGTTGCTCAATGTCCGTTTCCGCATTCATTGCGAGATGATCCCCGCGTCCCTTTCCTCGGCGCAGTCTAATCTCATATCAGAGACCCGTTGACGCCGAGATGGAGGAGAGGAGGCGCGTCCTGGGAAGGAAGAAGGACGCGGGGTCAGTCGCGACGCACTGGAGAGGCTCGCGTCGGGCGACGGAGACCCACGAGAAGGCCCTTGTAGTTCCTGCCGGGAATGCTATGAGGTGCGTGATGTGCAGGGAGGGGAGGGTGATAAAGTCTGTCCAGATTGGAGGTCCGGCTGGTGAGAGCAATACAAAGCATCAGATCTAGATGGTTCGAGGAAAACGAAGATGCGTCAAAATATGAATATCAAGCATATTTCGCACTCTCACAAGTACGAGTATAGGCACAGAATAGTGGTGCGAAAGCGACAGATGTCGGAAACATACGCGGCGTTTCCCGTTGGGTGTTTGAACTCCGGTTAAAGCGCCGACATCCAAGCCCGGCAGGAACCCGGGCCACGACTGAGCGCCAGTCCCGCGACCACCCCCACGCTGGCGAATGATCAGAATGTTGACCGCGAACCTCGATCATCCTCCTGGCTCAGCGCAACAAAATGCCCTCTCCCAGTCTCATGTCCCTCGACGACGACGTCCTCCTGTGCATCTTCGCTTATCTGGACACAGAAGACGCTTTTCGGATTGCGTTCACTGCCAAACGCCCCTACATCCTCGCCCTCCCTTATAGTCTCGCCGACGTCAACCTCACCTCTGCCCTCACAGGACGGACCGATGGGCCCCTCAGTCGTCTCCCTGTGGATTCTGTGCTCCGAAGATTGGCATATGCTGAATGTATTGATCCTGTTCTTATCCGATCACGGTCATCCTTTATCCGCCACTTCTCCGCTCCAGTCTTGTCCTCGTATAGCCTGATACAACAAAAACAACTTATAGGGATGATCAAGCACGTCACAACGGTCTTGCCAGCCTGCCTGCGCTCACTCGCGATACCGGACTTCCACCATTATCGGACGCATAGCCCCGACCTCATCAACCGGTTGGCCGACTTCACACAACTCCGCACACTCGTCCTCAGCAGCATCCTTACCATGCCCACAGACAATACACCGCTCCCCGACCTTCCTCCTCTCGCCCTCGCCCATACTCTCCACTCCCTCGACCTCGCCTTCCCATCGAAATGGGTCATCGAGCATCGGGAACACGTGGCCCACATCGTGGCCCGTCTGCAGGCGTTCCCCGCCCTGCGCACCCTGTGCCTTCGCAGCAATAGCATGGTCACTCCTCAAGAAACAAGCGCACTACTTCTGCCGCCATCTTCTCCGGCGCGCGCGACGCTACCGAACATCCACAACCTTACAATCTTACGCTGGAGCCCGCAGCCCGTTCCAGAATGCCCGCATGTCGAGGAATTGACACTCGATCCGGGCGAGCTGCACTCACAGAGCATAGCGGGTCTTCAGTGGCCATCAATCCGTTCTCTAACCATCTTGTACCACGGAGAATACGACTGGCCGACTCGGCGTGGGGCTTCCTGTATCAAGCGTGTAAGTCGTTTATGGCTCAAATCCGGGCGGCCCGCCGAATACGGCACCGGGCACTACGAGCGCGACACCGGAATTGTACTTCGAGGAACTCCCAGGTTTGGCCACGCTCCTGTTCTCCTGTACGCTATTCTGGTTCCTCGATCTGTCGGACATACAAACGGGCCGCACCCCGGAGCCGGGCCGGTTCACCGACAACGAAACCGCGCTCGCTCGGGTCGCCGCACGCTTGCGCTCCCTCCACATCGACGTCCACCACTCCAACCTCGTGAAGGACGCTTCCTGGGGCACGTTCGTGGTGAGCACTTTGCGCACCTCTCCCGCACCGTCACTGTGGTCCTGACTTCGGGCTGCCCCGACGGCCGTCCAGAGTGCGATCCCGCAGGTGCTCGCCGCCGCGCCGCTCGTGCACCTCACCCTCGTCCTCGTCCCGCGCGACCACAAATCCGACGCGGTGGTCCGGAGCAACTGGGCCGCCGACGAGCTCGCGCGCGTGCGGGCCGCGCGGGAGATCCCGCGGCGCCTCGCGGAGGCGATCGCGACGCTGCGCGTGCTGCAGGTTGGGGACGCGATGCCCCACACGGCCTGGCTTCCGCCGCTGCAAGTCCGGCGTTACTACGGCGACAAATACGACGACAAATACGACGACAAGAGCGAGGAGGAAGAATGGGAGCGTTGCGTTCAGGAGATGGCCGCGATGGAAGCGGTGCGGCGACGGCGATGGTGGTGGATCGAGAGGAGGGACAGCAGCGCGGTGATGACGGAAATTTGGAGGGAAGACGGGGAGAGGGCGCGGGACTTAGTCGAGGAGGATGGATTCGACCGCGCGACAGGGCTCGATGGTGCGTTCTCTTCCCCGTGATCTCCTTGGATGCGCTGACCGGGTCGTGATAGATTTCTTCACATCCAAGTGTGTTTATGAGCCTTGACTGCAGATGGGAAAACATGCATTGTGCTCAGCCCCTGATTGTGCGGTGCGACAACACTTCATTGTGTTCGACAGGCTGCCGGGCCACGACACGCCAACAGTCAAGCGCGCTCATGATCAGCCAACACCTTGCGCAAGACCATCGCGCACGAACGCGATGTGCGGGCCTCGCGGAGGCCTTGCACCAGACAGAGGTGTCGGCGTTGAGTTACCACGCGCCCGGAGCATCTCCCTCAGCCCGCGAGTAATCAAACGGCGTGTGCGCTGTGGGATGACTAAACTCGCGCTGCAACGACCCGAACTGTTCTGGGATAACATGGATAACGTACGGGTTCATTACGAGATGCTCGAGGTGGGGTAGACTAAGATAGGGGCCCAGTCGGGGTACGGCCAAGCGCTAACCGGGTCAGAGAGGAGCAAGAGAGACGTCGGAAAGAGCTGGGGAAGCGTGCGTCGACCCACATGCTTCAACGAAGTTCAAGTCCACCACCTGAAAGGCGCGCAAAGGGGAAAGGGGGCACCGGGCGGAACCGTGCCAGGGTGCGTGGGCCGATATTTGACGGGTGCAGGGAGCTGGCCAGTTCATACCCTGGGAGAGGGCTCCATCTTTAGTTAGCACCTGTACTAGTGTAGTTGCTTGCCGCGTGACACGTAAACTATGCTGGTTTGGGGGCGGCTAAGTGACATAATCACCCGCCTCCTCCTCCTCCTGCACTTTGAAGAGGGGCGCGTACGTTCTGCTGCGGACGCCCAGCCAGCTCATCGCTAGCCTTCCTCTCTCTCTCGTCGGAGCTTCCTATACATCTCCATCACCGCAACGCACCTCATCGTCGGCGATTCGCACGAGCGCACTAAGCACGACCAGACTCTTCGACGTGCGCGTAGCGTGTGGTGTCCGACTCTGTCATCCAGCGATGATGGGGAATCCCAGGTAAATTGCAACAAGATGTATGTACGATACAGACAGTGGGAAGGGACTGCGAACCGCGACGACGGCGACGGACGAGTACAGAGAAGGAAAGCAACGGAACGAACGCAAGCACAAAGCAAAGCGAGACACGACGCACCCGCACACGAGCATCCAGAGCACTCAGCAAGACCAGACCAGACCAGACGCCCGCGCGCCGCGCCGTCCATCGACCTCGCCTACCTCCGCACCTCCCGCCCGATCCACGTCCCCTGCATCTGCGCCTGCGTCAACGAGCGGCGCGCCCCCGCCTCGTCGCGCTCCTCCGGGCCGCGCACCACCTGGTCGACCCACCCGCCGAGCGCGCGCCCGAGGCTCGCCGCCTCCACCGAGCTCTGCGCGCCGCTCGGCCCGAAGCGGTCCCAGATGGCCTGCAGGCGCGGGTCGACGGTCGTGGGCCGCTCGGGCGCGGCGCGCGGGGCTGCTTGGGTGGGGGACACGAAGAACGTGTCGCCGGTGAGCGGGGTGCCGTTTGGGTCCGGGCGGAGGGCGCGGGCGATGCGGCGCATGGAGCCGCGCTGCGCTTGAGCGTCACGCGGGTCGTGGCTGTCGGGAGTGGAGAGAGGCGTCGCGAGCTGGGGGTGCGGGGATCTCTGGGCGACATCGTGCACGGGCGGAGGAAGGTTCCGAGGGGAAGGAGTGGTGCCGCTGAAACCGAGCCCGACGATGTGAGGGCGTGCCATCGGTGTGCCGTAGGAGCTGATAAGGCACGGCGGGAGGTCCACGTACTCCCGGATGGGAGACAACACGGCCTGTGGCGGGGTTTCGAGTGCCGGGGAGTCCATCGGAGACGTCGTCCACCGCTCGAACATGGGAGTGTGTCCGGTGCGGAGCGGCGAGGGCTGACTCCACAGCGTCTCGGGGCTTCCAGGGGGCACGTCCGTCTGCCGCAGCTGTGCAGGTTGTGGGTGCTGTGGCAAGGCGGGGAGTGGGTGGGGGACGCAGAGGGAACGAGAATGAGGCTGACCTTCAACAAAATCTTCCCATTACTCCCTGGATGCACTAGCCGGCCGATCGCACGACACAGCACCGAGTCTCGCTCCTTCGTCGACGCCGCGAGACCGCGAATCGTGGCATCCGACACCAGCGTGGCCGTCGAGAGGTCCCATGAAGGCGTTGCCACGAACGGCCCTTGAGCCGACGGCGAGAGCGACGGGAGATACCGCGTATGAAGGTCCTCCTTGTCGCCGCCCGATGGCCTGCGTTCCTCTTGCCCGCGCTGGCGTTCACGGCGGCGTTGGCGATACCGGCGAACGGCCTGATAGAAGACGGCAAAGAGAAAGAAGCCGAAGAAGGCGATGCACATCCAGCCGAGGACGACGAGGGTGAGGTGGTCGGAGTCCGAGCCTGCCATGGAGAGAAAGCCGAGAGGCCGCGAGGTGGGATGGGCGAAAGACATGGCTTGACAGACCGGGAGACGAGAGGACAAAGGGTCGAAAAGAGACTGGACCGCACCAAAGTCATACCGAGAGGCTGCCAGGTGAGGCTTGCAGGCCGAGGCCATGGAGGATGACGAGAAGAGGCCGGTGCATGGTTGGGACCGAGACCGGAAACATTCGCAAACGAGACCCGCTGGAGCGACGACGACGTGGAGCAGAGGCAAAGGACACCAAGCGTATAGGCGATGAGGGTGATGGTGGAGAGAAAGGAGTGCAGAACGGGCGTGGATGGCGGTCGGAGTCAGAAGAGCTCGCGACTGGCGCCGCTTCGGTCTCAATCTGCGCGGGCGACTTTGTGTGCCTCTCAGACTCAGCGAGCATCCACCACGACCTGCGCCGTCCCAGGACTCTGGCCACCTCCCAGGATGCTCACTCTCCTTTCCCTCAACGACGACGTACTCCGATCTGTCTTTTCCCTTTTGGAGCCCCCAGACGCGCTGCAAACCGCTCTGACCTCCCGAAGAGCTTATTTGCTTTCCATGCCCAATTTTCTCGCCAGCCTCGACATACACTCTATCCGGATAGCGCTGCAGGACAGAGGCGATCTGGAGGTTTGCATTGCTCGCCATCTGCTTGGAAAAGACCCTCTCCTTCTTCGCCCCCGCCACTCCTACCTCCGGGAGGTTGCCGGCCCTTTCAAGACCATCCACTTCTACCGACAAGCCAGCCAAGTATTCCAAGAAGAATCATCTGATCGACCCCTTCCCTTCGCCTTCACCTCTCGCCTCCGCGTACTCGTATTGTCCGACCTTGAGGCCCGGATCGAGGAATATCCACGAGCTTTAGATATTATAACGCCACTACCTCGACTCACTGTCCTTACCCTGTCCCAAATTGGCAGACGGACACTAGATCACATGCAGAACGTCATGGGATCGGTTTCTTTGACCCTGCGCGAGCTGCACTTGCAGTTAGACCCTCATATGTTTCTCGGGTTGTCGGGCGAAGGCCAGTCGTTGTTCAAACTTCTACAAAGTCTCACAACATTCCAGCGTCTCTCCAGCTTGACTCTCGCCGGCGATTCCTGGGAACCGCTCCCAGAACTACTCGGGGTACCGCATACACTCGCACCACTACTCTCCGTCCGTCACCTCAAATTGCGAGGGTTGTGGCAGTCGCACTGGATCCCGCCCTGCCCTAACCTCGAGCATCTGCAAATTCAGGCCGGCGACCTGTCCGCCCTCTCTGACCTCTCCTGGCCCCCTCTACGCACTTTCACACTCGAACCGACGGTGAATGAAGACGATCAACTATTTCCCGATCTTCGCCACTTCCCTCTCCCACACGTCGACTGCTTCCACGTGCAGGGCACGTTCGTAGACTTGCATTTCCCGCTTGAGGCCTCATATCACACCTTCTTGCTCACCTTCCCCTCCATATCATCGCTCTCCTTCGCCGACTTCCACTACCCCGATCCGGTCCTCTACATCCAGCCGTCGCTTTGGAAGCGCTTTGACCTTTGCACCTCCACTCCGTTCATTTTCGCTCTCGCACCCTCCGTCGTGGCGCACCCGTTTTCGCGGTCAGTGCTCGTCCACTCGTTCGAAAACCGCTCGCTGACAGCTCCTCCAGGACAAGCTCGCCGCCGCGCTCTCCGCGATCCCTCTCATCCACCTCACCATCTCCCTCGTTCCGAGCACCGTGCTCTCCAACGACTCGCAGCCCCCGTTCCAGCCGGACCCAATCCCCGAAGAGCTCGAGCGCGTCCGCGCCGTCCGCGACATCCTCCCCGACGCGCTCGCGACGGCGATTCCGACCCTCCGCGTGCTCTGCGTCGGCGACACGACGCCGCACGCCTCTGCGATGACCATGCAGCCGGAACCGTACGTCGATCTGCCTGCTCCGAATGTCCCCGGTGACGATGACCGCCGTGACCACGACAGGGAGCAATACCTGCCGGACGGCGTTGAAGTGGATGACCGCCTGCTGTATCCCGAATCCGTGCCCCGATATTCCCGGAAGAAGATCGAAAAGGCACTCAAAGCCCAGCTCAAGCTGCGTCAAATGGTCGCTTCCGCCTCGATGCGGGCGCAGCGGTGGTGGTGGATCGAGCGGAGTGGCGGGGAGGGTCTCGGAAGGCCCGAGATGGTTGAGATCTGGCGCGAGGACGGGGAGAGGGCGTGCGAGATCATCGAGGCCAGGGATTTCAAGTCCGATACGAGTCTCAACGGTGAGCCAAATCGTATGCGTCGGAAACGAGCTCCTGTTTATTGTTTTCTTCAACAGGGTTCTTCTCGGAGAAGTGTGTCTACGAGCCGTAATGGGTGGCTTATTCATACTCGCCCCTCGCGTCTCTTCCTACGCGCACAGAAACACGGCCCATTCATACGCAACTATACCCGGTAACGAGCCTCATGTATCAGATCTTCAGATACTGCATACACCATTGGTGCCGACCACACGGCGCAGTCTACACGATAAAAACCTTCGCAGTCTCCGGGATGCTCCATTGCATACATCACTTACACGCTTCGCAGGTGCAGGCGGCCGCTTCGACACCCGCCCGACAGGCGCGGAGACTCCTACGGACTCACGCACGAGCGACGTACCCGTAGTTATTCGCTGGATTGGCGATCATACATTTCCTCAACGACGGTCGACGATCCCGTGCATGCGTGCTCAGATCTGTGACCCACGCCCGCGTGGATGGCACACACGACCTCTCCCTTCTGCGCCTCCGTCCCGTGCTTGCCCACGTAGTCGACCAGGGCCATCTCGTTGTCGGTGGCAGCGGCGGGAGGGGGCTCTAGATCTGGCCTCCCGCCGCGCGCATGGCTTTGAGCTGCTCGGTGGAGCGGTTTCCGTACTTGCGCCTCGCGACGAACATCTCCCTGAAAGCCATGTCCGTCGAAGGGTCGACCCGATGGACACAAAGTTGACGGGACGGCCGTTCGGGCCGATGACGATGTCTGGGCATGTTATTGTCTGCGGCTCTGCCCAAGTAACGCATCTGTATGTTGAGATCCAAGCCGCCAATTGCGTAACGTAGCGGCATATATAGCCATCATGCCGCCGGACTCTTCGCGTTACCCATGCTAGATGCACGCCTATGCGACTATGTGACTCGCACCTTCACCCCGGGTAATAGTGAATTTAGAGATCTATTTGCCGGTTTGCATGCAGAAACAGAACGATAGGATGCAGGACGGAAGTCAGATCTTCAGACACGCGCGACTGCCGCCCGCCAGTGCCGATGCCGGCGGCGCCGATGCGGTCGTGCCACTGGCGCCCAAGGCTGTACGCCGCGACTCGTCTTCGACTCTCATCGGCGCGCGACCCCTGCCCCACCCGTCTTCCATTCGCCACTACCACAGGAGATGTCGGCTTTGCTTTCTCTCAACGACGATGTTCTGCTGCATACCTTTTCTCATCTCCAGCCTCCGGACGCATTCAGAATGGCGCGCACCAGCAAACGGGCCTATGTGCTTGCCGTTCCCTACTTCCGAGCCACAGTCAACCTGCAACCAATCGTGGGCCGGAAATACTCGGACCAACACCGCCTATACAGCACGGCGCCGGTCTTGATGAGACTCGATCCCTTGATCCTTTTCCCGCGCCACACCTATCTGTCTGAGCTCGTCCTTTCACGCAGGGACACAGATACTACGTGGCCTTGTATGAGGATCAAGTACCGGGAGATTTCGCCTTACGTCGCGAATCTTGTTAAACTTCTCTCGCGCACCCTTCGCCTTCGATCACTCACCATCAGCGAAACGGAAGCCCTCTTCGAAACGGCCCCACAATTGCTTCACCCTCTGTCAAGTTCCGCGGGCCAGCTTACGACCCTTTGTTTGTCCGAGGTCGGGTCATATGCCCTGGTTCAACTCCCGTCAGCCCTTCTCCCCCTGGCGTCCACATTGCACACACTTTCCCTCTCTATCAGCGACGGTATGAGACTTCTTGATCAGCAGAATATACCGCATGATCCGGATAGCAGCAAGATCCTTCGAGCCGTTTTGGAGACGCTACCAAGCTGTCATCGTCTCGCCGACCTTTCTCTTAGATTCCGGACCTGCTGCCCTCCTCTCCACAGGCGTGGTCAGATCTCATGGGAACAGGTGTTTGTGACGAGTCCCGGTCCCTTGAAGGCTGTACCCAGCATACGACGCCTCGCGCTCATCGATTGGACACAATCTTGGGCTCCTCTCTGCCCCAACGTCGAGCATCTCGTGGTTCAAAGCATCGACATCACGACTTCAGAAAGCACACAAACATGGCCTCGCCTTCGCACCCTTTCACTAGTATATTTTTCGATAACGGGCGCGCTCCCTCCCACGGATATTTTGGATGTAGTGTCGATAACACACGTGGATCGGCTTGATCTGGACACTATCCCCTGGCTCACAGAAGAAGACATGATCTACATGAAAGAAGGGGAAACAAACACCCCCGCTTTCCTTGACAGGATTTCAGGACTGTCCACTCTGTCACTGCCGACTATGGGGCTTGGCCACGGAGACTTCAAACGGCTCGAACGATCGATATGGCCGCACCTCTCCGGTATTCGTTCTCTCTACCTCTCTCTCCAAGTCCTCGACGATTTCGGTAGTAGACACGAACGGTTGGCGGTGAGTATGTTCTACTTCGTGATGTGTTTCCACTTCGCTGAGTCTGTGCCTTCAGAACTCCCTTCCCACCGCGCTCGCCGAGACCTCTCTCGTCCACCTCAGCATCTCCATTCACATGCGCACACCTCCTGATCCGGTTGACAGTGATCGTGGAATCTTGAGTGAGGAGTGTGCCGAAGAACTGTCGCGCTTCACGCACTCCCGGGATGTCCTTCCTCGTGGTTTGGTCGCGGCACTCCCCACCCTGCGTGTGTTCATGATCAGGCATACAGTCCATACACGCGAAGAACTCGCGGAAGCCGAACACATCGCTGATCACGAAGACAACGATGCAAACGAAGACGAGCTCGACTGCCTTCGACGAGACGCCGACAGAGCAGAGCTCGTGCTCCGGCAGATTGCCAGCGAACTGCCGCGGCCGGAGCGGTGGTGGTGGGTCGAGCGCACCGGCGGGAGCGCCGAGATGGTCGAAATCTGGCGCGAGGACGGCGAGGAGGCTCGGGACATCATCGAAGACCGGGACTTCAATCGCGAGACGGGCCTCGATGGTGCGCTGATGTGCTCTTCTGAGCGCGACGGACGCAGACTGACCGGTCGTCTTCCCAGGTTTCTTCTCGCGGAAACGTGTGTATGAACAGTAGTGTCCCCCGCCCTGCCTCCCGCCCGTCCTAAGGCGCGCCGCCCACTTTCACTCCCATGGTGTATACATCTCGGCATGAGGAAGCCTGCCACAACCTCGTCAGCGCATCGGCGAGAAGACCACGCAGAAGACGGAGAACGCATCATCGGGGACGGTGTGCAGGGCAGGAAGGTTCCGCAGCCAAGACGGGCCGCCCACATGCGCGTCAAGTGTGCCGGACGATCGACACCCCATTCAGGCGAAAAGATGAGGGTCTGACATTTGGGCGTGTGTGCGAGGCCAGTCGGACGATGTTGACCAGGTCAATAGGACTCTTGCGGGCGAAAGTGATCCCGTTGGAGATGGTGCGAGGCGTGCGCGCGGCCAATCGCGACAGGCGTGCGGTCGAGGACCCATGGTCGAAGGCGAAAATGCGTTATTGTTTGGCATTGCGAGGACGACAGGTGTCCTTGTCTTGGAAGCGAGCTCTGGGAGAGGCGCCGCGGAGCACCTCTTCAGCTTCTTCCATCGACGGCGAGGGCTGTGGATCCAGTCAATTGGCAGGACGTACATAGTTCGTGTGCAGAGGTACACCGCGCGCGCGGTGATTCGACACCGACGACTATCTCCGGCGCGGTGCCTCGACGAGGCCCCACACATCGCGTCCATACACGGTGAACGTGCGCCAGGTGTTCGCGGATGAACGCGCTTGATGATGAGCGTGTCATAGTCTGACGGAGCATGAAGCCTTTTCGCATTGCACAATCTTGCAGTGGAAAGAACAGTGCAACACGGAGAGACGGCTAGCTCCGAGAGACGGCGTATTTTTCCCAGCAGCAGTCAAGGCTCATAAACACACTTCGATGTGAAGAAACCTGAGACGACCGAGTCAGCGCATCCAAAAAGATCATGAAGAAGAGAACGCACCACCGAGCCCCGTCGCGCGGTCGAATCTATCCTCCTCGACCAAGTCCCGCGCCCTCTCCCCATCTTCCCGCCATATCTCCGTCATCACCGCCCCACCGTCCGTCCTCTCGATCCACCACCACCGCAGTCGCCGTACCACTTCCATCGCGGCCATCTCCTGAAGACGGCGCTCCCACTTCTCCTGCTTGCCCTTGTCATCGCCGTGCTTGACTTGCTGCGGGGGTAGCCACGCAGTATGAGGCATCGCGTCCCCAACCTGCAACACCCGCAGTGTCACGATCGCCTCCGCGAGGCGCCGCGGGATCTCCCGCGCGACGCGCACACGCACGAGCTCCTGGGCGGCCCAGCTGCTCGGCACCACCGCGTCCGCTTTATGGTTGCGCGGGACGAGGACGAGGGTGAGATGCACGAGCGGCGCAGCGGCGAGCACCTGCGGGAGCACTCTCTGGACGGCGCGAATCGGGGTGGTGTGTTGAGTCAGGATCGCAACCGCATCCATCATATATATAAATCTCTCACCAACGTGGCCCACGAGGCTTCCTTCATGAAGGTGGAGTGGTGGACGTCGATGTGGAGGGAGCGCAGGTGCGCGGCGACCCGGGTGAGGGCGATTTTGTTGTCGGTGAAACGTCCCCGCTGCGGGATGAAGCCCGTTTGCATTTGTATGTCCGATAGGTCGAGGAACCAGAGCAGCGTACAGGAGAACTGGAAAGTTGACAGACCTGGGATCTCCTTGCAATAAGACTTGCCGACGTTGCGTTCGTGGTGCCAAGCGCCGTGTTCGGAGGGAGGGCTGGAGTTGAACCACAAACGACTTGCACTAGTGATGCGGGACGCTTCACGGCGAGTCATCCAGTCTTGGTTTCCATTGTACAAGATGGTCAAAGCGCGTAGCGGTGGCCACTGAAGACCCGCTGCGCTCTGCGAGTACAGCTCACGCCGATCAAGTGTCAACTCCTCGATGTGAGGGCAGTCCGGAACGGGCAGTGGGCTCCAGCTGATGATCGTAAGGTTGCGGATGTTCGGCAACGTTGCACGTGGATGAGGTGTCGACTGACGTGTGGCACGTTTGACTGGCGGAACGAAGATGCGGTCGGTGCGAAGGCACAGGGTGCGCAGAGCGGGGAAGGCCTGCAGACGAGCCACGATGCGGGCCACGTGTTCCCGATGCTCGATGGCCCATCCTGATACGAAGGTGAGGTCGAGGGAGTGGAGGGTATGGGCGAGAGCGAGAGGAGGAATGTCGGGGAGCGGTGTCTTGTCTGTGGGCATGGTACGGATGCTGCTGAGGACGAGGGTGCGGAGTTGTGTGAAGTCAGCCAATCGTTCGATGAGGTCGGGGCTATGCGTCCAATAATGGTCGAAGTGGGGTATCGCGAGGGAGCGTAGACAGGCCGATCTGGACAATATTTTTTCGACGCGCTTGATCATCTCTATCTTTTCCACCTCATGCGTCATGAGATGCGAGGACAAGGCTGGAACAGAGAAGTGGCGGATATAGGATGGCCGTGATCGGATAAGAAGAGGATCGGCGCATTCGGTATATGATAATCTCCGGAGTACCGGGTCCACAAGTTGAGCCGTAAAAAACATGTTATCAGGTCGTGCTGTGAGGGCGGAGGTTAGGTTGACGTCGGCGAGGGCACAAGGGAGGGCGAGAATGTAGGAGCGTTTGGCGGTGAACGCTATCTGAAAAGCGTCGTCTGACTCTAAAAAAGCAAAGATCCACAAGAGAACGTCGTCGTCGAGAGATAGAAGACTAAGAGAGGACATTTTGCTCCGCTCAGCAAGGGGGATGATGGAGGTTTGCAGGGAACATTCGCCAGCGCGCGTGTGGTCGCGCCGGGACTGACGCTCACTCGCGGCCCGGTGCCGGGCATGGTCGGAGTTTCATACGCCTAAGTTTAAATGCCGTGTATATCCAGACAGGCGGCCAAGGCTCTTCTGAGCGTAACAATTAATGCGAGCGAGCTCTGAATTATATACATGATAACTTATGACATCTTCGCTTTTCTGGGACCATTCGACGCCCTGCATCTCGCTCTCAATCACCTCGACTTTGTGCGCGCAGACCGCCGCCGTGATTCATGACCTCGGGCGTTTTCCGCTGGCGTGCAACTTGGGGCCCGGCGTCGACACGTGCAGACTAAGGTGGCGCCATACCGGAACGACACTCTCCTAATAAACCTCCAATCAGTGCCAGTTTCTTCCTCACGCAAGGGCCGCGAAGCGGAGAGCCCCTGGGCAGTCTCCGTCTCCCGACGCTAGCGTCCCCAGTGCGTCGCCAACACTGTCACGGTCCCCACGTTCTTCTTCCGACGCGCCCTCAGCGCTCCCCCTCCTCCACCTCAGCGTGAAGCTGATCCCTGATATGAGGTTGGACTGCGTCGAGCAGGGGCGCGCGCAATCTGGTGAAGAGACGGGAGACCGACGAGCGTCATCTCGGCCTGACCCTGTTGGGGGTGAGGTGTTCGAGCCCAGATCATATCGCCAGGAATTTGGAAACGGACGTTGAGACCTTTCGGCGCTGTCGAACGCACTGTTATTGAAGTACGTCGATGCAAGGCGGCGCGTGCGGTACCGAAATGAGAAGCCGATAGACGAACTAGTACAGCGGGCTCAGATGTACTGTACATATGTAGCACCTGCGATCAAGGCTCGTAAACACAATTGGATGTGAAAAAACCTGAGACGACCTGGTCAGCACACGTACAAGGAGGTCATGGAGCACCGGAACATACCATCGAGCCCCGTCGCGCGGTCGAATCCATCATCCTCCACCAAGTCCCGCGCCCTCTCTCCGTCTTCCCGCCATATCTCCGTCATCACCGCGTTGCCGTCCTCCCTCTCGATCCACCACCACCGCCGTCGCCGCACCACTTCCATCGCGGCCATCTCCTGAACACAACGCTCCCATTCTTCCATCTCGCCCTTGTGGTCGCCACGCTCGACTTGGTGCGGGGGGAGCCGGGTCGTGTCGGGCATCGCATCCCCGACCTGTAGCACGCGCAGCGTCTCGATCGCCTCCGCGAGGCGTCGTGGGATCTCCCGCGCGGCCCGCACGCGCGCGAGCTCGTGGCAACTGTTCGGCACGGCCACGCCGACTTTGTGCCCGCGTGGGACGAGGATGAGGGTGAGGTGCACGAGCGGCGCGGCGGCGAGCACGTTTGGGAGGGCGGTCTAGGCGGCGCGCGGAGGGGAATCAGTCTCGATCGCTGGTGGAAAGCAGGTTGAGGACGGTCCTCACCATAAGCGTGTCCCACGGGGCTACGTGGCTCAGGTACGCGGAGTGGTGGACTTCGAGGTGGAGGGAGCGCAGACGGGCGGCGACCTGGGCGAGGGCAGCTTCGTTGGTGCTGAGACGGGAAGGGTCCCAGATGTCGTTGTCGACCCTCCGCGTTTCCCAAGCGTTGTCGTTGCCGTTGTCGTCGTTGTCGTCATCGTCGTCATCGTCGACGTATTCGTTTGCCTTTTCGTAGAACCAATATAACGTGCAGGAGAACAAAACGGTCGACAGACCCGGGAGTGTCTTGGCGAACGATTTGCCCGTCTCGCGCCTGGAGCCCAGGTCGTAATCCTCCGTAAGAAAGGGGCTGGGCTTGAACCATAGACGACTCGCACGCGTGATGCAAGATGAGTCAACTCGAGTCGGCCAATTAAGGTTTCCGTCGTAAACGATGGCGAGTGTGCGCAGTGCCGGCCATCGGAAGCCAGCTTCGCTTTGCGAACGGAGCTCACCAACTTCGAGCGTTAAATCGTTGATGTTCGGGCAGTCTGGAACTGGTTGCGGCCTCCATGCGCCGTGAATTGTAAGGTCGCGGATGTTCTCCAGGATCGCGCGTGGATTCGAAGGTGGGAGAGGTGGGACGTGTCCAGAAAGGCCGCTCGCAATGCTGAGGTGCAGGGTGCGCAAAGCGGGAAAGTTTCGTAGACGCGCCACCATGCGCGCCACGCGTTCCTGTCGGCCGATATCCCTTTCCAGCGTAAACCTGACGGTGAGAGAGCAGAGGGTGTGGGCGAGGGAGGAGGGAGAAAGGTCCGGGAGTAGCCTCATATCCGGTTCGCTCAGGGTGCGAACGTCGGGCAGAACCAGAGTGTGGATGTGTTTGAAGTCAGCCAATCGCTCGACGAAGCCCAGGTTCTGATCCCAGTAAGTGGAGAAGTGCGGGATCGTGAGTGAGCGTAGGGACAGCGTTTGGAACAGGAGGGTGGTGACGCGTTCGATCACTTCCAGCGCCGATCCTCTGGGCCTGAGGTATTTGGACAATTGGGGAGCAGAAAGGTGGCGAATGTAGGATGAACGTGGCCGACAAAGAATAGGATCAAAGCCTTGGAGGTACTCCAATCTTCGGAGGAGCAAACCTGTAGCGAGATTGTCGAGGTTCCCAGAGTGCTTCGCCGATGGTCTTCGAATCGGGGCCGAGGTGAGGTGGATGTCGGCCAGGGCGAAGGGGAGGGCAAGGACGTAGGGTCGTTTAGCGGTCAACGCCATCCGTGTTGCGTCTTCCGCGCAGAGGAACGCGAACATGCACAGGAGGACGTCGTCGTAAAGACATAGGAGGTTCAGAGACGACATACGGCGCAGGAGATGAAGGGTTGCGGTAGACCGTTGTCTGTGCGCAGCTCCGAGTGTCCATCGATGTCGATGGGCGCCGGTGGACTTTGCGTGTGACTCACAGCCACGCCACGTGGGGGTGTCCAGACGTTGAAACGCTGAACGTTGAACCCTGCGTGGAAGGGGCCACTCGCACACGAACTAGAATCCGAAACGTGCTGTCGTAGATGATGACCCTGGCTATTGGAGCGCTAGTACAGTGGCCGCGTGTCACTGTAAATTCCCCCAACATTTTCCTTCCAACACTCCATGTCGCGAACGGCCTAGCAAGCAGGAGGTGCGAGGGATGTACGCGTCGGACGGGGGGCTCAGTTGCCGAACGTTTCGCCATCATTTGACCCTCCAGTGCTCTCAATGTCCCAATACGCACTATCGAAATGCCAACGGTCAGCGCCAGGGCAACACCGACGATCAAGAACCGACTCACGGTGGGATGTCGAGTGTCAGAACTTCCGGTGTAGCGACACCGTGAGGTGAAACGTCTTGCGCCCCGTCGTCCCGATGCCGGATGTGACAGCCACTAGCACCGCCAGTCGGAAGTCGTTCCTTGGCCTCAGCCCAGACATGGCACAGTAGCCACGAGCTCATCGCGTCTTGACGCGGAGGAATGCTGGGTGTGGAAGGGTCAGAAAACACGATCAGCGATCGAGGCTTTTCGTCGTCCGCGTCCGTGTCCCTGTCAAGCGGCAATAGTCCATGTCCTCGCATACACGAGCTGTGCGGGCAGCGTTATGAGAGAGACGAGCGGTGGGACATGCGGGGACAAGACCAACGCGTCCGGCCCCCCCTCAGCCTGCCGCATCTATCCACGAAGTGCCCGACCAAGGGAGGGCACGTATGCTCTAGTCTAGCCCGCACATGAGGGGGTGACGTGCCTCGACGATGTAGAAGGGTGGGCAGAGGCGAAGAAGGCGAGCGGACTCACCGTAGAATACGAGCCTCGCACCATGCATCCTTCCCGTGCGACATAGCGCCGCGCGATGGAATGGGTGTGGATGTACGCCATTACCGACCGCATCTTCTCGATTCAGACGTGATGTCACGAACTACGGGGGGGGGGGGGGGGGGGGGGGGATTGGACAGGGATATCACAGATGACGACTGACGAACCTCGTCGACCTCCTCCTCATGTACTCAATCTCTGCTCGTACACAACCCATTTGAACTCGCGTCGTGCAGGATGGTGTTGAGATGGTAGTGTCGTCAATCGCACGTCGGGGCGTTGCAAGGAGTTGGGAGCGAGGGGCGGTGGTGAATGTGTCACAAAAAACTGTAGGGAACTTCCCCGAACAGCGTCCAGCACGGCGTCGGCAGTAAGTTGGCAGCAGCGAGGAAGAGGTCGAAGCGCAAGCAGCACGCACGGGTGCTAGTACTCGGAGCATGGACCGGCGGGGGAAGCGGGCCGCGGCCCAGGACGAGCCGCCACGACTCTGCTCTGAGCTTGCCGTCGCCTTGTCTCTCGCCGTCATCGTCAGTCCCCTCGACCCCCATGCGTAGCTTGCTCTCCCTCGACAACGACGTCCTGCACGAGATCTGTGGTTTTCTTCCTCGGTCCGACGCGATCAAAGTTGCTGTCACGGCCAAACGGCTGTATCCGATCGTCATCCCCTACGTCCTCGCCTATGCGTCCATCGCGACCGACTATGAGTACTTCAACGAGGCCATTGACTTCGTTCTCGCCAATGACCCGTGTCTGCACCGACCACGCTCCGACTTTGCACGCAACCTCGTGGTCATTTCCGTTTCCCCCGACGACATCGCATCCCAGTATCATCACTACGCTCCGAAACTCACCTCCCTTCTCTCCGTTACGTGCCACTATCTCCGCAAGCTCATTCTGCACAACGTGGAAGAGTACGCAATTCACTACCCGTCGCTCCTCGAAGCCCTCGGCTCTATGACCCGCCTTTCCTCTCTCGAGTTGCACGACTCGGGGTTGACCGCGATCAAAACCATGCCACAACTCCTGAAGCCGCTCGCGTCAACTCTTCGCGGTCTTTGCATCGCCTTTCACAGTACCTCCCTCATCGACATCCTAGATTACAAGCTCCTACTTGCCGCGCTCTCCGCCTTCCCTCTCCTGGACGACATTTGTCTCAATTGCACAATCTTCGCCGGCTTCCTCGAATCCCCCGACACTGCCCTCCCTCGTTTCCCACCAATGCCGAACGTTCGCAAACTCGAACTGATTGCGTGCATGCCAAACCTAGTACCTCACTGCCCAAACGTCAAGATGCTCCTCCTCGACAAATGCCTCATCCAAGCCATCACCACACGTTACAAGTGGCCCACCCTTGACAACCTCATCATCCAAGGGGCAATCGGACTGGAATGCGTATCGGGGTCGGGTTTCCTTGAGGACATTGAACGGCTTCACATAGCATCCCGACACGTGATCGCGTCCTGCGACCTGGAATCCATTTTGCCCTTGATGGAGCTGGATCTTACCAAAGGAATGCGTGGCCTCGACATCAGCTTGGTCGTGATGCATTGGACTCCCGAATCCTGGAATTACGTGCTCGACGGTCAAAAGTATCTGTGGACCATCCTCGGACAATGCACGCACCTCCGTGCCCTAAATCTCGCCGTCGACGTGAACGACAGTATTGAGCATGGAGCCCTGGCAGTACGTACTCCCGGCGTTCCGCTCACGTCCGTGATGATTTAGCCAGTCTCCAGAATCTATTGGTCGAGAGGCTCGCACAACTGAAGCTCGTCTATCTCAACGTCTCGCTGTATCGCGTCCTCCTAGCCACCAAAGATGTCCTCGATGAGCGGGCTCGAATCCGCATCGTCCGCGACATGCTACCGCGCGCGCTGGCCAAAGCGATCCCTACTCTGCGCGTCCTCGTGGTTGGGAAGTGCAAGTCAGAAGAGGCCTATCTCGAACCCACATCTGCAGAGACAGCGTCGGACGATCCCACAAGTCCAGACCGACTCGGCGATGCGGCGGTGACTGCGCTGCACGAGCTCAGACGGCTCAACGCTGACAAATCGGTGCGGGACCGCCGATCCTGGTGGATCGAGCGAGACGTGGAGGGGGCAGTCGAGATGACAGAAATTTGGGCGGAGACGGCGGAGAAGGCGAGGACGTTGATAGAGAAGAAGGACTTCAGAAAACTCGACGGTACGTTGTTCCTGGATTCCAAACATCGCGGCTTTGGGACATTGACGAGTCCTTGTCTCAGGATTCTTTTCGTCGAAATCTCGTTATAATCCTTAATGTTCCATTGGACTTCTTTGGTCTTCTCGATCGTGTCGCTTCCACTCTCGAGACCCGTTCCCGGTCTGCTGTGATCCCCCATTACAACGTCGGTATCGACAGGTCTGTTCGTGTCGTACTGGTCGAACGACGCACCGTGCTCGGAGGCTTGTGATACTGACGATAGTTGCAACAGACGGCCCTCTGTACCCGCCGTGCGCTTGCCACGGAAGAACATTACCGCGGTCATCGAGAGGCGGTCCGTGGTCCAAGAGTCGGTCTCGGTCGAGCGCGGGGCGCTTGCGCCGAGTGGCGACGATGGCATCACCCCTTAGTACGAGGATAGCTTCAACGACCAGCGCGCACGATGCCTTTAGCCCGTGTCCCGGGGATCGCGGAGCGGTCTGTCGGTGCAGCGATCGGGTGGCGAGAATGATGTATGTGCCTTGACTCTGTCGTTTCAAACGGCAGAGACGCCTCCAGTTCAAGATTGTTTGGGTACCGAACGGCCCGAGAGTGTCCCAGCGTGACTTCTCGGCGACTTAAGCCCCGGGTCAGACGCCACTGGTCGTCCTCATCGACGACCGAGTACGACTGCCCGCCGGTGGCTTCCCCGAAAACGCCGAAAGACTGCGGGATTTCGGCGGACGGAGTCGCAGACGACAAGCACGACGTCTGCACGGGGAGCCCGCTGCCACTCCCGAGACGCGCAGACTACATGAGCAGCCGTGGCCGGCCGTGTCGCTCCCGATAGGTGTGTCCCGGTTCGTTTTCATTGTACTCGTACCGGCTGCGAAAGCCTCGGGGTGGAGCATCTGATCATATGTGCACCCCATGCGCGCGGCGCAGGAGAAGTGAGTGTCGAGTGACGTCTGCACTCATCGGGCTCGGACGACCCCGCGATACTTCGACGCGCGGTATCCCCCGTTTTCGTCTCGGCCTCCTCTGAATACGAAGACCTGAATATCTAAATGTTTGGGTTCGATGCTGGGTGTGCGACCTCGGGCCGCTCGCTTATGTAATCGTGCCCACCACGCGCCTTGCACGCACTGGATGGCACTCAGCGCGCATTTGCTCCTATCCACGAACATCTACCGTGCATCCACCGCCTGTCCGTCTGTAACAGGAACTCAGTGGGTCCAGAGCACAACGTCACACCCTCGGAACTGCGCCGATCGCGTCCTACGACCCGAAAATTGAATCCCACACACATTCTAGACATGAGACTAGACAAAGGGCACTCGATCAGTGGTATGTCCCTCTTTCTCGCTCTCACCCATGCATGTGCACTTATTGCTCGTCCTCTGGTTCCTCAGACAGTGATGACGAAAAGTCGATCACTCCCAGTCAAGATGAACGCCGGGACAACATCGCCTTGAAGCGCCGCGCTGAGAGGGAAGACACCAGCGATAACCAGTGGCGAACGAACAGGCGGCACCACGGCGGTCCTCTCAAGCGCAAATACCCATTCGTCTTGCATGTGGACGGTCATCGCCGACACCCTCCCGTATGGATCTCGTGCCTTCTCTATAGACGCGAACCTCCATGCTTATGCTGTGCTCCTTACCAGATCCCGGCGCGCCTTAAAGAGCTCCTCAGGAAGCTGCGGATTTTACATCCAGATGCCTCCCTTGAGCTATATTACTCCCAGGACGAGTCTGGCCTGTGGGGCGCCAGATGTTTGGTATGCAAAACGGACGTACGTTTGGACTATACCCAGCTCCAGCTCATACGTAGGCCTCAAAGCGACTGATCTCTGCGTTTAAGCCCATCCTCCTCCAGCCATCTTACGGGTACATATGGAACCTACGGTGTCACCTTCAAAGTGCCCAACACCGAGAACGGACACTCGCGCTCGTGCAGGAACAAACACCCACACCGGCGCGCTCGACGTCGCCCTCCCCGGTTCGCGCTCCTCAAGCTTTTGGCAGCGGGCGGACGTTCGCGGCGTCGGCGTCGGCGTCGGACTCATCCGGTGCGTTGCCGTCCACTGCACACTTTGCGACGTATTACACGCGGCCGGCCTGTCTTCACCGCTAACGCTCATCGTCGATCCCGCTCCAAGGCTCTAGGTCCCCGCCGCCTGGTCCCAGCTACTCGCACAAGCCACAGTGGGATGAAGCTGAGGACTCCGATGGGTCCGGATCAACCAAACCCGTCGAAGTTCTCGTGTCACCTAGAGAGAAACCCGCCACGAAGACACAGCCGCCTGTCAAGGTGCGGTGGATCGTACACGAGGACGACTATTGGCAAGCAGAGGTATGAGCATCGATTCTTTCACCAGTGAAACGTCTGGGTCCAAACTCCACGGTCACGCAGGTCCCCGAGAAATTGAAAAAGGCCCTCAAGAAGGCCAAGACAATGAATTTCTCGTTATGCTACGGAATCAGCGACGAGGACGACTCCGGCCACATATGGAGTTTAGAATGCCTCGCTTGCAGCAAGGTACGCCACGCACGAGCCGAAGGCTCAGCCCCGGTACACCCGTCAAAGCCGCGCGCTGACGCTCTCCCCTTCCGATCCGAAGCACCTGTTTCTCAACATGTCGAAGAGCGAACCAAATTTGATACTGCGAAACTTCCACCGCCACCTCGCCATGTTGCATCCAACCCCAGCCCCGCACCAGAAGCGTGCCGCCGCCACACCCAGCCCGTCGCGCCGGCAAGGGGGCCTCATGACCCCGCCCGCCTCAGCGAACGTTCGCCGCACACGGCCGTCGGTCGAGAGGTCGACCCCGCCCTCGCGTTCTGCATCGCCCGTGGACCGCGCGCAGCGCGCCGGTGCGGTCGACGCCCTGTCGTGGTTCTGCGAGGAAAACTGGCTCAACGAGGCCGAGGAGGCGCAACTGCGGGAGGCCGGGATCGTCGAAGAGAGCAAGATGCAGGCGTTTGGGCGGGCGTCGCGGCGGGACGCGAGGACGCAGCTGCTTGCCGATCTGAAGGAGGCGGGGATGAGCCTAGCGGCGCGATTGCTGGTGGATGCCGGTCTTGTGGCTCGCGCCCGCGCGGCGGGTGCCTCTTGAATATTTGAATGTTTGTACTGCTATGGCTTGTTACATCTACTACATCTATACCACTACCGTGCTTCTATATGACCGCAAATCCTGGTGTTCCGGCTCTACCATTCATGAGTCTTCGCTCACTTTATGTGCAGTTCTCGAGACCCCGATCCCTGCTCGTACGGGACGATATGTACACCCGGATCATTACATTCTACGCCGCAAAAACAAACGGCCTTCTCGCTCCCGTACACAATGTGTCAAACACGACGTCACAAAACATCGTCCACACCGTCAGGCCACCGCGGCCCGCGCCTCATCCGGTCAGCTTGTACACCGCCAGCCTGTCCACCCCCCCACAGAACTCGAAGCCCGCGTCCCCCGGGAGCGGGCAGAGCGAGTCGCACTCCGCCTCCGCGGCGGCGGCCGCGCCCGCCGCGACCCCCGCGCCGCTGCACTGGCAGTTCCCCGCGTCCTCCACGCCCGCGAACGCGAAGCCCCCGCGCGCGCACGCCTGCAGGCACTGGTTCACCGCGTCGAGCGTCGATGCGAACGGCTCCTGGAGCGCCGCGTCCACGAACGCGGGCGCCGCGCCCGTGTCGACCGTGCAGCCGAGGTACGTCCACGCGCCCGGGCGGAGCGCGGGGAAGGTGTAGACCTGCGTGTGCGGTGTGCGTCGTCAGCGTAAGTTACATGCATGGGGCCCCGCGGTGCGCAGCTTGCCTGGATGCCCCACGGCCCACCGCACGCGAGCGTCTCGTCGCCGGCGCACGCCATGTTGCAGCCGTCGGGCGGGGCGGCGACGAGCGCCTCGTCGAAGCCGGTGCCGCAGTGGCATTCGTTCCCGAACTCGACGCCGGCGTAGCCGAAGCCGGCGGCGGCGCAGGAGGAGACGCACTCCGCGGGGGTGTTGGTGGGGGACACGGTCGTGACGTCGCCGGCGAGGATGCGGGTGGCGTCGTCGACGGCGCAGGCGGCGAGCGTCGTCCAGTTGAGAGGAATGAAGGGTTTCTCAAAAGCGAGCGTGACGCGCCCCAAGACGAGGAGGGAGATGAGGAGGAGCTTCATCGAGATACGCGAGAGGGACGATAGAGTGTGTGCTGGGTGTCAACGAAGTCAAGGACGGTGCCCTGAAAATGGACGTTCGCCTCGCTGGCATTTTATGCGCCTAGCCGAGGCACGAGAAGGGTGCCGGATGCATTAGAATCGGTCCAGAGTGTGAACATGCTTGCGTATGAAGGACGTACCTTGACCGTCGGCGACACAGATCATACAGGAAGCACGGTGAACCGGCGTTGGACGACATCCGCTCTAATACCCTTGATGGGCTGGCGTGGTGCTGAAAGAGCGGAACTTCAGGGAGGAGCTTCAGTGTAGTTCACGACAACTATATGTCGCGAGACTTGCTCATTGGTCCAACGTCAGGGTCGACATCGCAGCGATCGAGTGTCAAAAAAACGCTTAGAGCAGTGGATGGATGGGGACCGCTGGGCGTCAGTGTAGAAGTGACAGCTTCTCGAAGCAGAGCGTGCCTTTTTGGTATATCGAGAAGGCTCGGGGGCAGATGCCTGTAATGTTCCTGCGTACCTGCAATGAAGATATACTGATCACCATTGGTCAATTGGTCAATTGGTACTCACAATTACCTGCGGCGATTGCATGCGGTCTGTGTTGACCCTTCGTATCGAGGGGGGCTTCTGCAGCATCCGGGAGGAACAAGCAGAGAATCAGGGACTGTGTCCCAGATGGCAATCTGTAAATGCTTTCGCTAATGTGCGACAAAGGCGGGAAGGTCATACACTCATTAGGTGCGCGTATGAAGTATACGTGCACAACGATGTGTGTTTCTCAATACCCTGGAAAACTAGGGAAAATTTGGCCCAGAGCTGGATTTAAAAGTGGGCCTACAGAGAGTGTGTGAGAGAGAGGACGGCGACTTGGCGGAAAATATTGCGACGTGATTGGGTTTGAATCCGGTTTGCTCCGGCAGCCGGCAGCCGGAGACCGCCGTCCTTCGTCGCGGGGTATGTAAAGGAGAAACCGTACCGTCAAGTTCCCGTCGCCGACTGGGGTACGGAGCGGCGGGGTGATGTTTAGGCAGCGGAGGCTGTCCAGTTGTATCCATATCGCGAGCATCCGAGGCCTGCGGACGAGGTCGAACTCAATGGAGATGACAGGGTGGACAGGCCTGGGATACCGTTCAAGAGGGCGTGGTAGCGGGCCGCGTCGTTCGGATAGGGTTCGCGAAGTGTTTGTAGAGGCAGGTGGTTCCTTGTGGAGGACAGAGACAGTTGCGAGTCTTGATGCATGATGATTGATCCCCAGGTCCTTCGGAATAGAAGGAGAGTGGGACGTGACGTGACGGCTTTGAAGTACTGTAGAGGGTAAGGGTGCGAAAAGGAGGTGCGTGTGGAGCGGCTTTGTCCCTTCGTCGTTCGCGAGGACCAGGTGCTCGATGTTGGGGCACGGATGAATCCCTTGAGAAGGGTGGAGGGGAGCCGTCCTGGTGGCGAACCGACGATGGGCACGAAGGCCGCAAGGCAGAGGGAAGACATTCAACCGAGTATTCTCAATCGATCCAGGATCACACGGAGTGATTTCCAGCGGAGCGTTTCAGAAGACTCGAAAGCCACAGACAAGGTGGTGGCAGTCGGTAGTAACGATTCCAAGGTGAATATGCCGATGGAGGAGATCGAAAGGGTGGTAAGCTGGCTCATAGGGGTGAAAGCACGTAGCAACTTTGCACGGCACCAGACAAACGTTTCAAAGGTGTATCATGAGCTTTTAGGAGTTCGACCACCCCGAGGAATGAAAGCAGCCGGGACCAGGTATCGAAATGAGGACCCGTTTCGGAAAGCAAGCCCCGTCGGCGAACGAAATTTCGCACTCCGCAACAACGGAAACTCCAGACCTACCATCGCCGCACTCTTCTCTCTCTCTCTCTGCAATGTACACCCATGCTTATGCGCCTACGGATGGTTCGGCCACGCTGGCCCAACAGAACAGTGGGTATAGTAGGAATATTTCCATCTCCGTCAGCCGCACACGGCCAGCCTCTCCGCTGATGCTCAAATCGGACACGGCGAGTTCTGTCCTTGTTCATTCTGCTTCCCCCCTACCCCTTTGTGTTTTCCAAAGCCTGGCGCATATCTTCCCTCTTCCATGCAATCCCGATCCCTTCTCGCCGGACGAGAGTCGAGCATCTTCCACCTCTTTGTCGACATCTTCACTCTTCTGCTGGCCTCTCTCGTCTACAGTGCCGCCGAGTCTCTTTCTCTACACATCCCTGCTTTGATGCGCTGCTCAAATGCGGCGATAGGGACACACGCCGCGCAACGCAGTCCGTTCTCCACCCCTCCCGTCCCCGTCGTGGTCCTCGCACAGACACTGAAGGTGGCACACGGCGATGGAAGTCCCTGGGCCGACATCCCTCACCGCAAAGACACCCCCCATCCCAGTCGGCCCACCTCTCCCTACCACACCCACGAAGACGACGCAAGCAGCACTTCCCACTCTCGCCAAAACCTCCTCCGCACCTATGGCCGCCAAGTCGTCTCCCTCGAGCTCGAGCTCGCTGAACAGCGCGCGGCGGCCGCCGGAGCGTCCACCCGAGCGCAGGCCCTCACGGACGAGCTCGCCTCCACCCGCACCACGCTCTCCGCCGTCGAGCGCGCCGCCGCGGCCGCGCACGCCCGCGCAGCGGCCATCGAGGCGCGGGAGCTCGCCCGCGACGAGGACATGGGCCGCCTCCTCGCCGCGTACGTCCAGCGCTGCATGGAGGTCGACGGCTTCCGGTGGGAGGCGGGCCTGCCGCCGGGAGAGGCGGCGGAGGTGCGCGAGATGTTCGCCCACACGGCGGGACGGGTGGCGCCTCGGGCGACCGCTGCGCTCGCGATCGCGCGGGAGGTCGGGCAGAGGAGGAGGGGATACGGCAGGGCCGACGGGCGGCGGAAGGTGCTCAGCGAGCCGTCGACGGAGCTGCCCTCGCCGCTGTTCGAGCGCGCGCGGACGGAGACGAGGGTGTCGAGCGTGGGGCCGTCGCCGCCGCCGACAGGGGCGAGTGAGAAGGAGACGGCGTTCAGGCCGCCCAGGTTCCCGGACACGCCGACGCACACATTCGACAGCGCGACCGCCGCCAGCACGCATTCGGGTGGTTCCCACTCCCCGACGTTGGTAAAAGAGGCGAGCTCAGAACTGGAGCCGACAAAGTCTTCACTTTCACGAAAGTTGTCGATGGGATGGGCGCGGTCGAAAGTGACACTGTCCGCGTCTCTGCGCAGACGACCCGAGCCCCTGTTTGCGTCGCTCTAGGACTTTTTCCATGTGCACAGATTTTATTGGACCTCCACGCTATGTAGTATGCATCGTCCGAATCCAAAGCCGGAAGTTCCGGCGAGCGTATGGGTCAACGTTTCAACCCTAGCCTTGGGCTAGTGTTACGTACCTACCACAGGAGCGTAACTTGGCTCTGTACCACCACCTCTGTCGTCGACTGCATATACCCTGTCCCTCCTCGTCCTCGTCCTCGACTTACTGAGAGCGCGGTGTTTGTCTTCACTCATATCTGCGGCCTGGACGACTCGCGAAAGACGACGAAAAACCCGACGGCTGACCACTGCAGTTATCCGCTTCACGATGCTCCGCCCGCCCAACACCATCGAGGAACTCATCGCTCAGCTCCTGGAGGACGGGGATCCATCGCACGAGGCCATCGCCTCTGAACTAGGCGGTGCGCGCCCTTCCTTCCCGGCGACCCCCCGCGCGAAGCTCTGATCCCTCTCTGCGTCCAAATCCTCATCGGCTCGCCCTCATCCAATCGAACAATCACCTCCCAGTCTTGCAGAGCATCTATGGTGAAGACGCTCTCAAGATATGGTGGCCTCCGCATCGCGCCAGAAGCGAGTCCCCCGACCGTGGCGGTCCCCCCACCAGCCCCGAGCCGGGCACGACACGCTACGAGGTTACTCTGAGGTTCGTCCGTCTCCCACCCTCCCGCGTCTCCCCCCGGTCTCAACGTCCTTCCTCCCCAGCATCGACGGCGCACCGAACGTCAGTCAGGATCCAGACCAGCCGACCACGGTCTCCGTGCTCGTCTCCCTCCCGTCCACATACCCCGCCGAGAACCCGCCGCAGCTCCAGCTGCTCTCGCGCTACATCGGGCCCTACGGCGTCGACGTCGCGCTCTTCGGCACCGTCCTGCGCACCTACATCTCCCGCGGCGCCGTCGAGTGGGCGCCCGGCACCGAGTGCGTCTTCGACGGGCTCGAGTGGGTCCGCGAGCAATGTGCGACGTGGCTCCGGGAGCGCACGAGCGAGAACATGGTCGGCGCGATGCTCCGCGAGGAGGGCCGCAGCCACGTGCTGAGCGAGCTCGTCGAGGAGGAGAGGGCGCAGGAGAGCTCGGGGCCGGCGAGCGAGCAGCGCGTCGTGCCCGAGGGGCCGGTGGAGATGCCGGCGGGGGTGACGATCGTCGAGGCGGAGCCCATCTTGGACCGCAAGAGCGCGTTCGTGGGGAGGGCGTGCAGGATCACGCATCCGTCGCAGGTGGGCACCTCTTTCGTTCTTTTCTTGCGAACCCCTCCGTCCCCCGCGCCCACACGAACGAGGCCGAACGTCTGGCTCGCACAGATGGCATGATCGCGCCCGCTCTCTTGCCATGACTATGGTGTCAGTGTGAAGCTCGTCGTGGCTGAAGCGTTCACCATACCGTGCCCTATTTTCCTCTGACATAGGGGGGCTGCTATTTCTATGGACAGACTTCACTGACGAACGGCAATACAGGTTCCACTCGTTCTGGCGCATCTTATGTCAGATCGTCGAATATCTCGAGCAGCGCATCCGATCATCAACGCCTGGCGATGTCGAGAGGGGCTGTTTCTGCACCAAGGCACGTCCGGATTGCGCCCACTCACACCGCTCCGACACTCATCCTCATACGCAGATAACGATGACGACGGCGAGAACGCTGGAGGCGGGCGTCTCGCCCACCTCCTGCAGATTCTGGTGCGTCTCTTTACCGTGTCTCCAAGTACGTATATTGATGGTGCTTCTCGGAGTTTAGGAAGTAGAAGACGTGCTCGTGGTCGTCACGCGCTACTTTGGTGGCATCCATCTCGGGCCGGACCGATTCAAGCACATCAACCAGGCGGCGCGCAACGCGTTAGAGCTCGGGGGCTTCCTCGACGTTCCCGACGACCCACACGCCGGAGGCCGGAAGCAGGGAAAGGGCAAGGGCTCCAAACGATAGCTACATCCTACTGTCCACAACACGGACGTTCCGGCACATTGTACAATACAAATGCCAAGCAATCCACGCCGCTTAATACGATGCGTCTGTACTTTGGGCCAACCGTCTTTCTCTTAGCTATCGTGCTACCTGGCCAATCTGCGCCGTTTTTTCCCGTACGTTTATGTTGTTGCTTATATACGCACCATTCCACCGTCTCAGTTAATCATGGTCGTTTATCACGCTTGATTGTCAGCACCATCACCAAGTACTACTACTCCGGGCCTGTCAAATAACATGCTACTCCGTACCAGGTCTCGCCTCCGCGCCGCTCGAAAGCACCATAAAAGCATCAAGTTCGCTGATCCCGTTGCCCACCATCACCGCCGCGAACTCCTTCTGAAAGTCCTCCCGCAGCTTCCCCAGCCACTGCCCTCTCCGCACCCGCTCGTCCGAGAGCCCCAGTCTCCTGAGCACCGGCGCCTTCTCCGCGGGGATCCCGAACTCCCTGCACATGCGCATGACGGCGTCCCCCCGGGTCTCCCCCGGCGTGCGCGCCCGCACCGGCATCGGCATCGGCACCGACACCGGCGACGCAGACCGTCGCTGAGCGCGTGCGCGCGCCGAGGACCCATGGGCGGCAGCGTCTTGGCCGCGATCGTCCGCCACTGCCGGCGGTTTCGGACGTTGAATGCTCATCGCCCTCCGAGAGCGCAGGTGCGTCGGCGGGGGGGAGAGCGTGTCCAGGCGGGCGCTGGGGGGCCGCCGGCTCGCAGACGGGGCCGCGGGGCGGAGGAGGAGGGGGTCGCGGTCGTGCGTGTCGTGCGTGTCGACGGCAGCCTTGCGGGCCGCGTCGCGCACTGAGCCGCGGCGCGCAGCGGGTCTCGAATATTGGAGGGACTCGGGCGTGGGCGCGGGCGCGGGCGGGTGGTGCGTTTTCGCCGTGGGTCGGTGTACGCCCGCGTCCGCGACGCTGGTGTACTTGCGAGCGACTCGGGTGAGCGCGCGGGCTCCGACGGCTGGCGGGCGCGAGGACGTACTTTTTGCAGGTTCACCGTTCGGCGGCCGTGCTCGCTGTCTGGGGCTTCTCCGGTGTCATCCATTACTGGCTCTTTTCTGAGAGCTTGGGACGGCTTGAACTTAGGCATCCAGGCGATATTTGGTAGCGCGGTGGGTGGGATCGGAGCAGTGAGGGGCGGAACGGTATGGTATGTGGGAGGGATCCGGAGTGGCGACATTGAAGATCTCTTATCGAGTACGGTGCGAATATCTCCCAATCTCTGGTCACATGAGCGTACAACGTGGTCAGACGGGTTCTCTGGGAGAGAAGTGGTACATACACCGTCAGGAAGGTTCCTTCTCGTGCGGACTTTCCCAGGCCACCACTCTTGGCTGCAGCGGAGCGTCATCCCGACCTGCCCAGTATCCACTGGCGGACACCGTTAACAGCTAGCGACGCTCGAGCTCTACGGTTGAATATACAGTGGATTGGGTTTTCCGACGAGGATGAGTAGCTAGCCGCCAGTCCACATTGACGCACTTCGTACAGTTCCTGGGCGCCATCGTGTCCTCAAATTCACCCCCGGCTCCCACATCTCCCGGAGATTTGACGGATGAATCGAATCTGAAGCACAAAAAGGCAACATACAGCCCCTCGCCTCTCTCAGGTGCTGGTCTGGGACACCTCCTTCTCGAACACCTCCAGCCCCTTCTTCCCGTCCGTCTCGAGCGGCCCAGTACCCTCGACCGTCCGCACCGGGCCGGTGAACCACTTGCGCGCGGACAGGACCCAGGAGAGCCCCGCGAGCACGAAGACGGCGCCGATGATGACCACCGCGTAGTCTGCGGCGCGCGGTCAGCGTCGTGCGTGCGCCCGGAAGGAAGGAAAGGGACTCACTCATGTCCGACGGGGAGGGATCGACGGCCGGGGGGAACATGAGCAGCACCGCGATGAACGACACCCAGCAGACGGCGACGATTCCGAGCGGGAGGTACCACTTCCCGAGCGAGAACGGGCCGGGGACCAGCTTCTCGCGCCCGGAGGTGATCCGGAGGAAGATGGGGGTCGCGTACGAGATGTACAGCGCGATGACCGACGACCTGCGACCCGAGCCCAGGAGTCAGCGCTCGAACACAAGGAAGCTGAGACGCTCACCCTGCCAGGGACGTGAGCGCCGCCTCCGAGAACCCAAGCAGGCCGCACACGCCCGCGAGCACCATCACGAGCCAGACCGCGTTCACCGGCGTGCGCGTCGCCGGGTGGACGCGCTTCCACCAGCGCGAGCCGGGCAGCGCGTTGTCGCGCGCGAACGCGAACACGACCCGGCTCGCGTCGACGCCCTGCGCGGCCCCGGTGACGTACTGGACGACGATGACGAGGCTCCAGAGCGCGAGCATCCCGCGCTTCCCAAGCACGTCGAGGAAGAGCTGGCCCATGGGCAGCGGGAGCGTGCTGCCGAGGAGCCTGTCGACCGAGGCGGTCGCGAAGGACGCGGCGATGTAGAGCAGCCAGCCGAGCGTCGCGGTCGCGCCGACGCCGACGAGGATGGCGATCGGCGCGGCGCGCGCGGCGCCGGCGGTCTCTTCGGATATATGCGCGGCAGAGTCGTCTGCGAATCAAAGGGGTGCGATGAGATGCCGGGGCGGGACCGGGCGTGACTAGAGAGCATGATGAGGACTCACAGCCGGTGAGCGTCCACATCGGCGAAGTGAATGCGAGGAGGAACGCCCAGGCATCTAGCCGGTTTTAGCGAGATGCAATGTGCAATGCCCATGGACGGTACTACGTACTGTTCGTCCAACCCGTGTTGTTCTCATACATTGTGAATGCTGTGGTCGTGTCTACCCGGTTGCCCAGGTTCTTGCTGCACACGAGCAACGCGATGATGGCTGCAATGGTCGTGCCGACTGTGAAAGCTGAGATCAACACGCGTTCATGTCGTAATTTCAAGCCCCTCAGGTGCGTACCGTTGACCGCGACGTAGAAGAGGTTCAGTCTCGCAAGAACAGACGTCGCCGCAGAGCAGACAATGCCATGGGTGAAAAGAATCGCAAGCAGAATGCCGAACGTCGGTCCAGCTCCGAGGTTGATGGCACCGTCTGAACCGACGCTGAGAGCGGTGGTGATCATTTGTGCACTGCCGTGAACGGTCTGTCAGCGCCTCGCTAAGGTTCGAAGGCCTGGCAGCGTACCAGGTGAAGTCGATTGAGCACACGAGGGTAACCTGGCCCGTGACATTCGCCCATCCTGTGATCCAGCTGGCGAGCGGAGCCCATCTGTCGGGGGCGAGTTTGGCAGAGAAGTAGTACAGCCCCGCGCTTGTGCTGAAACGAGGGCTCGAGGCGTTCTCTCCGTGGAAGACAAATGCAGGAGAGGACGTACGGCATGGACGAGGTCATCTCCGCTAGAGATGCCGCGATTGTCATCACGAATAGACACGGGATCAGCCATCCGAAGACCATTCCGACATGACCGCCTGTTCACCGGCAAGGTAAGCCCTCCGGCTTATGGACGTGGGCGAGCGTACCGACCAGAAACGAGGGGAAAGGACAGGGTGGACGAGACGGATGCGACGACGCCCATGATCGAGAACGCGAACGCGATCGTCTCGAAATACTGCGAAGATTCGGCTCCATCGAGTTCGCGCAAGAGACGGGGATGAAGACTTACTGAAAACTCGCGTCTAAACTCGCTCTTGTACCCCAACTTGGCGAGCAGGACATCGTCGGCGTGCCGGACAGTGTTCAGCGTCTGGTCGCTTCCGTGAGCGGCGCCGGGGCTGGCCGCCGAAGGGGCTGCCTTCTCGGAGTCGGCCATAGCAGGAGGGTCGAGGGTCGCGTCGGTGAAAGAAGGGAAGCAAGTCGATTCGGGGCGCACACATCGTTGGCGACGTCTTCACCGGCGTCGACTGCAGGGCTCCCACAGTAATTTGTAGGGTGAGGTCTCATCTCGCGGGGGGCGGGGATACAGCGCTGATACGAGGGTAGGGCATGGGAGGCTCTGGTGCGGGATTGGAGATGCGATGCGAGGCGTGCTTGAGAAAGCAACGAGCGTGGGCGACAGAAATGCCGTCATGAGCGTCGGAAGCAAGCCTGCACGACCTGACCGCTTGACTCGCTTATCACCCGGCCCGGGAGCCGGTCTCACACCTTGAAAGCGCGGGTCGATGATGCAGCTCTTACTCGCCTACTAACTTTGAAGTACTGCATTAAGAGCTGTGATTCGCCCAATCACAGTGTATCAACACATAGGTGCGTCCCTCCATTGACGCGGCTTTATCCTTGATAACGTAGGTGCTCAGTACGGGTCTTTTCTCAGGCAGAACGTTCAGCTCGGGGCGGGGCAGCATGATCATCCCAAGCTTTGATGTCTCCGGCCCCGTCCATGGGATGGCCCATCGGGGCTCCGTCTCCCACCCATCACTGCTCGTCTCCCGACTGCCAACACGCAGCCCCTCCTCCCACCTCATCTCTAAGCCGTCGTAAATTCTCCGAGCCCTTCATGCCGCGCAAAGTGCTCATCGGTTTCGGCGTGGACGTGGATGCAGTAGCCGGCTGGTGCGATGCCGTTATGCTATGTGCAGTCGACCTCGGGGACCTCATATCTTTCGTATCGCAGGTTGGGCTCCTACGGAGGCGAAGACTCCCCTCTGGACATCTCCCGTGTGAGTCCCCCTGTCCAGATGTTTCCATCTCTCTACTGGCTGAGTGCGCGTTATCCAGGGCGTGTTCGCGGGCGAAGTGGGCACGCCTCGGCTCCTGAAGCTGTTCGCCAAGTACAACATCAAGACGACATGGTTCATTCCCGGTCCGTGGCACTGTCTCCCGAGACGCCGTACGCTTCTCATCGAGTCGCCCAGGCCACAGTCTAGACACGTTCCCCGAGCAGATGGCTGCGGTGCGCGATGCCGGCCATGAAATGTTTGATGACTACCACTATCGATCACGACGTCATATTCATCTCTTATCGCCAGCGGTTTGCATGGGTACTCGCACGAAAACCCGGTGTCGATGACCTTCGAGCAGCAGCTCGACATTCTTAACCACACTCACGAGATGCTCACCAAGTTCTGCAACGGCGTGCCTCCCAAAGGCAGCGTGGCGCCCTGGTGGGAGACCAGCAAAGAGGGCACGATGATTTTGTTGGACAAGGGCATCGAATACGGTACGAGAAAGCGTCACGGAAGTCTCGCCACGTTCGTGTAGACTCATTCTCGATGCACAGATCACTCGAACATGGCTCATGAGTATGTCACGATCACGTGCCAGCCGTCGGACTCTCACCCACCCGCTGCAGCTCCCAGGCCTACTACTTGCGCGACCAGGACCTGTGGACGAAGATCGACTACCAGGCCAAGGCCGAAACGTGGATGAAGCCGCTCGTGCGTGGCAAAGAGACTGGGCTGGTCGAGATCCCGGCGAATTGGTACCTTGACGATTTGCCGCCGATGATGTACGTGTCGAATTCGACTGCACGCGATCCCCGGTCGTCGAAAGCGGTATGGCGCACCAACAAATTTTTACTCTGCAGGTTCATCAAGTCGAGCCCGAACTCGCACGGCTGGGTGCGTTCTCCCGTCGCGCACGATCGCTTGGCCAGGTTTGTGCTTCGCTGACATCGTGACATTCGCTTCGCAGGTGAACGCACGTGATGTGGAGCAGCTGTGGAAAGATATGTTCACGTACCTATACAGGTTAGTGTGTTTCACCGAGTCAAGGCGTTCGCGACGAGATGCGCACTAGCAGCGTCTGTCACGCCCGTTGCCATTGCCTCCCGGGGGTGAAACGGTCTCTGATATGACGTTCGACTCCGGAATCCAGAGAAGAAGAGAATTTTATCTTCCCAATCACGATCCACCCGGATGTCAGTGGGTGCGTAAAGCTTGGCATAAATCCCTACCGTCGACTGAACGAACATGCTTGGCGCTATCTGACCTCGACGCGGGTTCAACATGGCAGACGGCCGCACGTCCTCCTGATGCTCGTAAGCCCCGCAATCTCGTTGCAATTCGCCGCTGATCGAGTTCAATACTCCACCTCCGTCTCTCCGCCTCCCTTTGCGCGCGCCCTCGCCCTGGCGGCTCGTCACGGGCATTAATGTCTCACCGACCACCGACACCCGACACCCCCATCTCTCCTCCGTGCACCTCTCCATCGAATCTTCCCACCGATCCTCCTCCGTGTCCCTGCCCGTCCGTCCGGCCGCGGACCCAAACGCCCCCTCCCCCCCTCTCGTCCACCCACCCACAGGAGCGCTTCATCGAGTGGGTGAACACGCACGACCACGTGCACTGGGTGCGCATGGCCGACATGGCCGCCGACTTCCGCGCACGCGTCCCGCCCCCGCCCGGCGCGCGGATGCCCGCCGGCTACGACGACTCCACCGCCGGCGCGGCCGTTTGACTTTGACTTTGGCGGACGTCTGCCTTCTGCGCCCTGCGCTCTCCGTGCGGTGGCGACGGGGGGCCGAGCGGCGAGCGCTCCGGTGTTGACCCACGTCGTTGGTTGCCCGCCGGCTGGGGTTCGGGGTTCGGAGAGCTCTGTGCAGTATTAATTTCATGTACCGACATACCGATGGCACACCCCGTGCGTTCTGCGCCTTCGGCGCGGTGTGCCGGATCCTGCTCTTCACCGGCATCTGCGAGGTCGTCGCGTCGTGTGGCTGCTGATCAGAGCGCTGAGCGCTGAGCGCCGAACGTTGAACGTTGAACGCCAGCGTCGTATGATCTGTTCAGTCGAAGCGCGCCCAAGTTGTGGCGCCGTGAACGCCGAATTTGGCGGGGGTGAGTGTCACAAAGCGGTACTGTGGCGTGCGCAGCGGCGTAGCGTGTGTCCGCTTCTCGCGCATGTTTGATAAAGCTCAATGTATGTAGCTCGGGCACTCTCGGGCAGTACTGCACCTGTCGCCGTCGCCACCATTCCAAGCGACGCGCCGGGCTTGAGAGCTTAAGATCTTGAGCACGGGTGCCTCGTCGAACGCCAAGACTGCCTCAGAGCTTGCAGAAAGTCGCGGCTGCCGTCTACACGACGGCGCCGGGCGGGGTGAATTATAATTAAACAGTAAATACAGCAAACGAGTGGTGGGCCCCGTGGGGGAGTGGGTCTAGTATATAATTATATGGAACGGGCGCGCGCCGTGCATCGTACAGATACCACAAGAGAGATCCCTCCGAACGTAACGTAGTGTACAATAACCATCCCGACCACGCAGCGGCCTTGACGGCATTAGTCTAACGAGACGGATCGCGCCCCCGAGAGAGGACCGCGAGCCGCGCGGGCATGGGGGCATGAGCATAATCGTGAAGGCGTAAAGGCGCCAGCAGACGCGGCGCGAACCACCCGTCCGCGTCCGGACTGGGGAACGGCAGACGACCGGGCTCACCGGAGCTTCCTCAGCTGCGCGAGGATCTCGGTGAAGTCCTTCTCCGTCGACCGCTTCCCCCGCCGCTCGCGCACCCACTTCCGGCTGAACCGCCGCTTGGCGCGCGCGACCGCCTCGTTCGTCACGACCTCGACCTCGACCCGGACCTCGATCGCCGAGCCCGGGGTCTCGATCGGCGACGGCGCCGGCGGCGGGAAGAGCCCGCGCATCTGCGCGCGCGACTCGGAGCGCATGTGCGTCCGCGCGAGAGGCGGCGGCGACGCGTGCGTCGGCTGTGGGGGCGCGGGCGCGGAGGACGTTGATGGCCGGGAGAAGCTCGGCAGCTGCGACGCGGCGTCGCCCTCGTCGTCGGACTCGTCGGGGTCGACGAGCAGCACGACGTCGTGGTCCTCGTCGTCTTCGTCTTCATCGTCGCCGTCGCCGTCAGCGGCGGGGGAGCCGCTCCGCGGCCGCGTGTCGCGCGGCGAGCGCGCCTCGACGAAGCCGAGGTCCTTCATCCTCGCCTCGAGGGCCTCCTCGCGGCGCTTGCGCGCGTCGCGTGGCCCTGGGAGCGTGAGCGCGATGGGCGTGCCCGGGGCCGGCGAGAGGAAGGACGGGTGCGCGGGGGCTGCGGCGAGGGTCGCAGTGGACGGACCGGGGATCGCGAGGCGGATGGTCGGGCGGCGTGGGGAGGTGCGGCGTGGAGGGCTGGACGGCAGCGGCTGGAGGGACACCTTGACGGGTTCGGCTGATGGCACGCTCGTGGGAGGGAGCGTTTGCGGGCGCGAGGGGCGAGCTTGGGTGGGCACGGGTGGGAGCGGGAGCGATCCATGGCTGAAGCGGGGCGAGGGCGAGACGGCGGTGAGCGGGGGCGTGAGCGGGGGCGGAGGCTCGCGGAGCTGCTGGACCGAGGCCGAGTGGCGGAGAGGGGGTACGGGGAGGGGGCGCGGGAGGCCGTTGAGCGAGAGGCGGAAGCCGTCCGAGTGTGCGCTTGGTGGTGTGGGCAGGGGGCGCATCCTGACGCTGGGAGAAGAGGACGCAGAGGGTGGGCAGGAGGGCGGGAGGGGTTTGAGGGTCGCGGACATGTATCCAGCGGTGGCACGTGCGGGAGTGGGGAGAGAGTATGCACTGGAAGAGGAGGAGTCGGAGAAGATGGAAGAGTCTGAGGAGGAAGAAGAGGGCCGCGAGGAAGAAGAGGGGTAGGAATACGGCGGGTAGGCGGATGGCGCCGAAGCGCACACGAGGGAGGGCATCGAGGGAGGAGCGCGGCGGGCGAAGGCGGGCGAGGAGGAGGACGCGCGATTTATCAGTTTATTGCGCACTGTGACGAGAGAGAACAGCCATCAAGTCGACGGTCACGGCTGTCAGCGTCTGTCGCGCACTCGCGCACTGATGGCAGTCGCAGCCGGCCGTCGGCAGGCGCCCCTCTGCCGCCGGCTCTCTCGCCATTTGAGCCAGAATGTGCCGCCCACGGCCGCTGGCTTGCCCGAAACACGTTCCACGGGTTGTTGGACGGCCGGACACCGACTTGCGCGGGCGGGGAGACGTGCCACTACTTGTGAACCTTCTTCTCCGGGCTTCCCAGAACAAGCTTTTGACTGACTACCCCGCGCTTTGATCCACGTTCAATCAGCCCTCCAGACGCCATCGCGCGCTCTCGGTGGCGGTTCCGCAGGGCAGCCTGAGACGCAATCCTTAGGGCCTGGTCGGCTGTCCGTGGGATGGGCTGGGTCCCCCGCCAAAATGATCCCGCAGCACGATGGGCTGTGGGCTCGCGATAGACGCCCCTCGAGCCCATCCCGCCGTGGGCTCGGACGCCTCCGGGCCGTGGGCGGATGGGCATACTGATGGGCGCTTTTCCCGTCACGCCATTTCCCTGCTCCCCGTGCCCGCAATGCCCATCTCCCCCTCTCTGCTTACTGCTTGCTCCCTTCCCCTCCCTCTATTTTCTGTCTTTACACACAGTTTCCCTCTAATAGTCACAACTACACTCATTCACCAGAGCTATCTCTATTATTCAAGCCACCTGATTACCATTAGGAGATATGCTTGATAACTCCCCTGGCACATTGCCTCCCCAATCCTCTGTTGGTTGCCCTCTGCCACTCTGCAGTGATCTTGAACTGTTTACGGGATGGATCGGAGGGTGCTCAGGGTGGATGTGTCGCACTTGAGCTCCTTTGGGCACTGGAGACATGCAGACACACAGTGTATGCACAGTAGATGGTGGTGCATAGAAGCAAACACATACTAGTGTACAGTACAGGCGGTAGCGAGCACATACCTGCACGATTACCTAAGCGAGAGGTGGGGTTGCATCAGGCTCCGATAGGGGGACAATTCACACTGGAAATAAGGGCAGCCTTACAGGTCATAGCTCACATTTTCTCACGCATCCAATGAGCTGTTGGGACAGGCCGAAGGAGTTCACACATGAGGGAGGTGGATTGCCGTCCACGGAACTGCGCAAGCGCGCGGTGTCACCGTTCGTGATGGGGAGTGACCCGGGGTGACGCCCAGTGACGCGGATGCCAGCGAAAGCCCGATGGGCTCGGGATGGGCCGTCGGCCGTCTCGGCCCCAGGCGAGCCCATCCCACAGCCCATCCCACGGGCAGCCGACCAGGCCCTTACGTCTCAACAATGATTTCGACTCTCGAGGCCCAGCGGCTCCCATACGTGCGGAGTTGCACCGCGGACGCTCAGTGACAGACGCGCGCGGTGCGCGCAGCTCTTTGTGACTGCCCAGCGACCACTGCTCCCTTACATAGGTAGGCGCAGCCTCGCAGCCTCGCTTCGGGAGGCCTTCTTGCGCCCGCCGTATTTTGAACCACCCGCGACCACACCACCTAAAGGCCTAAGTTGTACTTCCGGCCAGTGACAGGCGTAGGGCGGATCAAACCACCGTGCTTCGCAGCGTTATGGCATCACTTCCATCCCGTCTCCCCGGCCTCACTTCGTCGCGCACCATTAATATTCAACGTTCCCGGCCGCTTTAAGCGCCGCCCTTCAGACTTTGCTTTTGGCACTTTTGCGGCGTCGACTCGATCGGAGCCACGTGTGGAGAGCCTCATCGAACTCCTCAGATGTTCAGAATCCCACGAGCTTGGCCTCGAGGCGAACGACAAACGAAGATCCACCTGGCGCCCGGACCTGGCCACTCGTCAGAGCAGCCACCCATCAGTCCACCCGCCGTTCTCCCTGATGCGCATTTGCCATTGCGGCACTGATCACTACTATCACGACCCCAGTGATGAGAAAGGCCCCAGTGTTGAGAAATCTGGTCTGACGGTCCCGTCCCTCGTCCGATAATGTTGAAAATTCACACGTTGGTAGAAATATGCGTTAAATTTCGTTTGCAAAAAGAACGACGTCGTTCCGTGCAGAAACAAGCCCGATCTTTGGCAAACATCTCTCAAATGAGAAAAGTTGAGGATTTGATACCCGTCGGCTACGACCCCATGACCAGCGCTTAGGTGGAAGCTGCGCGAGGGGCATTGCACGAAGCATGGCTGCCTTGCTTCGAATTCTCCGGCATGATGTCTGCGGGAGGGGGGCGAAAACGCACTTTGGGTCAGTTCAAGCGTGACTTCAGCCACAGAACGTGAGTGAGTTTCAGTCTCCGACGTTGCCGTCGGGGAGGATGCTGTCATCACTGGACGTATCCGACAGCTTAGCCGAGCGGAGTTGATGTCGGCTGCGTGACCCGCGCCGTGACCAAGCCTCGGCGAAATTTCTCATAACTAGGGTCCGCGGCCGGTTCGCCCACTGGGGGCGCAATACGTACCCGTTTTCTCTGAAATTTTGCAAATCGCTTTCTTACGACACTTTCAGCATGTGTACAGAATCCGAAGACTATCGCACCAGTAATGGTTGAGATTCTCATGGTTTGATCTCGCGGGCGCTCACATTTCTCATCACTGGGGTCGTGCTAGTACGGAGGCTGAGGATTTTGAGGGCCAAGCTTTCACGCTCGTTCTGGAAAGCGCGCCGAACTCGCAGGAGAGGCACGCCGTCGGCCGACATGGTTTCTGACCTCCAGCCTCAGGGCGAACTGTGTGCACGTGCACGACCCCCCCGACGAGCCATGCGGCGACGGGCCCACGGAAGCGCGAACGCGAACCACAGACGACGAGCGCGTCGCGTCTTCCGCGCGCTCTCGCCAAAAGCACCGCGCCCGCCGAAAAAGCAGCCCAAAGCGCGCCCTTGCGATCCGTCGAGTCTCGACGAACGAAGAGACTGGCAAGGTGCGTCGTCCGATCGGGCTCGCTGCTCAAACCGTCCGTCGTTCCTGGCGCCCATTATGGCTTAGCCCCCTGGGGCAGGAACACGGCGACCCTGCCCATTGCCCAACGGGGACGGTGGCGATGCGATGCGAGGCCCGGCAACTGTGCAGTGATCGCGCGACGATCGGGCTCAGAGGATGTGGTTCGAGCTTCGCTGGCTGACGGCCCACAGATGCGTACTACGTGCGAGCGGACCGAGGGTGGAAAGAGCGAAGATGAGCTGCTACGGAAGACGCCGAGGGTGCAGCGGGCAGAGGCCGACGGGCCGCCGCGAGGAGTTCCTGGTGCTGATTCTGAGCAAGTAGCCGGCCCGCGTTTCATTCCGATTGATACTCGTCCCGCAAGCACGCTCGCCAGCCGACGCCGCGAATCTTCGTCTCAGAGTGGGAGGGTGGCTATTACGTTCGTACGCGGCCCCCGTCCGGGGGAAGCTGAAGCAGCGCCAACGGTGGAGGGACCTTGAATTTGAAAGCGTGAGTCGAATATATTTGTGTGCGAGGGAGTGGGGAACACTGACAGCCTGGTGGGAATTCACTTGTGTGCTTGCATGCACCGACAAGGGCACGGAGATGGCACGACAAGGCTTGGGTACGACGCGATCTCAGGAGAGGTACGTGCAGAGATGACCTCTCCAAGTCTGACGGAAGTAATTTCTTCTTGCCGCGGATTGACCCTGGTTGCGTTTTTCGACGGAACCATACGGTTCGAGCGAATGGTTGTTGGTGCCATGTGGGCCGCGTCCCTCTCCATTGCTTAGATACATGTTAGCGATTCGGTGAAGAACGGTCAACAATGTGTTCCTAGTGGCCGAATCTAATTGCTGTATGAATGATTATGTCAGCCAGGGACCTGGACTACTAGGTGTGACAGACACGACGATGGTCCCCTGGAGCCCCCTGTGAGACTTCAAAGAACTTACTCGAAATGCGTGAGTAGCTGGACGTGCCTTGATTCTCGCCGACGTGCAGCTGCTTCCACGCTCGAAAGATTTCGAAGGATGAGCCGTGAGACTGCATGTGAATACCATGGAGCAGAATGATGGATACGCAGCTTTGGTACTTACGTACCAGAGAACGCAGAAAGATGGCGCGAATCTCAGCCGAATCTCAGTGAACGAACCAAAGCAGGAATCGGAAGAAGTGATCGACCCCGCGCCAAGCCAAACCTTCCGCAACAGGCGCGCGCGGGGTGAGACCGCGTCCGGCGCTTGCGGAGGGTGGCAACCACGACGGTCCAGCGCACGATGAGCACCTCCTCCGCCGACATCCCGCTCCTCTACCGCCTCTTCTTCCTCTACATCGAGCCCCTCTCCGCCCTCGTCGGCTCCTACTTCGCCGCCGGCCAGCCCACCGCCTACCTCACCTACCTCGCGCCCACCCCCGCCGGCGCGCTCGCGGCGCAGGCCCCGCCCACGGCGACGCTCGTGTCCCTCTACCAGCTCTCGAACCTCTACCTGCTCTTCGCGCTCAACGAGCACCTCGTGCTGTCCTCGACGCGCGCGCGCGGCGTCTGGCGCGCGCTCCTCTTCGGGCTGCTCGTCGCGGACCTCGGCCACCTCGCGACGATGGTGCCCGTCGCGCAGGAGAAGGGGTTCGCGGCGGTGTTCCTCCGCTTCTGGGGGTGGAACGCGATGGAGTGGGGCAGCGTCGGGTTCGTGTACGCGGGTGCGGCGATGCGGAGCGCGTTCTTGCTTGGGGTCGGCTTGGGGCGGGAGGGGAAGGCGAAGAGCGAGTGAGTGCTGGTTTCTAGCACGCAGATGTGGTAGATTGTTCAGCGCACGATATGCTCGAAATGTACACATACGGAACGGGTCGGGGATGTAGAACGCATCTCATGCTTTACTCTTGTTGTGCCAACCCGCAAACTCCACTGCGGACGAGATCTTGCTTGTGCCCGCCGACGAACATCACGAATTCGGTGTGGTGCGGCTCTCCGCCCTTCTTCTTGCCATTGACGACTTGTCGGAGAGGAGTGCGTCAATCCCATCGATGTCGCTTGCATGGATTGCGCGACAGAAAGCAAGAGCTGCCTCGGCTTGGGTGCTGCAGGTGACCATAGTGCGGGAGGGTGTAGGTTTGGAGAACGCCTGGTTGTATGCGCCTTTATATGCTTAGTCGCCCTCGAGCGTCGTCATAGATCAGCACGAAGCAGCAGCGTGTTTGGGATGTCGGATAGGACTAGCCGCAGACCAGCTGCTCCATTGTGGTCGAGGGCGAAGCATGCTGGAGGGTTTCAGCCATTCTTGTCAGCCCTGCTGGGGACCGCAGTTATAGAGGCATCGATGCATGAAGCCGACGAGCGAGAGGGCATCCGAAGAACCTGGCCATACAGGTCGAAGTACTGGCAGGCTGAGAGTACTTGGGACGGTGGTGGGACAGGTCGAAACGGAGGAGAGCGCGCGCTCCGTGTACTTGACTCCCGCCACCATCCACCTCCTCCCTACCTTCACTGCTTCAGCTTGCCGCATATTCTGGCTCGACTATTCCCTCTTTTGTGCACCACGCTTAGCAGCCATGGCGTCGGGGAACAAGAAGGGCTATGGCGCCGACACCCCAGCTCATAGGGAGTACAAGTACTCCCAGGAGATATCGCAGATGATGTTCGTCTTCGGCGAGGTCCAGGACCCGAACCCCGAAACCGTCAACCTGGTCGAGGACATCGTCCGGAGTCAACTTATCGAGCTCGTACGTCGTGAATGTATGCTCCGCCTGACACGGGACGCCGACACAGTACCAGATCTTGCAAGCTCGTGCCCTTGCGAACCGGCGGGGAGCTCGACACTTGTCCGCAGAAGACCTCATCTTCCTCATTCGACACGATCGTGCGAAGGTCAATCGGCTGCGGACATACCTCTCATGGAAGGATGTCCGGAAGCACGCGAAGGACTCGGACGCCACTGGCGGTGGTGGTGTAGAGGTCGAGCAGCTGGAGGATGGGGCAGACGGTGCGTGTATCATCATATGCCGTCTCACTCAGCATTTTCATGCGACATGACAGACAAGCTCACCGCGAAGGCGCAGAAGATCACAATCAAGCTGCCTTGGGAGATCATCAACATGTTCTCCGACGTACTCCCAACGGACGACGAAGAGGACGAGGACGACATCGAGGCTCACGAAGCCTCGATCCAGCGACTCAAGGAGGCCGACGACGCCACACGGCAGATGACGCGAGAGGAGTACCAGCACTACTCCGACTGCCGACAAGCCTCCTTCACGTACCGCAAAGGTGAGCCCCGCCACTCTCCCCCCTACCCCTCTCCTTATCCCCGCCCCCAGCCAAGCGGTTCAAGGAGTTCCTCAACCTCCCCGCCTCCCTCGACTTCAAGACCGGCGACGACACCGTCGACATCGTCGGCTTCCTCGCCTTCGAGATGGTCCGCGCGCTCACGATCGCCGGCCTCGAGGTCAAGCGGTCGCTCGAGGACTCCTTCGTGCGCGACACCCACGCCGGCTCCTCGCCGCTCCTCGGCAAGCGCAAGGCGCGCGACCTCGGCCTCGGCGGCGACGCGAAGCGCATGCGCCGCGAGGGGAGCCCCGAGCTCGACGCGGACACGCCCCTCCCCGTCTGCGGCCTGTTCCTGCCCCCGACCGAGGCGCGCACGGCGCTCCGCCCGGAGCACATCCAGGACGCGTTCGCGCGCATGCAGGGCGACTGGGCGCAGCGGCGGTCCGCGGGGATGCGCAACTTCCGGGGCGGGCTCGTGCGGACTACGGTCAGTCTCATTTGAGGCTGCTCTTCGCTTATGTATGCTTTTGGTTTCTGTTCGTTTGGCTTTGCTTCTGCTTTGACCTGGACCCTCGTCGTGGTGTTGTACGTTACGGGGCACATTGTATGCATTGGCCTGGAATTCCTCTCACTTGGTCTTTGCGTGCTCTGTTCTTGTGAGTGGGTGCTGGTGAGTGTCTCCAGTTCTCCTCTTGTGCCTCAGAGTGGACAACTCCTTCCACGGGACGCTCCTCTACACTGCAACCTTCGCCGTCTGGAGCCAAATAATTGAGATCGTATGCCACGCTAACCTTTCTCCCGCCAATACCCGCTGACTCTTGTGAGCGCAGATTCTGCAGGCCCGCAGGACGGTCAACCGCCGGCGAGCGAAATGCATCTCCGTTTCGGACTACGGTCAGACTCATCTGAGGTTGCTCTTTGCTCATGTATGCATTTTTTTCTCTTTTTTGCGCCGCTCTTGCTCCACGACGCAACACTCCTGCTTCGAAGGTCGAACATGTGCAGAAAGGCCTCACAGCAATATCCCTTTCTCTACGCTTTGACTATGCATCTTTGTCCTCCGAAGCTAGACCTCGTCATGTCTTGTGCGTCACAGGGCGCTTTGGCACATTGTATGCATTGGCCCGGAACCCTGGATTCTCCCACTTGGTCTGTGCGTCCTGATTCTCCATGCGTCGTTGTAAGTGGACACCGGCTGGTGGTCGTTCTCGTTTTTAACGTTTCTAAAATCTCCAGCTCTCCTTTCCGTCCTACCACATCCATCCCCGTCCTCTACGCCGCTACCTCCATACATCAACCATGGCTCCGCTGAGCAAAACCGTTCAAGCCGAAACCACCGACCGAAAGGCGCACCTGTTCACCACCGAGATATCCCAAATGATGTACGTCTTCGGCGAGGTGATCGAGCCACTCGCCTCAACCGCGAACCTCGTCGAAGACATCGTCCGGAGCCAAGTCGTCGAGATCGTACGCCCCCGCGCCCCCCTGGCCAGCCTCCCTGCAAACCCCCACTGACTGCCCCATTTACATAAACGCACGCAGATCCTGCAGGCCCGCGAGACGGCCACCCGCCGCCGCGCGAAGCACGTCGCCGCCGAAGACCTCCTCTTCGTCGTCCGCCACGACCGCGCGAAGGCCGACCGGCTCCGGACGTACCTCTCCTGGAAGGAGGTGCGCAAGCACGCGCGCGCCGCCGCCGACGCGACCGCGGGCGCGGGTGGCGCCGTCGACGCCGACGCCGACGCCTTCGAAGAGGAGGACACGGCCGGTGCGTGGCCCTCTTCCTCTTCCTCTTCCTCCTCCTCCTCCTCTTCGACGGGTCTCGCACTCACACGAGGACACGGACGACAGAGGACCTGCCCCCGAAGCCGCAGAAGCTCACAGTCAGGCTCCCCTGGGAGCTCTCGACGGTGTACACCGCCGGGCTCCCCCAGCTCGACGACCCCTCCGACTCCGGCGACGACGACGACGCCATCGCGTACGCGGCGTCGCAGGCGCTCCTCAAGGACGCGGACGCGCGGACGCGAGCCATGACCGGCGCGCACTACGCGTACTTCGCGCGGTGCCGCCGCGCGTCGTTCACCTCCTTGCACGGTGCGTCTCTCCCTCTTCGCGCGGAGGGTCGTAGGCTGACCGCCGTCGGCCAGTGAAGCGCTTCCGCGAGTTCCTGGGGCTCCCCCCTGGGCTCGCGCTCCGCCCGGGCGACACCGTCGACGTCGCGAGCTTCCTCGCGTTCGAGACCGTCGGTGCACTCACGCGCGCGGCGCTCGCCGTCAAGGCCGCGTACGAAGAGGCCGGGATCGAGCTCCCGCCCGCCGCTGAAGACTCGAACCCGCCCGCCGCATCGAAGCTGAAGAGGAAGCGCGGGGACGAGAAAGACGTGGGGAAGAACGGGAAGAGGAAGAGGCAGAGGCGGGGGAGGGAGAGGACGGGGTGCAGCCTCTTCGTGCCTCCGCCAGGGCCTGCGACCGCGCTGCGCCCGGAGCACGTGCGGGAGGCGTTCACGCGTCTGCGGATGGAGGCGGAGCGGAAGCGTGCGACGGGCATGGGCAACTTTCGCGGTGGCCTCAGGAGGACGGCGACGACCGTGATCTGAAGCGCGGCCGCTGTGGTTGGATTTTAGGGTCGATTGTCGTGTGCTACTATACAATTACACGTCAGTGGTGCGTGCGTCGGCTGCGTATTGCAAGGTCCGTCCGAGTCCGAGTCCTCCACGCCCCGCCCGCGCCGTCGCTATTGGAACAGCAGCGACGCCGCGACGTCCAAGTTCCCGCCCGCCGCGTCCAGAGACGCGACCGCGATCTCCCGCGTCGCCCCGAGCCCCACCAGCGTCTGGATCGCGCTCTCCGGATACCTGCTCGTCGGTGGCCGCGCACTCGCCGGGGGAGTGGGGTGCGCCGCCCCGCGCCCCACGCCCGCCGACGGCGCGACCGGCGCTGGAGCCGCCCCCAGCGTGTTGCCCGAGCCCGGGAAGCCCGCGGGGGCGGGCGTCGACGGCCCCGCTCTCGGCGCGGACGCGGACGCGGGCACCGGCATGCCGGTCGCCGGGTCGACCTCGAAGTTGCGCGCCTTGTCGGGGAGCTCGTGCTCGGGGAGGAAGCCGACCTCGCGGCCCTGGATCCGGAGCACGTTCTTCTCGAGGTCGATGCAGGCCTGGTGGGCCTTGAGCATGTCCAACCCGAAGAGGAAGTCGACGTCGCGGCCCTCCATGATGGTAAAGGAGCAGGGGAGGTGGAGGTCGGCGAGCTTGAGCTGCGCGGAGTGCACGCGGCCGAGGATCTTGGCGGTCCCGACGCCGCGCGCGATCCCGGCGAAGCGGCGGTCGACGAGGCGCATGATCCCGCACGCTTCCGCGGCTTCGGGGCTCACTAGAGGGATGGTGAGATTGGATGGGAGGGTGGGCAGGGAGAGAGGTCGGCGTACTGATGGTAGACTGGGCACCGCTGTCGACGAAGGCTTTCATGGGGTGACCGTTCACCTCGACAGAGATGCTGCACGCAGTGTGAATATAAAAGTCCGAGGGTTGGGATGCGGAAGTACGCACTAGAGCATGATCACGCGCCCGAAGGATTCGGGCGAATACTCGAGCGCGTGCTCCATGTTCTCGAGAACGGCCTGCTGCTGGATTGCTTCTTCAATCTTGCGCTGTGCCTCGAGGCTGTAAGGGTCTGCTTCAAGCATTTGGCGCTCGCGCTCTGCTTCCGCGTGCATGGTGTGCGTCTGCCGGAGCAACTCTGCAAAGCGCGCGGGGTTGTTCTGTGCAGCGTCCGCGATCTCTGGATTGCGCTGGAGCGGGGAGGGATTGGCATGTGTGTAGGTGAGAGGCTCACAATCAGGCGTACCTGTCGTATTTGGGCCATGAGCATGGGGTCTCCGAGAAGCTGGAGGCGCATCATCTCCGCGTCCTGCTCCATCGACCTGGAAAAAAGCACGAGTTGTTAACCACTACGAATGAGCATAGAACGATGGTGCGAAGACGGGCAAATACGGACCGACTGGTGCCTGCAATGTGCACCTTCTTGCGGAGAAGGAGCATGGCCTTGTCTCCGACTCCGCATTCGACCATTGTTGCCTTTGGATTGCTGATGTCGCGGCCTTCGTAAGAGAGGCTCTGGTCACTGACAGGAATGCCAGACTGCTCGGGTCGGGACAGGAGCGCAGGATGGAGAACAAAGGCAAACGTACCTCAGCCTCGAGTAGCGCCATGACGTTCTCGAGTTCCATGTTGGGGTCGATCTCGACGACGAAGGACTGGCCGAGCTCGGTGACGAAAGTCAGCTCCATAGCGGACCCAGAGCGTGCGCGATGAGTATGTGGAGGGGTGGATGCACGGGAAGACAAGGAGGGGGAGGGGTACTAGGGAGGCTGTGGCGCGGGGAACTGGTTGAAGGGAAGCACGTGAGAGGGCCGGACCGAGGGTCGGTGGTGGTGGCTGAAGCTCTGAAAAGAGGATGACGGCGCGAACGGGAACGGAGACGGGGCGGGGGTGTCGGTGCGCGAGGCGGCTTCGAGCGCATGTTATATAGCCCGACCGGCGACGCGCGAGTGCGCGTCGCGTGCGTGACCAGCGCGCGGACGCGTCGCTCTGTTTGTCAGTCGGGCCACCCAATGCGAGTCACCGCGCCGTGTTCGTGTGTGCGCCAGCGTTACGTGCCTTCGAGAAAGTGCGAGAACGGCGCGGAATGACCTGTCCACGCAACCATTACTACGCCATCAACACTCCGTTCTGCCACCGCAACATAACACCTTCCATCCCTTTCTTGCGCGCGGACGCAGCTTGAAGCCGCGAGCGCCTAATCCCGGAGCGGTTCGGCCCGCATTAAGAAGCGCCCGCAGCAGTGGCTGAGGCGACTGTATAGCTCGTTCCCACGGACGGCGCTGCGGTCGTGGCGAGTGAGACGATCGTGAATATCCTGAATCCGTCAACAGCCCTCAAGACCCCCTCCTCAACAAAAAGCATGAGGTGCGCCGTCGCGTCAGCCATGTGAGAGGGTATCCGTGCTCATCACGGCCCACAGCGGAAGCAAGCTCTCAGTGGCAAGCGTGCGGGGCTCCATCAAGGACCTCCTTGTCGAATCCAACGGCGAGAAGAAGCGCAACTTCGTCGAGACCATCGAGCTCCAGATTGGTCTCAAGAACTACGACCCCCAGCGCGACAAGCGTTTCTCGGGTACTGTCAAGTGCGTATCTCTCTTGCTCGACTTCTTGCTGCAAGCCGACCGCGTACTCCACCCAGGCTCCCCCATGTCCCCCGTCCTCGCATGTCCATCTGCATTCTCGCCGATGCTGCCGACATCGACCGCGCCAAGCAGATCGAACTTGAGTACATGTCCGTTGACGACTTGAAGAAGCTCAACAAGAACAAGAAGCTCGTCAAGAAGCTTGCCAAGAAGTACGACGCGTTCCTCGCCTCTGAGACCCTCATCAAGAACATCCCCCGTCTCCTTGGTCCCGGTCTCTCCAAAGGTCCGTCTCGTCCCCTCCCTGCGTATCTTGCATATGCCCTGCTCCGAAATTGCAGGGGCTCATACGTGTGCATATAGCGGGCAAGTTCCCCACCCCCGTCGCGCACGCCGAGGACCTCACGAACAAGATCACGGAGGTCCGCTCGACAATCAAGTTCCAGCTCAAGAAGGTCCTTTGCTTGGGTGTTGCGGTCGGCCACGTTCAGATGACGGACGACCAGGTCCTCGCGAACGTCATGCTTAGTACGTCCGCTTTGGTCTTTCCCGACTATATGCGTCTGACTGTATACCGCTTCAGGCATCAACTTCCTTGTTTCGCTCCTCAAGAAGAACTGGCAGAACGTCAAGTCGCTTCACATCAAGTCGACGATGGGCAAGCCCGTCCGTCTCTACTAAGCGTTCTACGTCGGCGCCATCCCCCTTCGTCTTTGGTTCCGCGGGACGGCTCTCGACCATGCACCCCCACCACTAATCGAGGGACACACGAGGAGAGGATGACCCGGACGGCCACGCGCACGCGCCGCTGCAATGCACAACATGAAGCCCCGCACGCTTGGACCAACGGCTTCGGAGAGGGCTGGGAGTCGATTGGGAGCTGATGCAGTCGCGCGTGTCCCCGTGAGTCCACAATCTGGGCATTTCACATCTTTCGTCGTTTCGCCTCGCGGTGCATGTACGTTTTCTCGAGAGTGGGTGGTTGGCTAGCACGCTGGATATGCTAGATGTATTATGGCCATGCTTGTACGTGATATGTAGCAATGACACCCCATGACGCGCTTCAGCTGTGTGCGAGATGGTGCGCTTATCGTTGGGGCATGTGCTTCCAGCCTTGTCGCTGTTTCGTCTTACAACCAACCAATAACCACCAGGGATATGCCGACGGAGATTACGTACCTGCTATCCGCGACATCGTATTTATACCCCCAAGTCCGACCAGGGGCTAAGAACCACGCTTTGAGCCATTCGCAGCCAGGCAAGTGTCAAAACTGCGAAGCCGGCGTTTCGATACTGCTCGTTCGTCCGACGACGCACTGGGTGCTGTGCTCAGGAGAGGGAGCTTGCCATGGAACCGATGTGAATCCTTGCTTAGCACTCCTTCTGTCGTGTCAAGAGCGGTCGTTGATCAGCAAACTTTGCAGTCATGAAAAGCGGGCACTCACTGTACTGCCTCCCACTGAGGCCGGTCGCTGAACGAGAATGCCGAAATTCGCGGAAATGTCTGACCAGTGGGTCGCGACGTCGTGCGCATCGTGGGATGACGGGTCGCGCAAGATCGCAAACAGCGTTCCAAGATGGCTTGACCTTTTTTATGCAGGTGAAGCTCACTGGAAACTGGCGACAGTATGGAGGTGTGTTTGTGGTCCCGGGCACACATGAATGGAAGAAGCGAAAATTTGAGTACATCGAGATGCGAAGCTACAGCAACGTACAACATGGGTCAGAGCACAGCAAGGTCGAGCCAGATCAGAGTCACCCAGCAAACTACAAAAAGTAGTCCGCCGGCGGCCGTTTCGCAGGTATCGACCGTACGTCCTGTCCCCAAAACGTCCCGGGTCAGCACTCTCCACCCAGAGCCCGGTCGCAGAAAGAGAGACGCACCGACGGCGCATGCGAGAACACCTTGTACTCCTGCGCGAGGTACTCGTCGAGCTCGAGGATCGACGCCACGTTCCCGCACCGGTAGCAGTAGTTGGGCGCGCTCCAGACGGTGACGATCGTCTTGTCGAACATGAGCTTGTAGCCCTCCATCGCGAGCTGGTGCGCGCGTGCGATGAGGTCGATGTTGTTCCGGTGCGCAAACAGCTTCGTGATGTCCGCGCCGAAGAGGTAGCCCGCGCCCCGCGGGGAGAGGCCCCAGCCGTTGATATCTGGCCGCGGCGAGATGAGCACAAGGAGGGGATCGGAGCGCGCATATCCCAGGGAGGGGTGGAGAGGGATGCGCTCTTGAGGCGACTGGACGCGCAAACGAGAAGGAGGCACGCACCGTCTGGGTCTGACCACAGCAAGTCGCACATCGCACCGTCGTGGGGCACCTCCTGCTTCCTGTCAATCGTCCGGATCTGCACCCGCGCCCGTCTCAGCTCCCCGCCGCCCTCAACGCGCACGAGCACCACCCACGCACCTGGTCGATGCTCTGCAAACTCGGGCTGAGGCCCCCGTGCACGCAGAACACGCGGCCGTCGACAATCGCGCCGAGCGCGAGGTAGTCAAAGACCTCGCAGCACCAGCGCCAGACGTTGCTGCTCCCGTACTTGCGCTGGCACTCGTCGTAGAAGCCGTACACCTGCGTGATCTGCCGCGACTCGTGGTTGCCGCGGATGAGCGTCATCCGCTCCGGGTAGCGCACCTTGAGCGCGAGGAGGAGCAGGAAGGTCTCGACGCTGTAGAAGCCGCGGTCGACGAAGTCCCCTGGCGGGTATATGCGGGTGAACATGTGGCTTGGGCGACGGCAGGGGGACCCGACGTACCCATGAAGAGGTAGTTCGTCTCCGGACACGGCCCGCCCACTTTGAAGAGCTCCATCATGTCCCAGAATTGCCCGTGGATGTCCCCGCATATCTACGCGCATACAAGGACGCGTGAGAGACCGACCGCATCCCGATACTCGGGTGAAACACAGCTCACCGTGACTGGAGAATCGACGACCTGCACATTCGCCTCCTCGATGAGAATCTCGCGCGCCTTGAGACACAGCCGCTTGACTTGCTCCTCTGATATCGGTTCGCAGCGTAAGAGCTGCTCGATCTGTCTAGCGCGCGAACGAGAGGAGGAATTCGAGATGAGCGGCGCGCTGAGCGCGGGGCACACGGGCGAAGGTGGGGCACGGACTGGTCCAGGTCACTTGGCATGGGGCGTGTCGAGTGGACAGTTGGGTATATTTTGCGGGTTCTGACGGGAAGGAAGGGTGGTGGTGTAGGTGGTGGTGGTGGGGAGAAGAAGAGCGACGGCCGTACTGCAGCACACCCGCCGTTGAACTGAGGCGCGTCCTAGTGGGCGGCCCGATTCTCCGCCTCGGGGACACATCCAACTGGACCGGAGCTCAGCGCTCAGCGCTCAGCTGTATTGCATGTCCATAAATCTCCCTCTTCGGACGCAGCAACTTTTTGTCCTCGAAACAGAGAAAGAATAATGGATTCCTAAAATTACTCCAGGTATAAGATATCCAAAATACAGGACTGCATATAGACTGCATATATAGCAGAGACAAGACAACAGAAGCACAGGTGCAGCATCCACCTCCAATTACACACCGTTCAATCCTCATCGTCCTCGTCAATCTCGTCGTCCTCAGGCTCCTCCGTCCTCGTATCCGACTCCGCGATCGTGACCCACGTCGACTCCAGCCCAAACGCACTATCCATCCCCAGCATCCCGTTCCCATACGTCGCGAACCGGCCCACGCCCGCCCGCACCCGCTCCGTCACCACGCGCGCCACCGGATCCCACTCCGCCCCACTCTCGAAGAACCGTCGCTTGAGCCCGCGCGTCGCCCCCGCCGCGATGCTCGCCCCGTGCCCGTGCCCGCACCCGTCGTCGTCGAGCTCCGCGGGCGGGCGCGGGACGTCGAAGTACCGCGACGTCACGATCGACATCCGCTTGCTCCCGTAGTGGTGCCCGGGGGGCCGGTGCACGCGTCGCGAGCGGCCGCGGCGGCGCGCGGAGTCCTCTTCCGCCTCGTCGTCCATGTCGATCTCCTCGTCACGTTCGTCCGCGTCTTCGTCGTCCGTCCGGTCCGAATCGTGCATATCGTACACGTACCGCGCGTGTTCTGCTCAAGAGCCGTGAGCGCGCGCGCAAGAGGGGCAAGGAGAGAACGTACGCGCGAGCCGTTCGTCGAGGTCGTCGATGGGTGCGTGGGCGTGCACGCCGCCCAGCTTCAGTTCCCGGTCGAGCGGTTGTCGCGGGACGTCCTGCATCTGCACCGACGGCGGAGGCCCCAGCTTCGACAACTGCTCCAGTGTCTCTATCCTATTCCATGCGCACAGTAAGCTTCAAGATATTACGAGACCTGTGCGCACTGACCTGATCCGGTCCAGCGACCCATCGCGCATATTTAGGTCCTCCAGGTTGCTCTCCAATACCTCGAGCCGATACCGCGGCCCGAACCACTCGAAGAAGTCGTTCCACGGCAGGTTCGGGTCGATCGTGTGCTCGATGCCGAGTGCACACGCGGTCTCGTACGTCCACGTGCGCGAGACGTTCTTGACCGTGTACCCGCCCCCGCCGAGCAGCATGAGCGGGATGCGCGTCGCGCGGACGTACTGCACGCAGCGCGCGTGCCCGTGCATCGTCAAGTTGAGGCCCCCGAGCTTGTCCCCAGACAGCGAGTCCGCGCCACACTGGAGGACGATGGCGTCGGGCCGGAAGACCTCGAGGATCTTGTCGAACACCTACCACGCGCAAGAAAAGCGCTCAGTGCGAGGTTCGGGCGAGGAAGAAGCAGCACCTGCGACTGCGCACCGGCTGAAAAACGCTCGCGTACGACTCGTCCGTGACGCCGTCCTTGAGCGGGATGTTGACCGTGTACCCGCGCCCCTTGCCGCGGCCGCGATCGTCGAGCTGGCCCGTGCCTGGGAAGAACTCGCCGTACTTGTGCAGGGAGTAGGTCATCACGCGGTCCGTGGTGTAAAACGCCTCCTCGACGCCGTCGCCGTGGTGGCAGTCGATGTCGATGTAGAGCACGCGCTGGAACGCGCGGAGGAGCTCGAGGATGCCGAGCACAATGTCGTTGATGTAGCAGAACCCCGAGGCCTCGCGCTTCTTCGCGTGGTGCAGGCCTCCGGCCCAGTTGATCGCGATGTCGGCCTCGCCTTGTATGAGCCGCTGAGCCGCGGCTGCGTGCAGATGAAGGCGGCCAGCGCGCGAGGGTGCGGGGTGCAGGGGTGCGGGAGCGAAGGAGACGTGGGGCTGGCGTGAGAATGGGATGGGGCGAGAACTTTCGACGGAGGGAACGCACCTATGGACCCTCCAGCAGAGATAGACGAGAACTCAAAGACACCTTCAAACGCAGGGTTGTCATCGCCGACGAGGAAACGCGTCCCTTGGTACGTGAGTCTGCGGTAGTTGTCGGGGGTGACCTTGGAAAGGAAGTCGATGTATTCGTCGGTGTGGAAACGGGTCATGGTTTCAGGCGACGCGCGTTTTGGACGCTAGATAGCACATGAAGGATGGGTGGCATGCTGATAGTCGGAGGGAATAGTTACACACCAAGACCTGCATCTTGGGAAGCATGTCATAAGCTTGGACGAGTTCATGAGCTATCCGCATGCGTTGTGGTTTCATCGCGTGAGACATCCCGAAAGAGTACGCCCCCACATCCGCTAGAACCACATGTGAGAGGATGCAGACGAGATGACAGCATATACTCACCGTCATAGTAGTATGTTACTCTTCGTTTGGACATGCCCCAGGCGAAGGTGGATAAGGAAACTTGGCTGGCGGCCGTGAGTTGATGAACACACACAAACGAGGATGAGACAAAGCAAATGAATATACTGCAAGACGGAGTGGTATGCACGAGAGAGGTGGGTGATGGCAGTCCAAGCAGGATGAAGGTGAGAGTAGAAACGAAAGTAAACGTTTGGTGGGCTCGAATGCCACCACGATCACGGGCGCCTGCGGATATCGAGCGGCCCGCGCCGCCCCGGAAGTGCCGAGTATCAACTCGTCGGGAGCGCCAGCAAGAACTAGTTATTGGCTCGAATTCGAAAGCTCGTACCGATGAGGATATTAATTCATAGTGCTACGACAAAACGGGCAGATTGGGCCAAGTATGCTATGACCCAGAATCCGGAGTCCGAGCGATGGAGGCGCAGACGGTGAGCTAGAAGAAACTCAGTACAATGCCGAGCAGAAGTGTTAACTTTGAACTGATCGTCCAGTCTTCGTGTGCGAAGCCTGGGCAGAGCGAAACTCCAGTCAGGCGCGGCTCGGGAACACGAACAGACGACTCACCTGATTGTTCTGGGAGTAGATCTCCCGTACAAGAGGGCCGGTAGATACTCACCTGGCTCCAATGTTGCTCGATCACCATCCGCCCTCATATCATCAGATCCTCGCAGTTCGTCTCTGGTGATGACTAGTGGTTGTTCATGAATGCATCGTGCAAACAGCGCCTGAAGGCGTTGTGCGGCGGGGAAGGGCGTCCAGTGTGGAGACGCTGTTGAGATGGACGGCTTGGGAGTCTTGAGTGGAGGGTGATGGTGGTAGTGGTAAGCGGAAGGAGTACAGATGACGCTAACCAGACTCACCCTGTCACGTACTAAGACGGGAGATATTGTCGCGTTGCGCCCCCAACTCGTTTGCTCGTTGGAAAGCCTCACACGCCGCGGAAATTAGCACAAAATCTCATATATCCAGTGACTGGAAGCTATCCCAACACAAAATTGCGACGCATCGCACCCTACAGTAAGAATAAGATTAACGAGTGAGATATACAAGCCGTGCGCGCAGCCCAGCCCCTCAGGCCTCAGTACTCAGTCCGGCGTGTACGCGGGCGGCAGCGCCGGCTCGCTGTACATCCGCAACCCCGAATCCTCATCGCGCAGCGGCGACGCTATCGTCGTCTGAGTCATACGCGTCGTCGCCGTCCGCGCGCTCGCCCCGGAGCCCTTCACGCTCGCCGCGCCGTACTGCGCGCGGTCGCCGCGGTCGTCGTCGGAATCGTCTGGGTCGTGCAGGACGGAGAACGCGTGGAGGAGGACCTCCGCGCGGTCGACCTCCGCCGCGGGCGCGTACCACGGCGCGCGCGAGACCTCGGTGTGCGGCACCGGCAGCGGCTCCGCGCCCGCCACGCCCACGCTCGCGCTCGCGATCTGCGGGGAGAGGGAGACGATGTCGGACGGGGTGGCCGGCTGCGGTGAGGAGGGCGCGGTAGACGTGTACCGGTTCGGGGAGAGCAAGGGCGAGGGCATGCTGGGGGTCACGGAGGAGGCGGGCGCGACGGACGAGGGTGCGAGCGAGGGGAGCGCCGTGCCCGGCGCGAAGGAGGGCGAGGGGGACTTGGCCGGGCTCAGGTGGCCGTCGCCGTCGAGGTTGTCGGGTGGAGGTCCGGCGTAGGGCTGCACGGTGTTTCCTGTGGCGCGCGCGCGCGAAGGTTAGCAGGGGCCGGTCTCAAGGAGTGATGGACAACGTACGACGACGCTGTTTCCGCACGCAGTAGAGGACGAGCGCGAGGAGCGCGAGGAAGGCGATGCCACCGACGACGCCACCCACGATCGCGCCGATGTTCTTGTGCCCGCCGGAAGCGGACGTGTTCCCGGCGACGCCCGCGGTCGGGCCCGTCGCCGGACCGGAACTCGTGCTCGAGGAGACGGACGCAGTGCTGTCGCTTGCGGTGACGGTCTTGTTGACGAAGAAGAAGTCGAGCCAGAAGGTGTTGGGCGCGGTGCCGTTGAGGTTCGTGATGTTGAGCATGTGTGTGCCGTAGGGGAGGCCCTGGATATCGAAGAACGAGACGTTGTACCGCATTGTGTTCGTGATCGGAGCGGTGTACGTGGCGAGGCTCTTGTTGTCGATGAGGTACTCCGTCGTCGGCCGGCCGTAGCTGCTCGACGCCCCGACGGTCCCGAAGACCTGCACACCAGAACCTGGATATGCGACATGCAGTGCATAGTACCACGCCAGTCAGCGAGTGATTCTCGCGGGAAGTGCCGCCGCCGAAAAAGGCACAAAATGAAGGAAGGGATTGACGAGATGCGCACCGGCAAATGAAAGCGTCGCCCACAGACCACCTATCACCGCCCGGTGACGGGTTCCATCCACCTCCGACACATTCGGCTCCCAGTTCCAACCCGCCTCGTATTGAACAATGGAGTCGGAGTCGTCGATGAAGGTGATATTCGCACCGGACGCCATCGCCGCGCGGGAGGAGGTGAGTGGGGGAAGGAGGCAAGACGCGAGACGCGGGCTGTGGAGGCCCTCGCGGTGAGCTTTGTCAATCTCGGCCGTGATGTCGATCGCGATGAAGCTTATAAACCTAAGCTTGAAACATTGAACAGAGGCGGCAACGAGAGAGGGCTGGTGGTCTGGAGTACTTATGCTGCGTCATGTGGAGCGTTGTGATACATGTTCAGCAACTTGAACTCCGGCCACGATGATACACACTTTGAAGTTTGGGGGATCGGGGTCCGGAACAGCTCCCGACTCTGAGCGCTCTGAGCGAGTTGGCTGAAGCATCAAAAGTGCGAAGGTCTCACGGGACGAACGAATCAAACGAGGCCCCGGAGTCCGTCGCATCACAGGTCGGGTGCAAGCCGCCCCCCCGCGCCTGATCGATGATCCGGGACCGTACTGTTACGGACAGATGTCCACTCCAGCGATGTCGACTCAATCGACGCACAAATCACGATGACAGTACATTGCACTGAGCCTTTTCAGCCGGCCTTGGGCGCGAGAGGAGCAAAGGAATGTAAAGTGTTTGCGGCGCATACTTGTGGCGGCGCGCACGCCCTGTAACAAAGCGGGATGCAAGGTACAACAAGTCCGTTCTCTCATAGTCGCATACCGGGCATAAAACGACGGGCGACCCAGGCCTGTGAAAGTGATAACCACCGGGTGCCAGGTGTTCGAAGAACGAGGGGCCCCAGTGCATAAGATTAAAGCTGCGGAGACACGGCCGTCAGCGTTCCGAACACACGACCGTCCCAGCGCACGCGCTCACCGTTCTACAACTATGTACACCGCGAACGGATCGAAGGCTGTCGGACGCGCCCGCCGCGTCGCGCGGCGGCCGCTAGTCCGGGGTATACGGCGGCGGCAGCGTCGGCTCGTTGTACATCCGCAGGCCCGAGTCCACGTCCTGCGCCTGCGTCGGCGCGCGGCGGGGCTCCCGCCTCGCGCGCCCGCCGCTCCCGCCCGCGGAGCCCCCGTCCTCGGCCGGGCTCCCCGCGCTCCGTTGGGATATCGCGTGGAGGAGCGAGGCCGCCTGGGTCTGCTGCGTCGCCGGCGCGTACCACGGCGCGCGCGCGGCCTCGCCCGCCGTCTCCGGGCTCGTCGCGGTCTCCACGCCGCCGTAGACCGAGGGCGCGCTCCCGGCGCCGCCGCCGAAGTCCGAGCGCGCGTACGTGTCCGTGGGCGAGAAGACGGCGTCGTGCGCGGCCGAGGGCGCGCTGTACTCCGTCACCGGGCTCAGCAGGTGGCTCGAGGACGAGGAGGAGGGGGGCCCGAGCCGCTGCGACTCCGCGCCGTAGAGCGCGCGCGCGGCCTTGGCGTCGTACGGGAACGCCGCGGGCGTGTGCGCGGCGGTCGTCCCCCGCGAGAGGTTGTCGCTGGCGTAGGCGGCGCGCGAAGAGGGGATGACGAACTGCATGCTTGCGGGGCGCGCGGCGGCGGCGAGCTGCATGTGCGAAAAGTCGGCGCCGCCGAACGCTTTGGGCGAGGGCGCGCCATAGGGCGCGGACTCGGTCCGGTTCAGACCGTCGTCCATCTGCGTAAACGGGTGGACGTCTGCGACCGGCCGGCGGAGAGGCGCGAATCCCGCGAGAGACACGTCAGCCGCGAGCAAGGGGTCCATCAGAGCGAGGGTGATCGTACCTTCATGAGAGCGGCGCTTGCGCCAGAGGACGAACGCGATGAGCAAGAACGCGAGCAGGGCAATGCCGCCGATCGTGCCGCCCACGATTGCACCCAGGTTGCTGTTGTGGCTCGCGGAGGACGAGGGATTGTTGCCGGCGCCGCTCGCATTGTTACCCGTCACGGAACCGTCGGGGCTTGCGGTGTTCGTGGGGACGATGCCAGATGAACCGTCGCTGATGGCGGTCTGGCCGAGGCGGGTGGCGGTAGAGCCGAGGGGGGTTGAAGAGGTTCTGGTTGCGGTCATGTTCGCTGAGGAGGTCCTGGAAGTAGAAGGCGAGATCACTGACGATATTCCGGAGGTGGTGGTGCTCGAGGACCCGTTGGTGGCTTTGAGCAAGTCTCCGACGGAGGAGGAAGTCGTGGTCGTGGTCGAGGTAGTCTGTGAACTGGTAGTGACAGTGGTGGGTGGTACGTTCGTTGAGGTAGTTTGCTGTTGCTGCTGCTGCCGCTGCGTAGTGGAGGTGGTGGAGGTGGTGGTGGTGGTGGGATTTTTGGCAGGCTTGGTCGTGGCGACGTTCGAGGACTGGGACTTGTACACGAGGAAGAAGTCGAGGAAGTACGTCCCTGTCGTTCCGATGTGCTTTATTACGATCTCGTGGTTACCGTACGCAAGGTCGAGTTTGGAAAAGAACGTGACGTTTTGTTGCGTGCTCGACGTCGATCCCGCCTGGTACTGGCCCACAAGCTGGTTATCGATCGTGTACGAAGTCAACGGCGTGCCCCAGTTCGAGGAAGGCTCGAGCTGGCCGACGACCTGAATGCCCGTGCCTGCAGAGCGCCCACGCCAATCCCGAAGCCCGTCAGCCGCAAACGCCTAGAGCGCACTGCCGCTCGCGGAGGCAGAACTCACCTGAGAAGCTCAGCGAGGCAATGAGGCCATCTGCAGACACCGCGTGTCTAGTGTTGTCGACGGCATCCACGCCTTGCTGCCAATCCCAACCGCCCTGGTACTGCACGATCGGGTTCGTGTCGTCAATGAGCTGGGGGTCCGACATGGCCTATCCGAGACCAAGCGCGCTTTTGCGCTCCTGCGTCCGGACGCACGGGGGCGGAGAGGCCGTCGTGGGCGGCGGTGAAGGGGAGGAGGGGGGGGGGGAGGGAGAGAGGGAGACGATCGCCACGCGCCGGCAGAGCATATATCTCACCACCCGCGCGGCCCTGTGCCCGAGGAGGACTGACGACGAGAGGCGCCGGATGGGCCCGAAGACGATGATCAGGACTTGCCATGGTTCCTGTCACGGTCACAGCGGTGAGGGACTGTGGCACACTGCCAGCACCTGCTGCGGCCAAACATATCTCCTCAGTTTATGTCTCGAGACTCGGCACATCCAGAACTCTCCTTGAAGCTCGGCGGCAACTCAATGGCAAACGTCGTCACTGTAGACCGTCGTTTGTGGTGGATGTGGCGCTACCGGATGTGACCCATTCTTGACCGTGACAGGAAGGTCCTATTCAGGCAGTTGCCATCTGGCCCGCCCCGTGACGTCGTGTGACATCCCTCAAAGTCGAGAAGACGGAGTGACCGCCGTTCCTGGCCATCAAACCCGTCAGATGGCGGTCAGCGGTATGGGGTGAGACGCGATCACAATGCAACGATGCTGGGAGCCTTCGAGGTTTGATATACGGCACCTAGTACTGCGCTGGTTTGATTGGCTTGCTCTTGAAGACAGAAATATCTTGCAATGACTATGAGAAGTTCTAGGGACAGAAGAATCAGCAACGGGGGTAGCAGAGTCAGCCGAATGGGGAGCATGAGGAATGCTGAATACGAAAGCTTGCCGATCAAGATGGTATCAATCCAGGGCACGGCCTCAGACTACTGCCGATTAACGAGTCTAAGTCAAGCTTTGAAGGCCTTTAATGGTATAAGCGGCGGAGTTGGACGCACGTTTTGGCGAGACATGCACCCAGCGTCAGCAGCCTGGTGGCGAGCCTTATGAGGGTAACATATAGCAAGCAGGCGGAGCATGCAGTACTTCGTCTACGCCGCTGTGCATCGATCGATAAGGGCTGAGGAACTTCGAGGTAACTAGCTATTCAAATTGGGCCGCCATTTCGTCGTCAAGTCCCATGCATACTTCTGCTCTGGATCTCAACAATTCACGGATGCTTCTCTTCTCTCGTCTGCCGTTACTTATGTGTCAGCAAGTATCACCAGAAACAACGCGCTGGTCTCGTCCCCAGCCGCTCTGTACCGCACCCCGCCACCGCGCTTGTGTAGGCAGTGGCGGGGTGCGGTACAGAGCGGCTGGGGACGAGACCACAACGTGCTGAAGAACGCACCCTCACATGTTTGCTATCGAGCGACGCCACTGTGCGAAGAATCACACGCCCTTCGAACGGCACTTGTTTACCGGAGGACGCCAATACACAAGAGAACGTAAACTCTACAAAGGAACAAGCGTTGAGCATGATGATCACTCGTACGTCGGCATGCAGAAGAAGACGGCATACGTACATCGAAGCAACATTACGGTGACCAGACCGCAGCCGCACGATGTCAACGACCTCCTAACCGGGCATCCTAGTCTGCAGTGTACGGTGGTGGGGGCATCCGCTCGTCGTACAGTCGGAGTCCAGAGTCGATATAGTGACCGCGCGCCGGAGGCGTGGCCTCCGTGGCCTCCTGACCACTCGTTGGCGACACAGCGCTCAGTAAAGAACGCGCTTGCAAAGGACCCGTGCGGGAAGCTTGGGCGGCTTCATCCCGCACAATGTGCGGGCTCTGGTCGGAGTATGCCAACGCAGACGGAGAGAGTGGCGCGACTGCCGAAGTGGGGACACTGGTAGTCGCCAACTCCGCGCTCGTGGTGGTAGCTGGTGCTACGAAACGCCGAGTCGGAGTGGGAGCCGCGACGGAAACTGTTGTGGGGGAGGATGGACTTCGAGCTTCCGCTTGTTGGCGCTTGTCGCTGATGTAGCGTTCAAAATCTGCGAATTCCTTGAGCGCGATGAAAAGGGATACAAAGTCGGCACATACCTCGGACACGCTTTCGACGGCGCGACAGATGAAGTAGAATGATCAAGAGCGCTAGCAGAACGATCGCGCCTACGATCGCGCTTACGATTGCCGCGATTTTAACGCGAGAATCGGAATCGGATAGTGCGGCACCGTTCGTGGTCACGACAATGGTTGAAGTTGACAGGGCGGTCGAGGTGATTACAGTCTGTGATGCATATGGAGAGCTTTCTACCGTGAAACTTGCTGAAGATGAACGAGACGTGGGATCGTCCAAGGAGGATTCTGCGGTATGTGGCGTCACGTCAGAAGGAGACGAGGACGTAGTGGTAGCGGATTGGGTCGAAGATGAAGAACGGGTGTGAGAGGGAATGACTGTAGTAACGGAGGAATGTGACGTTGAGGTAAAAGTTGTCGTAGAGTGACCCATCTGATCAGCCGTAGACGAGGCCGGCGACGGCGGCGAAGAGTTCTCGACGAGGAAGTAGTCCAGCCAGAAGAGCGTCGGGCTTTGACCGTTCATATTCGTGATAACGAGCGTGTGGTCTTCGGAGGACAAGTCGTTCTTAGAAAAGAATGTAACGTTGAACGTCGTTTGACCGTCTGGGGTGTATGGCGCAGTGTACGTATCCACTACTTGACCGTCGATGGCGTATTGTGTTGTAGGCTGCCCGTTGGCCCCGGTAGGTTCGAGAACACCGACCACCTGGATACCAGTACCTGCCAGGCGCAGTTGGCGACGCCACTTAACGGAAGGAGATACAATTTGCGCACCTTTGAAAGACAGCGTCGCAGTGAGCCCCGCGGCTGCGGCACCATGCCGGGTACCATCGACTTCCGTTGGTAATTGTTCCGTCGCAATCCAGTTGGGGCTGTACTGCACGGAGGGGTTGTAATCATCTACCAAGGCGGTCGAAGACATGCCGGAGGTGTGGTGGGGAAAAGGCTCATAGACCCTACGAGCAGCGAACCCAGGGTCCAGCGACCTTCAAGACTGCGGGGAACGAGGTGAAAGAGGAAGCTGGAATGTTCCCAACGGGACGACCCTTAACTGGGCGCGATGGGCGCTGGATGTGATCAGCACTATATTATAGACCGGTGCGTACCCAGGTCACGATCAGGAAAAGCTCGATACATGGGCGCATCGTCGCTCACTGAGCCACGTGACTGGAAGGCGATCTGCCACGCAACGCCCAGATGACGCGCGCACCCACAGCGGGTTCTTCCGGAGAGCTTGTGCCAAAGTGAGACATATGATCTCATGTACACCTCTACATTACTCAAAGAAGAACGTGTACGGCTCGGGAAGGGCGCATTGAGCCAGGGCCAAGGGAGGATCGTTGCAGGTCAGGATGTGAGCGCTCTCAGGTTGCCCGAACAAACGCCGGCGCTCCGCGAGCCTTGGCCGGGGCCGCTGCCACTGCCTGCTACGACGCTCCTTCTGCCAGCAACGCCACCTTGTTCACCTTACGTTGCTTCCGCTCTCTCTCCATCCTCGCCTCCTCGCTTTCAACACACCGCTCGGTGCACCTTGTCTCGGTTCGCCCATGTCTGCACGGCGCTGCGTTGCTACACGACTGCCAGCTCCGGTCACCTCGGAAGTCATCAGCATGCCTCCTCGCAACAATTTTTCGCGACACCATTGACAGCGTGGCGACAAACAGACTCTCAACGTTGTCCTCGCCCGCACAGCCCTTCCGAGCTTGTGCTCGCGCGAGCAGGATTGGGTAATGCTGCGCCCGTAAGTATGTGGTCTCGATGTGGTCGCGTTGATGTTTATCGCCCTCCATTAGCGGTCGACGGGCAGCGGATGATTGGTGTTCACGAGCCAGGCGGCGACATTGACCCGGCGAACGCGGCGGATGCACTTACGGTGACTGATCTGCCACCTTTTCTTTCCCTGATCAGATGCTGTGCGCCGAGTCAGGATCTACTATCTTTGCAATTCGATCGCAACCGTACTTAAGCCGACACAGCGCCCTGAACGGACCAGTGCAGCAACGTCTTTCCCCCCGCCACGACCGCCTTGTGCACAGCCGTCCGTCGGTCTCTTCAAAGGCCCTACAGGCACTCAGCTAGCAGGTCCCACACTGGTGCGTACTCTAAGTTGTCCTTTTGCGGTAGTATACCGACACCTTCCCGATCCGTCAAGAGTGTACCCCTCCCGCCTATAAAACCGGGTCCCCTCCCCCTGAACTTGCAACTGTTCTCGTCCCCCAACCGCCATCCACCATGGCCTACTCCCCAATGTTCCTCTACCAAACGCCGTACCTCACTTCCTACTTCAACCAACCATACGTCTCGCCATTCATCCCACCCGCGAACCTGCCCCCTTCTCCGCTGCTCTCGCCGGACTCACGTCGCGTTCACTTCGAGGGAGACGGGCATTATCACCGCCAACGACGTCCGTCGTGGCATGGAGGTCTTGCGCCTCCGGTCCAGGTGCCGTTCCCTTCCCCGCCTGTTCTCTACACTCCGCTCCCTCCCGTCGTCGGCATTCCTACCCAAGCCGCCCCGCCTTTCACCCACCATCGCCGTCGCTCCGACACATGCATCGCGACCCCCTCCTGGTTCGCCGTGCCTACGATGGGCCCGACTCTCTTCGCCCCCATCGGGTTTCCCTCCCCACCCGCGCCCCCTCCTCGCGCTCAGGTCCATCCGCTCCTCGACGGGGAGGGTGCTGGCGGTCCGCGCATCTATTTCGACCTATCTCACTACGAGTGGTCCCCTCTTCGCACCGCCTCTGTCTATGACCGTCACGGTTCCGCTCTCACCCAAGAGGAGCTGAGGGCGTCCGCGACGTACCCTCCGGTCTGGCACATGGTCATCACCTGCGACGAAATTTCCGACTGGCCCATCGTCCTCGACCCGAAGACGGTGCAGGAAAATCGCTCCCGCGAGGCCAGCCCGTTCCTCCACGTGCCCTTCCCCCAGACAAACATCCCCCCGATTTCGGTGCACGACGTCCTCTACGCCGTGTGGAAGCACCTCCAGACGCGGATCACCCAGCAGGACTGGGCCCGGCTCGACCAACGCCAGGTCAATGAGATCTCGAGGGCGTACACCCGCCGGAGCAGGACGTTCCCCACGTCCCGCGACTTCGACAAGGAGGTTGGTGTCCGCCGCATCGACTACCTCGTCGACAAGTACTGCTTCCGGGGGATCGCGCGCCCGTACCCGACGGACTCGTTCGAGAAAATGAAGCTCGTCGTCGGTCCGCCCCCCTCGCGGTAACTCACGTTCTCTCGGTCTCCGCTTATCTCGTCCTCGTAATCACCCCTCCTCCGCTCTACCTTCCCGTTTCCGGCGCCGCGGCACAAGACCTCGCTCGGACGCCGACGCTCATGCCGACACTTCTCCGATCGGGCCTCCCTCCACGCTGCTGGGCGAAACTTCTGGCCTCCGCTGCCGTCCATCCACCCCCTCTCGGGACACGGAAGACTGGGAGCTGCGGACCTCGACCTCATGCGGGACCGGATGCGGACTGTGTCGGCGACTAGGCTCGGACTAGACAGAGGCTGCGCTCGGACGATACACGTTTCGGTGTGGTTGTGTGGTTCGCGTCTCCGGGGCTGTTGCGTCTGCTTTTGGCTTTATCTTCTGCGCGCACTGTACTCTCCTTGGTTCCTGGTGCTACTTGCTATTTGCGGTTTATGATTCTTTATCCCCTTAATATTCCCCACGCGCCGGTTTTGTATGACTAGGGTGGCGTAGTTGCTTTATGTGTCGTTGTTCTGTGCCTGGGCATGACTTGTTTACGAGAGAGGATGTGTTTGTCTCTTACATCGGACGTGATAATAATCATACACCAGCTAAGATTTGTAACTGTATCTCTAGCCCCGGCATCAGTGGGTGCGTTGCAACTGCCTAAACGCCATGTGGGACCCTGGTGGTTGGATGCGGACAACGGCGGGAGCATATCCAGAGCTGAGGACTGATCGTGTACCAGCGACGCCCGGCGGCGAACCGTCTGTACCGCGGTCTCTCGTGGCACAAAGCCTCCGAGTCCCACGTTCGTCTTACGGTTACTCGCACAAATGCAAGCTGCAGCTCCAGACCAGGTGATCGCGACGCGCCGGCGCCTGAGGAACACCGGGCTGTCGTCATAAGCGGATAACCGAGCGGACAGTGTGGAGGCCACGGGTGGCTCTCAGCCTACAGGCCGGGCTCAAGCTCTTTCCCTTGCTCGCTGCCCGCCGTGACCTTCTGACTCGACTCGCCCTGCCCATGCCTCCTGCGCGCACTCTCACCTCGACGGTCTCGCTCGTGTTCTCCTCCCAGCTCCGCGCCCGGCAGATTTACAGGCACCCGGCGTTCAGGTTCAGGATGGCGAGCTCGTCTGCGGTGCGTGCTCGCTTCGGTCTGCTTATCTGCGAGGGGAGGGAGTGGGGACTCATAGGAAGACCTCAGTTTGGCTTGAAGGAGGCGTCACTGGTGCGCTCGCAGGGCTTCATTGACGGCAAGTGGGTGGATGCGAAGGACGGTGGGGTGATCAAAGTCACGAGTGTGTACCGTCCTTTTCCTTCTGCGTTGCCGGCGTCCTTTGAACGTTCACAGACCCCGCGACGACCGAGGAGCTGGGGACGGTCCCCGAGATGGGCCTCGCGGAGACGAAGGAGGCTATCGATGCCGCGGCGAAGGCGTTCAAGACCTGGAGCAAGACGACTGCCAACGTCCGTTCTTTCTATGTCCTGCGCCTCTACCCGTGTTTCCTGAAATGTTGGTGCGCATATAGCAACGACACGACATCTTGATTAAGCTGTATGCGCTCATGAAGGAGCACTCGGACGACCTTGCGCGCATGATTGTGAGGAAACCGTGCCTTGCTTGAGGGTGAACGGGAACCGCTCATCGCTGGGTCCAGACTCTGGAGAATGGAAAGCCTCTTGCAGAAGCGATGGTGCGGTTTCCCTCGTCCATATAATGCATTTGGGCTGAGCAGAGTGTGCAGGGAGAGCACCTGTACAGCGCTTCGTTCATCGAGGTGAGTAGCTTCTGTACTCTGTACAGGCATCCGCAGCATTCTCATTCCGCACTGTAGTGGTTCGGTGAGACAATATCACCTTTTTCCTGTCCCTGCTTTTCACCGGGGTCTGTGTACAGCTGAGGAGGCCGTCCGAACATATGGCGGTACGTCTATCTCCCATGGCCCGAATCGTTTCTCGTCCTCATGCATACATGGTACCAAGAGCAAATCCCCTCCCCATTCCCCGGTGTTCGAAACATTGTCATCAAGCAGCCCGTCGGCGTGGTGTACGTCGTCTTCCTGCTCTTCAATGACCCTGTTACCTACGGCGTCCCGCAGTTCTATCCTCACCCCTTGGAACTTCCCCTCGGCTATGATCACCCGCAAACTTGGTGCTGCTCTCGCAGCAGGCTGCACCGCCGTCATCAAGCCCCCTCCCGAGACGCCCTTCTCCGCCCTCGCCCTCGCCGAAGTGATTGCTTATCGCTCCCTTCCGCTTGCCCCATCGCTCACCTGCCCGTGTAGCTCGCGACACGCGCCGGCGTCCCTCCCGGGGTAATCAACATCGTGACGACGCAGTCGAACGTGCGCGATGTCGGGCGCGAGATGTGCGAGAGCCCGATCGTGCAGAAGGTGTCGTTCACGGGCAGTACGCCCGTCGCGAAGATGCTCGCGCAGATGGCGGCGGGCACGCTGAAAAAGTGTGTGTGTATGCATGTATGCGCGGTTCGGCGGCTGATGCGCGGGCGCGGGGCAGGGTGTCGATCGAGGCGGGCGGGAACGCGCCGTTCATCGTCTTTGACGACGCCGACATTGACGCCGCTGTTGAAGGTGCGTCCGAGCAGGGTGTGCGTGCTGTAGGCAAGCACTGACGTCTGCGCTAGGCGTGATCGTATGCAAGTTCCGTGGCACCGGGCAGACCTGCGTCTGCGCGAACCGCATATTTGTGCAGTCCTCTGTCTACGCCGAGTTCGCCTCTCGCCTCGCCGAGCGCGTCGCTGCCTTCAAGGTCGGCAACGGCCTCGATAAAGAGACGTGCGTCTCACTTCTCCTCGCCCGCCCCCCGCACGCTCACTCCCGCTCCTCAGCACACACGGCCCCCTGATCCACGACCGCGCGGTCGACAAGGTCGAGGCGCACGTCGAGGACGCCCTCGCGAACGGCGCGCAGGTCCTCCTCGGCGGCAAGCGCATCCCCGGCGCGGGCTCGTTCTTCGCCCCCACCGTGCTCTCCGACGTCCCCGCCGACGCGCTCGTGAACCGCGAGGAGACGTTCGGGCCGCTCGCCGCGCTCACCCGGTTCGAGACCGAGGAGGAGGTCGTCGCGATGGCGAACAACACCGCGGTCGGGCTCGCCGGCTACTTCTTCTCGCGCGACGTCGGCCGGGTGTGGCGCGTGGCGGAGGCGCTGGAGGTCGGGATGGTCGGCGCGAACACGGGCGTGATCAGCCAGGCGGTCATTCCGTTTGGGGGCGTCAAGGAGAGCGGGCTCGGTGAGTGTTTACTGGTGCGCTGTTGGTGTTATGGCTGACGGTTGCGTAGGACGCGAGGGCGGGCATGGAATCAGCGAATACATGAATGAGAAGCTGATTGCATTCGGAGGGCTCTGAAAATGAGGTCTGAGGCCACGTGTGAGTCTAGGAAAACGTTGCTTCATGTGGCTCGTAGTGCAGCCGATATTCTTTCTCTCTTGTAGCATTATGTTGAATCTGCTTGTGCGCGAGCAAGGCATGGGCGGGACCCCGCAGCGTTACGCTAAGATCGTCCCAACTGCGCAGGCGACGCCAGCGTTGGATGAATGAGGGCATTTAGCGGGCAAGTGAGGTAACGTGAATGTCAAAGGCCAAAATGTGGCCGACGCTCGTATCCTCGGGGCGGCCGCACCGCCATGTGCGTTCAAGCGTCCAGCCTTTTCCGCACTTCCTGCGCGATACCAGTCTTGACGGTAAGCCTCCCGCTCAGAGTGGTTCATGCGAGCCCACGCTGATGAGCCGCTCCTCTCAGGTTTCTGTCCGCAGAAATGCGTTTATTCTCCTTAGCACAGACATTCAGACAAGAACAATCTGCGTAGCAGCTACTGGGTACAACTCCAATGCTTTTACTCGAGCGTCGGCGGAGAGTTCCCGCTGCCCATCATGACCGTTGCACCGGGGCTCGTCACGTCGTCGATGGTCAAGAAGACAGTCCCCGGGCCGGGTGGGAAGACGCGGCCGTTGGGCGGCGTAACGAACGTCATGGACGTCCCGCCAGGCGCGACGGTCGCGTTCATGAAGACGAGGCGAGCTCCAGCGTGGAACCCGTGCGTCGAGAACCCAAGGTCCATGAGCGCCACTGCCAGCCGTTCACTGAATCAGCGCTCTCGCAGAACCCATCCGACGGCTCCAGCTGCTCACCTTTCACATTCGTCGCGTTCGCGACGAGCGATGCCGGGACGGAGATCGGCACCGTCACGCTCGAGTCGAACGCCAGCTTCGCCGGCATGCTCAACATCCGCGGCCGCTCGACGGCCATGAACGGCGGGTCGAGCGTCTGGACGCGGAACTCGCTCGGGAACTTGACGTCCGCGCCGGTGACCGTCCCCGTGTTCGGGTTGCTGCCCGCGATGAGGAAGTTGCCCTGGGGGGTGAGCGTGATGCTCGAGTGGTACACGCGCGCGATCCCCGAGCTCGGCATCCCCGCGTTCGAGATGCGCTCCCCGCGCGCGCGGTCGGGCGTGTACAGGCTCGGGACGAGCACCGCGTGGTCCGCGTTCGAGTTCCCGACCGGGTCCGCGACGGAGTTGAAGCCCGCGAAGCCGGAGCCGGCGCCGTTCGCGATGAGCACCTGCCCGTTCGGGAGGTGGAGGAGCTCGTGCATGGTGCGGCCCTCGAGCATATACTCAACCTCCCAGCCGCGGGCGATACCTTCATCAGTAATCGTCATGCGCGAGCACTGCGTCGTCGCCGCGATCTGCGAGGAGAGGTTCGCGGGCTGGATGGTGTCGTCGACCTGGGTGCCGCCGCAGACGAGGACCTCGGGGACGAAGTCCGGCGGGGAGAGCGGGAGGAGGATCGCGGAGCCGTCGATCGGGTTCGTGACGCGGACGCCGTTGGGGATGTCGGGCAGGATGGTCTCGGTGTCGGCCTCGATGTCGTAGATGATCGTCTGGTTGTTCGCGATCATCAGGACGCGGCCGTCCGGGAGGGCGAGGAGCCTGCGAACGTTCTTCAACACATGGAAAGGCCGACTGACGTCAACACGTACCGAGGGAAGAGGTTCGCGGGAAGGGCGCGCTCGAGGAACGCGGACGGCCGGACCGTCTGCTCCTTGCGCGGGAAGAACTCGAAGCTGTTCTCGGGGTCGATGTTGTAGAACACGGCCTCGCCATGCATGCCGCCCGCGATGAGCAGGCTGCCATCGAAGATGCGGATCGCCGAGGGGTACCAGCGCTCGGCTATGAGGATGAGCTCGGGGCTCTCGAACAGCGTGCACCCTTCGCCGGTGGGGGAAGCACAGGGCTCGAAGAGACGGATGGCCTGGTTCCCAGGCTGGATCACCGGGTTTCCTGCGAAGCCGGTCTGGTCTCCGCCGATGCTGGCCTGTGGTGCAGCAGAGTGAGCGAGCGATCGAGGGTGCAGTGGAGGAGAACATACCATCGTCCCGTTGCTAAGCATGGCGCCGGCCGCACAGAACGAGTTGGTGACGACGTCGAGAGCAGTGACATTTCCGGTCTCGAGGTTCCACAGTGCGCCCCACGCCGAGTGGCCGTTGATCTGAAGAGGGTCCAAGGAGGCGCGGTCGAACCAGAGAGCCAAGGTCGGAGAGACAACGATGGCCTCGAGCGCGACGATGCCGGACGTCTGGTTCTTGGTGTCAAAGGTCCAGCCGGGCGCGGCTGAGGCAGGATTCACGAGCGCGAAAGCTGAAGGTAGCAGCGACCAGGTAAAGCAGGAGAACTTCATCGTGCTAGCCGCCTGAGACGAGAGGAAGTCTGCGCTGTAGGCGATGATTGCGCTGCAATATATAGTGAGCGGCACCACTTGGCAGAGCTCACGAACGTATTCTCTGTTTCTCACCAGAAGTTAAACCTAACCCTCCGTTGCTTATGGAAGAAACTGAACCAGGGAAAGAGGCTAGAACGTGACCGTGCCGATGAATGGACGAAGAGTAGACCTACCTTCGAAACCTCACAGTCGCTCCATAGAGACGCGAAAATGGCTCTAGCGAGGGAACATTACGGGCATGTGAAGATGTGGGTGTGAATATGTGGACTGGTTTAAGAGCGGGAACGTTCCTAGACAAGATTGCATGGCTTCGGTCACGGCACCGCTGCGCCAAGACATTGGTTGCGTGAGACATTATCCAGTCAAGAGATGGCAACCCGGGATGAATGGAGCTCCTCTGGGAGGTAGGAATAGATCGAAGCAGGAGCCTAGGGGGGTGGCCGCATCTGGCCCGCGTACGCGTGACTATGGTGCGTTCCGGAAGACAGGATAGACGACGCACATGGTTCTTCAAGCGAGGAATGATGACGCGCAGTTGAATATGCTTTTTACAGAGGAAACAAGCACTTCAAGAAGAATGGGAAGCTTATGAGCATGCGTGACCACGACTCGTCTAAAAGAGTAAAGGACGTACTTTCAGGAAATCTGGGACCACGCCCACGAAACTCCCCGGTTGCCCTTTGCCGGAACTCTCCCCACATCTCGAGAACCCACATCGCCGTTATAAAATATCCGAGCCACCAGTGCAGAAGAATGTGTGGCCTTTCGTCCAAGTGGAGCCCAAATTGTCGCATGACCCCGGCGGACCACACTCCAAACCCGCGCTCCCGTCCAGTGCGGCATTCTTCGGAGATCGCGGCCCCATCCACGCGCTCCGCTGAGCTCTGTTGATAGACGCACTTTGATGAAAAGAAACCTAACAGAGGGTGCGAGTGTTCAGCGCTCGCGGCCATATTCATCATTGGGAAACGTACCGTCAAGACCCGTCGTCCTATCGAAACCCGGGCTCTCGATCAGCGCCCGCGCCCGCTCCGCATCCTCCCTCCAAATCTCCACCAATTCCCGGTCCTCGCCCTCTGGTTCCACCGCCCACCACCAGCCCGTCGCCCGTACAGGAGAGCCCGAAAGCTCGCGCAGTTTGCAGAACGAGGAGCTTGGAAAATGGTCACGGGCCAGCGCTCGGGCCGCCAACACGTCCGAGTCGTCGACCAACTCCGGCGTCGGCATCCTTCCCCCCAATCCGAGGACGCGCAAGGTCGGGATCGCGCGGAAGAACGGCTCAGGATCGAGCTTGCGAGCCATTCGTATGCGATCGAGGTCGCTGTTGATCTCCATTCCGTGGGTCCGGGCAACGTAGCGAGACCCGTAGCAGGAGCAGTACCACCCGTTGCAGAAGTCTATGTTCAGGAAGAGCAGCCTCGACAGACCGACCAGACTTTGGTGCAGTGCCGCCTGTCATTCGGAGGCATATCAGTGCGATTCGTCTGCCGGGACGGTGATGAAACGCACCACGTTCATCTCGCTGATCACGGAGATGCGAAGGTCCACGGCACGCAGCTGTGGGCATCTCTCTCCGACCCCGGTCCACTCGGCCCAGCCCGACGCCGTCTTCTGAAGCGTGTTGGGCCTGCAACGCACCGTGCCGTGCACGACGAGCGAACTTGCACGAGATTGTTCGAGGAGTGGGACAACTGAAGACCAGTCCTCGACGGAGATGCGGTCGATGCGTCCGAAGCGCTGAGGGAACTGATCTTGTATAAGCATGGTGTTCATTCCGGACTCGTGCCCATCGGAGAATTCGAAGACTGCCACTTCGCGGAGGGGAGCGCGGTGTTCGTCTTTGCCAGTGTTGATGCCATTTACCATGCATGAGATGTTAAAGCCAGCTTCCGATCGCGACCACTGGACGACTTCCAAGCATGGACACAGGGGGATGAGCATGATGCCCCACTTGAACGCGTGATAGTGAACCTTGAGGACGCGGATGCTAGGTAGAGCCGGAAAAACGCAAAACTCGGAGTTGTTCTCTATCTCTGGGGGCACCGTCTTGAGGACCAAAGTATGTAGGCTTGAAAAACGCGACAAGAGAGCGACGAAGTCGGTGAATTCCATCTTCTGGTAGAGTCCAATGCCGAGAGTCTTCAACGTTTGGGGCCGTGAAAGGGCTCGGAGCATTGCAACAAGGGCGGAGGTGTGAGTAACAGAGAAACACGCGAAGTGGAGATCGCGTAGATTGTGAAGGGCAGATATCGCTTCGGAAAATTGGGGGGTCATTGGCTCGGGGATCAGAATACGGAGTGACCGTAGGCGGGGGGTTCGAGAGAGAAGGTCCGCGATTCTGCGTGTCATAGTCGAGGGATCCGAGTCCCTTGAGTGCATTTCGATGGTAAGATGCAGAATGAGATGGAATTTTGGTGCGGTAGATAGCAGTGGGGGTTTCGAAAGTGCGTCGTACCAGGAGTGGTTGCTTTCGTGTCTTTGGAGAGTACACGTGATTGAAGCCCAGATCTGGGGAAACGCAAGTTGATAGAGGCGCTTGGAAGCTACAGACACAGATTTTGCGTCTCTACATCCCAGATATGTGACGATAGCCAGAATAACGTCGTCGTTGAGGGTGAGGACAGGGGTCATCGTCGTCGAGGGTCAAGAGAGAGAGAAAGGGGGCGGCCCGGCGCTCATACTGCGGAGGCAGTGGAAGCGCCCGATGACTAATACAGAAGTCAGCCTGATTTAATGTTCAGTGTGCGCACGCAGTGCTCACATAAGATGGTGGTAAGCTAGGAAGGTTGAAGGGGCTGTTCGTCGTCTTGTTGGAAGTCCACCAACGCTTCGACTCGCTGAAGGAAGGCCAATTGTGTGAGCACTTCAGGGCCGACTTTGGTAAGCGTCAACTCGCGCAAGGCCATGAATGTGTAGCTTATCTGCGTCATCTAGATTTTACAACCTCCCGGTTACGAATCGACCGTGACAGCCACTAATGTAGACACAAACAAACAACCGGTCCATCGGGGCGCGCGTGCTACACAGACCGCCGTGACCACACCGTCTTTCACGCAGGCAGTGGGAACGTCACGCTGAACCCGGCCGGCGACGGGAACGCGGGCGAGCTGTCCGGGTTGAAGCCGAACGTCTGCGCCCGGATCGAGCGGTTGTTCGAGCCCCCGTTCTGGTCCTCCATCGCGTGGTACACGATGTACGGCACCCCGTCGCGGTCGGTCGTGAAGGACGCGTGCCCCGGCCCAAAGGCGGCGTCGGATGCCCAGAACACCGGCCCGTCGTCCTTGCGCCACCAGTTGCTTGGGACGACTGCGCGCACGGTCAGCGGCGGGGTGAACAGAGACGAGGGCGACGTACGTGGGTCGGCACCGCCGTCGATACCCATGAAGCCGAGGCAGTACTCCTGGGTCCAGCTCGCGGCGGCGGCTGGGGATATCAGCTGAGACTCCGGGGATGTGCCAAATGCCACCAGATACGCACAATAGATGAGGAACGTCCGGCCGTCGTGCACGTAGATCTCGGGGCCCTCATTGATTCGCTGGCCGCCACTTGCTTGCCAGTCCGGGGTGGGCTCGTGCAACAGGACGCGATTGGCAGAGATGCGAGTCGGGGAGTCCATGGGCGCGATGTACAGGTTCTGCACCGTCGTCTGGCTGGAGTTCGTCCAGCCGGACCAAATAAAGTACCTGATCGGAGTGTTTCAGCAATTTCGCTCAAAGAAGGCGATATGATCTCAGCCTTACAGTCGACTCGGATCGTTCTGATACTGATGCAAAAATGAGCGTAGTTCGCGGATTGAATGAGCGCGTGCAACACTGACCTGCATCACGGTTCCGTCGATGGCCCAGTTGTTGTCCGATGACGTCACTTGTCCCACGAGCTGCGTATGGTCAGCACACCGTCCGTCATCGTTGTTTCTGACTCACTTCGAACGGCTGCGTCGGATCCGTAGTGCTCGTACCCTTAAGAGCGTACATCCGATGCTGGGAGTTGTCGTTGTTCTGGTCCATAGCAACGTAGATATAGAACGAGCCGTCGATGATGTGCAGCTCTGGCGCCCAGAGTTCCGTAAAGGGCGAAGTCGGGGTGTACACGATGGTTCCCGTCGTCGACCACTCGGCGAGGTTGGAAGACTTGTAGACTTGGACGTTCGACCCGGTGGTGTAGGTCAGGTAGTAGTTGTCCTCGTACATGATCACCCACGGATCCGCGCCGAGTCCGGGCTTGATGGCTGTAGGCGCATGCAGTCCGGATAGTGTGGCACGAAGAAATGGATGAGTGGTAAGTACCATCTTGTCGACGCGAAGTGCCATGGGATATTTTTGCAGCGAAGGCTGGCACTGCGGCGACGAGGACGAGAACGATTGCACGGAAAATGAGCATAATGAAGATCGCAGTCGGTGTCGATGGTCCCGGTAGAAGAAAGGGGTGGAGGGACCTGCCACATTTATACTCATGCCTGTGCGGCTGCAGGCGATGACGGAACAGAGAAGCACTCCTGATCAAAGCAGCCGGTCGTCAGGTGGCTCTCGAAGTGAAGACCACCATGTGGAGCAGATCACGCGCTGCGGTGGTTTGTTCACTTGATGCAGAGTCCATCGACCTTGGCCTCGACGTCAACTTTTGTCTTGCGGCTTTCGTTGGTGCCTGCGAAACTGATCACATTATCCCCGTGTGCAGCTCACACGGCCAGGATGAACGGGAACATACTGTATTCCGGAGGCATGCCGGCCGTAGGCGGCTTCAAGGCGGACATTTGTAACGTTCAGAGCAGTCGTGAGATGCTGCACTTGCACGTTTGTTCGCCAGCGACACCATCGCGAGATTGTTCATGGAGTGAAGCACGGGAATGACTATCCGGGAATTATCGCATAGGCTGGGAGTTTTTCCGATCGTACCTCTCGCAGCAATAAGCTGAAGGTTATTGACAGCACTGAGCAGCGGTGAAGATGGGTGGCGTCAAGAGCAAGTTCGGCGGAGGCGACTGGCGCACGGTTCGGCGGCCCGCTCGAGATGAGTAAGCGAGCGCCCGCCCCGGCTCGTGGCTCTGCACACGGAAGTTTTGAGTGTCGAGGAGAAGCGCGATTGCTCTACCATGGGGGGGACGAAGCATCCGAACAGTACAGTAAAGCTGGCCGTCAAAATCTGGAGAGACCGCCAGGAATGAGCGAAGGGGGCGCTACATAGGTGCCATCGCTGCCATGTGGTTCTGGATTTCCTGAACGTACGTTCCGTTCTCTCTCTCGCGCGGCAGCTTTTCTCCTCGAAGTGCTTGTGGCCTGCGCGCCCTCTTTCAGATAGCACGCTTGGAAGGGCGCGGGCGAGGTGGCTTTGTACCGGAGGTTCGTTCGGGCAATCGATTTTCGTATTTATTGGACTCGTTTACAATTTTTGTTAGCCTCCGCGCTCGTTTTTATGCCGTGCGGCGGACACTGGTCAGCCTCCAAGCGAAGTGGTTCAAAACATCCCTGGACTGTCCGTTCGAACTTGCCCTCTGCCTCCACCACGCGCCAGACGCGTCCTCCCCTCGTTGTGCTCCCTTTCCGTTTTCTGCGTTGATCGCCCGTTATCACGTCAACTCGCTCTGCTTTTCCCATCCTCTTCGAAGCCCAAACCTCCACGCTACACCCCAGCGCCCACCATGGTGATCGTCAACCTCCCCAGCCCATCCACCTCCCCTCGCGCCGACAGCGTCCTCTCCTCCCCGCCCTCCCCCACCCTCCCGGGCGCCCGCCTCCGCGCCTCCGACGCCTCCCTCGCCCACACCACCGCCCTCCTCGACGCCACACTCGCCGAGCTCGCGAACACGACCCACACCGCGCGCGCGCTCCACGCCTCCCTCACGCACGCCACGCGCGCCCTCGCCACCGCCAAGTCCTCCGCCGCTGCGCATGCGCACGCCGCCGCGACGCACCGCGCCGAGCGCGAGCTGGCGCTCGAACAGCTCGCGTGGACCGAGCGCGAGCTCGCCGTCGCAGAGGAGGCGCTTGGGTACGCCGCCCGCGAGATCGTGCGGGGCCAGCGCGCTGTGTGGGCTCGCGCGGCGCGCGCGGTGGAAGACCGGCGGCAGGGGCGAGGGGAGAGGGACGGGCCTACGGAGCGCGGGTGCGCGCGGTGCGCGCGGGACACGTGGAGCTTCTTCCGCGCGCGCGCATCGCACTTGGTACGCAGGGGGTCGACGCTGTCCGCCGCGTCGTCGACGACCGCGTGCGAGAACCCTTCGGGGATTTCGGCGTCGTGGTCGGACGCGTCGGTGGTCTCCGTCTGGGCTGGCGAGGAGCGCGGTCGCGAGCTGCCTCGGATGGCGCGCGAGGACTCCGCGGCGTCGCGGCTGTCGGGAAAGTTCAAGACGCTCTCGAAGTCGTTCTGGCGGAGGTCGACGCGCTCCGTCCCCGCGGTGCTGCGCACTCGTTGACCGCACGATAGCTCTGTTTTGCCCACGGACTCCGACGAAGTTCAGGTTGCAGTAGTTCTACGAGATCGAGAGTTACGTCCTCGAGCATAGGAACACTTGTTGCATACATACTGTATTGCGGAGAGATCATGACCACCAGCCCATGTATACCCCTTTGATACCGATCAGCTGGTCGCGCTCGCTGCCATCAATGCAGATCCTGGACGAAGACTTCTTGGAGAACGTGTTCTGACTTCGTGTCGACACAAGCTTGGACTTGAACTTCTCAAAGACATAGTAAACCCTTGTCTGAGCGTTCAGAGGGGGAAGTTGCATGCAAGACGCGCACGTAAGGCGTTAGCGGAAGATCGATATGAAGGACCCGGTATTTAGTCTGACAGTGTTGAGTACAGTACCATGCTTCAGGACAGCCCGAGCAGCGTTTCAAGCTCTCATGGACTGAGCGAATCCACACCAGAAAACCGTGGCGCGAACTGACTGGTAGCAACTTTCTTACTGGTGTTACAATGTGGCGCATACCACTTCATGTCACATGCGCCCTGATTAGTCTCCATGCTCTCAACCTGTGCGGAATACATCATGAGCTACCACATGGAGCGATCTCAACGACAACTCACCTCTCCTCCCCAGGCTCGTCCTCTTGTTCAACAGCCGCTTGTACAGCGCCGCGTGCGTCCCCAGCTTCACGAACCGGCTCACGTACTCGACCAGCTTCCCGTCCATGCACGCTTGGTGGAGCTCCAGCGGATCCATCCCTTTCTGAACCTTCCCGAACAGCTCCAGGTACAGCTCGTCCAGCAGCTTCGACTCGGCTTTGTCCCGCACATTGTCGTACCCGTAGTCTCCGCAGCGCGTCGCAGGCTTCGGGTCGTAAAACCGCTCCGCGTTGTCCTCCTTTGAGACCTGTAGGATGTCGACGTGCGCCTTCAGGTACCACACCGAATCGAACATGTCCGGCTTGTCGCCCATCATCGCCTCGAAGACCCGGGGCTTGGGAAGCGCGACGCGGTACTGGCGGAAGAGCCCGGGCATGCGCCCCTCGTTGTACGCCTCGAGGAACTCGTCGAACGTGCAGTAGTGGACGAGCTCGATGTACGCCATCCCGAGCTCCGACACCTCCCGCTCCGAGCTCGTCGTCACGAACCCGAACGCGAGCCACGCCGGCATCTGCGGCGCGGGCAGCTCGCTCGCGAAGAGGATGATGTACGCGTAGTGCACGAAGCGCGCGCGCGGGGAGAGCGCGCGGATCGACGCGTCGATCTCCGCCTGGGGCGCCTTCGGGTCCCCGCCCATGTGGATCCAGCCGTCGCGGTAGAGCTTGTTCATGTGCGTGTCCGCGGGGGGGTGCGCGACCCCCTTCTCGACGTCGTCCGGGCGGTCGAAGATGCGCTCGTACTTGAGGAAGAGCTTGTAGCCTCCGCCGCGGGTCTCGGGGGGCATCGCCTCGAAGAGGGCCTTGATCTCGGGCGCGAGCCGGCCGTTGCGCTGCCAGCGGCGGAGGTTCTGGGGCGAGACGGATTTGAGGACGATCGCGTAGACGATGAGCAGGTAGTCTTCGCTCGAGCGGCCGTCGTGTTCCGCGATCTTCTCGAAGCCGTAGTCAATCCTTGTCTGGGGATCGCTCGGGACGATGTTGTTGTGGATCGCGCGCGCGAGGTAGTACACGGTGCTGATCGGCTGGCCAGGCTTGCAGTCGAAGATGTGGAGCGGCCAGTGCTCCTGTTGGCACTTTTGGCTGCAGTAGCAAGCCTCACGGCATGCGGAGCAGCGCTTGGGGTTCTCTGCGGGGAGAACGGTGTCGCACTTGGCGCACTTGTGCATTCTGTGGTGGGCTCAGCACTCGCGCGACGTCCAAGCGGAGTGTGGTAGGCGAACTTACCTGTTTCTGTGTTGCGTGGTAGATGTGCGGGTGCAGGGAGGAAGCAGATGGATGAGATGAAGACAAACAAGAGGGCGACCCGGGTCCACTCTCCCTCTAGTGCAGATAAGCAGTCAGAAAATGTCGACGTCGAGGGCAGAGTCCAGGCTCAGATCGAAGGGAGTCGGGGATGGAGCGACTTCAAACTCCGTCGCCCACATCTCAATGCTCCGACCTTCGATCTGAACTCCGCAGAGAAAGCGCGAGTATACTTACGTGCAAGAAGCCTCGCAGCGTGAGCATGGCCTGCATTGCGCATATGGCGGGGTGAAGATTGCCGGGTCTCGGACGAATGCGGATCGATCACGTGAATGTACCATCGCACTTGCGCTTTAAAACTCGATGGGACAGTACAATACTCCTGCATCACTGGACAGTGCTTGACCAGCCGCATCTCAACTCACGCGGTCAGGTAAGCATGCTATACAGACACTTCTCCGAGAAGAACCCTGGCGAGAGATACGTCGCGTTAGCCCCACAGCAACCCTACACCCATCAAACCACGCACCTTCCAGACCACGCTCCCGGTCGAACTCCGGACGCTCGATGATCTCGCGCGCGCGCTCGGCATCCTCCCTCCAAATCTCGACCATCTCCCCGCCCTCCATCCACCACCACCTCGTCCGCCGCGTCCATTCCCTGCTTGTCTCGTCAGGCTCTCTCGGTGCCTCTCGCTCCTTCCCCGTGTGATCCAGGGCGAGCATCTGGTCTCCGATCCCGAGCACGCGTAGGGTCGGTATCGCGTCGAAGAAGGCCCGAGGATCGAGTGCGCGTGCGACCTCGGTGCGCGTGACGTTCCGCTGGAAGATTTTATGCCTGTCGACGATAACGTGCACGCCGAGGTAATATAGGGACATGCCCTCCATCGCCGCGCCAAGACCTGTCTGAACGCACGCATTGGGTGAACGAGCTCCGGATGCTTATGGCCACGTGACTTACTAGGTGTTGGTTGGGCGAGAGGAAAAGCAGCTCGAGGGAGCGCAGCGGTGGGTCGACCCGGAAAGCGTCGGCCCAGCATATGAGTTGGCTTTTCTCCGAACTGGAGGATGGGGAGCGAAGAAGGACCTTGAGCACAAGAGCGCTCGGCTGGACGGCGCGAACGAACGCGAAGGTGCTTGCCGAGGCCGTTGAGGACATCGGGGAGAGGGATGGGGCGGAGATGGACAAAGGAGTGACTATGGTGAGCCGGCTGACATCCCCCCTCGACTGTGGCAGAGAGGGAGGAGGGTGCTGGCGACCTTGAAGGTACCCGGGGAGGCATTCGAAGGCTCGGAGAGCAGGCCACGGGGTGTCCGCTATCTTTCGTCGGTACACGTTCGCGTCCGCGCGCAAGGAGATGTAAGAAAGGGAGGACAGGTTGGGACAGAGGGGAACGAGGTCCATTAAGTTGCAGCTGTAAGACTCGGCAACAGCCAGAGTACGCAAGCTGGGCAGTTGGGGATATATGAGGGGGTTTGTCGGAGGAATGGATGGATCCAGCTCGGGAACTACCAAGTCCTGCTTGAATACGAACATCAAGTAACGCAGACGAGCAAACCGGGAGAGGACTTTCGCCAGAGCGGGAAACGGGTTCTCTCCTGCACTCCACGAATTCGGAGGGTGGTAATCGAGCGATAGGGCCTCGATTATGGGAGCATTGGGAAGAGCGTGGAGCATGTGCATGGTGGCAGAGCCGACGCCGGTCAAGTTGAGTTGACGTAGGAACTTCAACGCACCCAGCGCCTCTCCAAGCCGAGGACATTCGGTGACACCAGGATCCAGACTCTCTTCGAATCTGGCGACGAAGGATTCGAGACGGCGGGCTTGGGCGAAAACCTCGACTAGTCCGGCAACTATGGCTCGGAGACCGTGTTGCCCTCGGTGCTGGATGACCAAGGAGCGCAGGCATGAAATCCGAGGGGATTTTAGGATGGGGTCTAAGGCGAAGACACGTTCGCGCCATATGTTGAAGTCGGCGTGGTCGCGGCAGGTTTTGTCGAGGTAGACATAGGCTCGGGGAATGGCCAAGTGGTAAGCCCGTTTGGCACAAAGAGATAAGTTGAGAGCATCCCAGCCTTGAAGATAGGAGATGATGAGGAGCAGGAGGTCGAGGTTGAGATCCAGCAAGGACGACATGGTGGATAGGAAGAGGGGAATTGCGTAGCCGGGTGGCGGCCCGCCGTGTGAAGGCCGATCCGGAGAAGCCGCGACGCGCGAGGCGAGCGCGACAAATATTCTCTGTCCGGCTCTCATGTTCTCTCACAAGCCGGCTTCAATATACCTTTGACGACGTCCTCTGCTTCATCCTGCCACTTCTCTTGAGCAAGAGCATCTCCATCAGTCGTGCACGACGGCTCAACACCGACCGAACACCGGACCCAGACCCACAAGTTGCGGCTGGTAATGGCACTACGGAAGTGGAGAGCGAGCTAGTCCAGTCCGGATCAAAGTCACTAAACACCGCGGGCGGAGCACACGGACTGGCCAGGTCGTGGATTGGTCTACGGAGGATGTTGGGCCGGAGTAAAGGCGTCTCGGACTGTGCACTGTTCAGGTATGTCTTCTATTCACCAGCTTTATGCATCCCCATCTGACATCCGGGAACGGACACAGATGTGTCTCGTGCACTTCTTCGGGGTATGCTTGAAGCTTTGGTGGACATGGAAGACACCCTCGGCGTATCGAAGGCAAAATTCTCGTTCTCATTTATGCAGGGCTACACTTGTACGTCTATTCAACCCCGGAACTGTTCTCCATCCGCCCATGAGAGTGAGAGCTCGACCGGAGAACTATCGTTGACTCGGAAACTAACGGTGTATATGGTCGTTGGCGTGTACATATCGCCATAGGTGCTCAATGACTTGTCTGCTTGACAGCAATAGGCACCTTGAAGACAGACTCGCATTTTATCTCTCTTGTGCTCCCCAAAACCCCATTTCTCGAGATTCCAGACGCTCTTCGCCGCGCGCCCCGGCGGACCTTTCACCACGTCGGCGAAGAATCGCAAGTCGTAGACGACGATGTTGCAGCGGTGGAAGAGGGAGACGATGGTGCTGGACTCGAACGAGTGCTGTAACGAAACCGTACGTAGGGAGGACACGAAGAGCCTCGTGGACATGGAATAAACACAGTCGTGGGATGCACCTCTGTTAGAAGGGCTATCTAGGGGAGACTAGGGACGGACATCTGAGAGACCGCGTGAGCCCAATCAGCCTGCAGTAGACGGGAGAGGTTGTGGTCAGTGCCTCCGTCGGCTACAGACAGACAACCACGCACCTCTGCGTCGACGCCCCGCTCCTCCGTCTTCAGCAGGCGCGCATGGTCCGCGGCGTGCTCGTCCTGCAGGTTCGCGAACCGGCCGACGTACTTGACCAGCCTCTACTCGACGGACGCCCGATGCAGCTCCAGCGGATCGACCGGCCGCTCCAGCTTCGTGAACACGCGCGTGTAGAGGTCGTCCAGCAGCTGCGTCTCCTCCTCGCTCTGGCAGTTCGTGTACCCGTAGTCCGCCGCGAAGACGTCCGCCGCGGGCGCGACGAGCACCTGTCGCGCCGGTTCGCCCGGGAGGGCCGCCATGAGGACGTCGATGCGCCGCTTCAGGTTCCAGACGGTCTTCAGCGCGGCCCCGGGCGGGACGCTCACGACGTCGTCGAAGCACGACACGTTGGGCACCGCGATGCCGTGCTCGCGGAAGAGCGCGGGGAGGGCTCCAGCGTCGTGCGCGGCGAAGAAGGCGTCGAACGCGCACGCGTGGGCGAGCGTTCGGTACGCGCTTCCAGATATCCCCTGCCACGGCACGGGGACGACGCCGGCGAGGGCGAAGAAGTAGAAGAGGAGGCAGGTGCCCTCCCGCTCCGGCACCGCGCGGATCGCCGCCCAGATGTCGTCCGTGGAGTCGTCGGGGGAGCGGCCGATGTGCTGTGACGGTCGGCGGCCGGGACGTCACGTAGCCTGCCCGCAGGAGAGTCGTAGGCGAGCAGGACGACCGCCGAGCCGTCCGTAGGACGTCGTGTCGTAGAAGATGGTGTTGGTTGCCCGAGAGGTATGTAGAATACAAAATGCAGGTGCATACTAGCATGAGTCCGAAAGCGGTAGCCGAGATGATCGTAAGGTGCATGACGTAACGTGAACCGTTACGTGTGCTGCCAGCCGGCGAGCAGCCAGGTGTTCACGTCGTCCTGCGCGACCTCCCACGCGCGGTCGGCGTCGAAGGTCGTGAGGTCGTCGAAGTGGGATTCGTGCTGGAGGAACCAGGTATATGCGGGGTCTTGGGCGCGCGGAGATCCCTCGAACACGGATTTGATGCCCTGGACGAGTCGTCCCTGTCGCTGCCATTGGCGCAAGATGTCGCGGGAGACCACATCGAGTACGCGTGTATACAACCGGAGGAGATGTAGCTCAGCGGGTCCGCTGAGGGTGTACGAAATCTTGTGGAAGCCGTAGTCGACTCTTGTCTGCGCGTCGAGCGGGGGGATCTTGTTGAGGCATGCGCGGGCGAGGTAGTAAACGGTGCCGATGGGCTTGTCCGTCTTGCAGTCGAAGATGTGGACCACCCAGTGCCTCTTCTGGCACACCTTACCGCAGTACGCTGCTTCGTGACACCCGGAACAACGTTTCGGGTTTTCAGAGAGCGTTTTCCCGCACATACAGCAGGTGGGGGTGTCTGGCATCCTTTGAAAACCTCAGTATGCATGAAAACTTCGAGTGAAAGTCTTCGCACCTGTCTTCTTCGTCGCGGGAGGATCGAGGGGAAAGCTGGGATCACTGCGGTAGACTGATATATCTACGGTCAGATAGAGTTCACTTGCCACTCCCAGGCAAGCACAACAACCTCATCCAAAAGTGTCACAAGCCTTCGACAAAGCTAAATGCTAAATCCCTTAGTATGGCACCGTTATTGCCCTTTGGTGAACCCGCCCGCGTTATTACCCTTGGGTGACCGCGCCATAGCCTTTCGGCGGCACCGTTTCGCAAACCACCCCCGATTCACTTCAAACTTGGTATCAAGGTACATATGATCATTGTCGTTATATCTGTGCAATTTCTTTCATCTATCTTCATGTCCCCCATACTCAATGAAGGCTTTGATCTCGCTCAATGGCATGCAGCTGGATGATTGAGCGCTTTTTTACACGCGTCGGGCATCTCCTCTCAGGGTTAAGTGTATGGTCTGGAGTGGAAGCGAGGAACGAGCGAAGGAGACAGGCGCGAGTCTACGGCGGGAGGAGCGACGGCAGGCAAGCGCTCATCGCTTGCCTCTTGCCTCGGCGCTCCTCCCCGCGCCGTCCGCCTCACTCATTCCTCTCTCTGCCAGGAGTTACGACGAAAGGGGGATGGATAATCGAGCCTATGGCGGGGTGACTGGTGAAGATTGCCGGGTCTCGGACGAATGCGGATCGATCACGTGAATGTACCATCGCACTTCCGCTCAGGTTTAAAACTCGATGAGACAGTACAATACTCCTTCATCAGGCTGTGCTTGACCAGCCGCATCTTAACTCACGCGGTCAGGTAAGTGGGCTATACAGATGGCACTTTTCCGAAAAGAACCCTGGCGAGAGATACGTCGCGTTAGCCCCACATGGCAACCCTACGCCCATCTTGAAACTACGCACCTTCCAGACCACGCTCGCGGTCGAACTCCGGACGCTCGATGACCTCCCGCGCGCGCTCGGCATCCTCCCTCCAAATCTCGACCATCTCCCCGCCCTCCATCCACCACCACCTCGTCCGCCGCGTCCATTCCCCGCTTGTGTCCTCGAGCTCTCTCGGTGCCTCTCGCTCCTTCCCCATGTGATCCAGGGCGAGCATCTGGTCTCCGATCCCGAGCACGCGCAGGGTCGGCATCGCGTTGAAGAAGGCCCGAGGATCGAGTGCGCGTGCGACCTCGGTGCGCGTGACGTTCCGCTGGATTTTGCGCCCGTCGGCGATGACGTGCACACCGAGGTAGTATAGGGGCAGACCCTCCATCGCCAAGCCGAGACCTGTCTGAACGCGGGCATTGGGTGAGCGAGCTTCGGATGCTTGTGGCCGCGTTACTTATACTTACTAGGTGTTGGTTGGGCGAGAGGAAAAGCAGCTCGAGGGAGCGCAGCGGCGGATCGATCCGGAAAGAGTCGGCCCAGCTTATGAGCTTGATTTTGTTCAAATTAGGGAACGGAGAGGGGAGATGGACGTCGACCTTGAGCATAAGAGCGCTGGGCCGGACGGCGCTAACGAACGTGAAGGTGTTTGTCGAGTCCTCTGAGGATATCGGGGACAGAGATGGGGCAGAGATGGACAAAGGGGTGGCTATGGTGAGCCGGCCGACGGGACCAGAGCTCGACCGTGGCAGAGAGGAAGGAGAGCGCGAGCCTCCTCGAGGGAATCCGGGGAGGCATTCGAAGGCTCGGAGCGCAGGCCACGGGGACTCCGCCATCCTTCGTCGGTACTCGTACGCGTCTGCGTAAAAGGAGACGTAGGAGAAGGAGGACAGGTTCGGACAGAGCGGAACTAGGTCCATCACTTCGACGCCTTGAGATTCAACAGCACACAAAGTGCGCAAGCTGGGTAGTTGGGGATGCTTGAGGGGGTTTGTTGTAGGAATGGATGGATCCAGCACATGCGTCAAGCCCTGCCTGTTGACCTTCAAGTAACGCAGCCGAGTAAAGCGTGAAAGGACGTTTGCCAGGGCGAGAGACGGGTTCCCTCCTGAACTCCACGAATTCGGAGGGCGGTAATCGAGCGAGAGGGCCTCGATTGTCGGAGCATTAGGAAGGGCGTAAAGCATGTGCATGGTGGCAGGGCCGACGCCGTTCAACTTGAGTTGGCGTAGGAGCTTCAACGCACCCAGCGCCTCTCCAAACTGAGGATAATCGGTGGCACAGCACTCCATGTTCCATTCGAATCTGCCGATGAAGGATTCGAGGCGCGGGGCTCGGGCGAAAACCTCGACCAGTCCAGGAAACATGGCTGGTAGACCTGAGCATGGGCTGATGACCAAGGAGCGCAGGTACGAAATCCGGGGGTATTCTAAGATGGGGTCTAAGGCGAACAAGCGGTTGCACCATATATCAAACTCGGTGTAGCTGTAGTAGGTTTTGCGATAGACCTGGGGAATCGCCATGTGGTAGGCCCGTTTTGCACAAAGAGATAAATTGAGAGCATCCCAGCCTTGAAGATAAGAGGCGATGAGAAAAAGGACGTCGAGGTTGAGATCTAGCAAGGACGACATGGTGGATGGGAGGAGGAGGAGGAGGAGGAGGAGGAGGAGGAGGAGGCGGGTATTTATGTCACTTTTTTGCCGCCTCCTAACCAGCATAGTAGACTCCCTGAATGCAAATTTAACACCGTGACCTAGGGGGCGTCGTCAAGAGGGTGTCGACGTGCTGCTCGAGCTTCCAAACGCTCTTCGCCGTGCGCCACAGGCTCCAGCGGACCTTTCATTAGGTATGCGAAGAAGCGCAAGCCTGAAGTAGATGTTGTAGCCGTGGATGAGCGGGATGATGGTGCCGGCCTCGAACGAGTGTTGTAAAGTATAAGGAAGAGACAGCGCATACATCATTGTTCCCAGATGAAGCGCCGCCTCCACTTCACGTCCACCCTTTGTGCGTCTGTACAAGTGACCCGGCCAAGAACCGACGAAGTGCAGTCGCGTAGCTTGTTGCGGGACGTGTACGTCACTAGTTGAATGATCATGTATCTCCAACACCTTCCAGCCTCTATGAGACTAATGGTACGCAACGGCGCCAACATCCACATACGGGCACACCAACCGCTCAGCTTCTCGTCGATCGTCTCGCAGGTGCGTTGCTGCGCGCAAACGACGAACTGCGTGTGGTGCGCCATCAGCCCTTGTGCGCACGAAGCGAAACGACAGACTTACAATCGCGACCCGCCTCCACCCTGTATGTTCGACATCAGCGCGCTCTGTAGTGCTGACTGCGACAGGCTCGAGTCTAGGCAAATGGCGCGTCAGCAACACATACAGGAAGTGACTGGAAGACATACCACTGATATCGCTGAAGCTCGACGCTTCGCTCCCTGTCGGGGTGCCCGCCACCAGGTCGGCGCGTCGCGTCCGCACCGCACGTCCTTGGGCGGCTCTATATGAAACTGCAGGTGGGGACGGCCGTGCGGGCGGTGGTGATGTTGCGCGTGTGGGGGAGTGTGCGGCGAAGTAGCTTGTCGAGTTCGAGGGCGACTGAGAGAGGGAATGTGACGAGAGGGACTGGGAATGCGAGCGAGAGAGGTGGTGGTGGGGACTGAGCGCGGATACTGGTGCAGTCTGGCCCTGACTGCGATGTCGCGTGTGCGTGAGCGGTTGGAGACGTGGAGCACCATTCCGGTGGGATGTGTGAGAGGACGACGGGATGGACGGGATGGAACCTTGTGGCGAGTCTTGAGGGGAGTCGACGCTTGCGCTAGACAGACTCCGGTGGCTCTGGCTGCGGGAAGGGGAGGGGCGCTGCTGTTGCATGGCCATGGAGGCAGACATGGGACGTGTCCGACCTCGCGGTTTCATAACCAACCCACTCCCACTGCCGTTCAACCGCACGCTAGAGGCCACTGGTACTCGACGCTCGGCCACAAGACCGAGCGTGTCTTCGGTGATGAGCTTGCCGAGATTCTGCAGCTTCCTCGCCAACGACTCCTGCCTCTCTGCCTCCTCCTCTCTCCGCACGTCCTCGTCGCTCTCCTCGTCCTCCTCGTCGCTCATGTCGTCGTCCCCTCCGTTCGCTCCATCCGAGGACGAACCCGCCCGAGACGACGCCGGGGAGAGCGGCGGTCCCATGGGCGAACGCGTCTTCCGCACTGGTCCCTGCAGCGTGATGGTCGATGACGACACCTTCTTCGAAGGCGATGGATACGCGTACGCGGGGTTCGCCGACAGCGGACTCTGCACATGCTCCTGGCCGCTGACCGTGCGGTGCTGCGCGAGTGCCCGCCCATGCGCCCGCCCGAGCGAGCTCAGCCGCGCGCGCACGCCCAACGCGGGGCGGAGCGTGCTGGTGCCGGCGTGGACGGCGGCGGAGGTCGAGGCGGAGGCAGGCCCGTTCGTGGTGGAGGAACAGGCGAGGCGGGTGTCGCCGTTGGGCAGGGAGAGCGGGGGCCGCGAGAGGTTGGTGACGCGCGGGAAGTACTCGCCTGGGGTCGCGCCGTTCGGGCGCAGCGGGGACGTGGCGGCGACGGCGGAGGGGAGGGTGGAGAGAGGGCTGGTGACCCCAATGCCCATGCCCTGGAGGCCGCGTAGGTCCTCTTCGAACCGGAACTTGGCGCGGTACATGAGGTATGGATGGGGAACTTCAAGGTGCGCAGCGAGGCCCTTCCCTGAAAGTTAGATGAGATGGGTATATGCGCGCATACACCTGCATTCGCGAACATGAAGGACAAAGAGACGTACAGTCGGTGTTTCCCTCCATGGCTCTGCTCTTCGCGATAACCTCCCAAAGGATGTGCTCCTTCTCCGCATTCCATTCCACCTGAGCTTGCGAGGGCGCATACCGCGACGCGTCAAGGAAATAGTCGTCCGACAGCGTGATTGGAATGCACGCACCCGAGGTGGGTCTTCAGGCGCGTCCTCGGGCCGGTTGTAAGGCAAGCGGACGATGATCCGCACAGGTGAAGAAGACGGCATCTAAAGAAACGGTCCGCAACAAAGAGACAATGTGGGGGAGAGGAAGAGGACGTGGTGGCGGCCCAGTACTCGGAGGACTGCAGCGGTCAGACGCCAAAAGGCGCCGGCCACATGTAGCGGTCTCGTGGCGCGTGAGGTCCTGTCAGCCGCTTTCACACCAACTCAGCATTCCGTCCCACCCCTTGAATGGCTCAACTATTCTCTCTGAAACGTTGGTGCCCTGGTCCCGATGCGAAGACAACCAAGGTATGTCATTTGCGTCCAAGGACCGTTGATCACCCGAACGTTTAATCATCAGCAGCAGACGGGGACGCGAGGATAGCCTTAATCCGGATGCATCCTCGCCAATGCCGGGTGACTCCGCTTGGAGTAATGGAGGACTCCGTCCAACCAAAAAGCCCCGAATCGACCCTGATTTCTCGGCCTTCGACATTGGTGAAGCGTTGAGCGGGTACGCGCCGCCAGCACTCTACGAGCATACTGTCCAGAACACCGTCATCGGGGCGCCAAACCGTCAGCCTGCTATCCAGAACACACCCGACACTCTGAACTCTTTCTTTCCCTCGCCGCCTACCTTAAAGTCCACTCTAGCGGAGGCGTCCAGATCTTCGTCCACAATGACCGGCACTTTAGATCCTCCTCCCGAACTGCAGTCACGGTTGAACCCGAAGCCACAAGCTGCTCCCGGATCACCAGTCGAAAGCGTCACCCCCATCGACGACCTGAATTCTCCACTACACTACAACCTCGGACCTCTCCCGGAGAGCGACCTGCCTCTGCTTGACCTTCTCGACCTCAGCCAGCTCGACACCATCCACGACCTCGACGCACGTTTCCATCGCATCGCCCATGAGCTCCTCCACAACCATCTTATCGAGGTCCGATCTCCGTCCCGAACAGATCACCTTCAGCTGCTGGAGATCGAGGTCTACCTCTACAAGTCCGGCTGCCACGAGGACCCGTTCACCCACGCCAGCCACGAGCAGAGCCAGTGCGGCAGATGGTCCGTCTCCTTCTCTCCTAGGTTTACGCTGGCTCACCCCGTTCTCCGCAGGTACTTCCACCGCCCGCCTGGGCGCACGCATGACCCCGGCTTGTGTCTGCCGACCATTGTCAGCTCGAACGGCTACCGGGGTGGCTCCCGCAAAGGCCTGGACCTCACCATCGGCAGGCCCGGCGCCCAGGCCACGCATACATCCAAATACTTCCCCCTCCCCGCCTCCTCGACTTCGTCCTCTATCGCCCGACCCAATAACGACACGAAAGACGTCCTGCGCGGCGGCATCCTCCTCCGCTCCGCGCGCCGCCTGAGCGACGGCCACGTCATCAACGGCCCCTCCGTCCTCGTTGACAACATCCTGCGCATGTGCGGGGCCAAGAACATCGAAGACCTCGTCCGCACGCACTGGCAGTCCGACATCCACGCGTTCGAGCCCGCCAGCGCCGCAAAGAGCGGCACCGGCGTTCCCACAGGACGCCTCTCCACAGTGCGCATCGTCCGCGGCGAGCCTCCGCCCGGTGGCTACAAGGGCAAGGGCAAGGGCAAGGGCAAGGGCAAAGCCAGGGCGCGCGCCGACCCCGAACCCGCACAAGGCCGCATATACCGCTCCCCGCGCATCGGGCTCGACATCTCGAACGCCACCGTCATCGCGTTCGGGGGCCCCGGCATCGGGCCTGCCAGCGCGGCGCACGCGTCCTCCGCCGCGTGGCACCCGCGCGTGCGCTTCGTGGGCCGGCCGTACCGCTTCTTCGTCTCCCCGTCGCTGTACACCCTGAACGGGCGCGGGCAGACGTTCGTGGGCGTGCACGACGCGCTGATATCCGCGGGGATGTACGCGGACGGGGTCGCGTTCCGCGGCGAGCTCGTCCGCCTCACCGGGTACATGTCCTCGACGGTGGACAAGTACTTCGAGGCGCTGCACTCGAGCGTGAAGAACGGGCTGAAGGGGGAGGGGATGGACGAGTGGGTGGGGCCGAAGGGGAAGACCGTGCACGGGTCGCCGAGCGAGTGGCTGAAGATGATCGGCACGTTGAAGGGCTTTGGTGCGGTTCCAGGTGTCAAGGTTGTTTTGGAGTAGGACTATATGCGGTCATTTCAGGCTTTGGTGGGGCCTGGATGTTAGTGTAGCGCACAGCATTAATTGGGGTGTATGCAAAATGCGCAAATGCAGGATCGCGAGCATGTCGGTGTGCCAATCATGGGTAGAACGGTGGCAAGGTGGTATTCGTCGTCATGGGTTACCCACACAGACACTAGCCCGTGGTATACAACATATGTACCAGGCTACAGCACAACACTCGACACTCATGCAGCGTACCGCCCCACCTGGCGCACCCACACACGCATCCGGCGCCCGTCCGCGATGTCCGCCTTGTCGCGCGTGGCACGTTCCACCGCCTCCTGTTCGCGCATGCGCACACCACCTCCAGGACCCCACACCGCGTCGGTGTCAAGGTCGACCTCCTTGAGGGGCACCATGTGCGAACGCTTGCCCAACCACACCCACTCGTAGAGCGTGTAACCGATGTAGCACAGGACGTACGCCGCCACTCCAATGTACACCGCAATGACATTCTGCAAATACATAGGTTAGGGTTGGGGCCATGAACCTGACGAAAGCGAGGAGGCGTGCCTTGGCGTCGAACGGAGTTTCCACCGCGGACGCGTAACCCTGCGCAACGAACATCGCGATCGCAAGGACAAGCGTGATGATGGGGAGCACGGGGAAGAGCGGCTGGCGGTAAGGGAGATCCTCGAGATCGCGGCCTTGTGCGCGCCACGCCGCGCGGAAGCGGAGGGAGATTGCGCCGATCGTGCCCCACACAAGCAGGGATGAAATTCCCGTGAGGTTGATGAGCCAGGTGAAGATGACGCCTTCGCCCCAGATCGTGGTGAGGAACGTGATGCAAGAGACGGCGAGGGAAAGCCTGTGAGTTTCGCGCGTCGGCTTGAAAGCTTCGTATAATACGGTAAGAGCGCGACGTACATGAGCGACGGGACGGGAACGCCTCGGGAATTGACCCAGCCGAAGATGCGAGGGGCCTGACCCGCTCGTGCAAGCGCGAGCAGCATCCGCGAGCTGGCATAGAAGCAGGAGTTGGTAGCGGAGAGCACCGCAGTGAGCAGCACCGCGTTAACGACGTGTGCGGCCGCCCCAAAGCCAGCGCGCTGGAAGACGACGGTGATAGGAGACGCGGCGACATTAGAATCTGCAAGCATATTCAGCGCCTGATACTACCAGATAATGAGGCGGCGCCAAGATACGTACCGTACGCCGCTGAGAGCAGGGTCTCGTCTTGGTAGTTGATGCAAAGGCCAATCGTTAACATCGTGAGGACGTAGAAGATGATGATGCGGAAGAAGGTCGCCTTAACCGCACGAGGAACGGCCTTGTGTGGGCTCGCGCTCTCGCCCGCCGCAATGGAGACCAGCTCGACTCCACCATACGAGTAGAACGCATACACGAATGTCTGCGCGAAAGCACTGAAGCCCCCAACAAACGCTTGTCCATCGCGGAAGTTTGTGAGGCCCTGCAAGTCAAATTTAGACAAAGAAGTATCAGAAGGCACGGAGGCAGTTGGACGCACCGGACCCGGGTGCCCGCGCACTCCGCCCCAATCGTAGATAAGGCCCACGCAGATGAAAAAGACGATCATAACGACTTTGATCATAGCGAACCAGTATTCTGACTCTCCTGTGGTGTTAAGCCATTATTTTCAGTACGAGAGACATTCAGAGTAGCATATGACAGACCGTAGACTCGAACATGAATCAGCTGTATGATGAAGATAGGCACGATGAGGATCAAGGCGTACTGCCAAGCCGTCAGACGGGAGTCCCAATACTAAAGAGGCAATGTCAGTAAGTGTGTTATGCAACCGACGTGTACCACACCTGTAGGATGACTGCTGCAGCAGTTAGTTCACTTGCTATATGCGTGAAAAAATTAGAATGTGAGAGCGGAACGGAGTATGCTGTGAACGTACGGATCGATAAGCTCCTGTAGAGTAGAGTATTTCCATTATGGGCGAGTTATGCCGGGCAGCGTGTGAAGGATGAAACTAACCACTGGAGCCAGTAGTTCCATCCTGTGTCGCGCAAAGATCGCGTGTCTTGAGATTAGGAGGGTATGTATGCAGAAAGGCGAGTAACGTACCTAGAGTGAAGCCGAGTGCCGGAGAGAAGAACCGCGATCCAAACGACGCGAAAGAACCAGTAACAGGGATGTATGCGGCCATCTCACCACTAAGCAGGGTGGCCTGGATGAGGGGGATGCATGGTCGAGTGGCTGTGATGTGACGTACAGTGAGATGACTACGCCGTAGCAGAAGACGCCAACGGCGAAGTAGGATAGGAGGGAGCTGCCTGGACCGGCGAGGGAGATAGCCTAATGCTGATCAGCGAGGCTAACACAATCACAGGGCGATGCCGACTCACCGATCCTGCACTGAGGAAGATGCCGGTGCCTATCGTGCCCCCAATAGCTGCAACAGCAGCTCGAATGTGTTCATAGGTATGAAGTGGATATATGCTCACCGATCATGGTCAAATGGCGACTCTTCATCGCACGTTTCGTCTCATGGCCTTCATGCATCCCGCCCAGAACCCGTCTCCAAACCGGGGTGGCTGCGGCCTGTGCGCCTTTCTCGAGTGTATCACTGTCATGGGGGGCTCCCTTGCCGTCATCCGACAACCAGGACTGGGTGCGTGCGGTGGAGAGGGCAGCCATGGCCAGACTCCCGGCAGGGGGGATGGTGAGAGACAGGAAGAGGTCTGCTGAGCATTTTCGAAGTGCGCCTCCGGCTCAAGATTCGCGACTTCGCGCAATTTGAACGGTGGTGCTCGCCGGCAATCGGATATCCCTGGCCCTGGGCCCAAGGCCGGGTCTGGCCGGGTCGCCGACCGCCGGCATCACGACGGCCGATTAGATTGGCGCGTGTAAATCTAATCTTTGGCGGCTCCAGACGGCTCCCCAGGGCCGAGCTGGGCAGAGGTTCCGTCGCTTGTCCGGATACCCCACATTCGATTCCCCGTCCCATCACCCCGCCGCCGCATGAAGGAGCCAAAACAACGTGCGAGGCCCGACAGCGCCGTTCCATCAGGCCGAGGAACATATGCAAAGCAGGCTTGCAGCCACTGCAGAAAGAGGTACTTCACTGTCTCCCCACGCACCTCTCCCTCTTTCCTCACCTCGTCTCTTCGCCCAGGAAGAGCAAGTGCGACGGCAGGACTCCGGTCTGCGGCCCATGCGAGAAAGCTGGTCGTGCATCAGAGGTGCGTGCTCCTCCGCAGACCATTGCGTCCTCTAATCAGCTTTCCAACCCTCTTCCGTCCCCCCGACTTCCTCGTCCTCCCCTGCATTCGCAACCCTCCGCATCCATTATTCCCATTCCAATCCCTTATCACCACTCCATGGCTGTATTCCGCACCGTCGTGCGTGCTTCTTCGGCGATGATGCCGACAGTGCACCTGGGGGAAGGAGACTGCCAAGAAAGCCCGCACCCAGCAACACTTCGAGTCCCTCGAGAACTACATCCGCGCCCTCGAGTCCAAAGTCAAGGATCTCCAGGCAAGCCTCGATAGCAGTGGTCAGAATCACAGTGGTGAATCCCCGGCTGCCTCTTCCGACTTCACGGGGGAAAGTTCGTCAATAGCACACCAGCCTCTGGAATTTCGACGGACGGACTCCTATGCGACAAGCTCGACTGACGAGGACAGGACGACTTCCACAAACGAGTCGGACATTGATGTCCTCATCTCTCCGACGCGGCACCTTGTGGTGAGTCTGCCCTTCACCGTGTATGCGCACTCTTTGCCGCGTTTCCCCGTGTCTCCCATTTTGCGCGATCTGCATATAGTGGGTCGTCATAAGCCTTCTTTTGATCTTCGAGCGCATAAATCTACGCTTTGTTGCCGTGGGCGGGTGCATCTCACACCCTCGTACGGCACAGCAGCCTCTGCCTGGCCGCGTGGGCGTCTAAAACGTCGCCTTTCCCTGCTCCTGTGCGCCTGGGGGGCGGAGATGCGTTTTTCTTCTTTCTAATCCACTGTTGTGGAAGCATCGTCGTCACTACACACTCCGCGCCAATGCAGTCTAACACGGAGCCATCATGGGGTCACCCCACGGATAGTAGCGCGGGACTCGGTGCTGAGGTCGGAGGGCCATCAGTCACATTTCCGCAGCGACTGTGCTCGCGCACTCGTTGCGCCATCGATTTTGTGGGCGACCGCTGTCCGAGAGGGCGTTCCCCGCGGAGACGGCCTTCCTTCTGGTACTCGTGCTCCCACGCTGACGGACTGGTCTGACGCGCGAGTTGAGCTGGTACCCGCTTGTGCTACTCTCGGCAACCCTGACTGTAAGTAGAACGACGCTGACCTTACGTTTTAAGCTCCAGGACACGGACCTCGAATTCCATGGCCCCACCTCCGTCTGGCGTCTAGGAGCCACAAGATCGTCGCCCAGTGCTAGCGAGGCGAAGACATCTGTCTCCCCCGAGTCTTCCCCCGCCGTTCCTCCCGCCTACTTCGAGTGGTCCCGATATCTCCCCTCCGAAGTACCCATCTCCCGAAGCGAACACGATCGGCTGCTCGAGATCCTGTTCAAGTTCTTTCTTTGCTGGGGCCTGCGGATAATCCCCGAGCTGTTCCTCCGCGACATGCACCGCGCGCTGAGCATTTCTCCGACTGCTCCATGCCCCAAGTCCGCGCACTACAGCCCTATGCTCCACAACGCGGTGATGGCTCTCGCCACTGCATACTCCGACGACCCTGTGCTCAAGAGTCCAAGATGTCGTAACATGTTCGCGAAGCGCGCTAAGAGCTACATCGAAAGCGACTGCCAGAAGCCAACGATCGCGCTCATCACCGCCCTGAGCACGCTCGCTGCCTTTCACTCTGTCTGTGGCGACCAGAGCTTAGCTTATCTGTACTTCGGTGAGCGTCCAAACTGTCATTCCAATGATTGCGTCGGTCTGATACGATTCTATCAGGCATGGCTGGGCGTATGAGCCAATCACGTAAGCCTCGCCAAGCCGTTTTTCCTTTCGCGCAGCTAACCTCCTTGGCTCCATTAGTGGGCCTGCGCACAGACTGTTCACCCTGGGTCAAGTCCGGATTGATCGCTCATGCAGACATGCTCGATCGAAACTGGGGCTACTGGATGATCTTCTCACAAGATGTCCTATGGTCACTATATATCGGTCGCGAGTGCTGCGTCTCGCCGCCACGGAAAGACCACCATATGTTCTCCGTCCCATACATCGGCTCAGAAATCGATCAGAACCCGTGGTATTGGGCGCCCAGCAAGATGCCTCCGCAGCCAAGCAACATCGTCCGGGTCTTTGACTGTAGCTGTCAGCTTATGTTGATCGGTCGGAAGATCATGGACTTCTTGTGAGTAAATCCCTTGCACCCGCTGATCCACGTGCTCACACATCATACAGGAATAGCCTGGGACCCGGTTCGAAACGGGAAGGAGCGTTGCAAGTCGTCAGCGAGCTTGAGTACGTCACACTCTCAGCTTCACTTCACTTTGCCTAATGTCTTCGCAGCATCCAACTCAACAACTGGAAGGACTCTTTGGCTCCAGAGGTCGACCTTACCGCAACAACTCGCCCGAACGCTTTGCCTCATCGCTTGATGGTGCATCTAGTGTACTGGTGGCTCCTCTTACTCCTTCATCGACCCTTCTATCGACGGACGAAGTCAGGGGGTTCGGGCCTAGATATCGATCACGTCAAGGTCGGTATTTTGTCTCATCTTTGTGTATGATACTAACCAGGTAACTCACAGCTCTGCAATCGCGCCGGTGACAACATTATGCTGTTGCTCGGCATCTGGAACGAGAGGTACTCGCTGCGATACATCCCTATCACCTTGATGCAAGTGGTGTATTGCGCCGGCACCTCATTTGTCCTCTCTGCCGTCCAAGCCACCTCAGGAGCTCGGCTTGGTCGGGTTGCCCTCACTAGTGCTCTCACCCAAGCGGAGCAGTGTATCCAGTACCTCCTCATCGCTGGTAAATCGTTTGAATGCGCCAACGATGTCGCGATGATCCTCTCCAACCTCCTTCACGAGCAGCTCAAGCCGCGCCTCTTTACTCGCACACTCGAGCCCAAGGACCTCCTCCACACCCTCCCTATCACAAAGCGCGAACGCGAAGGCAGCGAGTATCAACCGCAACCACCATATTCCGGACAGAGCGGCAGCCCCACGGCGGCGACGGCTCCTGCTGCAGCCACCACAGCTGCGACGAACAACGACCACGTCGACGCGGTTTCACTAGCGGCGACGATCACCAATATTGACGCTCTCCGCGATCAGTGCCGGTTCGCCGTCGCTGCAAATTCTGCGCACACACAAGGCTTCCCATCATCCCTCGAGTGGCCGCGCGGACCTGGCTCGGATGGTTTCCCCGTTCTCCCTCTCTCCGCCGCATCATCCAGCTCAGCATCCACGTCCCTCCTCGCCGGACCTGGAACAGACGCGTTGGGAATGTCTGGGATGGACGACGTCGAGATGGACTTCGGGCTCACCAACATGGACCTCGGCCTCATGGGCGGCCAGCCGCTCTCGAACCGGCCGTACATGGTCCTCGGTATCCCCGAGATGTCGGGCGCCGCGAACTTCCCCGATCTAGACGCGCCGCCCTCGTACTCCAATCATGGGTCGCAGCAGATCCCCTCGCCGCAGCACACGCATCCGCCGGGGAGGATCGGACAGCAGCCGCCTCCGCAGCCGCAGCAGATGAGGCTGGACTTCAGCGCGGAGGAGCTCGCGGTGATGGACCAGATCTTGCGGCAGCAGTTCGGGGGCCAGGGCATCGACTTCCGGATGCAGCCTTCGCAACGGTACGAGGGCATCTAGCAGAGGATCGCGGTTTTTTCGGCTTCGAGTTTCCCGTATCCTGCTCTGCGCCCGTAGTTCTTTCGCTGCTTTCATTTCGCTTCCGTTGTATTTCTCCCTGGACTTCCTGTCCGAGATGTTGTGTACATAATGTATCAGGCCAGGCTGGGCCGTGCTCGCTGTGGATCAGGATCTATGCTCTATGCACGTAGTCTACTTCATGTATAACATTCCTTGAACATCGTTAACGGGGCTGATTCTAGTCGAAGGTTGCTGAGGATGGCCTATGCGGGTCTTTTTTTTGTCTTCCTCGTTTAACGCCCTCGAGGGCGAAGCCCTATGGTAGGCGTAACATACATGATCTAGTTCTACTCGGACCGGGTTCACGAAACCGGGGGGTGGGACGTCAACAACACAAATGGCCTATGCGGGTCGTTCGGATTGACGTCACTCGTAGAGTGTTAGACCTCCCGTGAGCGCGATAGTCGCGGCTTTGCCATCAGATCCAAATGGGGCCATTGCATGGTCCACAGCTACTCTGTCAGGACTCAGTACTCAGTATCAGGTCCAGTCCGTGATGCACGACGTATGCACATTTCATTGGAACGTCGAGTAAGAGTAGTACAATGTCAAAGTTATAGACGCATGAACGAACGACTGATCGCCGTCACGACAACACTGCATTATATCCTTCACTCGAGAGTGGGGGGAGAGTTGCCGCTGCCCACCATCACCCACGCGCCCTCGCTGGACACGTCGTTGATGGTGAGGAAGATCGTCGCCGGGCCCGGCGGGTACACCTTGCCGTTCGGGGGCGTGGTGAAGGTGAGCGACTTGCGGTCTACGGACAGATGCGCGTCCATGAAGACGAGGCGGGCGCTGGAGTGGAACGCGTGGCTGGAGAAGCCGAGGTCCATGAGCGAGACTGTGTCCCAGCCCGTCAGCGACATGGCTGAGTCCCATCCACGAGTGACCGGGCACTCACCTTGCATCTTCAGGTTGCGCGCGGCGAGCGTGCTGGGCACCGAGACCGGGACGGTGAACGTCTTGCCGAATGCGAGCTTCGCGGGCATGTTGAGGATCTTCGGCCGGGCCACGAACATAAATGGGGGGTCGAGCGTCTGGACGCGGAGCTCGCTCGAGAACTTGACCGTCGCGTTGAAGTCGTTGTTCGGGTTGCTGCCCGCGATGAGGAAGTTGCCCTGGGGGGTGAGCGTGACGCTGGAGTGGTACACACGCGCGATCCCCGCGTTCGGCATCCCCGCGTTCGAGATGCGCCGGCCGAGCGGGAGCCCGGGCGTGTACAGGCTCGGCACGAGCACCGCGTGGTCCGCGTTCGAGTTCCCGACTGCGTCGGGCACCTGCGAGATCGCGGCGAAGCCGGACCCAGCGCCGTTAGTGATCAGCACCTGGCCGTTCGGGAGGTGGACGAGCTCGGGCATCGTGCGGCCCTCGAGCATGTGCTCGACCTCCCAGCCCTTCGCGATGCCCTCTGGGGTGAGCGTGATGCGCGAGCACTGGGATGAGGCGGGCGTCTGCGACGAGAGCAGCGAGGGGTCGACCGGATCCGTCTGGGTGCCGCCGCAGACGAGGACCTCGGGCGTGAAGTCGGGCGGGGAGAGCGGGAGGAGGATCGCGGAGCCGTCGATGGGGTTCGTCACCCGGACGTTGTTCGGAATGTCGGGGAGGATGGTCTCGGTGTTGGTCTCGATGTCGTAGATGATCGACTGGTTGTTCGCGACTATGAAGATCGTGCCGTCGGGGAGCTGGAACGCTCTGAGAATGGGGGTCAGCATCCTCTCCCGTGCCTCGAGCGGGATGGGAACGACGCCACGTACCGCGGGAACAGGTTCGCGGGCAGGCTGCGCTCGAGGAACGCCGACGGCCGCACCGTGTCCTCCTTGCGCGGGAAGAACTCGAAGCTGTTCTCGGGGTCGATGTTGTAGAACGCGGCGTTGACGTGCGTGCCGCCCACGATGAGCAGCGAGCCGTCGAAGATGCGGATGGCGGTCGGGTACCACCGGTCCGCGAGCAGGTGCAGGTTCTCCGGGTCTTCAAAGACCGTGCAGCCCTCGCCCGTCGGGGACGCGCACGGCTCAAAGATACGGATCGCTTGGTTCCCAGGCTTGATCGAGGGGTTTCCCGCGAAGCCGCGCGGGTCTCCGCCGATGCTTGCCTGGGAGCATGTGTCAGCGTCAGCGCAAAACCCACGCAGTCCACAATGGACTCGCCATAGTGCCGTTTGAGAGGAGCGCGCCGCTCGCGCAGAACGAGTTCGTGAGCACGTCCAGCGGTGTCGCGGTGTCCGTCTCGAGGTTCCAGAGCGCGCCCCATGCCGAGTGGTTGTTCACCAGGAGCGGGTCGTTCGACGCGCGGTCGAAGAAGAGCGCGAGCGTTGGGGAGACGATGATTGACTCGAGCGCAACAATGCCCGACGTTGCGTTCTTCAGGTTGAATTGCCATCCGGGCGCGGCGGGTGCTGCGCTGGCCACACCAGCGAAGAGGGTGAGCAGGGACAGAAACGAGGCTTTCATCATGCGTGAAGTGAAGGGGTGGGGTGCCGACTGCTGACTGCTGCGGACTGAGGTTTGAAATCCCCTGCGGCGGCAAGCTTATATCTTCGAACGTTCGCATAAGCGTCATTCGGCCGTGAGCAACTCTGTGAGAGTAGCGTCGGCTGCGGCACCAATAAACAAGGCTCCGCTGCCGCGGGTTGAGAACAGGCTCGGCACACTGAATGCGAATGCCCTGTGCGTGTGCACGGATGGACTCATATGTCGCAGAAATGCAGTGCACGGTGGGCATCCAACTACTCATGGGAGCCGGAGCGATGAGATGTGGAATTGAAGGCAGAGCGACCACTCACCTGGAGAGCTGGATGGCGGTGCACCTGGGGCTCTCACGGAAGGCTTCACTCACTAAATCACGAATACGTTGTAGCCTTGGCATGTGACATGTTAGATAGCAGCGACAATCCGTCTAGGACATCAGCGTGGAATGAGTTCATCCAACACAAGTGGGTGAGAGCACCCCCGGGAAGCGGAACCGTGTCTAAAACCGCATGAAGAGCCTATTCAGAGACATGCATACAGAACGGAGCAAATAGATGCGCAGTCGGCTCTGTGCGCACGATGGCGCTACAGGAGGCGAATTATCGTAAGCATGTGAAGATACCGTACCCTTTGTAACGAGCGGGCTCCACGAATGAACATGGTTCAAAGCTTCGCCTTGGCATTCCCGCGCTCCTCAACGACGGGATTGACAAGGGTTCCGATGCCGTTGCCGATCCAGACGCTCATATCGTCGCCGTCCTTGAGGTAGACGGGGGGCTTCTTCACGAAGCCGACGCCCTTGGGTGTGCCAGTCATGATGATAGTGCCCGGCATGAGCGTCGTTCCTTGCGACAAGAACGCAATGGTCTGGCGAACGTTGAAGATCTGGTCACTGACCTTTTGTTCAGTATGACACACGTGGAACGAAACATCGAGCGTACGCCGTAGTGCCATCCTGGACAGTAGCCCCATTGACGACGGTCTTCAGGGGGAGGGCTTGAGGATCGGGGATAGCGTGGGCTGCGACAAGGCAGGGACCAATTGGCGTGGTGTTGTCTGGAAGAGACAAACCAATTCGCATAAATACACAGATGGTCGGGGAGCGATCGAGTGGCTTTTTTAAAAACGTGTGTTCTCGGAAACAGCAAACTTGAAAAGAGTACGCACCGTAACCCTTGGAGAAGTTCCACTGTGAAACAGCCATCTGGTGGTACCTGAAAGAAATCTGGAGCACGGCGTAAGATCGGAAAGGCGGTATAAAGGGGTTCACTCACGTCATTCCCACCAGTGTACGCCAGAACATAGTCAAGCGCGTCAGCCTCGGACACGTTTTTCGCTGGTTTGCCGATCACGACAGTCAACTCGACCTCGTAGTCGGGAAGGTGCTTGTCGACAGGCTGGACATGCTTAGGGATGGTAACGGGGACTTCGGTGCCGATCAAGGCGGTGACGGGCTTGTAGAAGAGGACTGGGTAGCTGCCCAAGACATGAATCGGGGGAGTGTATTTATACGAGGGAGGAAATGCACGTACGTCGGCTTGGCGAGGTTTGCTTCCGCCTGGATGATACGATTAGTGATCAGGCCGCGGACTTAGAGGGGAGTAAGAACGTGAACACACGGCATGATCGGCATAGTTGAGCCCTAGGCAACGCACGAGGCCAACTTCTTCACGCGAGAGTGGAGCCAGCAGCTGCCTGACGGTGAGGACGTTCTTGGTCACTTGAGCGGAGGAGTCGAGAGCAGAGCCCGTGATCTCGTATGCCTTGATGGGTTTCTTTTGGTGGAGGGCAAGACCGACTATATGATGTGTCAAGGTGCGTTCCCGCGAGACTGGAATAGAGCGCACCGTCGAGCTTGGCATCCACCGGCTCACCGATGTGGACTTGGGCCGTCTCCGCCGCCACAAAGCGAATGAGGCGCGTCCATTGCTGGTTGGCGCGTCAACCTCGGGCACATCGCGGGCAGGGAAATGCTCACCGTACGGATGGGCGACATGGTGGTCGAGGGGAAAGGTGGGAACGGGCCCCGCGTTGCGGCGGCCGTAGTACTTAGCGGCAGGCCGCAGACGCGACGGGACTCCGGGCCCCGCGGCACGCGTGCCCCGCGGTCACCTGACGGGAACGCGACTTGCGCCCTGCCTCGTACGTAACCCCATACTGAGGTTCTCCCCTGTCAGTGTCTGGTCTCGATTTCGAACATTGCCGTACGTGCTGCGCGTCGGTCCCTCCCGTCTGGGGCTCCTCCCTCCACAACATCCCCGCCCGGTTTCTTGGGTGATACCCCCGCTTCGTCTTGTTTCTGTCTTCACTCGCTTCATGAACTGACCGGCGCAACCCGTCTCCCCGCTGCCAACTCCTCCGACATGGCTGCCACCAACCCACTTCCCAATGTCGCGCCCATGCACGACATCCTTCAGGACGCTCTTGACGCTGTGAGTCGACTGCTCGAGCGCTGTCTGCACTGGTGCTTACCCCTCGACAGCTGTCATCGCCTCGGATTTCAACCACAGCGAAAGGAGATGCCCTGGTGGCCATCGAACATGTACTCGCTGAGACGGCCGACCCAAGAGCCACGGGCCTGCCTGGGTACTTCAACGCATTGCAGGATACCTTTCAGTGCAATGGTGCGTGTATTTGCCCGCATATACCGAGCCCCTACCAACCCTGCGACACGCAGTGGCCTCGCGCATCATCGCGTGGACGGCTGAAACATCCCCGATGCTTGATAACGCCCTCAAGAAACACCCCGCGAACCGTAAGCACACCGCACCCTCCCTAATGCGAAGCCTAAGCGTTGCAATTACAGCCGAAGACAACGCGGCCGTCGCCACGCTGTCAGCTCAACTTACTCTCGCCATGACCATCATTCAAGGAGTTGCCCTTGTCCACAAGTCAAGCAAACAGTTCTTAGGCCGAAGCTATCCCCTAGAGGTACGTTCAGTCTACCTATGTTCCATGTGAACCGGTTTTGACCGCATGCACGTCAGGTGTTACTCGACCTGTTCCTAGTTTCACGTCATCTGAGCCACTCCCCGACCGGACCCAGCGTCCCAACATCCCCCAAGTCCGGGGTCTTCTCGGCACCGGTCTACAAGTCTGAAGAAGTACCCCTCGCATCCGTCGTACTGGACACTCTTCTTTGCGTCCTTGTCGACGCCGTTCCGGCTCTGCGGACCTTTGAAGAGCTTAACGGAGTGCAGGTCGTGGTGAAGATCTTAAAACGGTCCGGAACTCCTCGTGAAGTTAGGTGCGTAGTACTCATGTTCCAGTGGTGCCCCCGAGCCAACATCACTTCGCAGGATGAAATGTCTTGAGTTCATATACTTCTACCTCATGGACGAAACAACCACTCCCGAAGCTGTGGGTGAAACCGCAGAAAGCTTGCAAGAGCTCGGTGTCTCTGTCCCCTCGCAAACGCACAGAAAGTCCTCCTCTATCTCAACGTCCTCTAATTCGGGCTTCACTACCCGGCCCTCGTCTCGTTCGTCGTCTGGTTCCTCTGCATTCTCCGCGCTTTCAACATCGACCACTGCAACCTCCGCTTCCCTCCACGGTCCTCCCATCGCCACGAAACCTGATGCCGAAAACGAACCCATTGATCCTTCAAGTCGCACCAAGACCGTCATACCCTCTTCTCGTCCGGTCACGCCTCCCCCTGGAGGTCGCGTTCAACCTCGCTCCCTGCTCATGCTGAAGAAGGAAGTCGACTACGTCCCTCTGAGCCCACGCAAACCTCAGCTTAGCCACTTGGGCCGTACACCCAGTGGTTTGCGCCCCAAAGCTCCGGCAGAGCGTAGCACCCCGAGTCACGCTCACCCTGCTACGCCGATACCCCCGTCGCGCTTGCAGCTCCGTGGATCTCGCGATCGCTTGTCTTCCCCGGTGGATAAAGAGACTCCGGAGCCGCGCAAGGCGACACCGCGCACGCCGCGCCCGCGGCTGAGCCTCGCGAACTCGCACTCGCGTGGGCTCTCGACGTCGTCGATCTCTTCGCTGTCCTCTGTCGGGTCCTCGATGAGCTCCGCGGAGACCGAACCTCTACCACCCTTACCTTCGCTTCTCGCCTCTCGTCGAGCAACGCCAGCACCCAGTCGTGGCCTTTCAGCGTCCAGCAATGCCCCCGACACGCCCAAGTCCAGCCTCGGTCCCAGCAAGACTCCCCTCCACCGGCGGACGCAGAGCCTTGCTGACTTTGCGCCCAGCGACTCCACCGCGTCGTCCTCGCTTTCTCCTGTCCTCTCCCACTCTGCGCGGGTGGACGGCGTGGGCCCACGCAGCGCCAGTTCGCCGACTACGGGCGCAGCCGTGTGCGCGACCGAGGGCAAGCGTGGTCCGCGAACGACGGCGGAGAAGAAGGAGATTCTGGGGACGATGCTCGGCAACGTCGACGCGCTCGTCGAGGGGGTGAAGAAGGCGGGCGTGTGGGGCCTCAGCTGAGCACAACGCGACTCGGGTCTCCAGAACGGGTGGGATTGTTGTCTGTTTGGTATATGTTCTCCTGTATGCTTTCGTATGTTATTGCAATGCTATCGCACGTTCGTCATGACACTCATTCACAGTTTTCTGACATTTGTCAGAGTCTTGTGACACTTCCGAATGAGGTCATTGTTGTGCTTGCCTGGGAGTGGCAAGTGAACTCTATCTGACCCCCGGTCGACCAAGTGCGCGGGCGCTATATATACCTGTCTTCCACCGCGACCCCAGCTTTCCCCTCGACTTCATCCCCCCATGACGAAAGAAGACAGGTACGAAGACTTTCACTCAACATTGTCATGCATATTGAGATTTTCATAGGATGCCGGACACTCCCACTTGCTGTATGTGCAGGAAAATGCTCTCTGGAACCCCGAAACGTTGCTCTGGCTGTCACGAATCAGCGTACTGCGGTGAGGTGTGCCAGAAGAGGCACTGGGCGGTCCACATCTTCGACTGCAAGACGGACAAGCCCATCGGCACTGTTTACTACCTCGCCCGCGCTTGCCTCAACAAGATCCCTCCTCTCGACGCGCAGACAAGAGTCGACTACGGCTTCCACAAGATTTCGTACACCCTCAGCGGACCCGCTGAACTAGACCTCCTGCGGCTGTATACGCACGTATTCCACATGGTCTCCCTCGACGTCTTGCGCCGATGGCAGCGACAGGGACGACTCGTTCAGGGCATCAAATCCGTGTTCGAGGGATCTCCCCGCGCCCAAGACCCCGCATATACCTGGTTCCTCCAGCACGAATCCCACTTCGACGACCTCACGACCTTCGACGCCGACCGCGCGTGGGAGGTCGCGCAGGACGACGTGAACACCTGGCTGCGTGCCGGCTGGCTGCACATCGGCCGCTCCTCCAACGACTCTACGGACGACATCTGGGCGGCGATCCGCGCGATGCCGGAGCGGGAGGGCACCTGCCTCCTCTTCTACTTCTTCGCCCTCGCCGGCGTCGTCCCCGCGCCGTGGCAGGAGATGTGGCTCACGTTCGGCTTCGTCGCGACCACGCACGGCGGGCGCGAGGCGCTCGGAAGCGCGTACCGCACGCTCGCCCACGCGTGCGCGTTCGACGCCTTCTTCACCGCGCACGACGCTGGCGCCCTCCCCGCGCTCTTCCGCGAGCACGGCATCGCGATACCTAACACGCCGTGCTTCGACGACGTCGTGAGCGTCCCGCCTGGGGCCGCGCTGAAGACGGTCTGGAATTTGAAGCGGCGCATCGACGTCCTCATGGCGGCCCTCCCAGGCGAACCGGCGCGACAGGTGCTCGTCGCCCCCGCGGCGGACGTCTTTGCGGCGGACTACGGGTACACAAACTGCCAGAGCGAGGAGGAGACACAGCTGCTGGACGACCTCTACACGCGCGTGTTCACGAAGCTGGAGCGGCCGGTGGATCCGCTGGAGCTGCACCAGGCGTCCGTCGAGCGGCGGCTGGCCGACTACATCGGCCGGTTCGCGAACCTGGACGAGCGCGCCACGGACTATGCGCGCCTTCTGAAGACGGAGGAGCGGGGCGTCGACGCGGAGGTGCGTGGATGCCTGGATGCGCATTGAGCTTCGCTGACCACAAGCTCTGCAGGCTGATTGGGCTCACACGGTCTCCCGGATGTCCGTCCCTAGTCTTCCCTAGGCGGTCCTTCTAACAAAAGGACATGAATGTGTTTATTCCATGTCCGCGAGGTTCTTGGTGTCCTCCTCACGTACGGTTTCGTGTGAATGTCCATGACACGCACACCTACTTCAGGGTACAGCCCTTTGCATTCGAACGCAGCGCTTCATCTGGCAACAAAGCTGTATGCGCTTTACAGCACTCGTTTGAGTCCAGCACCATCGTCTCCCTCTTCCACCGCTACAACATCGTCGTCTACGACTTGCGCTTCTTCGCCGACGTGGTGAAAGGCCCGCCGGGGCGCGCGGCGAAGAGCGTCTGGAACCTCGAGCAATGGGGTTTTGGGGAGCACAAGAGAGATAAAATGCGCGTCTGTCTTCAAGGTGCCCATCACTGTCGAAGTAGACAAGTCATTGAGCACCTGTGGCGATATGTACACGCCAACGACCATGTACACCATTAGTTTCCGACCGCTCGCGATTGTCAACGATAGTGCTCCGGCCGAGCTCTCACTCTCATGAGCAGACGGAGAACGGTTCCGGCGTTGAAAATACGTACAGGTGTATCCCTGCATAAATGAGAACGAGAATTTTGCCTTCAGGGTGTCTTCCATGTGCACCAAAGCTTCAAGCATACCCCGAAGAAGTTCACGAGACACATCTGTCTGTCCGTTCCCAGATGTCAGATGGGGATGCACGAAGCTGGTGAATAGAGGACATACCTGAACAGTGCACCGTCCGAGACGCCTTCATTCCCGCCCAACATCCTCCGTAGACCAATCCACGACCTGGCCAGTCCGTGTGCTCTGCCCGCGGTGTTTAGTGCCTTTGATCCAGACTGGACTAGCTCGCTCTCCACTTCCGTAGTGCCATTACCAGCCGCAACTTGTGGGTCTGGGTCCGGTGTTCGGTCGGTGTTGAGCCGTCGTCCACGACTGATGGAGATGCTCTTGCTCAAGAGGTGGCAGGATGAAGCAGAGGACGTCGTCAAAGGTATATTGAAGCCGGCTTGTGAGAGAACATGAGAGCCGGACAGAGAATATTTGTCGCGCTCGCCTCGCGCATCGCGGCTTGTCCAAATCGGCCTTCACACGGCGGGCCGCCACCCGGCTACGCAATTCCCCTCTTCCCATCCACCATGTCGTCCTTGCTGGATCTCAACCTCGACCTCCTGTTCCTCATCGTCTCCTATCTTCAAGGCCGCGATGCTCTCAATTTATCTCTTTGTGCCAAACGGGCTTACCACTTGGCCATTCCCCGAGTCTATGTCTACCTCGACAAAACCTGCCGCGACCACGCCGACTTCGACATATGGCGCGACCGCGTCTTCGCCTTAGACCCCATCCTAAAATCCACTCGGATTTCATGCCTGCGCTCCTTGGTCATCCAGCACCGAGGGCCACACGGTCTCCGAGCCATAGTTGCCGGACTAGTCGAGGTTTTCGCCCAAGCCCCGCGTCTCGAATCCTTCGTCGCCAGATTCAAAGAGAGTCTGGATTCTGGTGTCACCGAATGTCCTCAGTTTGGAGAGGCGCTGGGTGCGTTGAAGTTCCTACGTCAACTCAACTTGACCGGCGTCGGCTCTGCCACCATGCACATGCTCTACGCTCTTCCCAACGCTCCCATAATCGAGGCCCTCTCGCTCGAACATCGCCCTCCGAAACCGTGGAGTTCGGGAGGGAAGCCGTTTCCCGTTCTGGCGAAAGTCCTCTCCCGGTTTACCCGTCTGCATTACTTGATGTTCATAATCAAGCAAGACTCGATAGTACCTGTGCTGGATCCATCCATTCCTCCTACAAACCCCCTCAGGCATCCCCAACTGCCCAGCTTGCGTACTCTGGCTGTTGCCGAGTCTTACAGCTGCAACTTAATGGACCTGGTTCCTCTCTGTCCCAACCTGTCCTCCTTTTCTTACATCTCCTTCCGCGCAGACGCATGCGAGTACCGACGAAAGATAGCGGACACCCCGTGGCCTGCTCTCCGAGCCTTCGAATGCCTTCCCGGATACCCTCGAATCCCAGGCTTGCACGCTCCTCCTTTGCCACAGTCGAGCTCTGGGCCTGTCAGCCGGCTCACCATAGTCACCCCTTTGTTCATCTCCGCCCCATCCCTCTCCCCGATGTCCTCAGCGGCCTCGGCACGCACCTTCGCGTTCGTTCACGCCGTCCAGCCGAGCGCTCTTGTGCTCAAGGTCCATCTCCCCTCCCCGTACTCCGGTTCGGAGAAAAGCATGCTGATATGCTGGGCCGACGCTTTCCGGATCGACCCGCCGCTGCGCTCCCTCGAGCTGCTTTTCTCCTCCCGCAACCAACACCTAGTAAGAAAAGCGGCCATAAGCATCCGAAGCTCGCTCGCCCGGTGCCCACGTTCAGACGGGTCTCGGCGCGGCGATGGAGGGCCTGTCTCTATATTACCTTGGCGTGCACGTCGTCGACGACGAGGGTGTGACGCACCGGGACGTCACGCACACCAAGGCCGCACGCGCACTCGATCCTCGGGCCTTCTTCGACGCGATACCGACCCTACGCGTGCTCGGGATTGGAGACCAGATGCTCGCCCTGGATCACACGGGGAAGGAGCGAGAGGCACCGAGAGAGCCTGAAGAGACAAGCGGGGAATGGGCGCGGCGGACGAGGTGGTGGTGGATGGAGGGCAGGGAGATGGTCGAGATTTGGAGGGAGGATGCCGAGCGCGCACGCGAAATCATCGAACGTCCGGATTTCGACCGCGAGCGTGGTCTGGACGGTGCGTGGTTTGATAGGCGCGGGGTTGCTGTGGGGCTAACGCGACGTATCTCTCACCAGGGTTCTTCTCGGAGAAGTGTCTGTATAGCACGCTTACCTGACTGCATGAGTTGAGATGCGGCTGGTCAAGCGCTGTCTGATGAAGTATGGCGCGTCCTCGTCGAGTTTCAAACCTGAGTGGAGGTGCGGGATGCGATAGTACATTCACGTGATCGATCCGTATTCGTCCAAGACCCGCCAACCTTTACCCGCCACGCGCAAAAGTATACTCGCGCTTTGGCTGCGAAGTTCAGATCGAAGGTCAGAGCATTGAGATGTGGGCGACGGATTTTGAAGAATTCGAAGTTGCTCCATCCCCGACTCCCTTCGATCTGAGCCTGGACTCTGCCCTCGACGTCGACGTTTTCTGACTACTTATCTGCATTATAGGGAGAGTGGACCCCGGTCGCCCGGCTTCCTCCCTGTACCCGCACAACACCACACAACACAGAAGCAGGTAAGTTCGCCTACCATACCCCGCTTGGACCTCGCGCGGGTGCTGAGTCCACCACAGGATGCACAAGTGCGCCAAGTGCACCACCGTTCTCCCCGCAGAGAACCCCAAGCGCTGCTACGCATGCCGCGAGGTTTGCTACTGCATCCAAAAGTGCCAGCAGGAGCACTGGCCGCTCCACATTTTCGACTGCAAGCCCGGCCAGCCGATCAGCACTGTGTACTACCTCGCCCGCGCCGTCCACAACGACTTCGTCCCTGGGGACCCCCAAACGAGGCTCGACTACGGCTTCGACAAGGTCGCGGAACGCGACGGCCGCGAGAGCGAAGAGTACCTTCTCTACCTCTACACCGCCGTGCTCAAGACCGTCTCGCCCCAAGACCTCCGCCGCTGGCAGCGCAAGGGCCGCCTCGCGCACGAAATCCGCTCCCTCTTCGAGTCCATGCCCCCGGACGACCGCGGCGAGGCCAACGAGGTCTTCCTCGACTACGAGTACGCCTTCGAGGACCCCGACGACGTCGACCCCAGCTCGGACGCGGACCCCTCCGCCGAGAGCCACATGGACCGGCTCTACCGCAACAGCTGGATCCACGCCGGCGGAGCCCCCGACGCGCCCAAGGAGGAGATCGAGGCCGCGATCCACGCGCTCTCCCCGCGCGCGCGCCTCGCGCACCACACCTACACCATCCTCCTCGCGCGCGAGCTCCCGATGCCGCTCATGCCGGCGTACCTCCTCTTCGGGTTCGTGACCGCGGGCTCCGGGCGGGAGCTCTCGGAGCTCGGGAAGGCGTACGGCGCGCTCGTGCGCGCGTGCGCGTTCGACGAGTTCCTCGCCGCGTTCAACGCCGCGCGCGTCCCCGCGCTGTTCCGGACGCACGGCGTCGCGCTGCCCCCGCGGCCGCGGGCGTTCGAGGCGATGATGTCCGAGCGGGAGGACGCGGTCGAGTCGGTGTGGTACCTGAAGGCGCACGTCGACATCCTCCTCGCCGCCGACGCGGGCGACGCGGACCCGGAGCGGTTCTACGAGCGCAAGCCGCGCGCGCAGTGCGGCGACTACGGGTACTGCGACGTCCGGGACGAAGGCGAGGCGGAGCTCCTGGACGAGCTGTACGTGGAGCTGTTCGGGAAGGCGCAGAAGGGGATGGACCCGCTGGAGCTCCACCGGGCGTGCATGGACGGGAAGCTGGTCGAGTACGTGGGCAGGTTCGTGGAGCTGGGGACGCACGCGGCGGTGTACAAGCGGTTGTTGAACAAGAGGAGGGGCCCGGCCCGGCGTAAGAGAGCGAGAGGTGCGTCTGTTATCGAGAGCACTTTGTATGGTGACTTATGTTGTTTTCCATACAGCTTGAGTGCATATATAAGTCCTATATTGACCGCTAAGCTCTGCGAGTCGATTCGTTGTGATGGCGAGAATATTTCAAGCGCAGACAGACAGACGACTGATCCCACTCGCCGAACTCCAGGCTACTTCAGTGAGAAGTACGTATATAAAGCGGCTAAATCAAGTATGTACGCACCTCTCGTTTCAACGTCAACACGCCATCGCATCTCTTTCAATATGCCTTTCGCCGATGCGTGAGCCAGTTACTGTCACCAAGTTACCGCTTCTCGGATTCGAACCCGCAGTCGCTCGTATGCATCGAGACATGCACCGCCCGACCTCGGGCGTCAATGACTCACCACCTCGACCACCTCGATTCACCACCCCCTCGGTCCCCGGGATGTTTCTTGAACTCACGCGGCTTCATTACAACGAACAACTTATCCTAGAGCATCAATAAGGCTAATCACTACTCCTGGGCTATTACGAATGACGTCAACTCAGTCGTCGTGCGGGATTGTCCGACTGGCCGCAGTGCAGAAGATCATGACGGGGCAGAAACAGAAGCATATGGTATCGTAGCGTGTCAGTAAAAAACCCATAAGCTGAAACTCGATCATAGCAGAGCCCGCGGCCTCCTTGCCATATCGCCACCGATGTTCAGACGTTCCAGTTCTATCCTTTGAGACCATTCCGCACCGTCTCCACCGTACCCCGAAGAAATGCCTGCCTTTCGGTGATCCAATCACACCACCGCTCCTGGTCCTCGGAAATTGGCCAAGGCCAAGCCAAGGCCGCCTCGAATGGCTCTCCAACATGTGCGTCGCGCCGCCACCGAGCGAGGGCAGCATTCCTTGAAAATGCGTGCCTGCCTACTCACCGCATCCCGCCCATTAGGGCCTAGTCGGTTGTGCGCGGATTGGGCTCGGACGGTTGGTCCGCCCCAGGTGTCAACGCTATACCCCAACCTTATGCAGCCGTTGGCATAGTGCCAGCGTGAGCCACGCAGGTCTCCTTGGTGATGGAGTCGCGGGCTGTCCGTCGTTGTACATTCACACCAGACACGTGGTGGTGGCTATCTGCAACTTGGCTGCAACCCACTGCCAAGACACAAGCGCTGCCTGGTGCCGTTCACGCGCACACTGCCAGCGCGGACCATACCACGCCAGAGTGGTATATATGTCGCCGTCGACCGCCGCAGATATCCATCACTTTCAACTTCTTCTTCTTTCCTCACCACCTTAACCGGCTGCGCCGCCTTCTTCAAACACTTACTTTTTTCTATCTTACAAACTTTCATACTATTTTTTCACCATGATCGCTCGCACCCTCGTCGCCCTCGCCTTCATGACCGCCGCCCTCGCCGCCCCCACCGTTCTCTCCACCCGCGCAGATGCGCCCACCGACGCAGACCTCCTCGGGTCCTGCCCTGGCGGTCCCGGCTCCCCCAACGTCGAGAACGCCGACACCTGCAAGCTGGTGACCATTCCTCCAGAACCATCCCCCAGCTTCGTTCTAACCCCCCTCCCCCCAGGTGAACATCGTCAACAACGCGAACACGCGCGTGTTCAAGGCGCTCGGCAACCCCCAGCTCAACTGTGGCGGCGGCTCCGACGCTGTCACCGTCACCCTCGGCGGCTCGACCGAGGTCTCGCAGACCGTCACCGCCTCCGTCGACGTCGGGATCGACATCGAGGGCATCTCCGTCGGCGGCGGCGTCTCCACCGAGAGCGGCACGACCCAAACCCAGTCGAAGGACGTCTCGTACTCGATCCCGCCGGGCCGCCAGGCCGTCTACGTCACCGGGATCGACCAGACGTCGCAGACGGGCAACGTCCAGGTCAACTTCGCCGACCGCCAGTTCGACCACTTCGAGGTGAGCTCCCCCCCCCCCCCTCCTCTGTTTTTTCTCTGCTCGTGCCCTGACCCCGCTTCTTCGCCGCACAGTGGACCACGGGCTCGACGATCACGCAGCTGACGCCGACGAACAACGTCGTGTTCGACGTGTACGAGAGCGCGTGCGGGACGGACCCGAACGACTTCTCCAGCCTCCACTGAGGCGCACGACCGCGCCGCTGCGTCGTGCATGATATCCGCAAGGCACTCCTAACTTATTCATACAGTATTGCGCACATGTAGTATCCATCCATCGCCGCTCTCGTACTACCCTACCATAAGTGCCGCCGTGCGCCTCATGATGCTGATGGAACATAAAGGATGGAATGCCAGTTGTGCGAGGATCGCCGTTCTGTGTGCAGTCCGATCCGACTGGGAGGAGTGTGCGAGCGTCGTGCAGACCAACGCACTGCCTGGCTCGAACCTTGTATGACATTGCTTCAATTACGTCTGCGGAGACATCCGAGTCATATATATCCTTGAGATACTGCTCAGCCTCTCCCTTCCATCTTCCCCCGCTACTTCTCCGACCCTGCTCTCCTCGCCCGGGGAGCCCCAGGTACGAAATTCATCGCGCGCCGGACTTGTGTTCATCGCTCCTTAGGCCTTAGGATGCCCGCGCAGTGCGCCATGTGCGAGGCGATGCTCCCTGGGAACTCGAAGCGCTGTTCAGGCTGTCAAGAGGTGTCGTACTGCAACGAGCGTTGCCAGAACGAACACTGGGTCCTCCACATCTTCGACTGCCAGACGAACAAACCCATCGGCACCGTCTACTACCTCGCCCGCGCGTGCCGCCTCCAACACCCTCCCGTTCACGCTCCTACTAGGCTGGAATATGGATTCGAGAAGATCGTTTGGCTCGTCGGTCCCGACAAAGAGCACGACCTCCTTCGCATGTACGAGCGGCTGCTGCGCCAAGTATCTCCCAAAGACTTGCGCCAGTGGCAGCGACAAGGCCACCTCGTCCGCGGCATCCAGTCCGCATTCGACGCCCTCCCACCGCACGAACGCGGCCCGACATTCTCCTGGTTCCTCGAACACCAGCACATCCTCGACAAGCCCGCCGACTTCGACTTCGACCGCATGTCGGCGCTCGCGGAAAAGGACGCCGCCGCGCTCGTCCGCGCGGGGTGGCTCCGCATGGGCGGCGCCCCCTCCGCCACCCCGCTCGACATCGCCGCCGCCCTCGGCCGCATGCCCGGCCCCGAGCGGTTCCGCGCCGGGTTCTACTGCACCGCGCTCGCCGGCTGGCTGCCCCTCCCCAGCCAGCAGGCGTGGGTCCGCTTCGGGTTCGTCGCGCAGCCCTCGCAGGCCGCGCAGGCCGCGCTCGCGCGGGCGTACGCCGCGCTCGCCGCCGCGTGCCCGTTCCTCGAGTTCTCCGCCGCGCACGCGTCCGGCGCCGTCCCCGCCCTCTTCGCCCGCCACGCCGTCGCCGTCCCGCACCCGCGGCTCTTCGCGGACGTCATGTCCACCCCGCCCGCGCATCCGGCCCCCAAGTCCGTCTGGTTCCTCAAGCAGCACGTCGACATCGTCGCCTCGACGCCTCCCGACGACCTCGCCAGGAACGGGTCGAGCCGAGGGTACCACGTGGAGGCGTTCCGGATCGACTACGGATACGTCCGCTGCCGCAGCGCGGGGGACGGGGAGCCCCTCGACGCGCTCTACGCCCGCCTGTTCGCGAAGATGGAGCAAGGGGTGGACCCGCTGGAGCTCCACGAGGCGTGCGCGGCTGGCCGGCTGGCCGAGTATGCTGGGCGGTTCGTCAAGCTGGACGCACACGCGGAAGAGTACGCGCGGCTGTTGAGCACGGGGCGCGGGGTCATGGCTGAGGTGCGTCGAGTGGTGACTTGGATTAAACGGATTCTGACCGGGGATGTTCTTCATATTCAGAGCGGTGCTGTGTACGACGTGGAGAGCGTGTTTGGTGTGCGAAGTCACTCCCGGTTGTTTGCTGCTGCATAGGCCTGTTTGTTGTTTGCTTGCTTGTTCGGAGGGCCGAGCTCTGTGGTAGGCGCTGCGTGCAGTAATGTAACTATTGAGAAGGTGAGGGTAATGACGCGTACGGTACTGACTATGTATGGCCGGAGCGACGTTCGCCCCGTGCGCGCAGCTTGCAGTGTGAGAGTGCCGTCGACTCTGGTCGCCGGACGACTCGCCCGCCACCATTGCCGGGTGGTCGAGCGAGCCCGGACGGACGCCGTCTCGGGGTTTCCTTCTTCGTGTGGGTCGGGTGGGAAGCGGGAGGGGAAGAGTACGATGTGCGACGGGGGAGGGTAGCTGTTGAGGAGTGCGGGGCGTACGTCGAGAGCGGTTGCTTGGCGTGAACGGACTCTGACCAGGGACGTTCTTGACATTCAGAGCGGTGCTGTGTACGATGTGGAGAGCGCGTTTGATATGCGAAGCCAATCGCAGTTGTTTGCTGCTGCATAGTTCTGTTTAGTACAACCATACCAATCGCTCGCGCAGACTGCAGAAGTACTTCGTACACCTTGTACTCCGCTGTTGGACATGCCGCTGATGAGGCAGCCGCGGTATTGTAGAGGATCGATCTCTGCAAGAACGGGGGACTCATCTGCATTAGGCGAAGACGCGACACAACATAGTATTACACAGAACCACAACGGAGGCCTTCAGATCGCCGACCCCAAGCCACAGCCAGCGGCTTCTCGCAAACCGCGCAATGCGCATACACTCACTAGTGCTGCTGCTGGACCTCGCGCGCCTCGTCCTCGATCATCTTCTGCCTGCTCGCGAGGGCGCGCTGGCGAGCGTCGATGACGTCCATCACCATCTGCCGGGTGCTGGAGGTGCAGTACGCGTCGGCGTAATGGCCAAGCGCGACCTCGTCCAGCGCCGGATCGCCCGTCGCGACGAACCCCGGGACCTTGGGCAGCGGCGGGACCTCGGCGACCCCCGCAGGGAGCTGAGAGCGGTCGACGGGCCTGCGGTTCCGGAGCGGGTCGCACCTGCCGTAGGTCAAGAAGTCCTGGTCGCCGGCTTCCATCGCGCGGTCGAGCTCATCCGAGCCGTCGCCGATGAGCATCGTGGCGTCCCCTAGCAGGCGGCGTGAGGGGCCATCGGGGCAAGGCGGAAACAAGTCGGACGTACCGAGCGCGCCGTGGTCGAACCACCAGCCGTTGTCGTGCGTCTTGCGGAAGCGCTGGACGGCGAAGTGGTCCCCCTTCTGGAGGAACTCGCACTCCGCCGCGTGCTCCTCCCAGTCCACGCGCTGGCACTGACCCTCCGTCAACCTGCTGATGCGCACAGAACACGCAGGAGAGACGCACCTCGGAGCCACAGTAGTACCGCTTGTGGCACGCGGTGCACGAGAACCAGCGGTGCCGCCCCTCGAGCTCCCACTTGCCGCACCGCGCGCATGCGTGCGCGATCTCCTCCGGCCGGAGCCCGACCTCGACCCCGACGTGGTCCTCCGGCCGGAGCCGGGTGGTCTTGAGCGCGTTGAGGACGAGGAAGGGGAGGCCGCCGTCGGAGCGGAGCGCGAGGAGCGCGTCGAGCACCGCCGCGCCCGTCGCGCCGCCGATGACGAACGCGGGGAAGCCGCGGTCCGTCGTCGCCCCGACCGCGTTGTGGTCCGAGGGGGGCGTGTAGTTAATGATCCGTGCGGCGCGGCGGAGGCGCATGCCGTCCGGCTTGGGGAAGACGAGGAACCAGGAGTCGTGGTTGCGGCCGATGGCGACCGGGCGCCCACCGTGGACGCGGAAGGAGCTGAAGGTGCGGAAGGAAGGGATGAGAGAGGAGGCGTCGCTGGGTGGCATGCTTGTGTGAATGGAGATGGCTTAGGCGATTCGGAGGGTGCGAGAGGGTGATGGAGGAGCCCATTGGTGCAGGCGGGGATATATGCGGGAAGGAGGTCGGGACAAAGCGAAGGCTGAGAAGCGTAGGCGTAGTGGACAATGTTGGTTCTCCACAAAGACTATCTCACCGACCACTCCTACTCAAAAACGTCGCCATGACGGTGCAAACGAACCGCGAGGAACCCTTTGCGCCTGCCGGGGACCACAACGAGAACACCAAAAAGTCGCTTGAGAAGCTCAAGCCTTTTGCAGTCGTGAAAATTGTGGCCCGTTGGCGCGAAGGGGAGAGTTTCACAACACATTTAAAGTTGCGTGAAAAGAAGACAACAGAGCGCGAGGAGCAACAGCAGGGAAGAGCAGGAGGAGAAGGAGGAGGGGGAGGAGGAGGAGGAGAAGGAGGATCCCTCAAGAATATTGATATTGAGGACATGTGTTCCTTGAGGCTCAGACGCCCGCGTGTGAATTCCACCCATACTTACATAACGAGGCGGCGCGCGGTTCGATTCCGGCCCTGCTCAAAGCATAAATGCTCTCGGCGGCCGATTTCTAAGGAATCCAGCAAAAAATCGTACTTCGTACACACCAGAAAATATCCGTAGCGCTTTAGAAAGCCATCGCCATTCTCAAATGCTGCCAACATGCGGAATTTGCTTGTAGGGGTCTGGCCGTCCCTTCGAGCTCCATTGGCTGAGGACCTTTTCTAGCTCGCACGATGGCTGGCAGGAGGTGTGGCTAATATCGTTGTTAGACTCCCAAGCAACGAAGGAATGATACTCGGTCTAGATGGTCATTCGTCCGGGGAGAGAAGGCTCCGCAGAGCGAGAGGTTCAAGACTTTGTCGTGGCGTGAGTTGAAGTATGGCATCGACCACACACTTGGTCGATAAGATTGGCGTCGAATTCATTGATCGTACGCATTGTCTAATGTCAGCATCGTACTGATGCGCCCGTCAGCGAAGTGGCCATGCGCCATAGAGCCATAGATGACAGTCACGGAGTCAGGGTATACAGATGAGAGCATTGACCTCGCGCCCCTACGACGCCAGCATCTAGGAATATCATGTCACGTCAGCGCCCCCTTCGCCCTGTCCTCCTCAGCCGCCGCGAACGCCTGATACAGCCTCTCGAAGCGCTCCAAGAGCACCTCCCCCGCATTCGGGTGCGCCTCCCACACAGGCACGGGCACGAAGCCTGGGGCCTCCTTCCCCCAGCGGTCGTTCTCCGAGCCGAAGCGCAGCAGCGCGGTGCGCGGGCTCGGCAGGTCGCAGTACGAGTGCCAGGACGGGTACTCTTCCGGCCGCGCGTCGGGGACGTCCGCGGCGGTGGGCACGGCGCGGAGGGGCACGAGCGCGAGGTGCACGGCGGAGACGGCGGCGGCGTAGACGGTCATGAGGACGTGGCGGGAGCCGATGAACCGGACCTGCGTTCGTCAGCCGGCAGAAGGGAAGGCGAGGGGAAGGGGACGGGAGACGTACCACCCAGAACGCGGCGAGCATGAGCCACTGGTAGCCGGGGATCGGGATCTTGAGCAGCGCGCTCATGCTCGTCGCGACGACACCCGGGCTGATGGTGACGTGGTGGATCTCCCCCGAGGGCGCGACGAGCTCCGGGAAGGACACTCCTGCGCGGCGCTCGTCGCCGCCCGCGGCCTGCAGGCGGATGGCGCGCTGCTCGAGTGCGTGGCAGAGAAAGTCGACCTGCCACTTGCTCGCTTGGTACGAGTGCACCGTCTTGGTGAGCTGCCAGTCGTCCGCGGGGTCGAAGCTCGGCTCCGCGTCGAGCGACGACATCCACAGCACACGCGCGGAGGGGCCCTTGGCGCGGGCGTATTTGATGAGCATGTCTTGCGTGGAGCGGTACTAGAGACGGATGAGAGATGGCGAAATGGCGATGATCGCGAGGACGTACGACGACGTAGTGCCCGAAAACGTTGCATTGCCACGCGTATCCCAGGTGGTCTTTGCTCGTTATGCCGTTGACTTGGATGTTGCGAGTCGGATGCTGGATGGCGAATATTGGTTGCGTGAAGAGGTCGTAAACAAAGCCGGGGATATCCAAGTGACTGTAGGTGGCAGTCCCGGCGTTGAAAATTAGATGCGAAATGTAAGGATACCTGGAACGAAGCCTGTTCAGCTTCGTCGACTTTGCAGAACCTGAGAAGAAGAAAAGAGGCCGCTTGATCATTCCACCGTGTGGCCCTACCCATGAGGCCAGCGCGAACAGGTTCGGCGCCATCTCTCCCTGCCCCTTCGCAAGTATGGGCGACCAGCATCTGACACTTGCCCCGGCTCGGCCCCGCGGGTGCTTAAAGTGGCATGGTGCAAGGATAACGCCGAGATGCAAAGAACCACGTACTTTTTCGATACCGTTTTCCCAAAGTCCAACGCACTCTTCACCGACGCGAGGTCCAACGTCTCCAGCTCCACTCTAACGCCTCTCCTGAACACGGTCGCGTACGAGTGTTCCACAGTTCCCGAAGGGAGCCCCGCGATGTGCTTGTCGAGGAGGGCCAAAAGCTTAACGCGCGCGCCTTGTGCACGTTTTGGGTCGCGGCACGCCATGACGAGCGTCACGCCGTCCTCCGGCGAGAAGTCGTATTCATCTTTGACGACGTGGGGAAGCGAGGCGTACGTGCCATTTTGGGGAACATCGAACGACGGCCGGGCGTCGGTCGGGCAGGGAGAGGAGAGCTGGACGAGGAGACGGTGACAGATCCCGAAACCGACACCTCTGCGGGTATTCGTTAGAACGGGACCGCTATCGCTCAGCAGCCGACTCACCCGTTCGCGCCGGTTACAACAATGACGAGACCGGTCATCCCGCGGCCGAGACGAGTGGTATGTGTGGAGCGCGGGAGAGAGAGAGGCGGGAGAGGCTTGACATTGTGGCGCCACGCCGGCAGAAGTCAACCCAGGAAGCGCCCATTCGGCCACGCAGCACAAGGGCGGCAACTCGCGCTTATCTTATCTCTCCTTACCTCAAACCCATTTCAAGCCCTGCCTTCCTTCCGTCTTTGCAACAACCTCCGAGGCATTTTCCAACATCGCGGTGAGCGCGAGATCCTAAGACGACGCTCGATGGTGTACATTTCTTGCGACTCGGTGCTGAAACGTCGACTGACATCGAATCGCCGACGTGTATACTGATCGCTAATCTGGCATACAGAAGCTTAATCAGCGTGTGGTCTTGTAGACGTCACACGAACAGTATGGTTAAATATGCATTGTTGGGGATCTATACAGAATGGCCTCCACAAACCATACAATCCAGGTATTACTCGAAAAGACAATAAGTAGTGCGCGCGCGGTACCGTATGAATAACTTAGGTGTGCCTTGCGGCGGAGCGGCGCCGGACGCTGTCGTAATCCGGCCAAGGACCAGTGCAGCGAGCGGAACGATCGCTCGCGCACAGGGAGGAGGAGGCGGGGTGCGGCTCAGTGGAGGCTGGAGAAGTCGTTCGGGTCCGTCCCGCACGCGCTCTCGTACACGTCGAACACGACGTCGTCCGTCGGCGTCAGCTGCGTGATAGTCGTCCCGGTGAACCACTGCGGCTCGCGGATTCAGCACACGCATGAACACCGAGAGCGAGACGGGACACTCACGATGAAGTGGTCGAACTGGCGGTCGCCGTAGTTGACCTTGACGTTCCCCGTCTGGGACCTGTGATCGATCCCGGTGACGAAGACGGCCTGGCGGCCGGGCGGGATCGAGTACTCGACGGTCTTGGACTGCGTCTCGGTCGAGGTGTCGGTGGTGGAGATGCCGCCGCCGACGGAGATGCCCTCGACGTTGATGCCGAGGTTGGCGGAGACGGTGACGGTCTGCGAGACCTCGGTCGAGCCGCCGAGGGTGACTTTGACCTCGTCGGTGCCGCCGCCGCAGTTGAGCTGGGGGTCGCCGAGCGCCTTGTAGACGCGTGTGTCGGGGTTGTTGACGATGTTGATCTGGGAGAGAGGTCAGAGTCACGACTCAAGCCGGAAGGGGTGCGGCCTAGAGGGGTGCTCACCAGGGTACAGCGGTCGGCGCGCTCGACGTTGGAGGAGCCGGGGCCGCCGGGGCAGGACGCGAGGAGGTCCGCGTCGTTGGGCGAATTCTCACGACCTGAGAGATCGGTGGTGGGGACGGCGAAGGCGGCGGTCATGAAGGAGAGGGTGATGAGGGCACGAGAGAACATGGTTATGAATCGAATGAGTGTGAGGGTTTGGGAAATTATTAGTGTCAAGAGGACGTAGAGACTGAGAGCAGTGAGCATCGTCGGTGGTCGACCGCGGCATATATACCACTTAGCCTCGGTTGGCGACCCCGCGTTAGCAACGTGCGCGTGAGGAGCTGGTGTCCTGGAAATGTGCGTTGTGGAGTCTGTAGCTGTGCTGACACATTGTACCCCAGATTCGGTCTGTACATCAGCCAGCACCATGCGTCCGCCGTGAACGTACGACGAACAGTGGGCGCCGACATCACCAAGGAGACTAGACCCGAGACACTTCCGTGGCCCGGAAGATGGGAGGACAGAACAGGGGTTGAGCCTCGTCTGCTGCTGCGCTGTGGCCAAGAAAAGACAGCCGAGAAAAGACAGCGGAGCGAGTCGCCGGATGGGCGAACACGATATATGCGGCGAAACTTGTGCGGCAGTCTTATGTATTAGATGGCGGGTCGCGCGAATGGGAGGGGTGGCCCATTGTGGAAACGGTCGTCGGTCGGAGAGGCGTAGGGCGTACCGAGCGCCCGGGACTGGACGTTGGTGGGACCGCTGTGTCACGCTGGTCCGGACCCGCAAAGTAATGGGTAGGGTTAGGGCGTGGTGTTGACACTTGTGGCGTTCAGGGCAGCCGTTCGGAGACGGTGGGCAGGACAGTCGTTCAACCGTTGTGAGGTGAGTCTACGATTGATGTTCTAAGTGGAGGGGCGATCTGGGTAGTCATGGTTTCAGTGAACAACGCAAGGTGTCGCTCAGCATGATGAATAAACCTTTGGAGGCCGCAGACGTTGCTGTACGATCAAGGTTTAGCGCTTCGGACATAGTCGACACCTCTTCGTTAGATTGCTGCGGGTTCAGAAGCCCGATGTCTTTGAGTTCACTATGAAGGTGTACCGTCCGGTGACGTCATTTGCAATGGACCAAGAGAGACGATCGCTATTGCGTCTGAACTCCGGTATATGCGGGCCATTGACTGGTGTAGACACATATAGTAGAGCAAACCCCTGGCCGCGCACCGGAGTTGTGGGTGCGGTTGAGGGCGAAGGTTAGGAAGATCGGCCAGTGGTGTGTGGGACTTACATAATCGCGAGCGACGGCGGGTTCGATCCCCCGATGGGGCAACTTGAGAGTGACGGTGTCGCCTCAGCAGAACTACGCTCCACGAAATGGATGTCATAGAGCGTTGCAACGGACGAAACCACATGCGTACAACTCGGGCCGTATCAAGTTGCTTCGTAGACGCACTTCGGACTGAAGAAGCCTAGAGTTGGGTAAACGGCGTCAGCATGCGCGCACTCGTGCTACATCCGCTGAAACAACTCACCGTCAAGACCATGCTCGCGATCAAACTCGCGATTTTCGATGATGTCGCGCGCGCGCTCCGCGTCCTCCTTCCAGATCCGGAAGATCTGTCGGTCATCGCCCGCGCCCTCCATCCACCACCACTCCCTTCGCCACGCCCGCCCTTCGGCGACCTCTTCGTCTTCTTCGCCCTCCCGAGCACGATCGGCCTCGGGGGACCGCCAGGCCCCGAGACCGAGCAGACGCAGGGTAGGCGTCGCATTGAAGAACGGCCACGGGTCCAGCGAGCAGACCTCGTCTCCCGGCAGCACCCCAGGCAGATCCATCGCCTCAACATCGCCCGGATCGGCGACCAACTCCACGTGGAGGAAGACGAGCGGAAGGCCGACGAACATTGCGTCGAGGTTCTGCTGCGAGCCCCGGGAAACCACGTCAGCCGCCGTCGGGCACGGTACAGTCGAGCCGCACTCACCGGCACTTCGTCGTCGTCGTCCACCATGATGTTCACCTGTACCGATCGCAGCGACGGGATCGATTCGGCGACTTCGGCCCAATGGACGACGCCGGGCGTCATGGAATCGAACCAGGCTTCGAAGACGAGCCCGCTGGGCTGGACCGTACGAACAAAGTCGATGGTCCGCTTGTCTGCAGACGACAGGGCGAAGGAGGGGACAGTGATACTGACGGGATGGCCCGTGAGGACGAGGCGGTCGACTCCTCCCAGCTTGTCTCCGAGAGTTGTCAGCTGCTCTTGGAGCGACGGGCCACACTCGAAGTATCGGAGGTGGGGCCAGCGGATGTCGGTCGGAAGCCGTGTTTGATGTAGTTGGCGATCGAACGAGATCGGGGGTTCGTAGGAAAGAGAGGATAGATTGGGACATAAGGAGACCAGATCCACCGCTGTCTTGCAGGAAGGCTCGCTGATTGTCAGACGGCGCAAGCTTTGGATCTGGAGCTGCGAGATCTGGCGTGAGGTGGAACGTTGAAGAAGAGGGAGGGGTTGGGGGCCGAGGGAAAGCGTCAGAGTGCGCAGCCGTCGAAAGCGTGGTAGGACGTCCATGAGTGCGAGACTGGAGTGATTTTGCGCAACAGCAATGGATGATCCGGGGCGGCTATCTTCGGCGAAAGAAAGAGACTCTAACGTACTCGCGTTGGGAAGAGTGTGTAACATCTCCATGACCGCCGGCCCCACATTGGATAGTTGCAGCTTGCGAAGGGACGACAGCTTCCCAATAGCCTCTCCAAGTTGAGGATAGTTGACGACCCATCTTTCTGCGTCTGGCTGTATGCGTAGGGATTTCAGACGAGTGGCTTGACGCAAGACCAACAAAAATGCATGGGATGCAGCGACTGGGAGAGGTTCAAACGAAGGGAATAGGTGAAGGTCCAGATGACGCAAGAGCAACGCCAGAGTATCAGAGGAAAGTGGGATGGTGGCGAGAAGCTGGTTGCACCAGGCAATGAGATCGGCCCCATCTTCAGTTTCGACGACCTTGCTGAGATTGGCATAGACCCGGGGAATGGCGAAGTGGTACAGTTGTTTTGCACAGAGAGCCAGATGAAGAGCGTCGCGCCCTTCGACATAGGAAAGGAGATAAAAGATGGCGTTGGCGTCGAGATTGAGTAGAGTCCGCATAGTGCTATCGATCGCGATGGGGAGACGAGAAAGGTGCCAAGCGATCGTCGACGCAGCCAAGCGCGAGTCGATGGGCCCATCTGTCACGTGCCTCGGAAGCAGTCCTGATTATTTTTCATCACACCTCCCCTAGGCAGCCCTTCTATCAAAGACCATCAGCGAAGGACACAGGAAAGCGCGACGGATAGCGCCTCAGGTTCACAGACGATACGTGGATATGCGCCGTAGCTAACATTGCATTGACGGACAGAATTCACTATACTTAGTGTTGATACAGTGGGTAGACTTCTTTTTCCGCGTCATCTACCAACTCCAAGGCGTCTTGAAGCCTACCCGCCCACATTTCTCACTCGTACACTGCCTGGATCTGTAGCCTACGATTCCGCAGAAGCATTCTTTGACGAAGAAACCTGGCTCATACGCGCACTTCTCGGTGAAGAACCCTAGTGCGCGGAAACGTTCGGGTCTCGTCAGCCCGCGTACATCCACAATGCAACCACCGAAATCACGCACCATCAAGACCATGCTCGCGGTCGAACCCTTGGCTCTCGATGATCGCGCGTGCGCGCTCCGCATCCTCCTTCCAGATTTCGACCATCTTGCGATCTTCGCCCGTGCCCTCCATCCACCACCACCGCTGCCGCCGCATCTGCACCTCCGCTGCCTCCCGTTCTTCCCCCGGCGGCGCAGTGTTCTCGACAGGTTCCTTTGCGGGAAACTGAGCCTCGAGCCCGAGCACGCGGAGGGTCGGGATGGCGTCGAAGAACGGCGGGGCGTCGCAGGAGTACACCGCACGGGGCATCGCCGCGGGTATGCCATCCAGGTGTGCCGTCGGGTGGGATGCGAGGGTGATGTGGAGGTAGACGAGTGGGAGGTCCTTGAGAACCATCTCGATCTGCGTCTGAGGCCCAATCCCGTCAGTGGATGTCGAACGCAGAGCTGTGACGCTGCGCCGCGCTACTCACCGGGGTCTGGCTGTTGTCCAAGATATGCAGCTGCAGCGATCTCAGCGAGGGAACCGTCCTCGCAACCTCCGCCCACGGTATCGATTTGGGAACGACGTCCCTAAGTGGCCAGAGACATATGCAGCCTTGGAGCACAAGAGCGCTGGGGTGGAAGGCGCGCATGAGCTTGACGATGCGCTCCCATTGATCTTGCGTCGCCAGCGGGGAGGGATCAGTGAATTCTTTGAGAATGAGGTCGATGGTGAGGCGATCGATCGGGCTGAACTTGGCCGACGGTGGTGTGAGATGGAAGCTGAATCCAGAATAGCAGTAGAGATTGCGGAGATGCGGCCAAGAGAGGTCGGCGACGAGGTCTTGATACTTGCGCTTGCCCCTGGGGACTGAGGATGTGTACGACACAGAAGATAGGTTTGGGAACAGAGGGATAAGATCTAGTGCGATCGGGACGAATTCGCCTAGTTCCAGATGATGCACGCCGTGGAACTTGATGTTTGCAATGGAGTGTCGTGTTGTAAACGGTTCGAGGAGAGGCAGAGAATCGGGGCTGGCTCCAAGCTTGAGAGTGTGCAAGTGTGGGAAGCGCGACAGAACGGTAACCAGGGCGAGGGGGGGATCGTTGCATGCGGTAGACACCTCCGCGGGTGTGATTTTCGCGAGGGAGAGGGAGAGGGACTCCAACGTACCCGCGATTGGGAGGGAGTGCAACATTTCCATTGTGGCCGGGCCGACGTTTGTCAACGACAGCTCACGTAGGGATGCCAATTTTCCCATTGCGTCTCCCAGTTGAGGAAGTCGGAGGATGCCGTTTTCGATGTCAAAGTGGGCGATAAGGGTTCGCAGACGGGTGGCGTGGGCGAGGACTTCCAGCAGCGTTTCAAACGTCTGGGACGGTGAGTCTGAGTCTGAGTCCAAATCCAAGTGCAGTAGAAACTCGATGGGGGGTCTGGATGAGATGGGGTTTGTGGTTAGGAGGTGGTCGCGCCAAGCAGTGAAGTCATGGCTGGTGTCGTCAGGATTGTCATCGACGGTCAGGTCGAGGTCGGCGTGAACCTGGGGAATGGCGAAATGGTAGGCACGTCTCGCTGTGAGAGACAACCGCTGTGCATCTTGACCGTGAAGATAGGAAAACAAATGGAAGAGGATGTCGTCGTCGAGGTCCAGCAAAGAGATCATGGCGCGAAAGAAGAGTGTCCAGACAAATTCAGGCCCGATCGAACGATTGAGCAGAGCTGGGGATAATAGATCATCTAATCTAAGCGCCGCGTCCATGACCATCTGTTGGCACTCACGATCGGTTACTCCTCCTTCTCAAGCATGGTCCCACCTCGTGCCGAGAAGACACTACCCCTGCTTTAGCTTGACTCACAGAAACTACCTCTCCACGGCTCCCTCACAAACGACACTATGAACTGGACATTAGGCTAGTACTACTCGAGCAGATGCGTAGCATGGCCACGTTTGAGCTCCATTTGAGTGCAAGGGGGGGACTCACTGCATGGGCGGGCTGATCGAGGAGAGACCTTGAGAGCGCTCTCGATGTGAGGGTCGCTCCAATCTGCGACAGTTCATTATCATTTAAGGTAAGTGTACGTCAAATGATTTGTGCATTTCTGACGGCATGCCCGTTTCAGCGACATTCCAAAAACACCCTCCAATTACGACTATGACTTTCCTTTCTGCTCTGGTCGAGTTTTTCTGAGCCGGCGGCCTTGCTCCTCCGTCGGATCATGCTTAACGCGGCCGGGAATCCTTCCTGCAGATCACTCCTGGTTGGTCATCATCGGCCGTCTGACTCCCTTTCAACCCATGCCCCAAGCTCCCTGTCTTACACTATGAAACATCCAGCGGCACACACGTACACATTCCCATATAAAGCCCCTGGCCTTCATTACGCCAAAGGCAACGGCGCAAAGGCGATTGCGACCCACAAAGCGTCGCATGCCGGCAAATCAGTCGTGGATCGCCTCTTGCTGATGCTTTTTTTCCCTTTACGATCTGCTTGTTATCGAGCCTGAGAACACGCAGTATGGGGATCGCGGTAAGGAACGTACGAGGCTCGATCGAGCGCACCGCACTGACGATATTCTCGTCGATGTGCACGCGGACGTGGCGATAGACAAGCGGAAGGTCCTTCAAATGTCTTTGAGTGCCGTCTCCAGCCCGTGAACCGGATCCAGTTTGTTCGAAGATTGCGGCGCAGGATTTGAAATAGCAGAGAAGGCGCCACAGGAGGTCCCCACAATGTTTCGGGAGGAAAATGACATGTACTTATGAGACGCGAGACGAGTTGGGGCACAGAGGGATGAGGTCGATCACGGTACAAGAGGAGAGGTTGAGGATGAAAAGGCGACGTACACTGGGAAGCACGCGCTTGAGCAAAGATCTCAGCATATGCGGAGCACCTGGACCGAAGTCGCCTAATTCCAGTAGCGATGATTCATGGCTCGTACCGGAAAGCGACGGAGCGGAGGCGTGTGGCTTGGGCAAAAACGTCGATTAGTCCAGCGCCGACAATCTCTTGACGTCCCCAACAATGTTGCGAGAGCGCCAAAGAGCACAAGAAGGAGGTCGGTGTCTTGCATGTCATGACACGGGATTCAGGGAGAGAAGGGCGCACCACGATGGTGAAAAACCCGCCCTGTCGTAAGTAGTCTTTTGATAGTCTTGCCGAGGTTCGCAAAGACTTGTAGAAAGGCGAACTGGTGAGCACGCTTCGCGCGGGGACACAGGTGCAGGGGAGGGCGCCTTGGTCGTCGACGTAAGAGAGGGTTTGAAGGAGAACGTCGTGATGGAGATCAAGCAGAGATCGCATGGTGTGGAGGTGCCACGCGATCGCGAGGGCGGCGACCAGCCGACGCGCTAGTAAGCGCGCGACGGGTGGACACTGGGGGTGTGTTTTGATGACTTTCTCCAGTCGATTTGTGCTTGCCTCCGCCAGCGATAGTCCCTAGGAACCCGGTAAGGTCATGGTATTCTATATAGGACGCCCACGCGCGCACCGCGCCTCCGAGGTCAAGCATATCTCCACATACCGCGACATGCACGACGCCAGCGACGGCGACCTCTTCGAAATTGGCGGCTACGTATTTGAGTGGGACGACGACTGCGTCCCGCCTGAGCTCTGCGAGAGGTGAGTCTCGCAATGGTGGTCTGGCAGGGTGGGGCTCACGTAATGTGTAGGTGGCGATTCGAAGGCGACCCTGCGTGCGATTCTGCGGTGCGTCAGGTATTCGCACACCCAGGCGATACTGTAGGCAAGGATCTGTTGCGGGCCGTGCAGAACTACGCGGAGGCGAACCCGGGCGATCCTCGGTCGTCGCCGGTGCATGCATTCCTGTGTGAAATCTCGCAGGCTCCTCCGACCGGCCTGCTGGCATCTGAGGAGGAGGTTGTGAGTGCGCAGGAGCTCTTCTTGGACGACACTACGCAGATAATGCAAGCGTTCTTGCACTACAGCCTCGCAGGCGGCTTCGCCAGGTGACGGAGTTCACGTACCACTCCTTCCACTTCGCTGACGTCGTCCAGTCCCCGGATTGTCAGAACGCTAGAGGCTGTGTCTTACGTCTTACCTCATCAAAGAAAGAGTGGGACGCAACCTCCGACGACGCTTGAAGAGTTTGCCGCACAGGTACCGAAGGCATCCTCGGACCGAACGTTCAACCGGCTGGTAGAAACGCTGCAGTTCGTGCTGGACGTCATGGCATGCACCGCGGACCCTGATCCTCTTTCGCCCAAGACGGCCTACCTCCTGCCCGGCGGGCAAGGGTGGGCATCGACAGTCCGCGTGCGGATCCTTCACTCCATTGCGCGCTGGCGTGTGCAAATGCGCTGGGAGCGCGAGGGGCGCACAGTCGCTATGCAAGACTCAATCCCGATCAGCCAGCAGGAGATGGCAGCGACGTGCGTACCCGGCCCTCGTGTAACTTCGCGCTCGCCAGCCGGCCTAACGCTCCGTTCTGCAGACTGTCAAGCTTCGCCACGGTCCCGATGTGGTGTCTTCGACGCCTCCACGTCCCGCCGACCCCCGCGCGCGAGCGCGCCTTCCTCGCGCTCTGGCGGCACGTCGGCTTCTACATGGGCGTCGCCCCCTCGATCCTCCTCCGCCACTTCGCGACCGTGCCCGCCGCGGAGAAGTTCACCGTCACCGCCGTGCTCAACCTCTTCTTCGAAGAGCTCCCTGGCGCAGCGCCGGCGCCCGACTCGGGGGCGCGCGGACCGACGCTCCCGATCCTCGTCGCGGTCTCGAACCGGCCGCCGCTGCCGACGACGCTCGCGTTCAACGTCGCGCTCACCGCGCACCTCCTCGGCGAAGCGCTCGCGGCGCACCTCTGTCTTCCCCCTGCGACGCTGAGGACGCGCGTGTGGATGCACGCCGCGCTTGCGCTTCAGCGCGCCCCGCACGCGTTCGCGGCGGTGTGGCCGCGCAGGGGGTGGGTCGAGAAGCGGCGGGCGGCGATGCGCGAGGGGATGGCGCGGGTCGTGCGGCACAGCTTGGGCCTACGTCGAACCGCGTTCCGGCCGCGGACCGAGGGCGAAGGGGAGCTCGCGCCGGGGGTGGAGGAGCTGGAGAGCGTGGAGACGGAGCCGGAGCGGGCGCGGACGCTTTTGAGGATGGGGGCGGAGGTGCTGGCGGAGATGGTTGCTGTCTGTGCGGTCGCGGGCCTGGTGGGACTGAGGGTGGTGTGCTTCTGCTGGTGTCTTTGGCGAGGTTGACGAGATGAAGAGTCGACCTTGGATTTGGTATATGAGGGACTCGTCTCGCCGCACTTTGGCATGGCGGTGGGAGGAGAGAAGAGAGAGAGATTTATGAGCCAGCTCCAGTCTTAGACAGTTACATAAGCGACATAGAAGCAGCGGGCGGCGGACCTCGAACTAAGTATACGTCCGCGCGTCCGTCTCGCCCACCGCTCAAGCGCTCAAGCGCTCATGTCCTGGACCGCACCCTTGAATTCCGAACAATCACGCGTCGCCCCTCTACACTGGCTTATACTTCTTCTCGTCTCGTCTCCCTTCAGCTCCTCTTCCGACGCTGCGGACGACAATGTCCGGCCAATTGAGCGCGGCCGCGCGCGCACAGAGGAGTCCCACAACAGAGCGACGAAGTGAACCAGGTACCTCCTTTTCAACGCGTTCTCAGGGGCTGGCACATGGAAGGGTATTTGGCCTGTTCTTGAAGACGCCCGCGCTGAAGGAGGACTGGGTCGAGAAGCTCGAGGCGCGCACGAACGATTCGACCCAGTATTTGATGAGACAGGGATTATCTACCCTAAGCGCCGCGTCCATGAAGGGCACAATTGGTGGGACGAATCGACTTGTATCGCGGTCAACGTACAAAGTGTCTTATTTCGATACCCTAAGATGCGACTGAGAAAGCGCTCCTTTCACATGCAAGAACAAGACCAGTCGCTCCGAGGCTCCTCGTGGCTGCAAACGCACTTTTCGGAGAAAAAACCTGGCGTGCCGACGAATTGCGTCAATCGCATGGCATATCGCGGGGTGTGGAGCACGCACCTTCGAGGCTGTTGTCGTGATCGAAGTCTGGGCTCTCGATGAGCTCGCGTGCACGCTCCGCATCCTCTCTCCAGATCTCGACAGCATTCCGACCGTCGTCCGACCACCACCCACCTGTACCTCACGTTTTGATAGATCAGTGATCCCGGATAATCCCACCCCCCTACCATAGATAGTATCGCTGTAATGTCCATACGCCCGCCACTACTAGATACGCTACGAATATCGCGGCCAATTCCCTTGCAAGGAAACAGCCCGCTTCCCCCATATACACAAGTCCCCTCCCCTCTCTACAAGTCCCCGCCCGGCAAGCCCCGAGCTAGGCCGAGCCCGCGTCTGTCTGCTCCCATCATCACGTGTGTCCCCCACTGCCCCGACATCTCCGAGCGCCGCGCCCCCGCCGGCGCCTTCCCCGCCTGTGCCCGTGCTCGCTGTGCCCGACAGCGAGCTCACTGTCCCTGCGCCCCGCCTCCCCCTCCCCTCCGTTTCCCTCCGTTCTTTTTGTAATCCACTTGTATTCAAAATGCGCACCTAATGACACACAATACAATAGCTACACCTGCCTGGGTGTGCCTGCACTGAGCCCATATACCCCCAAAATGCGTGCAGCATACAAGCATCTACAAGTGTTGAATTGGCTGGCCAAGCTCTGCATCAGATAGTCATAGATGAGGGCTGCTCTAGTATAAAACTGCAGGTGGATAGCTAAAGGGGTGCAGGTATGATGTCATATGTTATTTCAGAATGACATACCCCACAGTGATATGGTACATACATATATCGTTCTATTTACACCCAGAATCGTACCTAGAGGTCATTCATAGTGTATTGCAAGAAGAAGCAAGTGAATAGACGATGTTGTGGTGAAGATATGACATATACTCAGAAGGGGGAGTTGGCTTGAAAATGCGGCCTTCATATGTTTTTGTGCAGACCTCTGATCACTTCGCATCTTGTTGCATTACGTTTATATGTATAGGTAGAGCTCAGATCGTCGTTTTGGTGCTTATCGGTGAAGGATTGAATACAGGCCATGGTATGTCATTATTCTATGACATAGAGTATAGCGATATGACATGTGCTCCGATTGTTATTCTGAAAGGCGGAATAGAACGGGGTGTTCTTATGCTAAACGATGCAGAAAGAATTTCGAAGAACGGTGAAGAAGTGGTTGAGATATGCCAGATGGGCTTGAAGTGTGCAAAGCGGCATAGGTGGTTCAAGGGCGTCCTTTGCGCAACCTGCCATTCTAGACCCATATGACATATCTCAACCACTTCTTCACCGTTCTTCGAAATTCTTTCTGCATCGTTTAGCATAAGAACACCCCGTTCTATTCCGCCTTTCAGAATAACAATCGGAGCACATGTCATATCGCTATACTCTATGTCATAGAATAATGACATACCATGGCCTGTATTCAATCCTTCACCGATAAGCACCAAAACGACGATCTGAGCTCTACCTATACATATAAACGTAATGCAACAAGATGCGAAGTGATCAGAGGTCTGCACAAAAACATATGAAGGCCGCATTTTCAAGCCAACTCCCCCTTCTGAGTATATGTCATATCTTCACCACAACATCGTCTATTCACTTGCTTCTTCTTGCAATACACTATGAATGACCTCTAGGTACGATTCTGGGTGTAAATAGAACGATATATGTATGTACCATATCACTGTGGGGTATGTCATTCTGAAATAACATATGACATCATACCTGCACCCCTTTAGCTATCCACCTGCAGTTTTATACTAGAGCAGCCCTCATCTATGACTATCTGATGCAGAGCTTGGCCAGCCAATTCAACACTTGTAGATGCTTGTATGCTGCACGCATTTTGGGGGGTATATGGGCTCAGTGCAGGCACACCCAGGCAGGTGTAGCTATTGTATTGTGTGTCATTAGGTGCGCATTTTGAATACAAGTGGATTACAAAAAGAACGGAGGGAAACGGAGGGGAGGGGGAGGCGGGGCGCAGGGACAGTGAGCTCGCTGTCGGGCACAGCGAGCACGGGCACAGGCGGGGAAGGCGCCGGCGGGGGCGCGGCGCTCGGAGATGTCGGGGCAGTGGGGGACACACGTGATGATGGGAGCAGACAGACGCGGGCTCGGCCTAGCTCGGGGCTTGCCGGGCGGGGACTTGTAGAGAGGGGAGGGGACTTGTGTATATGGGGGAAGCGGGCTGTTTCCTTGCAAGGGAATTGGCCGCGATATTCGTAGCGTATCTAGTAGTGGCGGGCGTATGGACATTACAGCGATACTATCTATGGTAGGGGGGTGGGATTATCCGGGATCACTGATCTATCAAAACGTGAGGTACAGGTGCCACCACCACCTCGTCCGCCGAGGCCGCGGATCGTCTGGTGCTTGCGGGTCTTCCGGCAATCCATCGTTGTCGGCATCGTACGTGTTCAGCATCTCGTCCCCGATGCCGAGCACGCGGAGCGTCGCCAGTGCGTCAAAGAAGGGCCGGGGTCTGAGTGCGGTCGCGATCTTCGCCCGAGTCACGGCGGGTTCGGTCTCCTGGCCCTCGACATTTCCCATAACGATGTGTACGGCCAGATGCACCAGCGAGAGGTTCCGCAAAGCGGCGGGGAGCGTCATCTGTGCGTATACAGGCGGTGCACGACCGAGATGCGGTCAGCGAAGGGATGAGGCATCGCAGGAGCTGGCACTACTCACCAGGTACCGGCCGGGCTCGCGGAACCGCAGCTCCAACGAGCGCAAGGGCGGATCCATCCGTAAGGCATCGGCTAACTTCACCGTTTTTGTCCCGCGGGTGATAAAATCGACGTCGAGCACGAGAGCGCTCGGGTGGACAGCACGGAAGAAATTGAACAACAAGAGGTCCTTTCGCTCCAGAGCGAAGGAGGATGCGAAGACATGGACGGGGAAGCCGTGGACGAGGCGGCTCACGAGTCCTGGTCGGGGTGGTCGGAGCAAGGGGTCAACCCATTCGAAGGACCCGGTGCAGGACTTAAAATTGCGGAGAGGAGGCCATTGGAGGTCTCCCACAATGTTTCTGTACTGGCTCCCGTATGGTAAGATTGATAGGAAGGAGACGCAAGACGCGTTTGGGCACAGAGGGACGAGGTCGATCATGGTGCAAGGGGAGAAGTCGACGATAAGAAGGCGACGTAGACTGGGAAGCATGTGGCCCTTGACGGTTTCGGATGTGACGGAGGGGTCAAGGAGAGGAATGATGCCTCGCTTGATGTGGAGCTTCAGGAATTGCAGTCGGCTGAATCGCGAAAGAACGGTTGCCAGTGGGAGGTAAGGACGCGGTTCGGGACTCTCTTCGAACTGCTGAGAGAGAGCGAGTGATTCGATCCTGCGGGCGTTAGGCAAAAAGCTCAGCATATACAGAGTAGCTGGACCGAAGTCGCCCAATTCCAGTGAGCGCAGAGATCTTAGCATGCCCAGAGCTTCTCCGAGCCGAGGAGCGATGGTTTCTAGGCCGTACTGGAAGAGGACGGCGACGGAGTGTAGGCGTGTAGCATGGACCAGAACGTCGACTAATCCAGCGCCGACAACCTTTTGATGTTTCTGACCATGTTGAACCAGCACCAAAGAGGACAAAACCGAGACCGGTGGTTTTCCTGACGCAGGATCCGAGGAGAGGAGGGCGTCCCGCCATACTGCAAAATCCGCGTTGTTGTAAGTAGTCTTCCTGAGGGTCGCATGGACTCGGGGAATAGCGAGATGGTAAGCACGCTTCGAGCAGAGACAGAAGTGCAGGGCGTCTTTGCCGTCGATGTGGCAGAGGATTTGAAGGAGGACGTCGTCGTGGAGATCAAGCAGAGAGCGCATGCTGGCGGGAGGAGAGAAGGAGTGGGCGACGGAGGCGCGCACACCGGGGGGTGGATTCCACCCACCACCCACGAAGCTTGAAGAGAAACGCTCATGTCCTCGAGCGCATCTCCCAGACGAAGTTCGCGCGTCGCCGCCTCTGCGTTAGCTTCTACTTCTTCTCGTCTGCCATCTTCCTCTCCCCTCAGTTTCCCTTCGGACGCTGCGGACGACAATCCCCGACCAACGAAGCGTGCGCGCGCGCAGAGGGGCGAAGTTGTCGCACCTCCAAAACAACCTACCAAACGTCGCACAAAAGACGCTGCGGAATCCCCGAGACCACAAGACTACGTGCCGCGCGCGGAGAACGCGTGGAAGCTGGGCCCGCATGTATCGTCCGCGGGCGGAGTGGAGAACGCGGTCGTGAACGCTGCTGCCGTCGGGTACGTCCCTACTCCTTCTCAACGCGCTCTCAGGGCATTGAAGGGAGCATAGCGCGAACGCGTTTGGCCTGTTCTTGAAGTCGCAGCGCAAGTGGGAGTCACCCGCGCTGAAGGAGGACTCGGTCGAGAAGTTCAAGGCGCGTATGAAGACGTTTGGATACTCCCCTGCGCACGTTCTGCCGCACGAGAGCTACCTTGTCAACCTCGCGAACCCCGATGGGTATGTAGCTGCCCCATGCACTTGGCCGTGACGCACAGGCTGACTGTATGCGTCCAGCGTGAAGCGCGAGAAGTCGTACCAGTGCTTCTTGGACGACCTCAAACGGTGTGAGCAACTGGGTCTCGAGTTATACAACTTCCAGTGCGTAACGCAGTCTATCTTGATTTTCTTTCATGCATATACCCATTCTCTCGGTAGCCCCGGCTCGACGCTAGGCTCTCCATTGGAGGACGCCCTTGCGCGTATAGCCTCATGCATCAACCGTGCACACAAGGAGACACAGAGTGTCGTGGTGGTATTGGAGAACATGGTATGTCAAATCTGCAACGCGGGGTCCTTCTGCTATTTACGCGTTTACACGCAGGCAGGCTCCGGGAACGTCGTCGGGTCCCGCTTCATCGAGCTGGGCAAGATCATTGAGCAGGTTGATGACAAGTCTCGAGTAGCTGTATGCTTGGACACCTGTGAGCACTTTTTTCACGTATTTGCGCAAAAATTGCGTTCTCACCACTGTCCTTAGGCCATATGTTTGCCGCAGTAGGCAGTTCTCCCGAACCTCGCCCCTGATGCACTGCTCATACGCGGCCCAGGGCTATGACATCACGACACCGGAAGGATGGGAGTGAGACTTGCTCTTTCTCTCCCCCGATCTCACCCAGCTCACACATCCGCCACAGAGCGTCCAGTGCGTCTACCTCGTTCGAAGTAGAAGCCGTATGCTCACCGAGTCCCCTCAGTGGCCGAGTTCGACCGTGACGTGGGCGCATCATACCTGCGCGGCATGCACCTCAATGACTCCAAGGGCGCCCTCGCGAGCAAGAAAGACAGACACGAAAACATCGGCCTGTACGTCTCGCTCTCACACAGCCCCGTCACCGGCGCCGCCGCTGACGACGACCCAGGGGCCATCTTGGTGTTCAAACCTTCGACCGCATCCTGTCCGACCCGCGCACGCGCGGCATCCCGCTCATCCTAGAGACGCCCGCGTACGATGTCGGGACGTCGGGCGGCGGAAAGGATAGCTTGGCCAAGGAGGGCATGGTGGTATGGCGCACGGAAGTCGCGGTTCTCAACCGGATCGCGGGGCGGTCGCCCGGGACTCCGACGGAGGACGGCGTCGTGGTCTCGTTGGACGACGAGGAGCTCGATACGTGCCGTGCGGAGGTGCAAGCCGTCGTCCACGAGGCGAGCAAGTCGCACGACGGCAAAGGGAGGAAGGCGGGGCAGTCTGCCAGCAAACGCGGCGGGAGGAAAGGCAAGCGGCACGCGGAAGACGCGGACGAAGACGTGGACAGCTGCGACGATTCATGGTGTGTACTTCGTCGCTTCCTGTATCCCTCACGCTCATCGTCCACTGTGCCTAGAAATCGCACCAATTACGCCGTCTCCGCCGCGTCCCTGGCACGGCACAGATCGGTGAGTATATAGCTGCGGCAGCCCACTCGGAGGCTGGTCACCCAGGAACGCCACGTCACCTATGTCTTGTTCAAAAAGTTCAAAGACACCCTAGGTTCGCGAACATTTCTCACCCCGCCCACGAGCCTCGGCCCGATCGACCCTCCCACACACCCACACCTCCTAATGTTTGAGTTTGGTTCCGCCGGCCACGCGCGCACCTCCTCGCGTTCCCCTACGATCACAAAAGCGGGATGACGATACCAAGATCGCGCGCAGCCCCCTATATCGCCTAGATCTGACTCGGCACGGGCAGCTGAACGGGAGGGGTGAGGAGACGATCGCGGAGGGCGCGGAAGGGAAGGGACGGCGGGCCCACACGGGCGCGCGACGGGGCCGAAGTCGAGCACATGTGCATGCTGCAGCCTGTATGTACGTGGAACCCTCGCGCTGGCCGTTCCTCAGTGTGTACATACGTGCGCGCCGCCGCACGGAGCGCGAGCCCGGAGGCCGAACGCACACACGTCCACGCGGGTGCTCGCGCGCGCCGGCGCACCCTCCGAGCTTCTCACCGCACGCACGCACACACGCACGCACGCGGACCTTGTTCTCTCCTCTCTCGCGGCTCCTTAGGCCTTAGATCGCCCAGCTGGGTGCCCTCCTCGCCTCCGGATCCTCCTCGCGCACGCGCGCGCGCCCCTCGTGCACACAGGAGGGGCCTGGGCGCACCCTCCGCCGTCCGGGATTTCAGACGGCCGGTACCAGCGCACGCGCTCCGTGGCACAAGGTGGCCACGACCGCCTGGGGGCCGGGGCTCGTCGCACCGGGTGCCACCGGTACCGCGCGCTGTGTATACCGGATCCAGGCGCTCGACGTTCCGCCACTCGCGACGACAATATTTACACGGCTACCACGTGTGGCGCTGAGGTCTGAGGTGCGCCTCTAGTGCGCACGCACTTCACCACAGTTCAGAGGCAGGTTTGAACGCGCGCGCACGCAGAGCATGGACGATCGAGGGGTTTCGCGCTTTATTCCAATTCCCGACTTCCGAACGGGGTTTTTTTTGTTCGCTCGGATCGGATTCGGCGGGACGTACGTACGGCTGCGGCGCTGCGAGCCGACGACGCCGCCGTGCGCGCGGCGCGGGTCTAGGGTAGTGTACAGGGTGGGTGGGTGTGCGGAGACGGAGCGAAGGGCGAGGAGCGAGGGGAGCACAGCAGGGTGGACATCGACGAGCGGGACTGGGGAGACAAGAAACGAGGCGAGTGTTCAGGAGGGGGATGGTGGGTTGTGGTGAGTGGGTGACGGGAGAACCGCATAAGGGGCACAGACGTGAAGACCAGAGACGGAAGGCGGAAGGCGGAAGAAACCAGGTTGGATGCGCTCAAGAGATGGGTGCGGGGTATGGGTACATTCGTGCGTGTACGCGGGGATATATAGACGGGTACATAATATGCCGAGTGGGGGAACCAAGAAAGATGGGGGCGATGCAAGATGGGGGTGGAGATGTCGACGGGTATGGCGGATGGGATGCAAGATGAAGGCGTACTCGCCGGTGGGGTGTGGGTGGATGCATAGTCGTGGCATGTCGTATCGGGTCGTGGGCATAGGTCGTAGGGGTCATATGGTGCGCCGTAACGGGCGCGTTTGGGCGACGCGGGGAGATTCCAGGCCTAGCGGCGAGAAACGCAGATGTGGGGGCGAGAGCGGGGGAGAAGGCGAGGCACGAACCGCAATCCACACACCTGCGCGCCAAACCGTCCTCCTGCGCTCTCTGCATCTGCTCGCCCCTCACGCCTCCGTGCATGTCATCGCGGCCCTCCGCAGCGCGCCCTGGGTGATGTTCACGCCGGTGCAGTCCTCGAACCACACGCCGCGCTCGGCGCACTGCGCGACGACCTTCGTCCAGAACTGGAGCACGCGCCGTTGGGGCTTGAAGGTTCGCATGTGATGGCTGTCGGCCGAGAGGTCGCGGACGAAGCGGAGGTTGGGGAACGACGCCGAACGGAGCAGGGAGCTGATCTGCTCGGACAGCAGGAAGTACGGCGTGTCCGCGTCCGCACCGAAGCTGGCGTCGAGCTCCCAGTCATGCGCTGGAAAGACCGGGTACGGGCCGTCGCCTCCGGGGTCCAGCGGCGCGATGGGGTCGTCCATGAGGCGCGTGTTGATGTCGCGGATGCCGATGAGCTCCACCCGCGGATGCGAGGGCAGGAGGATGTGAGGCGCGATCCAATCCGGACTTTGCCAATGCCACTCGGCGTCGGCGGAGCAGATGAACTCGCGCAGGTTCGGGCACCAGTCCGCGAGCGGGACCGGCTGCGGCTGGTGCTGCTGGTTCTGAAGCACGTGCTGGGGGTGGTGAGGTAGTACTCCTCGATGAGCGAGGACGAGTGGCCGAGCTCGAGCTGGGTGAGCTTGCGACCGTGGGACTGGAAGAAGGCCGAAAAGCCCTCGCCGGTATACGAGAAGTCCGAGGAGAGGACAGAGAGGTTGGTGAGCGCTGGCATGTCCCAGGACGCGAGCACGGCGAAGGTGTTGTTGTCGAGCGACACCTTGAGCGCACGAAGCGAGGGCAGGTGGACGTTCATTTCGAGGTAAGATGGCGGCTTGCCTGAAGAGCCTGTGCCGCCGCCAAGGGCAGTGTTGAGACTGTGGAGGTGGGGGGAGCGTGAGGAGAGCTCGAGGTACTCGAGACGGGTGGTGAGGTTTCGGACGAGTGGAGCCATACGGAGCTCGAACGGGGCGTCGTCGTAGCTCGTCCAGCTGAGGCGGCGGATCTTGGGATGGGCGACGAGCCTGAGGATCTCCTCGGGGCTGCAGCGGGGGTCGGGGGCGTCTTCCAGGGTGTTCCGGGCGACGGAGTGGTAGTCGGAGTAGATGGATAGTTGGGGAGAGTAATCGAGGATGGTGCGGAGGTCGGCGGGGGCGCACCTTTCGAGGGCTGGAGTCTCGATGTGCAGCCTCCGGATGTAGTTGCCGCTGGAAGAGAAGTTGTCGACGAGCTCCATGAGGAGGGTGTGGGCGAGGGCCTTGGCTTGGGCGGCTCTGCTGATCCAGACGAACTCGTATAGGAACGGTCGGGTGAGTGCGTTCCACTGTTTGGAGACGTGACATAGGCTCCTCTTGGTGGCCATGGAGGTGCGGTAGGTGGCGAGCTGGGTGGATGGAGACTCGAGAAAGGAGAGCTCTTGGGAGGTGTCGAGGGGGTCGTGGACGAAGATGCAAGTGTGCTGGATGATGAGACCCCAGACCTCTGGGGGGATGTAGGGGAGGCGGAGGGGGTCTGAGAAGACGACTTGATTGCCATGGGACTTGTTCCGCCGGCTGTGGAGATGGATGAGGATTCGGGAGAAAGAGAGGGAGACAAAAGGGGGAAGGGGAGGGCAGAGGAGGACGAAGGGGTGGTGGACGCCACCTTGATGGAGACAGACGCGGGCAGGGACGACAGCGGGCGGGGTCGCCGCTACAGGCGTCGCTGCGCCGGCAAGCACGCCAGTGCAGGTGGACGGGGAGGAGACGAGGAGAGACGGGGGACGGGAGGGAATGGAAGGCTGCTTACATGGACAGCTTCGATCGGATCTTGGCGGTGAGCTCGCGGATGCTCATCTTCCTGCGTACGCTCGAGGCTGCGGGGGGCGGGGGGAGAGTGGGGGCGGGCATGGCGGGTCTCGCGAGGGGGCGGCGGAGGGGGACGGGGAGCGGGGAGACGGGAGACGAGGAGCGGTCACGGTTGGGAAGAGAGCCCGTCGGCGACCGCCGCACCGCACCAAAAAGCTTAACCAGCGTCTATTCCGCCGGGCGCCACGTCGCCGCGCCGAGCGCTCTCCCGCCCCTGACAGACAAGGCGCTCTTCTCCTGTGCCTCCTTCTCCTCTCCCTCCTCCTCCCCTGCCCCCTCCTGGCCTCCTGTGGCCAGCGCCCGCCTACATGACATGCGCCCGATATTGACAGTTGCTTCCGACGGTGTACTCATGCACACCCTCCGCGCGCGCAGCACACGCGCGGACGCGTGGCACACGAAGCTTCAAGCGCCTCGAGTACAGTTGTGTGTGCCATAATGCGCCCCGACTGTCGGGAGAAGGCCCTCCAGGAAGCCTCAGAAGCCCGCGTACTGCCGCCGCCGACGGACGGGACGGCCCGCGCCCTCTGCCCGCGCTGCCACGCTTCACCGCACGTGGGATGCACCGTCCAGCGCGAGGTACAAGACTCACCACGAGCTCTGGAGTCTGTAGGCACTCGTCCCCCGTGCGCACGAGTCAAGCAGCAATCGAGCCTGCGCGGTCGCAAGCCATGCGCACCCCCGCCCTAGACAGCAGCCATCTTCCTCCGCCGCGCACGTCTCGAAGGACGAGAAGACTCCTGCAGGCGCGCCGGGGAGTAAGTAACCCCACCCCTCGGCGGCGCTGCGGCACAGAACGGGCTCGTGGACGCCTGCCGCTCTCGGTATATCCATGTATCCGTTTTGGTCGCGCTCTTTGTGCCGCTCCAGTGCCAACACTGCGCACCCGTGCCTATACGTATGGACCCATGCGCGCGCCCCGTTCTCAGGACGGCCGGCTATTACCTCGACGTTGCCAATGGCGACTCGCCTGCCTTTTTTTTTCGAACGAGTCTTCAGGGCCATCGTCATCTATCGATTGGAAGTTTTGCGCGACCACGAGGCTCTCGCGAGGCGAGTTGGTTCGTCTTCTGGCTCTTCTTGGCAGGTGCGTCGATGGACTCCGTTCGGGGCCTAGACGACCCGGTACTCATTCGGCAATAATGACACAGATAGAAACTGTGCCCGCTCGACGGCGCCCCGAGGCCCGTGCCGCCTGCCTCTTCGTACGAGCCCCCGCCTTCGCAAGCTTGAATTTCTGTCGCTTCCCGCACGTGCCGCGATGGACGCGATTGGTTAGCATCGTCGGGATTGTGTCGGCGCGCGTCGACGGATTGTCACGACCTCGGCATGGTTTATTCGTGTTGCAATGAGCGGTGCGCTGATATCACGCTCTGCGAACATGTGAACTGCGCCCAGATGAAATTCGAAGGCGAGACCAATGAAGTGGTGAACTGTGAGACTAGGGCAGCTTTGTGATCGATGCTTCCGTGCTCCAGTATGTCCTATCATAAATCACGGGCTACTTTGATCTCTGACTGACAAAACACGGCCGCATCCTTCCCAATCCAACCTCGATTGTGGGTCTTACTCTCATGCACTATATCTCGGGGCCGCTTCCGTGCGACAAACCACGGCAACGGTTGGCTTCATCGATAGACCTAACCGACGTCGTCCCGACCTCATATCCGACTTACGTCCCGTTCAATTGGGGTTGATCACGGTGGCGATGACACAGTCACGTTGTCATTCAAGTATGTCCGTTCTGCACCTCCTCCGCAGCAGACTTGTCTCATGATCTCACCTTCAATCGCATCACAGACAGCTAACATGGTAGGCGTGCTGTATCCTATCGATCCGCACAGTCGACCCCACTGAACGTCGTTGACCGCGTTCATAGCTGCTCACCCAGTTTCCATCACCGAAGGCTGCCACAAGACACCAGCGACGCACAGTATCCACGGACCAAGACGTGGGCCACAATAGCCCTGCACAGCAACCACCTGCGTCTCGGCTCCGTGGTAGATTCAGTACTTCATTCAATGGCCGTGATGGAGACTCGACCGGCTTGACGGCATCCCACGGCAAGCTATATAGCCGCGCTTCCTCATACGACATAAACTCGGAGGCTTTAATGGCGAAGACGTCACTGCCCCGGAGCGTTGTAGGTCGTAGTTCGTGGCCCCGTGGGCCGCGGTGAACGTGACGGAATAGCAGGAGTAACGTGATTGTTTCGTTGACATCGATATCCGTAACAGCGTGGCAAACAATGACCCATGCGGATTTTCTCCCGTCCTTTGGCGACGCTAACGCATTCCGGCCTACACCGTCAGTGAGGGGTGCTTCCTGATTGTATGACGAATGTTCTAAATCAGCCTCACAGGTTCATGCTAAGTACACCGTTCGGTGGACCTCAGGCCGTCCGTGGTGGGAAGCACACATCCGGGACGCTTCCCCGCACGACAACAGTGAGACATTCATGCGTTATTGCCTCACCCAGCCGACGTCGTCCCGACCACACCTCCGGCCGACATTCCGTTCAATTGGAGCGGATCGCGGACGCAATGAGGCCGTCACGTTGTCATGTCAGTATGTCCGTTCCATCACTCCTCCGCGGCCGACTTGTCCAACGATCTCACTGTAACAGTGCTCGAACCACCACGAGGATGGATCAGGGTATGAGTGATTTGCGCCCCGTCGAGGCGTGCAGTTGGTTCAACGATACGCGAGCGGGTCAGCCGTGCGGCGAACGCGCTCACGTGAGCAACCCCGGATCGAAGACACGGAAATCCTCGGATATACCGTGCGAGAATCCCCCGCACGCGCGAGCGCCCGTTCGTCCTCTTCTCCTCGACAGCCGAGCCGAGGGTCTAAGTCGTCCTCGACGCGTCATCCGCCCACGAGCCCCCTTCTGTGCCTGGACGGGGACGACCACCGTGCGCAGGCCGTGACCTTGACTCGCAGAAAATCCGGGTCGAAACCCCGCGGGGGCCAATCGCGGGGCAGGGACGCGTCGATTGAGTCCCCGGTGTCGGCGTTGGAATGCTGAATGTCGGCCGTGTCCCGTGCACAGCGCGGCGGCCGTGCGTCGTATGTCGTGCGCACAAGGAAGCGCAAACACAGGGTCAGTCCTTGATCATGACGAATTTCGCCAGCCAGCGCGGGCCAGAGGGAGTATAAAGCCGTCCGCGGGAGGCCGACATAGATCCAGCAAGCCCTCGAGCTCCACTCCTCATCGCCACCCGCCTCTCCCGCCATGTTCGCGTTCACCGCACTCGTCGCCCTCGCCTCCGCGGCGCTCCCGCAGGTCTTCGCCCACGGCGGTGTCCTCTCGTACAAGATCGGCGGAACGACCTACCAGGGCTGGGCGGTGCGTCGCGCCCCTTCCTTCTCTGTGCCGCGACCCCACTCTTCCTCCGGGGAGGACGCGCGTCTCGCGCTTCCGCTCCACTGAGCTTGAGTGCTCACTTCCTCCACAGCCCTACAACTCCCCCACAGGCCAGACCAGCATTCAGCGGCCATGGTCCAGCTAGTACGTCCCCTTCTCTCTCTCTCTCTCGTTCCAATGCTCACCCTCCGCGCCCCAGCAACCCCATCATGGACGCGACGGACTCCACGCTCGCGTGCAACGACGACGGCAAGTCCGGCGCGCTCCAGCTCACCGCGACCGCCGTCGCCGGCCAGCCGATCACCGCGTACTGGAACCAGGTCTGGCCGCACCCGTACGGGCCGATGCTCACCTACCTCGCGCAGTGCCCGGGGAGCACGTGCACGGGCGTCGACGCGAGCACGCTCTCCTGGTTCAAGATCGACCAGTCCGGGCTCATCTCGGGCACGGTCGGGAACGGCTACTGGGGCTCGGGCAAGATGATCGACCAGAACTCGACGTGGACGACGACGATCCCGGCGAGCGTCCCGAGCGGGAACTACCTCATCCGGTTCGAGACGATCGCGCTGCACTCGCTCCCCGCGCAGCTGTACCCGGAGTGCGCGCAGCTGACGATCACCGGTGGAGGGAGCCGCCAGCCGACCGCGAGCGAGCTCGTCAAGTTCCCGGGCGGGTACTCGAACTCGGACCCTGGCCGTGAGTACTTGAGTGCCCGTGCTTGTTTGACGGCGGGAAGCGGGAGGGGGGCGGCGATCCCCCTGCGCGTTATCGCCATCGTCGTCGTTGCGCGCGCTGACCCGACGTGCGCCCGCAGTGAACGTCGACCTGTACTCGAACGCGGCGCTCACGAACACGAACTACATAATCCCCGGTCCTCCCCTCTACGGCTCCAGCGCCACCACCACCTCCGCCGGTTCTGTGCGTATCCCCCGCCTCCGTTCCTCCTGGGTAGCTGACTGACGGGAAAACACCACCGTCTAGACCACCACCGTTAAGACCACCACCGCACCTGCGACCACCACCACCGCTGCGGGCACCGTTGCGCACTACGGCCAGTGCGGCGGTATCGGCTACACCGGTGCCACCGGCTGCGTCGCACCCTACACCTGCACCGTCCTCAACGGTACGCGCCCTCAGTGTCGGCTCGTCGCGCACAGACCGCTGACCCGTCCGCGCAGACTACTTCTCCCAGTGCACGTAAACTTTTATCTGATCCTGATGATTCACACGGTTCCGTGGACGCATAGACTGCACGACCGGGGGCGGCGGAGGGAGGGAAAAGACGTCGGCGCGCGGGTGAAGTCGGTCGGGGGGAGCGTCGCGGTCAGCGTCTTCTTCTGGCTCGTCTTCTCGCGCAAGGTCTCGATCGTACACGTGTACTAACGCTCTTCTGTTCTCGCAATAATACGTATTCTTCCGCCTTCCATCTGCGTTAGCACCCGGCGAGCCGTCAAGCGTTCAAGCGTGTTGTCTGCCTACATTGTGCGATGACGTCTATTGGCGCGGTCACGTGTGTCATTATGTCGCGCCTGTGGCTGCAATATCGCCTCTTTCAGCTCTCCTACATGTCGGCAGTTTGCTCCACCAAAAAACTCTCCTACGGATACTTACGACAGGGGCGAGGCCATAGCGAGTGAAAGGCGCCGCAATCGCCGCTTTCGCTTGGCGTGGGTCTCCTGGGGTGCACAGGTACGGCGGTGGGTCTCGTTCCGATCGACCCTGGATCCCCCTTTACCATGTCCTTATCCACGTAGACTCTAGAGGTCGATTCGCAACAGGGTCAGCAAAGGTCGATGCTCTCGCCGACGACACCCGCTCCTAAAGCTAAAGTCCAGTGCCTCCGTATAAGTTCGCGCTCTATGCGGAGGGTGATACTAATATGCATCGAGACGACTACTTAGTAACTTCGACGCACGCGGCTGCCAGGTCGCCAGGCCGCAGGCGGCGCGCGAGAGCTCGCGGCTAGCCGCGGGCAGCTCTCTGCCAGAGTGTCGCCAGCATTAATTCACAAACAGCGATCGTGAGCCGCAGTAGTGCTGCGCTGAGTTTCACGCTTCATTCACCGAGCGCGCGAGGAAGTGGGGACGGACGAGCAAGGGAGGGGAAGTTCTGGTAATACAAGGGCGCGGACGGGCGCGCGTAGTAGAGGTGTACATGATAGGTCGTGGGCACGCGTATGTCGTCGCGGTGCTGCCGTCATCAGCGGTCCTCCATGTGGACCACGCTCTCCTTCTCGCTTCCCGCGCCCGCGCCCGTCTCGACGACGTCCTGCTCGATGCGCTTCTGCTGCTCCTGTTGCACCTTGTCGCCCTCGAACACTGTCCGCGCGGCGAGCAAACGCGTCAGATCCCCTTCGCCGCCGCATGCAGGAAGAGCAGAGGGAGTACGCACGGAACGCGAGCTCCTCGAGCGTGCGCCCGGAGGTCTCGGGGAAGAGGAACCAGACGAAGACGACCTCGAAGAGGAGGAAGACGCAGTAGGAGATGTAGTACTTCCAGCCCGCGTTGTTGATCCCGATCGGGTTCACGAACTGGTTGAAGAAGCCGGCCGCGCGGCCCCACCACTGGAAGACGGCGATGCCCTTCGCGCGCGCGTGGAAGGGGAAGAGCTCGACGAGGTACGCTGCAACGCAAGCCCGCGGCGTCAGCGCTCGCGAAGACGAGAGAGAACGAGGGCGCGGACGCACTGTACGTGAGCGCGTTGTAGCAGATATTGTACGCGGGCGAGTAGAGGAAGATGAAGGCGATGACCGCGCGCGACGCCGCATCGCTGTTCGTGCGCGCGTACTGCGCGCTCGCGATCGTCCACCCGGTGAAGATGAGCAGCAGCGCGAGCGTGCCGGCGAGGTAGCCCGTGCGGCGGCGCATCTTGGGCACGGTGAGCGCGAGCCCGGTCGCGTTCACGAAGCCCCAGGAGGTCATCGCGAGGTTGATCAGGTTCTTCGTCCGGTCGTCCGTCACCCCGACGTTGTCCAGGATCCGCGCCAGGAAGTAGGACGTCAGCCCATTCCCGCTCCACTGCGTCGCGAGCCCGAGGAAGGAGCCGATGAGGAGGCGCTTGCGCATCCCGGGGGCGCGTACGATCTCGCGCCAGGAGCCCTTGGCCTGCTCTTTCTCGAGCTCGAGCGTCGTCTCGATCTCGGCGAACTCGAGCCGGACGAACTCGGAGGAGGCGTCGCCCTCGGCGTGGTACTTGACAAGGATCGCGAACGCCTCACTGGTTCGGCCCTGGGAGACCAGCCAACGCGGGGACTCGGGGAGGAATGCGATGAAGGTGAGCTGGAGGAGGGAGGGGACGACTTGCAGGAGGGAGGGTATGCGCCAGCCCCAGCTGGTGGGCATGTGGAACGTGCCGAGCGTGACACCCGCGGCGACGATCGCGCCGATGAACCAGGAGGCGTTGAAGAGCGAGCCCATGCGCGCGCGTTCTTTGGGGTGAGCGAGCTCGCCGATCATGGAAGAGGCGGCGATGATGGCAAATGGGATTCCGAAGCCCAGTAGGAAGCGCGCAATGACGAACATCGCAACTGCAAGCATTCAGTCTGAGAGGGCAATGTGCGTGAGAGGAAGCGCAGTACTGACAGTCCTGTGAGGCGGCTTGTAGAGCTGCACCAATGACCATGATGATACTACCAAAGATGATGGACCATCTTCGTCCGAACCGATCCGCGACCATGGGCACGAAAGGGAGCGAGCAGATGGATCCGAGCGAGTAGAGTGCAGAGAGGAGGCCGAGAATGGTGGATCTGGGATGGTGGAAGACTGCGGGACACACTATGAACACGGAAACACAGATGGCGCAAATCAATGCACGTACACGCATCCCATGTGGGCACAGCCTGCAGCCCATTCATCATGGATGAGTCGTAGCTTTCCGCAGGAATTACTCGTTCAGCCTTCAGATGATCTGCGAATTCAAATTAATGTGCTCACCCGCTAGTCATTTCGATCCCAATGCACGTCGGGAACATGATGAGGTAGAGCATACGCAGATTCCGCTTCTTGTACCACGGAACCTGGTCTTGGCTCACCAAGTTTGAGAGCGCAGAATCGCCTCCAGGAGCTACACCAACGGCCATGGTGTCCTTGCAAAGTTGCGTAGAACCTAGAGTGGAACGGGGGGTGCCTGAGGAGAGGATCGCGAGGACAGGACGTCGTGCCGTGCTGCCCCCTGCGGGCATATATACCGGCTTGAACTCTCTCCCCTCCACATCGTCACGAGAGTGCGGCCACAGGCGGGCACCCGACATGGCTTCCTCCAGATTGTGGGGACGGACGGAGCTAACGCTGATCCAGAGAAACTCCGGATACGCGGCTTGGCAGGGATGTTCTATCGACACCCGTGCCGCATTGGCGTTAGTCACCGGCCACGAAATGATAAGCGCACCGATGTTGAATGGGCATGCGCACTAACGGCGGGTGCAAGGCGGTCGACGGGAGCCGGGCACTGGCACGGGCTATGGCCTCTCACGGGGTGTTACAGCATGTTCGGGCCGGAACCGTTGCGTTTTGCGCAGTCATTGGAGGGCTTGGAAGGCGGGCGGAGAATCGTCGGAGTGCAAGCATTGGCGAAGAGGAAAGGTTGGTGGTCCCGTTCAGGTGCTGTACTAGAGAGGTCCGACTGTTCAGAAGATCGATCTTGGCATCGAGAAAATCTAGCCTGTCGCTTCCCCGCACTCGAAGGCTGATGGTCCCTGAGGTCTGATGTTGCCCCAACCTGGGATCTGGGGAACTTGAACGACTGCATAAGCGATCATGGACACAAAACCTTGTGAAAGTCTCGTACTCACCGCGGAAAACCGGAGGAACCATGTCGGAGCGGTTAGTTTATTTTGGTATCGGCCGCCTGAGATGCCGCAGTGCCTTCGACCTCAAGTTCAATCCTGGCGAAGTAGGATCCGCGGCGCGCTCGGACACGCACACCCGCTGCAGGAGCTGCCGGACCCGATATCGTGTCGTCATCGCATATCTATCAAGAATAGCTTTGCGAAAATCGCCTTTCAAACATACTAAGTAGAATAGCGGTTGCCTTTTCACTTCACGGGGCGAGTCTACATAGCAATTTATAGGGTCACTGGACAATTGTGTACTTATAATAGCGCACATACCAGCGTTGGAGGCCTAAACGCACACGAGAAAGCCTGCGGGCGTCGGTGTTGAATTCTCCGATGCCGCGTGTTCGACGTGTAGCTGCGAGCAGATACCATTGAGTTGTCGGACGCTGTGAAGGGGATGAAAATTTCGCTCGGACCGACTAGCAGTCTCCGTTTGGTTCGTAGTGGCTTACCTAGCTAGAAGCATACAAAGCTAAAGGAAGTTGTTCCAAGAACCTGCATCATCGGATCGAGCTTGTATCAGCCTGAAATCGACTACTGACAGTAACTGAATGGTCCATGCGGTGAGCGTATTCGTGCTACAAAATCGATAGAAGTTGTCCAGGAGGCTATAGGCGAGGGTTTGGGGAGGTCATAGCATGGCATGTGAGGGTACAAAGCTGAGGTGCCTCAGCGACGGCGCTCACGCGAGCTGCCGGCATTGCCAAAGCAGGCGGGCCGCGGACCCGTCTTGAGGCGCTTGCGCGCGCGTCGTCCTTGGCCTCCGCCATCCCATCCTCCGCCTCCCAACTGCTCCCCCTCCGCCTCCTCCTAACCTCTTCTCGTTCACCCACACGTCCAACCGTTCTCGGCCACCCCCAACACATTTGCCCAAGATGATGATCAAAGTCAAGGTACGCTCACCATGTCTTCCCTGCGTTTGTGGCTCACCCTAACACACCTTTCCCAAAGACCCTTACCGGCAAGGAGGTACGCAGATCGCAGTTTGACAGCAACGAGGCATTTCTGTTTGACCCTCCATGCAATACCTCTGTTAGATCGAGCTCGATATCGACCCTGACGATCTGGTATGCTTGCCCGCCACCCACTGTCGCCCATAGCTCACTGCATGCGCCTGTCTCTTTTCACAGATATCTCGTATCAAGGAGAAGGTTGAGGAGCAGTCTGGTGTCCCGCCACCGCAGCAGCGTCTCATTTTCTCGGGCAGACAAATGTGGGTTCTGTGCTCCGGCGCTGGGACGTCGTGTGTTGACCGGCTGCCGTCCTTCTCTAGGGCCGACGACAAGGCCGTCAAGGACTTCAACATCTCTGCCGGCGCGGTCCTTCACTTGGTCCTGGCTCTCCGTGGTGGCTCGTGCTAGACGTCTCGTCTCCCCGGCATAATTGTACATCAAGTGGCGGGTGGTGTGGTCGGGACGGAATGGCAGAAGTCAGAAAGGTGTATCCCGCAGTACGTTGTATCCATGCTAGAGCTTCAGAACTCCTTCCCTCCTACTCTCCCGCTTGTCGGCTCGCTGCGATGTATTCTCGTCTGTTGCCGGGGACTTCGATGGACATCTGAGAACGTGGTCATCGCCACTCGAAACCATTGAAGCAACATCGCAGAGTAGACGTCAGCTGCTATGTCGTCTTCCTTGAGCGTCATTTGACCCAACCGCGGGCGAGATCCCCGGGGTTGTCGTGCGTAGTCGGACGTGTTCATGGCCGGGGTGCATTTTCAGAGCAGACACACCGCGCGTATTGTGTATCTGAGGCACAGTGACTGGGTCAGTGATTTATGACTCGAGGACATCAGCGTTGCTCAAAATCTTACACGCGTCGCGAAGAGAAGAAGCCTAACGTGCACTGTTCACATAGCATCCTTACGGGCGTTCGATTCAACTTGGAAAAAGTTCTATACTTACTGGTTCTATCCCAAGCTCGAACAGGTGGAGGGGATAGAGCGCGTGAGGGGAGGGGACGACTTCCGGCGGAGCGGTCGACCGGAGCGCGGTGTCGGGAATTAAATGCTTCGAAACCACACGGACACCAACGTGCCAGCCGTGCGGCATGGAACCTTCGCGATGCTGCCGTTTTCCTTGCGCGCGTCCGTGCCCCGCACTAGTCAGCTCTGTCGTTGACTCCCCTGGTCCCGTCTCCCACCTCGACCCTTGAGCTCTTACTCCGGATCCGTCCCCTCCATCACAGCATCGCCGAAATTCATCGCTCTTAACGCTTCTCTTGGTCATTACACGATCTCCTTGCCGACCTCCGGGACACGATCCTCTCAGCAAAGTCGACGTCCTCGGGCGCCCGATTGTGCCGTTTGTACATCCTCGTGAGTCTTACATCCGTCGTCGTCTCGTGCTTCGTCTCAACAACGCTGCCTCAGAGAATCATGTGGCTGCTAGGGACTGCCCGCGCCAACCTCGTTTTCTTCCCTCGTCCTGAGGATGTTCCGAAGCCCGGATACGCCATCTTGTCGCACACTTGGGGCCCCAAAGAAGACACCTTCCAGGTGGTTCACAGGTTGAATGAAGATGCAAACCAAGCGACACCTCCAAGCACTCTCGAGGCCCGCATTTCCGAAGAGGTTTCACGACAGGTCCGAGCACGCGAGATAGATCATCAACTTGCACTCGCCGAAGAGAAAGCCGCGCGGCAGAAGCTCGAACGCCAAGTGCAGGATCTTATGAGTCCAATCGGAGCGAATGGGTTCCCTCAAGCGAGCACGCATCGTCCACAAGGATCCGGTATGTGCAGCCAAGATATGTCCCGACTCAGTACTAGTGTCTGACTTGTGCATTCACTGCGCTTCTAGGATTGCAGAAGTATCTACTCCCGTTCGTCGCTCGAAGCAAGCACCACATCGTCAACCAGTCAGAGCAGGAATACTTCACATCGAAAGTTCAGCTATCCGAACCCACTCCCGTCGTCCCCGATGCCTCTCCCCAGCAGTTTATCCCGCCAGTTACCATCCTCTCCTCACCCCCATGGTTCAACCCTCGCGACAAACTATCCCATAAAGTTCGCGCGTTTCTCGAAGAGGCGGAGAAGTTTGGGTACAAGTTCGCCTGGGTGGACACCTGCTGCATCGACAAGACGAGCAGTGCCGAACTGTCTGAGGCCATCAACTCAATGTTCCAATACTACTTCCATTCCTCCATTTGCTGCGTCTATCTCAGTGATGTCTCACGCTACTACGGCGGAGTGGATTTTCAAAGGAGCAAATGGCATCGTCGTGGATGGACACTTCAGGAGCTTCTCGCGTCACCTGTGGTGTTCTTTTTCTCTGAGCAGTGGGAAATTATCGGCACCAAGAGCGAGCTTGCTAAAGTCTTGCAAGAAGCAACCGGGGTTCCGGTCGCCGTTCTACGCTTCGAGACTGACATCCAACACATGTCCATCGCCGAGCGGTTGTCTTGGGCGTCGGGAAGGGAGACAACCAGGCCCGAAGACATCGCGTACTGTCTGTTCGGGATTTTTGGGATAAGCATGCCGACCCTCTACGGTGAGGGCGGTGAGAAGGCGTTCTATCGGTTTCTGGAAGAAATCATGAAGACGTCCCACGATGCCTCCGTCTTTCTTGTCGGACCGCACAGAATCTATATCGGCTGGAGAGAACTACAGGAACAACTCTTAGTCTCGAAACTTACAGATCCTGCCAGCGACCTTCTTCCCCTATCACCTCAAGGATACGACCCACACAGCCTTAAGCTCAGATTCGAGGGCAATGCCGGATACGAGAACACAGAGTTAGGGCGCCGCCAGCGCAAAGAAACGGTGCGTGTCTAGGCTGTATATTTCCGCATGATAGTCCTTGACGATTGTATCGCAGAATGTCCTACGCTACCCAAAATTCAACATAACCCCTGATGGATTGATGCTTTCGGCGCCGGTGTTAGAGGTCCCACTGGAACAAAGTCGGCACACCTTGCTCGTCGATCTCTTCTGCAGTCACTCCGACTCCCGCTATCCATGCTACTTGCGGATTGAAGCCAACTCACAGGGGATGTATTCTCACATTGGCCCAATTCTATCTTTTTTAGGACCTCATCCCGCCGATCTTGAATGGAAAATGGCTGAAGTATGTATTCAAACACGGCATTCACGTCCCCTAATCAGTAGCAGTCTTGCGCATGGGGACCATGAACTTTTCACGCTGCAACGTTTCTGCGCTGAACGACTATCCTCGTCAAGCGTCCCATTCCATCTCTATTTTGCAAGTCTCTTACGGTCTTTAATCCCGTTCACGTACAAAAGCCACATCGAGAGTCCTTCTATGCTCAGATGGCCGCACGTCGAGGGCATTGTGCTGTTCTTCAGCGCCCCTCCCGGCCACGACGGCAGTCTGTGCATCCACTTAGGCACTTGCAACCACAGTACTGATTCACCGTCAACTCCACGGACGCATTACGCCGCCTTGCTGGACTCAATGTCGTTCTCCGACCATTTGTATTGGTTCCAGTGCGAGAACTACCACATCGAGATGGACGGGTCGTGGCCGAAGACGCTCCGGCATCAAATGGCGGGAAAGACGGTGGAGGCGACGTTCGTCGCGCCGAGCACGCTGGCCGCTCACGACGACAACATGCTCGAGGTGACGTTCCGGGTGTTCTAGTGCGGAACGAGGGAGGTCGGCGGAGCGGCGGAGGCGGAGGCCCCCGCTCAGAGAGCGGAGGACACTGCGACAGTCATAGGACACTTGTACACCACGCATCACCGGATGTATCCCCGTACACAAGTCACGTCGCTCGAAAGAAAGAGGCCCGTGTGCCTAACCAACCTTGATCGTCACCTCGCCCGCCTTCCCGCAGATGTCCGCGACAGACTTGTGCCCCGCGAGCCCGAGCGAGAGCTCGAACTCGGCGAGGATCGTCTTGATCACTGCCTCAACACCCTCCTGCCCGGCGATCGCGAGCCCGTACGCGTACGTCCGACCAACTGCAGCACGGGGGAAGCCGTCCTCAGCACTCGCTGCGGTGGGAGGTGGAGGGGAGATGGGACTCACGCAAGACGGCCTGCGCGCCGAGCGCGATCGCGCGGAGCATGTCTGCGCCGGAGCGGATGCCGCCGTCCATGAGGACGGCGAACTTGTTCGACGCCTGCGCGGACTTGACTATGGGCGACTGCATGATGCGCTCGAGCGCGTAGAGGGAGGAGATCGAGCCGTCGATCTGACGGCCGCCTGGGAGGACGGATCGGTCGTGATACGCACGAAAGGGAAGAAGGCGGGGACGCACCGTGGTTCGAGACAATGATGCCGTCAATGCCCTCGTCGATCGCGATCTCCGCGTCCTACGCGAGGAGAGGTGGGTGTGTGCGCGAGACGTGGACGCAAGGAGCACGCACCTCGGGACTCAGGATCCCCTTCACCACCAGCGGCCCCTCCCAGTGCTTGCGCAGGAAGCGCACGTCCTGCCAGGTCCTGAACGTCCCGTTCACCGCCTCGCTCCCCCATGCCGCCGCGAGCCGCATCATCTCCTTGATGTGCGCGTCGCCAGACGCGACGAGCTTGTCGATCTCGGCGGGGTCGTACGGGAACGGCAAAATCTCGCTCTCGTCGGTGTGTGGTGCAGCACCGGCACCGTGGAGCTCCATGAACTTGGGATCCGAGAGCGCGATCTGGATCCCGAGTCCGTGCGCGAAGGGGAGGTAGCCGGAGTCGAGGTCGAGGTAGCGCCATCCGATGGCCATGGTGTCGACGGTGATGACGAGCGCGCTGTACCCCGACTGTTTCGTACGGGACAGGAGGGAGAGTGTAATGTCTTCGTTGAGCGGCCTGTGGAAGGTGAGGGTATGTACGCACGGGTGATACGGCGACGTACCAGTAGAGCTGGAACCATCGATGGGAACCAGGGCCATTGGCTTCCGCGACCTGCTCGAGCGAACGCGAGGCAGCGCCGCTGAGGACGAGGGGAATCCCGAGCGCACCCGCGGCACGCGCTGTCGCGCACTCGGCATCGGCATGCATCACGGTTTGACATCCGATGGGGGCGATGAGCAAAGGTGTGGCATAGGTGACGCCAAAGAGTGTTGTCTATTTCGTGGGCAGAAGCTCGCGTTGAGGAGGGGGCATCGCAGGAACCGGGCACGAAGAAGTGACATACACTGAGGTCGCGGTGGGTGACATCACGGAGCATGCGCGGCACGATCTGCCAGCGCGCGAACTCGTTTCGGTTCGCGCGGTAGGTCTCGCCCGTCCCCGCGTATCCGAAGACGAAGTTGAATGAGTCTGGCGCGTTTGGGGAGAACGATTGGACCGACGCGGAGGGATACGAGGACGGATGGGCGCACCTGGATAGTCCTTCAGCTTCTCTCTCGCTTTCTCCTCGAACTTTGAAGGGTCCACGGAACCCAGAAGTGGCCTCTTGCGCGTAGCAAGCAACTCGCGTGCGAATGCGGACCACTTTCCGGGCGCGGAGCCGTACGACTTCATGTCCTTCGTCGCTGCCGCCCCAGCCATGCTGAAACTAGTGTCGATGGCTGGGAGAGAGGGAGGATGCGCACCCTGACGATACGGGAATGATGGAGGCCGGAGGCGGGGCTCCGTATCTCTCTATTTGTGCTGGCCCCTGGGCATGTGGTGCTGGCGGTGAGAGTTGGTCACATGGACGTTGCGCATCAAGAGAAGATGTGAGGATATCCCAGCCGTCAAGGCCTGTGTCAATAAGTTTAAGTGCCGGCGCACAGAGAAAAGAAAGACATACGCGCGCCGACTCACCCGTCGTATGCCGACCCATGGTTATGCACGAGTTTGTCGTGTTCATGGTGTCGTTTACCAAGGAGGGAGAAGGGTTCGAAAAGAAAAATTTCCCCAGAAGTAGCGATGCGCAATTAGAGAAGGGTGGAAGCCGTGAGTAAAACGATGGGCTTTGCCTGGAAGTTGATGATAAGGAGGAGGAGGCAACGGTGAGACGAGCGGTTAGATTAGTAGATTATCTCTCCCTCTCTCCTGGGAAGATTACTAAGGGCCTGTTCGGTAACCCGAGAGCGGTCGTGTGCGACCGGTGTTTACTACCATAAAAGGCAGGAGGGCCCGCGCGCGGTATATGCGCAGTTTCCCGCGCTAGGCGTCAACGAAGATCGCGCGTTCGGAAACCTGCGACCGCGGCCGCGCGCGACACCGAGTGTCTGCGACCGAGTTTTTGCCCCGGGCCTCGACGTTCATTTTTTCCCACTTCCTCCCCTCGCAATGTCTGCTGATGCCACCCCTGCCCCTCCGGTGAAGGTGGTTCCTACTTGCTTCATCTGGACACCAGAAAATGAGATCCTAGTCTTGCCTAAGACTTTCCTTGTCACTTGAACTCCAGCTCGACCGTGACCTGGTCGTAGAGAATGGGTTCAAGACTACTACTTACATTAGGTTTCCCCACAGGGGTTTTTTGGTGTTTTTCTGAGGTGCTACACACACACTTCTTTGTTTGCCTCTCGAGGGCTGATGTTCCATTAATGCTTGTTGCTGATGCGGCCTACTAGAGTCAGGCCTTCTGTGGTCGCCGGTCGGCATTGCAGTTGCAGTGGGTTTTTCATCTGGTCCAAGTAGGGCTCAGTGCTTTCGAGTAGGATGCACCTTTGTAGCCTATATAATGGGATATTTGTAACTAAGCAACAGAGGTGGACTCGTGAGTTGGTATCACCAGCCTCCTCCTCGTCCTCCTGCCAGAAGGGCAGGCGCCCGACACAGCGGTACTCCGTCTGCCCGCAAGCGCTGGAAAGCGGTCGCCATCACTAACAGCGGTATCTTTTCCCACGGGCAGATACCGGTCGCCACCTGTACCTCCCGATATCGCAATCAAATGATCTTTGATCGCCCCCCTGGGGTGATTCCCGTTCCGGTAACTGCGAATGTTTCTACGCCTGCGAACCGTAGAGCCTCTACAGATATCGACTACAGATACCTTGTAAGGTAACGTTAGAACGGGTGCTTATGTACAAGTCCCCTGGCCCCATCCCCGACTTCCCCGAGGCCCCGGCCCAGCCCTCCTCCGCGCTTCCCCGGCTCACGTGAACGGATTCCCGCGCCGCGCCCCCTGATGGCCGCCCTTGTTGGCGCCCCCCCGGCGCCGCCCGTCCGTGATGGCCATCCCCGCCGTCCTGCTCGCCGTCCCCGACGACGAGCTCACTGTTCCCGCTCTCCCTCCCGTTCCCGTTCCCCGATTCGCTCCGTTCTTTTTTGTATATACTTATATTACTAATGCGCATCTATCTACACAATTCGTCCGTGTAAGACGTGCTCTGTGGTGCCCCGACCACCCCCTGCCCCCGCCACTGCCCCCCGCCCCCGCGTAGGGAGGGCGGGAGGTTATGTCAGCATACTCAACGCCCCGGCGGAGGGCGGAACTCTGATGGCGCGAGCGCCGCCACATGGACAGGCACCGCGGCAATGATTGATGCAGCGCGCGAGGCTCGCGCCATCAGCGCGAGGCCTGTGCCATCAGCGCGAGGCTGCCGGCGCCGGCGCCTCAGAATCAACGCCTCGGATTGATCGCGCTCAAGCGCCACCAAGATGGTCGGTCTCGCGCACCTCTCACATAGTAGTTATAATTAGCATTGTATATCCGTGAAGACTCTACTTTGGTGTACTGTAGGGTGTATTGTATGGCAGACATGTACTTTCATTACCATGTTGACCAACAAAGGAGTTTATGGAGCTATCATTCAGGCACGAAGATTAGAATAACACACACATCATCAGTCCCTTCAAGGTGACATGTATGCACTTATCATTTGAACGGCGACTAAGACCTACTACATAATTGTTCAATGTATACAGTATCGTACTAGAGGGACATCAAGTAGTGTTCTCGTTCGCGGCGGCCTCGGCAGCCCTGCGCGCAAGCGTCCGAGCAGTGGGACCCTTACGAATGCCCTTGTCCTTGCGGGGCTTGCGGGGGCGCTTCTGCGGAAGGAGAACACCCTGACCTCCCGCAACGTGGTTGAACAAGGGGTCGGGGACAGTGCCGAGAGGCCCAGCGGTAGCCATACCAGGCGGAGGGGGCGCAGAGGACGTGGAGGACGTGGGCGTGGCCTGGAACACAAAGGTGGCAGTGGAGAACGCGGACGGGGCGGAGGGAGGGGGCATGATGGACCACGCAGGCGAGGCGGAGGACGCAGGCGAGGTGGAGGACGCGGGCATGGGCGAGGTGGATGACGCAGGCGCGGGTATGGGCGAGGCGGACGACACGGGCACGGGTAAAGGCGAGGTGGACGACACGGATGCGGGCGCGGGCGAGGTGGAGGGCACGGGTGAGGTGGACGACGCGGGTGCGAGCGAGATGGTCGACGCGGGCGCGGGAGGGGCGGACGACACGGGCGAGGTGGAGGGTGCGGGCGAGCCTGTGGACGACGTGGGCGCGGGAGTGGACGACGTGGGAGCGGGAGTGGACAAAGTGGGCGCGGGCGAGGTGGACAACGCGGGCGCGGGCGCAGGATGAGTGAACGACGCGGGCGAGGTCGCGCGCGAGGCGGAGGGAGACATGGTGGGTTCAGGGTTGGGCGCCCGCACCTGGAGAGAGGTGATACTGTCCGCGTTGAACGTCACAGCGACCGGGTTCAGGCCGGCGTGGTATGCTTGACGCCAAGTGAGGAGCTCCTCGTTGGTGAGCGACCGAAAGCGCGTCGTTCCGCTCTCCCATGCTGAGCGGAGCACGTTGAGAAACTTGAGGGAGTTGAAGCGGCCGGGCGCCTGGAAGGTCTCGAGTGGCCAGTTCTCGAGGACGACGCCGAACTTGTAGGTAATTCTCTTGGGGAAGTCGCTGTACCACATCGCGGGGGGGCTCCCCCGTGTGGACATCGCCTCTAATGGACACCAATCAGCGAGTAGAATAAACGAGGAAGCGAGAACTTACGAAGCTTCTCCATTATGAGAGCACCGATCTTGGACTTCAGGTCCAGGACGGTGCTCTTGTGCTTCTGCGTCAACCCTATGCAACAGCACTATGATAAGTACTTGAAGACACGGCTAGAATTTGCGTGTACGTACCATTGAGACCAGTGAGGCACCAGGCTTCGATGCGCGCGGCGAGCGTGCCCAACGCCTTGCCAGTGAGCAGCTCGATGAACTCCTCGATGCGCTCGCTGGACCGGTAGACCCAGGGCTTGAGGTAGTTTGCCCGGTCGCCGCGCACCGCGACGAGCAGGACCTCCACGCCGGTGCGCTCGTGGAGACCGTCAAGCTGGGGCGTTGGTGGACTTCAATGGGGAGGGGGTGCAAAGAAAGAAGGTGGCGCACCTCTTCGACCACCGCCATCAACGTCGCACGCGAATCGTTGAAATTCGCGATGGCGATGTTGGGGATGGCGCGCCCCCGCTCTTCGCGCCGCTCGTTGAGCGCTTCGACCGTGTCGCGGCACATGTCCTCCCGCTCCTCCTCGGACATCGCGTGCCAGCGGTCGGCCAAGTTCTTGATGAACTCGGACGACACGCGGTCGTTCGTATTCATCTCTGACAGATGTCCATTAGTTATGGCACTGCAGATGAAAATAAACGCACCTTTGTTATGGAGGCGAAGCTCCTTGCTTACGAAGGCATTCCATAGCGACAGGGCCCGCGGTTCCTTGAAGCGAAACTTGCTCTGGTGGAGAATGAGCCGGTAGTACCATACCGCGCTATGCTTACCCAGCTCGTCATGGAGCTCGACGGCGTGGTCCCAGACCTCGTCGCGGATGGCGTCAAGCCTCTGGTTGAGCGTGTTCTTGTAAAGCCTCGACTTCTCGCGGATGGCCTTCTTCTCCATGTAAGAGAGCTTCGGCCGTGCTCGGCGCTGCGACGACCACGGCATTTTGATGCGCCGCTTTCCCAGCTTGCGCGCAGCCTTAGGTAACTTCTTGATACCGCCATGGTTCTTTGACGCGGGGGCGTCTGCGTTGTTGCGGGCCATGCCGAGAGCGGGGGAAGGGACGCGCAGGGAGGGCGGGAAAAGAAGCAGGGTGTGGGAGTGGCAGGGCTGGATGCTGGGAGGGACCTAGGGCGGAGCGAAAAAAATCTGCCCAGGTCTCACTTGTTGACTAGAGCACGTGATGAAGTGAGCGAAAAGAATGATCCATTTCTTACTCATCATTATCGAGCGGATACAAGATAGCGTCGTATAGACGCTCTAGCTGCACCCCATCCCAGCCGAGGTGCTTGTGGCCGTCGTACGCAAACTCCTTGGGCGAGGCCGCACCAGCAAACATCTGCAGAATGAAGATGAGCTGCGTACCGTCCGGGTCAAGCTCCAAGAGAATCTGCTCGGCCCTCGGCCCGAGCGAGACGGGAAATGGACGAGCACCCCCCACAACCTCCTCGGGGGAGATAAAGAGCAGACGGATAGCTGCGGCGAGCGCGCCGCAGCTCTCAACGTCTCCGTGGTGGCGTGCGGGCAGCACCGCGTGGTCCCGAATACTCGCGCCCTGCTGGAAGGCTGTGGCTAGTCAGTCCATGTCACGCCCACAGAGCAGAATGACATACCGTGTGCGAGCGCGT